CGCCCAGTCAGGACACAGTTGCGCAACCACCGTCCACCATCTAACCAGTCTCACCCTCCCATGGGCCCCCCTTACAGGTGAGTCATGACGTGCTGGCACCCGGGGGCGGCAGACAGGAGACAACTGTCCCAGATACATCGCCCTCCGTTTCATTTCCAATCGCCCCGGGTAGTCCCCGCGGGTTATAGGCTATGCGGGCCTACGGGCCTACTGCGGCCCCGACGCTGAAACTCACAGCCCGCGCCACGGGGCACACGACAGGCGAGTGGGTGTTTGGCATGGACATGGACTGACTGGTGAGGGTTCAGCCACGCCTGCATGGGGGAGGTGACAGGTCGTGCTGTGCGGTGCCAGGTGGAGGTGTAGATATCGTTACCTAATGCGTAGCTGTCAGGGTTGATACTGGATGGACTGTAGGGTACACCCCTAAGCCCTGTGCCCTAGGATAGGAGCACACCCTGCAGTGTGTACCTGTTATTTGTCCATTACCATATGAATGAATGCTACGAGTACATACTACTACTGCAAGTCCAACCCGGTTCCCTTCCCAGGGTTGACAGATGTAATCCAGTCCCGACGCATTTGTCAGAGCCGCCAGAGCTTAGGTGTCATTGATCAGCCCGTTAGAAATTTCTTCAATTTTTTTATTTACTTTTTTTTTTGCTCGCTGCGATATGTTGCAACATGCCCTTTCCCCTCGAGACGAGGGTGACATTCGGTCGTGCTTGGCAGGTTCTCAATGCGGGGGGAACAAAGTGTGCCTCAAATCCGGGGTAGGTTTAGGTTCGCGGAGAAGGGACAGGACAGATGGAACCTACTTAGCTAAATAGCCTTCCTAGGAAAATTATCCGCGGGAAGTTGGAACTGTAGGATGGGTCGTGTGGTAGCCTGTTACATACTAACCTAGTTACTACCGTCTTGTAGTATCCTATTCGTCTATCCCCCAAGAACAAGGGGTCAAGAATAAGATAGCGGTCGGGTCCAGTTACTCCGTCTGGGCGTGGGGGAAAGTGCTACAGAGTACTGCGTACAGGCTGAGGCTACGGGGCCGGTGCAACCCCCGACCTTTACCTAAGAGAATACCCCCAGCGATTCCCCATCCGGATATCCGGGTAGACGGCAAATGCAGAAAGGTAGTACAGTACAGTATCCTCCGTACAGAGTTTTCCCCGTTCGGAGGACAGTCATGCTATAGCCACACACCGGCTGGACTCTATACACACGCACCCAGCCCCAACGCCAAGGCGAGCGATCCGCGATCCACAGCTTCTGGAACAGAGTCCCCTGGCCCAATGGGCGCTCGAAGGCGCATCATGCTGACATCACCGTCCCAAGGATGCGGGGCGTGCCGGAGTCCGAGATCAGATTGGCTGTTCAAGGACTAAGGGGGCTAAGCCTTCCAACAGTCATACATCGATAAGGACATGCGAAACAATATACGGAGTAGAGTAGGAGACATTGAGGATGGAAGGGGGGAACCTGATCACGCCAGATATGAAAAAAAAGGGGTGGAGGGCAGTGGGCATCGACATGCAAGTCAAAAAAAAAAAGCCTTGGCGGCGCCGGCAGAGCAGCGGCGGAGTGGACACTCGAGGCCCGCATTTTGCCTTTTAAGGCGGTGCTAAGCAACTACTGCTTCCGTAGAAACTCTTTTCTATCCAGTTCTCGGTGAGGGCCGAATAGTCACCCCCGTTCCACTTTTTACGTCCCGCTTTGAGGCAATTGTTCTTTTAGTTAACTAACGAACTGGAGCGATTTGTTTGACTAATGGTAGACCAAAGCTGAGGGACGGTGATTTTCGATTTTACTTCTGTAGTACAGTATCCATCTTGCTAGATCTATTTTGGCTTACCCCATACTCGCGGGTGCGACCAAGTGGTCTTTTCCCACTTCTCGTCCCGATGTGGTAATCTAGCCTCCGCCGTCTCCTGTAAGCCCGTCTTAGCCTCTGCGCGGCGGGGGTGAAAAAGGAAATGGCCCCTGGCGGTTGGGGCGATCGACGTGAGTCCGCTTAGCCACTAAATAATCAGGACGGAGTTCATGCAACCGTATGATTCGCGATGATTATCACAGTGCTTTATCGCAAGTACGGAGTATATACATACTGTGCGTATGGAGTACTATTGAACTTACGAGGAAGTATGCATACCACCACATCGAGTATTCCATGGTCCTGGACAGAACAGACACGGAGGTACATACTCCAAGTACAGAGAATAGCTTGAAGATAGGACAGGTCACCACAGTGATATCGAGCAGGCCGCTTATCTACCAATAATAAAGACCGCCAAGTGCACCACCACTTTTGACTACGAGGAGTTGTCGAAAGGAGCTGATAAGCCGGGACAAACAGCTCTTAACTCGGATCCAGCGCCTGCAATGACTGGAGAAATCGGGATTCAGCACGATCTAGAAACGAATTCCGGATCCAAGCTGGAGGGAACAAGCAAACAACGATTACTGTAGATGTTGCTTCATGCTGGCCACTCTCGCTTTCACGTGTTATGCATATCCTTGCCAACAGTGCGGGCATCAGCTACCAGCTTACTAGGGGCGGCTTTTTAGCTCCCTTTACGGATAGGTAGAATTACCCCTAATCAACAATCAATTAATTCGTGAAGAAACTACGGAGTACTCTAACGAAATAGAGGGGCCTGGACCCGATCCCCACAGTTCTCCACGAGCACCAGAGCTCCTGGTTGGGGAAGACTTTCACATGTCAAAGTAGTACGTACCAGGGAAGCAAAACACATGTGTCTGTCCTCTGTACGCTGCAGCTGTCCGCCAGCGACATGTGCTTATCTCGATCAATGCGCGCTGTTATCAGTGGCTTCTTCAAACTTCGTGGTTCAACGGACGTGGCTGCTTGTCGTTGCACTCAACCCCGATCGGGGGGGGGTCACCATGTGTAGTGCCGAGGTTTTTTTTTTTCGGGGGGCCGACGTGAGATTGTGCGGTTATTGGGAGGATGATGCCATTAGAGTACCCTAGGATCTTGTTCAGCCCGCAAGATCTTCTTTGTTGAGGGTGATGTGCGATTCGGATCGTCGCTGTCATTATCGTCTGATCGGTGCGCTGATGATCATGTGGTTATTTATCCCATTGGGCATGAGATGATGAGAGGGAGAGATAGAAGCTTACTGTTCGGGATATACGCCGTATTGAGTAGATACCACCGCTGGTGAGCAGCTTATCTGCGTTGAATTGGGATACTGCTTCCAACTTGCTGGTTGGTATGTATCTATGGGGAATTGTACTTTGTGCTGGAAGCACGGACGGTTTACAGTATAGAGTCCATGTACTCTATACCGCACTGCTCTAATATGGCGGAATGACGACAGAGGTCACTCTCTCTAGTCTAGCTCGAACCCTCGCTACTGCAGGTACACACTACACACCGGCCCATCTACGTACTGCACTCCATATACTAGTAAATACTACACTAATACTAGGTATAGGGCTGGGATCAAGGTCGCAATGCAAGTTGGCCGGTCTGGTCGGAAAAAGTCGGAAGGTAACAGTCGAGGGGCAATTGTGCCATTCTGGTATGGTTGCGGGGCTTAGTGTGGCTTTTTTTTTCTTTCAGTCTCCACGATGATGGTGGAGGCTGACCAGTCTGGAGTACTCATCCGCAGAGAAGCCTGTGATTACCCAGGAGTCTTCATCCGGTTGTCGTCAGGAACAGGCCATCCACGGATCGCAGTCCCAGTTCTTGTAGATCTCTCGTGGCGCGTTGGTCCTACTATACAGTGGCCATAGTGTACAGTCGTAGTGTTGGAGTATGCAAATTTTCATCGTTATCGGAGCAAGTACTGTAATAAGCAATCGCGACGCCAAAAAGGAGCCAACCGGTGAAGCCTTTTCAAGCAGGTTTACCTAACGCCCACGGGGTTCTTCCGCAAGGCCAGAATTTTTTTTTTCTTTCTCCTCCACTTTTGAAGGTTGGAGACTTGGAGATATTCCGAGCCGCGGGCCCGGCAACACTCGGCGACTCAACTCGGCACGGGAATGCCGACTCTCGGGCTGCTGGCGTGCTCGTGAGCGCGACCCTGTGTGGCTCTTTTTGCTCTCTGCGCTTTCATCTCCACACTTGGGGACTCGGGGAGTTGACTAGTTCCTCTCTGGCTCTGGCTCGGATTTTCAGCTCTCCCGGTCGCTGGCCCAGTCTGACTGTTCCCGAGATTCTTCCGAGGCTCGAGGCTCGGTGGCCACCCGCGGGTTTGCCCCTGGAAGGACGAAAAAGCAGCCTACCAATCCCGCTTGGTTCACTTCGGACCTGCTACTTACAGTAGATACCACAGTATCATGTTCGTCTTACTTTCCTTAATTGCGAAGACTGGTATATCCTCGAGCGGAAAGCCTCCCCCACTCGGATACAGGCGGTTGCGGTGGTTCGACGGTCCCCCACTACAAAATCTCTTATTCCCTTAGCCGATGGGCGGAGGTTTCCTTGTCCTCTTCTCCGCATCAAGCGGTGTGGTTTTTTTTTTCTTTGCGGGACCTGGTGGTGCCCTACTCCGTAAGGCTGTGGAGGGGCTCTATCTCGCCAAAGTTGTACATGAAGTGCGTTGTATGTACATACTCGCAAAGCGCTGGCACTTGCTTCCTGTGACGTATGCACTGCAAAAAAGCCAGTGTCCAAGTCATACTCGCAACACATCTATATTCTATACACAAGCTTATCCAACTTCTCAATTCACAATCTCCTTTCTATATGGCCTGATCTAGCTCTCCCCCCCTCTCTCATGACTCTTATCCTCTCCTGTCAGCTATGATCTCTACCTCGGAGCAATGTCCGGCCGCACCAAACGCGGACCAGGCCGTTCTGCCGTCTGCCTCCGCCCCGAAAAGCGGAGAATCTGCCTGAGTTCAGTGCGCTGCGATCAGCTTCCTAGCTCACTACAGCCATCGAGCACGGCATTGCTCCTGTCCAATTCCTCTCAAGTATCCATTGACACCCTGAGTACCTATTCCACGCTTTCCAGCGGGCCCTTCACACCATGGCACCCCCGCGCCAGCGCACCGCCGCTATCGTCGACGACTCGAGGTCCGAAGCCTCCAGCGGTACGCGAGAGCTCAAGACCAGCGCGCCAAAGAGTCGAAAGACTGGCACTGCAGCTAAGGAAAAGGCCTCCGTGACAAGTGCACCCTTAACCACCGAGCAACCCATCGAAGAACAGCCCAGGGTACGTACAGCACCAAACAAAAGCTTCGAAGGGAAAAGGAGAGAAACCTCGCCCGGAAAGCAACGACGTCAGAAGCAAAGAAAGAAGAAAGCCACATTCAATGCCTCAAGCAAACAAACCCCTCGCTAACAAATAAACCCTCTCCTCTCACTAGGTCCCCTGGTCTGATCTCCCCCTCGACATCCTCCACGCCTACCGTCACGTCCACAAACTCCCCACCCCCTCCGCCTTCTCAACCGATTACTCCCGCCTCATCCTCTCCCAAGGCGTCGGCCTCCGCTCCCCAACAGCTCTCGCAGCCCGCCGCGCCCAATCCTCCCGCTCGTCTACCCGTGAGCGCAATGGCACAACCACACAAGACGCCGAGTCCTCTTCCTCTCTGCACCGCATCGTCGGCCAAGACCGCGTGAGCAAAGACCAGTTTGCGCTCGTTGTACGGAAGCACTTTAACAGCGCGGGCTTGTCTGAACAAGAGTCTATTGCGCGGTTCTTGTATACGGTTCGTGAGGAGCGGAGAGGTCGTCAGTTTAGACTGCGGTTCCAACCTTAACCTGGGGGTTGTTACGTGATCGACGACGACTTCTTGGTTGAGGGCTGTTTGGGGTGGCATTCGCAGTTGTTCTGCGTTTATGTGACGTCTTTTTTATGATACCCATTGGCGTTTTGGGATGGGGTGTTTCTTCTCTTCTTATGTGTGCTGGATTCTGGGTTGAGGCGTTTTGTGTACAGATTCTTTCTGGATGCCTCCCGCAATGTATAGCTAGCTGGGGCGGTATTATTAAGAAGGAGATATATTGTGAGAGAATGCAGGATTTGCTATTACTCCATTTCACATGTGCAGTATTCTACCCATGTCTGGTTTAATAGCCTGACTTGTTAACAATTGTTGTGTCGATGCGGAAATGCTGATACCTCTCGTGTCTTATATCAGGCTAACCATTGTATCTCGAAAGACATTGTCTTTTCTTATTATTAGTCTTTCATTTGATCCTGCATCAAGTTTGCAGCATCTGTGCCGTTCACACTTTAAGTAGAGGAAGGGCCTGGCGGCCTGTCGTTGATTGTACTAGGGGGTTAAGACATCCCCAGAGAATGTGTGGACTCGACTTGAACAAAGTGAACTTAATCTATCGGGTCAGCATTTTTTCCCGATCAAACAGAAGTGTATTCTCATCCATTTCCTTCCAATTGAAATCCGACGTGATTCTCACCCATCCGCTCGCCTCATTTGATAGATATCTCATCACTCCAACCAGCCACCCATACGTATGGTTGTCAATACCCACACCGCAACACGCTTTAGGAGGCATACATCAACGGTCTCATTGACTCGGACTATATTCCCCAAGCCTACATACCCAGCTGGTTCTGGACTGATGCGACTCCCGCTACCCCACACCAAAACTAAACCCCGGATCTGACCCGGTCATCAGAATAACTCTCCGAGTCTCAAAGCTACCAATCAGATCGACTTTGTCCCCAACTTCAAACTGCAGTGACTTACATGACTAGTGAATTAGGTTCATTGGGGCACCAACTCCGGGGAGATCTGACCCCCGCATTTTATGTATTGCGAAGGGGGCTGATTTAAAGGCAGGCCGAGTGGACTGGAGATGTATACACATTGATCCAGTGTCGTGCTTTGATATTGCATATTGCATATTGCAGCCATTGTATCGGGATCATCATGTTTGAAGAGCATATTCAAGGCAAGGCACTGCGTCGCCTTGCTCGGTTCAGTTGCTCTGTGGTATGGTCGCTCACTGTGAACCAATTAACAACACAATCGCTGACCATTGATAGGGTTTTCTGATCGAGGGCTACCAAGCAGGCGTTCTCGGCGGCGTACAAGAGACGAAGCCATTTCAAAATGCCATTGGGGTGAGAGTTCACTTGAATCTTTCGCTGGTATTAGTTTCTGACATTACTAGAATCCAACGGGAACGGAGACGATTCCCATGATTGCGTCCTCGTATACCCTGGCAGCGGCATTCATGTCATGCGTCGTCATGCTCATTGGAATGCCTCTTGGTCGACGTAGGTGCATCATTATCGGGAATGCGTTTATTGCGGTTGGCGGCGTTATACAAGCAGCATCGTTCTCGGTTCCCCAGATTATCGTGGCTCGAGTTCTTTGTGTAAGTTATCCATTCCACTGTTTTGCTGCGCGTAGCTAATCAGCGTACAGGGATTTGGTATTGCAGTGAGTCAGGTCAAACCAGCTACGATTTTTCTTTCTTAATCTAATGAGTTTGCAGTTCATCACTTGCAATGTGCCGATGTACATGGTATGTACTCAGTGACCCTCTTGTCTCCTCCCACTAACGTCCGCAGTCTGAAATGAGTGTCGAAGCGCGAGGACGTGGACCCGAGGTTGCCATAAACTGCTCGTCCTTGCTATTTGGCGTTGCCCTATCCTACTGGATAACATTTGGTTTTACTCGGATGACGAACCAAATCTCATGGGTATGCATCTAGTCCAGTCACTTCCGAATCGTTTTGATCATAACTAACATCACGTATCAGCGCATGCCGATCGCCTTCCAAACTATATTTGCTGTTCTTTCCGGCGTATCAATGGTCTTCCTACCAGACACCCCTCGGTGGTACTATGCCCGCGATAACATCCCCGAGGGCGACAAAACCCTCTCCCGAATCTTCGGCGTCTACCGCAAGGGCGTCACCAATCACGGCAACGTTCCGGAAATCCAAGTCGTGAAACAAACCATCATGGAGAACTTCCACGTCGAAGAAGAATCTAGTAACCGCTTGACCCTCCTGAGTCTTATCTGGGACAACACTCCACTCCGTGTCGGACGACGAGTGCGAATTTCTTTCCTGATTCTCGCCATTCAGCAGTCAATGGGGATCAATATGTTGGTCTACTACATGACGCTCATATTTACGAATGTCGGTCTGTCGGACTTCCTCGCGTCTTTGTTGGCGGCTCTGTCTTTGACTGTGCAATGGGTTGGTTCGGTGTTGTGCGTGGTCACCATTGAGCGAATCGGTCGTCGCCGGATTATGATGTGGACCGCGTGTATAGAGACATGCTGCATGCTCATTTTCGTGGTCTTGAATACCCTCCAGCACAAGACTGTCTCGACGCAATGGGCTGCAGCGATGATAATGTTCCCTTATATGTTCTTTTATGGATGGGGATGGGTGGGTTGTCCATGGCTTTACGGGCCAGAGGTATGTATACAATCTTCGGATAGAAGTACGGACTCACGAGTGACTGACGTTATTTCAATAGATTGCCCCTCTTCGTTATCGACATATTGGATCTGCAGCCGGACTTCTTGGAGTGTGGCTGTTTACTTTTCTCACAGTCTTTGCAGGAGGCATTGCGTTTGAGACTATTGGGGCGAAAATCTGGATTTGGCCACTTATTTTCAACGCCATCGCTTTCCTCTTCGTGTACTTCATGTGCCCTGATGTGAGTTGTCACAGTATTTTTGACAAGACAGGACTAACTGTTTACAGCCGACCAACAAAACACTTGAAGAGGTCGATGCACTTTTCGCTAAGGATGAAGCCGTTCTCCACCGCCTCAACCACGTTGTCGAAGAGAAGCCAAACGTGCAGGAAATTGAAGAATCTACTTAGGCAGTATAAGCGGGTTTTACGGAGAGACTTGGCTCTTTCGGTACTCTGTCATGGCGATAACGGATGTATTTGGAGGGCTAGAACGGGCGGATAGAAATTGACGAATGATAATGGAAATTCTGGCTATCTGGAAGCTTTATTTCTTTAAAGCTGACTCTTGGGAAATTCATTTTCTAGTCTCATAATTCCCTGAAATGGTCAGTAAGTCAAGTAAGACATGTAGAGGACGAGATTGCTAACCTCCTGGATGCAAGTTGCTACAAGCATTCCATCTTTGGTCCACATCTTCTGATGAATCAACCCCCTCCCATTGGCTGCCCAGCTAGTCTGTACCTCCGATAACAACCACTCATCCACCCGAAGCCTCTTCACGTCGTGGAAGTAAATTGTGTGGTCCAAGCTGACCATCGTGGCAACCCTTGGAGTAGAAATTGCACCACTACGATGTTCAACTTCGAAATGGGGCCGGTGAATCGCCGTATGAGTCTCGGGCGAGGTAAAGAGATCTCGTTTGGTGGGATAGAATTCGGTGACTGGTGCTTGAATAAAATCCCAGATTTCATGAGAGTGTGGTACTGCCGCTAGAAAGTAGCTATCTGACATGAAAGCCAACGCAGCTACATGGATAGGGTCACCCTGCTGGACAGAAACTTCTCCTCGTGCTCGGATCCATTGATGGACCCGTTTATCCTGAGGATTATGTGATGCTCCCCTGAGTACGCCCGCACTTTTATTGAGATACGGAGTCTCGGCTGAAATCTCACGGAATTCACTTGAATCAGGGACTTCTTCATCCTGATGCAGCATAATCGCTGGTGGCGCTGTCGAATGTGCTAGGCTATGAGATACACCCACTGTTTGTGGCATGGTAAAACTAATTGTTGCAAGAAAAATCGGGCGATTGCCCTGAATCGCACGAACAAATCTCGTACAAAAGCTTCTCCCATCTCGCACTCGCTCCACGTGATATGTAATCATTTCTTCAGCATTGCCTGCAAACACAAATGAACAATGCATGGAATGTGCGTCAAATTCTGCCGGGACAGTCAATTGTGCTGAGCGGAGACTCTGAGCAATGGCTATGCCTCCAAAGATTCCGCGTGAGCCAGGTCGCCACAGCTTATTCTGATTGCGGAATACATCTGGTTGAGAATTTGAGAGGGGGATAACTTCGATGTGCTTTTGGATCGGCGAGGGGTCCATCATGGGGTCACTCTGTATGGGCGAAGAATATCTCTTCATGGAATTGGATGCAATGTTTCAATTTTCGACTACAGTTAGATTCATATGAAAATACCTTTGCTGATTGGATCCAAGTAAAGATCAAGTGAGCCAAGCTTTCGGAATTTTAGATTGCTGGGAACGGACATTCGGAACTATGACTAGGTTGACTTATTCTCCGCAATGCGGTTGCTAAATCTAAACTCCGGTCAAGTGTATCCTTATGACTGAGTTCAAAGTGCAAAATTTGATACAATAACAATTTGGAGATTACCCTAGGCTACAATGCATTAAGGGCTTTCATTCGTACAATCAAATCTTGATTCTTTTGATCTTTGTCACAATTATCCCCAAATTTGTCTACCTGGCCTGTGCAGCCTTCTGCACGACATAGACAAAATGCCCGCACTCGACGGTATTCACGTCCTCGAGCTGGCCGGTCTGGCCCCCGGCCCCTTCACAGGAATGATGCTAGCCGACAACGGCGCCAGTGTGATCCGGGTTGACCGCGTCAAACAACCTCATCAGCCAAGTCCCGACGTTTTAATTCGAAACAAGTCCTCAATCAAGATCGACCTGAAGTCTCCCGGAGGCAAAGATCTCTTTCTTTGTCTCGTCAAACGCGCCGACGTCCTTATCGACCCATTTCGGCCGGGTGTCTTGGAGAAACTCGGCCTGAGTCCGACCGAAATACTGCTGAAAGTCAACCCTCGCTTGATCGTGGCTAGATTGACTGGGTTCAGACGAGATGGCAAATATGCCAATATGGCAGGCCACGACATCAATTATCTGGCCGTATCAGGTGTTCTGTCAATGCTTGGTTCCTCGGCACAAGTTCCCCCACACAACCGTCCCCTCCCACCACTTCCACCAGGAAATATACTTGGGGATTTCGCGGCAGGAGGACATATGTGTTTCACAGGAATCATGTTAGCCCTTTTTGCCCGTTCCAGGACGGGGAAAGGACAGGTCGTGGAATCGAATATGGCAGATGGAGCGAGTTACCTTGCAACTATGCCGCGCATCTCGATTAAAATCCCCGGCCAATGGGACGAGCCCCGGGGACACAATCTTTCCGATGGAGGATGCCCATACTACTATGTCTATGAATGTAAAGATGATGGAAAATACTTCGCCGTCGCCGGATTAGAGCCGCAATTCTTTGATCAACTGGTGAAGGGACTTGGTCTGGAAAATGAGGAGTGGGTGAAGGATCGAGAGAATCGTGCAAGATGGCCCAATATTAAAGCCGCATTTGAGAAGCGCTTTAGACAGAAGACGCGGAAAGAGTGGGAGAAGATCTTTGATGGAAGTGATGCCTGTGCCACTCCGGTTTTAACTCAGGGGGAACTGGAGGCTAGTGGCTATGAGCTGAGGCCGGGTGTGACGTTAACCGACACACCGGCTTTGCCAATTGGTGAATCTGGATGGAATGTAGAGATCTTACAGCCCGGTGAGGGTGGTGAAGAGGCATTGACCGAGTGGCTGGGGTGGAAGAGGGGTCGTGATTACACCACAACAGGTAACGGGGCAATACTGGCAGCACCTGTGCGTGGTTCGATCCGGTACCTACCCTCCTGCCGTATATAGTAATTTCCTGCCTTGATGCTTAATTACATACCCAGACTACATACACATACGTTTTCTACACTTATCATTTCATTTCTGGCGCCACGCTCTCCTCGCGCTATCGATCAATAATACTATTGATATATCCCGAGTAGATAGTCAAGTGGTTGGCTGGTATCGAACCCCATATATTAATTGCCTTAATCGATGTGAAATCTATTGTGGATGACCTGATGGTAGCGCTGGCTATGTAATTCAACCGATTCCTGCCCTCTCTCAGCCGGCGTGGTAGCCTATTCGAGGATATTCGTCCGTTTGAGAGACCTCAAGCTATTGTCGTATGGTTCCGAGATGAATAGGTAACGGTACGAATTTACCCAATAGAATGAAATGCTGACCCGCAACCTCCCAGCATGGCAAAATGGACCATGATCGTCCCAATCTACTTACCAACTTACAGTCCATCCTCTAATATCCAGAAGTTCTAGATCATGACGGATAATACTGGTCTACCTGCGTTGCTATCGCTAACTGTGTGATCGGCACAGCCGCTTTCGCCATTCGCTCGAGCTCAACACGTTTCATCTCTTCCTGATTCTGTATGATATGGTTAACAGAAGTCATCGGTCACAGTCATGTCGTCTTCCCCAGACACAGGTATCAAATGGCAAGGAGGCTGGACATGTAGGAAAACGTACCTTCACCCGTTGTGGTGAGAGTAACTCACGCGGAGCTGTAATCTTCCACTCGGGCAAACCACCGGCCCTACCTAGGTCTCGAAGAGTCTTTTGTTCCACGAGACTGTATTCCTTGGGATCCGAACGGTTGAAGTTGAAGGGTCCCTTGAGTGCAACGGGGGGATTCGTGATAACACGCACGGCTTGGAGGAGGTTTCGCGAGGCAGAGTGAAGCATCAATGGGTGTAGGAAATACACATCGCCGACCTTGCCAGTCGCTTCGTGGAAAGATTCTTGGCGTGTGGCCTCCGGGTCGCTGACCCACTTCATCCATAGAGTGCGGCGATTCGGACCTTGGATGTCCGGAGTGCCGTTGGGCGCGAGGAACGGTGTAGTTCCGCCTGGATGCTCATACTGTATTACCTATGCGTTAGTACACCTTCCATATCTTGATCGAAGCATACTGAGTCTCAGTACCCGTGCGGGGCAAAGAGTAGGGGCGGACAATATACCAATTTCTTTGCCACCAGGCCGATTCCATCCGTGCAAATAACCGTGCCACCACCCTTTGGCTCAATGTCACTGAAGAGAGGGATGACTAGGAGTGCCTGCTCTCCACTGTCCAGAAAATGCACAAACCAGTCTCCGTCATTATGCCAGCCATCAAGCGTGCGAAAGTCCAGCGGGTCTGTGGGTTGAAACTCTGGCTTTCCGAGGTTGACAATCCAATTGTCCCTCCACATTTTGCACCAGTCCGCCATCCTATCTTCGCCGCCAACGAGCTCGCACATGACATGCCATGCCTTCGGTGCAAATTCCTCGACACGTACAGAAGTGTGGCCTGGCATGTTCAGCCTCTCAGCGGGCCACGTGGATTTGTCGTCGGGAGAAGCTCCCAACCGAGTCCATAGCGATGAGGTGAACTGTTCGGCAGCCTCGCGGGAAAAGCATCCTTCTACCTTGATGAACCCATGCTCTAGCCAATGCTGCTTCTGTTCCTCGGTGAGGTGGAACTGGTCCGCATTTGAAGAGGGCATGTTCATTAGCTGCCAAGCGACGGGAACTGTGCCTGCTCCAAGTATATGACTGTGTTTAGTCTTAATATCGAGCTAAACGCTAACAGTAAATCCCTGTTTATTATATACCCTGGTCAGAGTCACGCTGTTCTCCATGGCCCTCAGCCTTTGACTCCGCACCAAACGCACCGACAGTGGGTCCAGGAAGATTAGACCCCGTGCAGCCCAATTATCCGGATAAAATCCGGGGGTTTATCCGCTTCCAATATGTACTTGAAAGGATACATCTGTTACTATTGCGTAAAAAACAAAGTATCAGTCTGTGCATCTTATGTTGACGGCTGTTACGGGATTTTCAGAATGTGGCCTTGCGTTGAAGGGAGCTTCCGCAAATGCGTTGCTATCCTCTTACCATGTCATATCGGTGTAGGCACTACAAAGTTATGCGCCAAAATCAAATCTTGTAAATAAATTCGCGAGTATAGCAAGATGTGCGACCACTCGTGGGTGACAATACGCGTAACCCAATGAGAAAGCTCGGGGAAGTTCGGACAGGCCAAGGCATGAGAGAGAGCAGCTGATAGTATCCCTGGCCAAGTTACCCCTCAGTCTCGATACGATCTTCAATGATCGCATTATAACGGCGGATGTAGCCGCCACTGGACAGGCTTTGCCGACAGCCGCTCTTAGTTCTGATGAGCTCTGATTTGTCATCGTCACATCTGTCGGATCCCGACTCCATCTCCAATTCTCCATCCATGGGGCACAATGGTTTGTTTTCCTCGGACTATTATGGCATTATTACTCCCTGCCAAAATAAACACGGCCCACTTCCCGTAACCAAAAGAACCTGTCACCTGGGTTTTACTATGCTGCGTAGTGACGTAGTTCCAATTACGAATCGACACTAGACTGGAATCGGCGATAATATCACGTTTCGCACTTAGAATGAACGAGATGCTGAAACTCAGGTAAACAAGAAGGAACACAGCTTATCATATTCGGTTCCAAATTGAGGCCGTGGATGTTATCCGTGTGTACATAGAGTTCAAAGCTGTAGAACGTTGAAAATTTGATTTATAAATACTTTTGTGGTCGATAACTACTGGGTGATCCAGAGTGACAATCCAAAGCTCTAGGGATACGATCTAAAATAAATTGAGAAAGACATTTTAAAAGAGAAAATGCTGATGTGTATTTAGTTATAACTTTTCTCTTTTATTCGACTCAATATAACTTGTCATATTTTGACTTTTCACGATTTTGAAACTGAAGAAGAGCAAATACCAAGAGCAATTATTATCCGTTCTTGGATGCAGATATTCTCCACCGTATATACAAAGAAATTTCTCAGAAAGAAGACTTCAAATTCTCTTTATCAAGGGCTCTCTTTGATTACAGATTGACTGGGAGACCATCCTTTGCCTTCAGCGCGGCAATCACCGCTTCGCAAACTCTCACAGCATTCAATCCATCCTCTCCTGAACAACGTGGACTGGCTTCTCCTCTAACAACCTCAGCCAGATGCTCTGCTTGCTGTTGGAATGGGATCTCATCCGAAGACTCTAATTGTTCTCTTCGCATGGGTACATTCCAGCCGAGTTCTTTCCCTGATTTTGTCGCGATCTCAGCATCGTACTTCCATAGAGTACCATCAGGCTCTGTCAAAGCCCCATCTGTCCCGAAGATCCTATAGGAATCAACTTTCACAGGCGCTGGTGGGTAAAGTGGATTATCGCCTGTTGCCGCCTCCCACCCAAATGGGCTGGATACGTTGTCGCTAACAATGAACGTACCCACCACTCCACTTGTAAACTGAAGCATAATTGCTGCTCCTTCTTCTACCAGATCATCTCTTGATGTGTGTGTATGTGACCGGTGACTAACAGTCTCAATTGCCCACACTCGAGCCACCCTTGTGCCTGTCAAGTAGTGCAATACATCGATGTCGTGGACAAAATTGGTCCAGATAGGACCCCCGCCAGCGGAACGAGAAGAGCGCCAGTCAGCGAAAGTAAAATAGCCATCATTCTTTTTGGCTGTCCAGAATCCAGATATTGCCGTAATCTCACCGATTTCACCTCTCTCAATGACCTGACGAGCACGCGCCACGGACGGGTGGAAACGACGGTGGTGACCAACAAGAAGTTGACAAGACTTTTGCCGAGCAAGCTGAACAAGCCGTTCCCCGGACTCCGAGTCTGTAGAGAATGGCTTCTCCACGAGGATTGCTTTGGGGGAAGCCCTCTTGAGAATATCTTCGGTCACCTGGACGTGAAGACTCGATGGGACACAGATTATGTATGCATCAGGATTTCGAGAAGAAGATCTTAAGAGATCCTGTATTGATGCGAAATAGGGTACTCCGAGCTGTAACGCCAAATTTTGACCAGGAGGAAAAGGGTCGATTAGAGCGACCAGAGCGCAATTAGGAGATGAGAGAAGATACTGTGCATGGAGAGGCGCGATTGTGCCTCCCCCAACGAGAGCAATTGTAACTTTTTCACTTGTTGAAGCCATGATGTACGATAAATTCACCTAATCTCGGAAAAAACTTCTTCATTTATATGACCTCTATCTAGCCTTTTCCTTCTGACTAAATCCGTGAAGTATTCACGGAACATGCCGGTGCATAAATAATTGACCGGAGCAACCCCGCAACTCTTAACAGAACTCAAACCTCCTCTTCAATTCAATGGCCTACCTGCGCTCTACTACTCCTCTCAGATATTCATCAATTTTGAGAATGGATGTTTTGCAGGAATCTTTTCAGTATGGCGCCTCGCCTCTGACCTCGTCATCTCTTTCATCGCCTTACAATGCCTACCTCTTTGGCAGTCATATCTCCAAGTCACTGTCACCCCTCCTCCATGGCATACTCTTCCGATCCTCGGGTGCGTCATGGAACTTCCATCTAGTTCAGACAACCGAAAAAGACAAGTTTCAAAACAAGCTTGCTAGTCTGGAAACGATAGGGGTCTCTATAACAATGCCAAACAAGGTCACCTTTGGGAGGCTGTTGGATGATTTGACCGAGGCAGCTCAAGTAATTGGCGCAGTCAATACGTCCTTCATCCGCCTCGACCCCTCTGGAAAACGTCGTTACATTGGCACAAACACAGACTGTGTGGGGATCCGTGAGGCCGTTGTGCAGTATGATCCTACTGCTATCTCTACCGCAAATGGCAGACCCGCAATGGTGATTGGAGGGGGAGGAGCTGCACGAAGTGCTATATATGCGTTGTGGAAGTGGTTCTCACCATCAGAGATCTACATTGCCAATCGACTCAAGTCAGAGGTGGACGACATCGTGAAGCACTTTACTGCAGCAATGCCTGGTATTCAGCTCCGATACATCTCCGATGTCGCAACCGCCCAGTCACTTCCTGCCCCGACGATCATGGTGAGCACAATCCCAGATTATCCACCATCTGAGCCAGGGGAGGTTATTTGCTGGCAAATCTGCGAAAGGGTCTTTGAGAAGGCTGAGAAAGGTCTATTGGTCGATATGTGTTATATGCCATCCCCGGAGACGAGGCTTGTAAAGGCAGCGAATAAGGCAGAATGGAAGACTATTATGGGTACGGAAGTGCTCGTACGAGTATGTGTTGCGCAGCAAATCCTATGGACAGAAAGGCTGCCGAAAGAGCAGGGTGTGAGTGAGGCCGTTGCGGCAATTACTCAACCCAAAAATGCTGCAAACCTATAGAGATCTAAATTTGCAATAGAATTGTTTTCTAGCATGAAAATGCAGTTGTTCATGATATCGTCTCACCCGCGTAATAGCCACAGGCTGCGCATGGGATCAGAAAGATCGGTCAAGGGGTAATGCAGATGGAATGACAGACACGGAAAATTAACTTCTGAGACCAAAATTGGCCGAAGTCGTGAATATGACTGAGTTTGCCTGTGCGTGGGCAAGTTCTCCACTTTGAGCGATACTCCACTTGATATTTGACCCCGCAAACCGGTGCGCAGATGAATACACCGGATGCCAAGAGGCGAGAAAAAGCATCTAAACTGTTGAAGTAAAAGAGAGACTACAATATAAGCTAGGAAAGGGCACGGCAAAGCTCATTTGAATGGCAGTTTGACTTCATCCGTCTCGCACAGCTTCCAAGTTCCACCATGGCTCACATTGCGCCCTTGGCTCAGGTATATTCTCCCATCGTCTAACCGAGATGAATGACGATAGCTAAGAATACGTAAGCCTATTACTCTAAAACTTTCTGGAAAGGTGATCAAGAACCGCCTTTATCGGACTCCTCTCAGTGAATACGCCGCAACCTTCGACGAAGACAACGTTGAAAACTGCGGCAAACCTCTCCCGCGCTATGCAGAACTCTACCAAGGAATGTGCACAGTCGATTCTCAAAATATACCAAATACAATTTAACTAACAGCCAGCAGAGCTTGCTGAGGGCGGAGCCGGCCTCATCTGTACCGGTAACATCCCGATTCACCGCGACAACCTCGAAAATTACAACAACGCCGTCCTCGATATCAACAACCCCTGGGACCCCGTGGAGGCCTTCCGCCCTGCCGTGCAAGCCGCAAAGTCCCGAGGCGCACTCTTTCTCCCGCAGCTGCAATTTCCTGGCCGGCAGGTACCCGAGTTTTTGAATGCAAACCCAAAGTCCTCCTCGAGTGAGCAGTTGCCGCCTTGCTTGAACAAGACATATGGAAAGCCTAGCCCGTTGACAAAGGGAGAAATTGAGGATCTGAGGAGGCGTTATGTCTGGGCTGCTGAGGTTCTAGCTAAGGCTGGCGCAGATGGGATCATTGTATGTCTAGTACACCCGAGTGGTCTATTCTGGGAATGATTATGAAGCTAACCGATATGGGTAGTTGCATGCCAGCCATGGATACATCATGCAGCAGTTCCTGTCACCATTGATCAACAAACGGACTGATGAGGTATGTTGATTGATCTTGTCTAATGTGACCATACTAACTTCTCGCAGTATGGAGGAAGCCTAGAGAATCGTGCCCGCTTCATCCTCGAGGTTGTGAATGCCATCAAAGAGAAGCTTCCGTCCGACAAATTCGTTATTGCTGCTAAGCTCAACTGCCAAGACTGTAAGTTTATTATAATGATATATTCCAGATATAGAGCTAATTGAAACAGTCATCGAGGGAGGTACAAGCTTTGCTGAGCAGTGTGTTGTCATCAAGTGGCTTGAGGATGCCGGTGTGGACTTCTTCGATATTTCCGGTGGAACGTATGCTTCCCCTGCGTGGAGAGGAAACATCATGAAGGAACTTGCGGAGCGACCCTCACAGAAAGAAAGGGGAAGGTATGTGCGCTCTAATGCTCGAGACAAACTTCTCGCTGACATCAAAAGCTATTTCATCGAATGGGCACAAGAGATGAAAAAAGTGTTGGTAAGTCATTGAATTCTTTCCTTTGAATCTTCTAAAAGTTTAGCGCTAATTCGTAACAAGTCGAGAGCCGTGATCGGAACAACTGGGGGCTGGAGAGATAGTCATCGAATGTCCGAAGCGGTTGAGCACGGTGATATCGACATGATCGGTTTGGGAAGACCTCTTCGAGAGGATCCATTCTTCGTGAACAAAGTGCTCCGGGGTGAAGTGAGAAGGAGCAATCTCTAACGGTACGACCATGTGTCTACTACAGAATATTCTCGCCTAAATTGGTATCCATAGACATAAATGGTGATTCTTTGAATTGGCTCGTGTACTTGAGTGTATATTTGTGGAACAAAATCGATTTATTCTCAGAATACATCACCAAAGCCCGGACCAAATATTTCTCGCAAGATATCCGTGAATCCTTCCTCACCAAGGTCTGTATCGGTGCTTATGGTAGCTGTCGTCAAAAATGGGTCATAGGTGGACACCAGGGGGTTATCCACCTGCGTATCCGGCAATATCTCCATCGAGCTAGTGCTGTTGGGCAACCTCCCCAAATGGTAGCTCGGATCGGAGTTATGTCCATCGCTAAATTGAGGTGCAACTGATTGTACCTCGGGAATGGGAACACCATCCTTCAGTAAAGATGCCCTTGCTCGCAGTATAACCAGCAAATGCTGGCCAAGTAGCGCAGCAATCCCAAATCGATGAGAAGGCGTAGTTCCAGCGCGTTTCAATTGTAATGCAACTTGTGCGAGCAATGCAAGTAGTTCAACCTCGTACCCCGGTCGCAACCCATGCAGATGTGGAAAGAGCTTGAGAGCTAGTACTGCAGCATATGAAATCATCGCCCATGTTGGAGAAAGCATGCAGTACATTGGTTCTCCAACCGTTGGGAGGTCACGCACAGCAACCTCGCAACAGTGTATCGCGGCATCAAAGCAATCCTCGCGAACTACATCTAGATCCCGGTCATTTTCGGCAGAGATGTTGAGTGCGGAGGACAGCGTCCACAACCGGTTGTGAATATAGACATAATAGAGGTAGAGGTTTGGTAGCTCTTCAGGCTGGGGTAAGATAGCATTTGGAGATGGCAGCCAGGTCGTTCGCCATGGCTCGAAGACTTTGTTAACAAGATCGCGCACCCAGTGAGGGTCCGAGTGCGGTATATTCGCTTGCCGTCTGATCTCGCTCTGAAGAGTCGCTAGGTGACGGCGGAGAAGGATGAATGCACAAGTGTGTTTATCGGTCGAGTCGGCTAGTGGGTGCACCCACCAATTCTCGATATTGCAGGTCAGCTCTGTCTCAGGGAAGGCATTTATTCGGCCACAAGCTGCACTATTCGCGCGTTCCCACAGTAGAATTCGTAACCAGGTGCGCTCCCTATTGCGAGCCAGTCGCTGAAGGTAATCTTGATCTTCAAAGAAGCGACTTTGAAGGGTGTCTGGATTCTTCTGGGCTATAGTTGTATCACGATTTCCGAAGGTGAGGAGGCGTTGAGATTGCATACCATCAGCCGTCCGAGATTGGGTACCGCAGGAATCGGGCTCTTTATGATAGCGTGTTCGGCACTCTTGATCAAGTCCTAACTCTGCTGCAACTCCAAAGGCATACATAGTATACAGCCATGATCGTTCTTCAGATAAAGTATTGGCAGGGGTTGCCGACAGAAGGGAGATATAGTACCCTTGGACAATCTCCACTGTTTTATAACCACAGGTATGAACGTGTCGAGACAGTTTTTCTCCATGGAGTCGTAGCCTCTTAGCAAGATGGCCCGAGCCATGGTCAAATTGTGCGGTAAGAGCAAGAATCCAGGTGAATAAGAGGGAAGAACGGGAGCGGACGTAGTCAGGTGTATGTAATACAGGATCGAGAATCCCATTGATCAAATGAAGGCGGGAGAAATAGCTGGAGATATTTAGTAACGCTACCCGGAAGCCTTTTTTCATGGTATACTAACATTGGGAATAGGGCGTGTGCCTCTTCCATCGACACCAATCCAAGATCTACTGGATCCAACTCCGGGCCAATATCCCGTGGAGGGTTTGCATCAGGCGATCGAAAATAATTCGAGTATCGGTCGGATTCTGTTGAAGGGGCGAATAATGCATCGATTCCACTTTCGAGGACCTTCCGATCCAGGTGAAGCCCCAGGGAAACGTACCCAGGTCGGTGAAGTAGGTATCGGCCTATGCCCTCTCCTGGTGACTCTCCAGGCACAGACTCAAAGTTTGAGGCTGGCGATACGTCTGTTGGGCCAACTTGGGTCTCTAGTGCCTGTGCGGCACCGGCAGCTTCTGCCATCAGAGCCAGTGGATTGCTAACTGGTTCCAAGTTCATATGCGAGGCGATAGTCTCAGGAGCATAGGGCGAAGTAGTCACATTTGGGCTTTGACTTGGCTCCACGGCTGGTGGCCCATTTGCATTGGCAGTACTTGAGCTGGGCGACAGAGGCTTTTGGAGATCAGACCTCCTGTTTTCAGTAGGCGCCTCCCAGTCGATATGACCTTGGTCATTTTGGTGCATGTTTGATAATAGGAGATCAAGCATTTCGGCTTCATCTCGACTCGGAGATACACTAGCAATCTCAGAAGCTTTATCCGTCGACACGCGGGCCTTCTTCAGCTCTGCCTGCATCTTGCGATATGCTTTTTCGAATCCATGATATCGACCAACCGCCCCTCGCTTTCGACCTAACGGGCGCGGGGATGGAATATTGCAGGTGCGGTTGGTGCGTCTGCAGCGCTCACAAGGCTCATTAGACTCCTTTGTTATACAGGATGCACTTGGCCGAATACATCGCATTTTAAGCCTCCGACATGCTTCGCAGGCTGCCGTCGGTGATGGTTGATGGGCTTGTTGCTTTGCCGTCGGTCGCTCGGAACTTGTCGCCATGGCTCAAGACTGCTTTCCATACGCGTCACACAACCGCAGGATATGAAAATCTGATAACATATCCAGTTGTCAGGCGAAAATGGGTCTGTTGTCTTCTCGCAGCGTGGTGGGTGGTGATGGAAAGTTCCGCATGGTGGCGTGTCTCTTGCGGGGAACATTGCCGGAAATTTGGGAGTTTCATTGGAGTCGCCGAAAGTTTATGGAGACCCCAGAATAGCCAAGATGTCTCATAGAAGGAGACGCAATTTTGCCTAGCCTCTCCCACATTTTAATATTCATGATCTCGGTCAATGTTAGATCAAGTTCAACCGAATCCTAGAAAACTTCTCAAGCTGTTGGTTGGAGTCCTACGGCTAGCCAGTAGAGCTGGAATCAGAGCTGCATGACGAGCGAATAATCTACTTTGAATCACTTTTCCTCTATGAATTGTTTTTAAATTGATGCTTAAAGTCTTTAAGGCGTGACATTATCATTCACCTCTATGAGATGTGCAGATTTGCTGCTTAGGGGGAGAAATTCGAAGAGTAAGCAAATTGCGTACCCTCGGCAAATACATCCTCATCCCCACCCGGCCATTAAATTAAGTAGCCGGCCAGTATCCACATCTGCAGGCATGACACTGTTGAGGGTGTCAAGCTCTCACGCGAATGCCAGAGACTGGTTGAGGTCTTAATAGATCTTTTGAAATGATACTCTGCCTTGTACCTTCGTGAATTGCCCTCCATCCCACAATGCCTTCTGTTAAAGTAGCCATTGCCACCAACTCCCTAGGGAAATCGGCTGCAGGTCATACAATCCATCGAAAGCTCGAAGTCGCCAAGTCAAACGGCTTCGACGGAGTCGAAGTTGCCTTCGAATGTGTTGATGCGCATGCAGATACCTTCTCATCTCTGGAGACTCGTGAGGATCGTTTGCGAGCAGCAGCCTCGGATATCTTCAATAAAGCATCGTCGCTGTCACTCTCTCTTATTGCATTGAATCCATTCGGTGCATATGATGGACTTGTGGAGGCTCGGGACGTGGAAGAACGTCTGGTAGAGGCAGATTTATGGTGTCAACTGTGTCGGATTATGCACATTCCGATTCTTCAGGTCAGTACACATTGTCAAATTTGAGGCGAATTGTGCTGATAATACCAAGATTTGCTCGGCCCTTTATCCCCTCCAAGAATCCAAGATCACTTCTGAACCAAAGAAGATTGCTGAAAATATGCGAAGACTTGGGCTTTTGGCGCAAAAGTATAACTTACGTGTGGCCTACGAAGCACCTTCATGGGGTATTCACAAGAACACCTGGCAGCATATCCAGGAGATACTCGACCTGGTCAACCTCCCAAACGTTGGCCACTGCCTTGATACATTCCACATAGCCTCAAAGGAGGCAGGCGACCCTTTCAATGTTAATTCACCCATCCGACCAGATGGTTTGCAGCGTCTCCGACATAGCCTGGAGGAGTTGAAACGAACGGTCGACCCTTCTCGAATCGTATATCTACAGCTTAGCGATGCCACTGTTGCGGACCCAAAGCAACGGGGGTATCCACGGAAAGACTTGAACCAGCCAAAATTCATGACTCAGTCCAGAAATTGTCGGATTTTTCCTTGTGAAGAGAATTACGGTGGAACTTTGCCTGCTGTACTGGTTGCCAAGACTATTCTTGATATGGGATACTCTGGCTGGGTATCAATGGAAGTTTTCCATACAGACATGTTCGACACGCGTTCTTCGTGAGATTCACCCCCTTAAATGCCACTTCGCTCTGCTAATGTCAGTAAGGGTGCCTGATCACTGGGCAGGTCGCGGTATGAGATCGTGGAATGAGCTCGCTACTCAATGTGGACTTAAGCGTCGTTAGTACTCTCAGTGGCCTTTTCAGGATTTTTAAGCTAACAACATACAGGTGGGAAGATATAGCTCGTTGATCATACTTAATCTAGGTGACAGTAGAACTGGCCCTGCGCGAGTCACGGGCGTAGCTCCCTGAGCAACCTGATCGCATATCCTGATCTTTAGGCTGTCGTGCATCTCTTATCAATATTCCTATTTCCTTAGTTCATTTCTGTGTTTATAAAACCTGACGCTCTGCCGAAGTTGATGAGTTGATGAGCGGTGTTCGTCCATAGTCCTCCGGTAACGGGATACACTGGAAGACTATTGCAAATGGTTCTACCGTTACAAATAAAATATGCCGACCTACCCAATTATCAAGCGTGCATCGGGATGACAATTTGATTTCTTGATTTCTTGATTATGGGGCAACTGGAGGGAACTGTGGCTGAATTGGCCGAAAATCGCGTTTACCCTGCCTTCGCTTAATATACTACAGTAGGTAGCACTTCTTATGACAAGGTTCCATACTATCAGCCAATGGCAGCGCTCCAGCTATGTAATCGAACCTTAAATGGGTGGAAACTACCTGCGGGTGATAGAAAGGTGGGCATGGATTTAGGAGGCAGTGGTTTGGCTACGGCGAGTCGGGATGAGATTTCTGTCACTGGCTCAACCGGATAAAAATTGATGATCAGGATCGTTCATCAAGCCCGTGGATCTCTTTTGGGTACGACCAGGCAGTGTTTCTATGCTTCCCTAAACACCAGTTCTGGTTTCACCATCCTATCTCTTTTAATACGATTTGCTTCCCAAATGTCGACAAGAGGATAATCAGAATGAAAAATAGCCAAAAATCAAGATCATGTCTCCCCTCTTGAATCAAGTACCAATCCTCAAAATTTAATTGCTCTTGGTTTACCCTTTAAGTGTTCGCCTTGGATGTAAACTTCTCTTTTTCACTGAGAAAGTTTTTGGTTTATGAATCATGTATGAATACTTCATAAAAGATCGAAATTACCTCTGCGGAAGTTCGGGCGGTTTTCCTCTAGGGCCAGCGTATACTATTTGTCCTTCTGGTCTCCATAGCTTATTTGAGGACTACTTCCGTTCTTTCTTTCATTTTCTCCTAATTAATTGGAAATTTAGCTCTAATGCAGTCTAGCGCCTTACAGACCGACATTCCATATTTTGTAGATATTGGCTATAATATTAGGACAATGTGTCAGACGGGTCATAACGATATCCCTACTTGTCTACAGTAAGTGCTATGAGTGAACGATGAATAAATTCCTAAGCAAGTATGCCTGTATGAGTACTTAAGGAACAAGGCTTGATGGGAAATACTGGGTGGAAACAGATTGTGATCATTAAGATTTGGTAAACAAGACACTTTATGTAGCGTCAGGAGTAGCCGTTTAGCACCGAGTTTATCGTTTTCTGGCGTTGCGGTGAATCGTTTCAATGTAACTTCTAAAAAGGTGATTGAAAATACAGGGTAGCTCTACATCTTCTGCACTATTTCATGTGTTATGAATGTGTAGCCTCCGTAATTTTAAATACACGATTCTACACACCTCTCCCTCCATCTACTTCCAAGGTTGTACCGGTAACAAATGAGCTCTCATCTGAACCCAAATACCAGGCTGCATTTGCCACGTCTTGAGGTTGCGTAACCCTCTTCATTGGTATAGATTCCACAACCGTCTGAAGTTTCTGAGCGGAGTCAGTATCATTTCCGATGGAATTTTTCAACCTAATTCTTATCAGCAATTGATTCTCTCACAAAATTAAGGCGGATCAGGACTTATCCTGAATTTGACCGACATTGAAGTATTTCCAACCGCGGGAGCAATGCAATTGAAGCGGATTACTGGAGCGTATTCGAGCGCCAGTGTTTTAGTGAACCCCTTTAGAGCTGTTGTTAGCTTCAAAGTCTATCACGCGGGACCACCTCGATGAATACCGTGACCGCCGCTTTTGACGCATTGTAAATCGCGAACCCCGGTCGCGGCCGGGTGAAGCCAGTGCTGAAAGCATGTGTGATTAGCTGCTTGTACGGTTGCTGCACTAAATAAAGATACCTTGTGATGTTTATGAAGACACCATGGCCTTGTTCCAGCATAAATGGAGCGAAAATGAAGGCGCTGAGGAAGATCGGCTGAGTAGCATCTAGTAAGCATTTAATGCAAAAACGGAAGATAGAATGACTTACCTTGACGTTCACATTGAAGATCTTCTCGTATTCATCCACGGACTTTGTGTGGAGTGGCTACAGTCCATGTTAGAGATTGCTGACTGCCACTTTGGTAAGGCCATACAGATGGATCGTGCGTAATTCCTAAAAAACGGTGTGAGCGTGTTAATTAACTCCAACCACAAAACTGAAGATATATACCTGCATTGTTCACGATGAGATCTACTCTTTGGTAGTCGTTTCGAATGATCTCCAATACGGCCTCCCACGTCTCTTGCTTTGATACATCACCGAAAACATACTGCAAGTTAGGATCGCCCTGAGCTTTCGCCTGTCCACCGGATTTATTCAGATCAATCAAAATGACTTTCCACCCCTCTTGACTGAATCTGTCTACGATAGCTGCTCCAAAGCCATCGGCACCACCTATAATCACTGTCAGTCTGCGTTCATGAAGGGATGAATTTTATCAGATACCTGTGACAATTGCTGTCTTGGGAGATTCCATTTCGATGCTGACTTTCAGTGCGTGAGGATGAAGCTGAGACTGTTGTTGTTGAAAGAAGGTTATGTCTGAAATGAGACTAATGGAAACTTGACAGGCTACACTAGGTACCTTAGATATTAACAATCTCATGCCAGATTTATCAGCCGTTCCTCCTACAAAAGTAAGCAATGATGACCGGAAGTCAAAAAAAGTGCCCGGTAACTGGATAATTGACCCCGCAATCTCAAGCTTACCCTAAGGGGAAGGAAGGCTTTGGATTTTGTCAAATTGGGAAATATTAGAGATATATTCATATTCAATTCTCCACGTTGTCTTCTTTTTCCTGCTGGTATCTACCTGATGACTAAATAATGCTTCCAAAACATAAATAAAATACGGAGCCATACCCCCAAATGAGACAAAATGATAATCACGTATATCGACCTTCATCTTTCGAAGGGGGTAGGTAAAGTAGCATTCATCAGCTCCCTTGTGTCATGATCCATTAAAAATATGCGTGTAAAATGTGCTGAAAGTTGCACTCGATTGAGATTGTCTATGGCTGAACTATATTGCTTCCTTTGGAAAGGCACGCGACCTAGTAGACCACAACTTTCCAGGGAGCCTAAAAAAGCTTTTATCAAGCTTCCATTAGATGGAAAAGAAGCAAATCGTATTGGCTAGTACTAGGTTTCCAAAGGCACCACCCCATAAGGGGCACCCAAAAGTGCGGAGCGTAGCGCTACATCGTATACACGATAGGCTATATAGTATATTCTATATTCATTTCTACGTAATTGAAAAGATAGAGGGTTTTTATACAACTGAATCCGGGGAGACCCTCGGAGACCCCCCCCTTTGAAGCTCAATCATATACGGCCTGGCAACTGTGATGCCCGGCCATCAATTTGAGGCCACCAATGTTTGCTTGCAGGTCAGTTACTGGGAACCTTTACGACTAATCAGAGTGACAGAATCGTGCATGAGACTGACCAATCGGGATCGTGTAAAGTAGCGCAACTCTCGAAATTTCACCCCTACACGCCATTTACTCAGGAAGTAATATACTTTGCTACGCTCCGCAATTAAATGGTTAATTGGATGTCGACAATTCAGAGAACAAAATCTGAGGCAGAAGGAGGACCTGTTTTCCTCAAGCGGTTCTTTCCTCTTCTAGTTTAGTGCCAACGCCCCAAGCCAGACCTCACCCTGACCTCCTTTCGCCTTCCCTGTCCCTTCAACCACTCGTTTCTTATTCTCGTTTTTGTGGCGTTAGGAGTATGCCTTTCCGAATAACTCTCAACTCATTCGCCTCTTTGATTGTTGTCGGGAACTACGGCTAGGCATTTGATCCATTTTCATATCCTGAGCTGTGGGCCACTCGCAATGTTGCCGCATCAAAAAGGCCCCTCTTCTGCGTCTCCACTGGCTACTTCTGTAAGCGCCTCGAAGCCGTTCAACGCCACAGCGTTTCGTCGGTTCTCGACACTCCTAGCCATCAAACTCCTGAAGCGCTTTCGAAAATATGAGGGGAGTGTCCTCATGTTGACAGATAAAATTTGTGTCAAATACGGCCCCCACATGCAATTATCGGAAGCCTCAACTATGCACTTTATATCGGAAAATACCTCTATCCCTGTTCCCAAGGTTATCTGCGCATTCAACCATTCCGACCAGACCTACATCTTGATGGAGAGGATCAAGGGAGATATGATAGCTAGAGGCTGGGCTAAACGGGGTGAGGAGTCCAAGGCGAAGCTTCTATTGCAACTAAAAGCGATGATTCTCGAAATGCGGGAGCTTCGGCCGCCAGACAATATGGGTGTTGCATCCGTTGATGGTGGAAAATTGTATGACTGCCGAATTTCAGGTCCTTCCTACTTTGGGCCATTTGATACTCTTCAGGACTTTCACCGGCGTCTACGTATGGGTGTGGATTTTGATCCAAGGCTAGACTCTGATGTCCAGAACTTGATCAAACAGCAAGATAGCACGTGGCCTTTGAAATTCACTCATGGCGATCTGAGTAGTCTCAATATTCTTGTTCGCGATGATGACATTGTGGGAATTGTTGACTGGGAAACGACTGGCTGGTATCCGTCTTATTGGGAGTACACAACTGCATACCAAGTTAACCCTCAAAACTCTTTCTGGGTTAACGAGATTGATAAGGTCCTTGATCCAATGCCTAAAGAGCTCGAAATGGAACAAATTCGCCAAAGACGCTTTTGAGATATGAATTCTTCTCTACCTCCATCGCTCATGCCGTGATCTCTCGCCCCTCCATCAGGTCGTACGTTGGGACTTTCGTCACGTCAAAGTTGCCCTGGCCATCGAAACGGTGCTGGTCTTTCTTCCGTTGACAATAACCCACTTGATCCCAGGTGAGGACGCTCGTCCCTAATGCCTCCTTGTCGACTTCAAGCGTTTCCAGGGCCTCCTTTACCCAAGCAACACAATTCCAACCTGGGAGGCGATTACTTGTTAACTTCTACCTCGTTACTCTCTAGCCGCCGTTGGATATGACGCGGTTCGAGTCTGGCGCTTGACCCTCATACTTTGACACTAAACATAGGAACGAATTAGCGCGCAGTTCTACGCCTCGGGGGCATCTCCCGTGCTGATCAAACAAAAGATGAAACAGGAACATAGTGAATCCGCCTAATCACCCAGTCAAGTATTTCGCACGAAGGTAATGAGTACTAAATCTTGTTTCAAGTGGATCAGTATAGCTTCTATTTCAGGTACCTAAGCGCGCGGCGTTCTTAACAGCCAGTCACAGGCCAACACCTTGGACTGGTGAAACTATGATCTTACGGGCTATCATAAACTCACATAAAGATATATTTGAATAGAATCTGATTATTAATTACTCTTCCCACCCTACTTGGTCTAAATTCGATATTGGAATAGTCTTTCATTTCAGAATTGCATATGGATATCCGCTCAAAGTCCACGAGCATAATCTTGCAGAATCGTTTCTTCCGGCTTCATTCCAGACCATCTCCAACACGCCGCCCAAAGGTTTTCCTGCATTTTGACATTTTTGCTAACTGCTGCTGGGGTGTCTTCTTTTTGGCCTACAAGATAGCCCCTCTTCCCCTGGAATGTGGGATCGACGCTGACCGTGACAAGTTCTCGGCCTGCATCTTCAGTTGTTCGAAACGCCGTCGTCACGTGCTTGAGAATTGGCATCAGAATTTTGATTGTTGCCATAATTCGCTTGGTAGATTTCTTCTGCTCTGCTTGAGCTCTTGAAGCTGGAAGGCCACCGGGGTCCATGGCTGTCACAGTCACGTTTGAAAGTCTGGGGTCCTAAAGAAGAGTCAGCGGAAATACTTCTGCGTACATGTAAAGCATTGCATACCCTCTTCAGCCTTTCGTTGAGATCAAGAGCAAATGTCACGTTTGCGAGCTTTGCTGTTCCATATCTTTGGAATCCCCTATCGTGGACGAGTGATTGAGGATCAGGCGTTGGCTTGACCAGTTCTTCAAGATTCTCAGGAAAGCATGGGCTCAGTGATGATACCGGATTTGATTTCTCTGGATAATGAGTGATTGATCCCAGCATCACGATGCGCCCCGATGTCGGGTTCATGCTCTCAAGTAGCTTCAGGACCAACAGATAGTGCGACAAATGGCAGACTTGGAAGGTTGCCTCGTAACCGTCAGATGTGAACTTCTGTCCAGCTTCCAGGGACAAGGTAGCAGCATTGCAAACTATGGCTGAGATTCGGGGGATCTTCTTTGAAAGAACCTGTCCAGCTAATCTTTGTGCAAAGTTGCGCACGCTAGCAAGCTGACCGAGATCAAGAACCTCCACTATGACCTGAGATTTCGGGTACTTGGAGATGATTTTCATAAGCTCTGCGGTGTTGGGGTCTTTTTCTGGCGATGCGTTTCGGACGGTAGCAATGAGTGTGTGTTGGGGATACCCAGATAGAAGAGCCTCGACGAAGCCAAGTGCTAGAGAGCCGTTGGCTCCTGTAATGACGACTGTTCCTGGCATCGTTGCAGAAATCATCGGGAGTAATTACGTGAATCTGCTTAAATATTTCAAGAAGCGTTCGGCATATCGATCTTTTATGTGAAAGCTGGGACGAAGGCCCAGGTAACTCAGCCCATACATTTCCTAACTCCGGCCATTACTCTATTTTAAGGGGGTATCCAAGCTAGAATTCTCAAAAGAGGTAGGAGCAGGTCTTGGCCATTTGTATACAATCGATCCGTTCACAGAATAAAGTTGTAAAGACCGTGTGACCCATTTTAGCGTGGCTGTTAGGCGATCTCTGATTACTGTGCCTTGAAAGTAATGATTCAATCTCACTAGCTGGCCACAATGATGAACAAGCTTTGTTGATCGACGCTGGCCTGAAGACGCAAGGTGGGGTTTCGGGTTTTGAATAGGCCCTAAATGCGGCCGGTTCTAAGCTTCTAAATTCCGCCTTATTTGATGGCCTAGTTTCGCCCCATCAAGAATGCCTTCGTGGAATCGTGGTCACTTTCTAAGGATACCTTCAAGGGCATGGTCCAATTTGGGGGCTAGTTTGTAAGTCAAGTTTTGGATATTCCAGTGAACTATGTGGGGGAACTCGAGGTTCAATGTGCGATATGCTACTGGATTGTCGATTTACATCTGAAGCTTAACCAAATTTGGAAGGCGTAAGTCTTGGCATTCTGGGGATGGGCCTGATATGCTGCCATAACGGAGTTAAGAGGGGTCTTTTCATCACTTACAGTAGTCTTAGTGACAAGGATGTACCTATATACACAGGATATTGTCCACAGGGTGGGGCTTTCCTGTCTAGGCTGCCGCCGCTTTAATGAAGGAGCTTAGGCTCAGGCTTAGTGAGTAAATATGAGCACCGGCTCATGGTCAGTGATTTGATCAGTGCAATCATGTGATCGCTCAGCGACTGATCGTGAATGCTCAATAACTAACTAAGCGTCGATAGGTACTCGGTAGTTGCTCAGTGATAACTTAGCTAGTAAAATAATTTATTCGGTAGTATATGAATTCTACTAAAAAAGGCCGACTCTATAAAAGCAGGAAACCAATAGTGAAAATAATAACGGTATAGGCGGAGCGACCCTGAAGGGGATTTAAAGAGACTACCGGCACAGAGGTCTCTGGAAAAAAGGAGGAAAGGAATATATGGCGCTAGGCGGCTAACTCTATTCTCTTTCAAGATTGAGTTCGATGGCTATCTACAGCTATAGATAGATCGAGAACCTTCGTTTAATGTTGACTATCTCTCGTTTATTTTGCGAGAAGAGGATACCCTCGCCATTAAAAAATGTATTCGACAAGACAAACCAGATGTATAAAGCTACTATAGACTGGACCCACTGGAGTATGCTCTCTAGACAAATTAGACAGTGCTGAAGTTTTCCTACTGATAATAGAAGATGTTTGCCCCAGAGTGAAATTCCACCTCGTGGTAGTTTCTGCCATCAGACCAGTTTTGGACATGATACATGCCCCACTTACTATTCCCAGTTGGATAAAGGACTGTGTACTGCTAAATACTGTGTTCTAAATATGATATACAACCACTGTTCACCAATTTTTTGTTTCCAAAAGCCAGCCTAAGCTTGTTGGTATTACGAACAGCTAATGCCCGAAAGGACAAAGCCTCCATCCCGAAGCGAACCGAACAGACCCACTAAGAAGTTCTAGGAACTCCGAACCTGACCACTGCTTACTATTAGGCTATAAATTGATGAGCTGCCCAAGCGACAAATGATATTAGCCTCTGCGCAGAGCTCTCGGAGCCTTGCGGGAAAGAGGCGTTCCCTGGATCATCCACAGTTGGTTTATCCTTGCTAGGCGTCCCACGTATCGGTGCGTGATTTGTCTTAGATAGCGGTGATGATATTGGCTAATCACTACTGATGGACTTTACATAGTACACAGCCTAGGCCTAATATAGGCCTGGTTACATTGAACATCCTTGATTATTGGTTAGAAGACAAGGTGGTCTATCCTCCGAGTCATACTCTGCAGTTAGATTACGTGTATGGGGGCTGGCCTCTTTAGAGAAACTAGAATAATAAAAGGACGTCGATGGATCTTGCCATATATGGTCAACCGAAAAAAAGAGAGGCTTCATCACCCACTTATTCTTTTTTAAGTCAATGGCCTACACACCTCTTCAGCCGCCAGTCTCTCAGAGACCGGCATTGGTATCTCCCATGGCGATAAAACATAATGTTAGTCAAATATTTCCTTGCAACTCAGGGGAAGTAGTAAGACCATATGCTGAAAAAATTAAAAATTGAAGATCATCCGAGATCAGTTCGCAATCACTACCTGGATCCTCTTCGGAGCAGTCCTACACGGTATACTCACATATATTCTACCCATCCACTACGCGCTTCTTCCTGCAGTACTTATCTTGTTCCTCCGATTCATCGATACATTACTTCAGTATTATGGCTTAATCGAAAACCGAGCGGCGGAAGGCGTTGTGAGGGGAAAATTCAGTGCTCAGATTCCCGATCGGGAGGGAAATGCACCCTCGCAACCGGCAGAGCATGAAATCGTGGTTCTGCATTTGGCGACAAGATCAAATCAGTATGGATTCTTGACTTTTGATCCACTAGCGTAAAGTTGACACAGATCTACAGTCCTCTAGGGTTATGGGCTCCTGGTTACCAGCAGGTTACCAAGCACATGCAAAGACTCCTCGCCGATCTGGACCAGAATTCACATGAGAATGGCTGTAGGTTTCTCCTTTGTTAATTGTGTCAAAAGTCAAGCTGAAACGATAAAGTCCTCGGGTCAACAAGTTGGTTGCCCGCCTCGGAACGCAAAACATCTAACCAGCTCATGGTCGCCGTCTACTTCCGTTCTTATAAGGATGTCCATAATTGGGCGCACAGCCAGATGCATCTCAAGGTGTGGAAATGGTTTAACAATGTCTCGCGTCAACATCCACATCTGAGCATCATGCACGAGACATATGTAGCTCCTAGAGGCCACTCCGAGAATATATATGTCAACTTTCATCGGACCGGGTTGGGTATGGTTCCCTTTCCTTTTTCTCCGACAGAATAAGAAGTACTAATATATGTAGCCGCTACAAATTCTAAGATCAGGGTAGGCAGGTCAGCTGAAAAGGACGACTTCCAATGGATTAGCCCTCTGGTGGATGCTAGCAGAGGTGCTCTGAGATCGTCACGGGGCAGACTGGGCACGGCTGATGGGGCTGACAATGATCAGTATAGACTGGTGGATTATTGAGTCTTGCTACCTAGGAGTTGGGTATGCGCAGAAATATACGTTGTAATCGGAAGAAAACGATCTGATTGCAGAAGAGATGAAGCAAAAAGACAATTCTAGGCTCAGGGCCAATGAAATACGCTTGGGCCTGTGACTTGATCAGCCTCATTTCAAAATTCAACCTTGTCCGGTTTAGGCTCGCCATGCCTGAGCTAAGCAACCGCTCATCCACATAGTGTCACTATCAAATAATAGTAGACTGAATAAGCCTTGTTTGGCACTACTAGCCCAGCATCGAGATCCGCGAAATGTATGCTGCAAGGGAGATGGCGCTCGTCTCTGGTGAGCTGGACGGCACTCGGTAACTAGCGCGGGAGGCCTAAGTTGCCCGTCAGCACTAAACACCCTGAACGACGACCAAACATGAGCTGAAGTGACCTCCCTCTCTAATCATGTACGACCGACAATTCTGAAAGGCTCTAATTTATGTGCTCACACCCGTCATATTATCTGCCGCTGTTTCTCTCATCATCTACCAAGAATGGAGCTCGCAATCCAGATTGCAGTCCTGAAACGGATCCTTGGTCTGTTCCTCGTCATCCTCCTGGGGCGATTCATCTACAGGCTCTTCCAAGTGCGCATGAAGGTGCGTCATTTTATGAAGGATAGTGGGCTGGTAAGAAATGATATCGCTTCTCTTTCATATAATGCTGGGTTCGCAAACCGGCAACTGTACTGTCATCTGACCGTCCCAACAAGCAATCTCCGCCGCATTCCTTCTTCCTCGGGCACCTTCCAGCATTCGCCAAGCTCATGGCTCGATACCCTCGAGATACAGCTGGGGAAATCATTCCAATACTGCTGACTAAGGAGTACCCAGAGCTTCAGGCCCAAGGACTCGTTTGTATGGACGTCTGGCCTCTCGCCAACCCCATGCTAGCAGTATTCCAGCCGGATATGATTGCACAGTTCTGCCAAAGCCCATCAATGCCTAAGAATGATCTTCTGCAGACGATATTTAAGGATTTCACCGACTGTCAAGACCTTTTGTGCTCAGAAGGGGATCATTGGAAGCGGTGGCGCTCTATTTTCAACCCTGGCTTTTCGAGCAAGAATATCCTTTCATTTATCCCAGCTTTAATTGAGGAGATTCAAGTATTCAAGGATACCCTCCTCAAAAACACACACTCAGACATTGTCTTTCCGCTGATAACCCCGGCGACCAAGGCTACGTTCGATATTATCGGGCGGGTGGTACTGTGAGTGAGAATTTCGAGATCCTTCCTGAAGAGGGTCACAATTGCGCAGCCTAAGAAAAGCTAGCTCAACTTACGTGATTGTAATGCCAGAGGAACAAGGTTTGGCATACAAACGTCGGAGAGTCGCTTGTATAAAGCCATGAAGGACCAGCTCGGGTGGATCTCGCTCCCAGACCGCCCCAATATACTCCATCGGCGTAACAGCCCCTTCCGCCGCCTCGCTATGTGGAACAATAACCGGATTCTACGTAATGAGATCATCCCAATCTTACAAAGACAGATGCTTGAGATAGACCGCTCTGGAAGCCCCCAGATAATCAGCCGACTTGCTATTGAAGCCCACTTGAAACAAACCGGGCGTACTGTGGACTCCGCATCCACAGACCAGGTTGAAGAATTCCTTCGTGTGGCCCTCGCACAAATCGAAATCTTCCTCATCGCAGGCCATGACACCACGGCGAGCACACTGTGTTATGCATACTACTGCCTACACGGCAATCCAGACATAGCCGACCGTGTGCGCCAGGAACACGACCGGTTGCTCGGGCCTGATCCAACCCAAGCCGCTGCCGTGATCGCCAGCGACCCATCTGTACTCCACAGGCTGCCATACACGTCTGCGGTCATCAAGGAGACCCTTCGGCTCTACCCACCCATCGCATCCGTCCGTTCTGGATCTCGCAGTCTGCACTTAGTGCATCCCGAGACTAATCAGCGGTTCCCAACCGAAGGATTCGTGCTCATGTCCACATCCCAGGCGACGCATAGGCTCCCACAATACTGGCCTCGACCAAACGACTTCCTCCCTGACCGGTGGCTAGGCGAGGAGGGCAGCAGCGTCAACAGTAGGAAGATCGCGTGGAGGCCATTTGAGCAGGGACCAAGGAATTGCATCGGCCAGGAGTTAGCCATGCTCGAGCTTAAGCTTATGCTGGTGTTGACGATGAGGGAGTTAGACATTGCACCTGCCTATGCGGCGAATGCGCCCCGGCTTTTTGGCGAGCCAGCGTACCAGGCAAAGATCCTGAGTGAGCTGACCAATCATCCAAAGGATGGCATGCCCGTTCGCGTCAGAAGGAGAGGCCTCCAGCAGGCATAGAAGCGTGGTGTACTTAGCCAGTCCCGTTATCGTGAATAGACGATTTGGTGCTACGGAGATACGAGCCTCAAATATTGGTCTGTCTGCAGGTTACTTGTAGCTCCCCAGCGGCACGTTTGCAATTTTTTGTTCTCCTTGCATCAAAATGCTATTAGCTCAAGATCCAATTCAAGATATAAACTTAGATCGCTCCTGGTTTGAGGAGATTAGTAAGTAACCCAAGCTTCTCAGGTCAGGATCAGTGATAAGATTAAAGGAAGCGCATTGAGTAAATTAGGATACTCGAAGTTGGTTAGGGACACGCTCAATTCTACGCCGTGAGTAAAAGCGGCGAGAGGGTGAGCACTAGAATGGAAGTGGATCGCCAAGGTTGCTGGACAATGGAAATCCGGTGTATATGTCAGCTTTGTCACAAGGACTGAACGCATCTCAGATCATCCGAACTCATTTGCTCTAAAACATCTCCAACAAGGCATCAACTTCTTGTCCAACCCTGCTTGCATCCTCTTGTTATTAACAAGCTTCATACCAGAGATCCACTGAATTCTACTCTACGGGCATCATGGGACCGCCAAGTGTAGAATTCATCATCGTATCATCCAATAGCCCTGAGGAGGCTGCGAGATCAGCTACAAAACAACGGAAGCTTGCCCATTCCCACGCCGCTCGCTCGGCGCACGCCAAGACAAGACGTCTCCGAACAATACAATACCAAGCCCAGAAAAATTCCAGGAAAGAAAGTGGCTTGGTCGAACAATACGATGAGCAAGTGCCCCCGAAGGCGCTGCCACAGGCCCAGCTCACCAGCTTTTTGTCGGCGAACCGGAAGGATCCCTTCGCGAGCTTTGCAATGTCATTGAATCCTATTGAAGAAATGCTATTTGACCATTGTGTGTATCACTCTATCTGGGGCCTATCGTTCGCCACTAATCTGCGAAAGATGTGACCGTGATCATCCCTCTCATGCGCTGTGATGAGCCGAACCTTGAGTTCACTGAGCGTATGACAAGAACCTGGGCACCACTCGCACGCAGCGATGCAAGCCTCCTAGACATAATATTTCTCTTATCATGTCGCCACCTATCCGCGAGTCATACGCAGTCCCACCAACAGTCAACCTTTACCCAAAGAGCATTTCACTATAAGGGTACATGCTTGAAAATACTGCGAGACGCAATCTCGAATGAGGCGCCCAGTTTTAGTGACTCCACCATTGCAAAGGCGATAATGCTGGCTTATGATGAGGTAATTTCCACCCCAAAGTTGAAGATTGTGCTTCTTTCCTGACGAGATCAGTTATTTGTGCATGATACGCAGATGCTGAAACATCATATGGAAGGAGCACTTAAGATGGTTGCTTTGAAAGGAGGGCCTGAGACACTCGGTCTGGACGGTCTGCTGGAGCATTTATTATTTAAACTCGTCTCTAAGGGGGTAAACGAGCCAGACATCCAGGTTCAGGTTCCATGGGATTTCGATTCGATGTACAGGAAATATTGAACTAAAATTTGACATAAAAGGTTTCCATGGTGTATACTTAATCCTGCATTTGACTGTGAGAGACTGCCACGATACGTTAGTTTATTCTCGTAATTTCAACTCGCTTTTTAACTAGAAATAATCAATACTCACATCTCTCAATACTTGATCATGCCTCCTACAGATCAGCATATGTCCAAACAACATGCGAAAATCAAACCCAATCTCCAGCAACAATTTATTAATCGTCAACGCGCCAAAGCGACTCAATACTCTCCCTATCCCACTTTCTCCCCTGATAACTCATCCACCTAGCAGGCCCCAGCTCTGGCCTACCATTCTGAGCCTCAAGCAGCTGAACCCCCAGAACTATCATAAAAGCATCATCCAGTATACCCAAAATATAAGCATTAGGCACAACAGGATCAACAAGATTCTCTAAATGAGCTTGTGCCGATTGAATCAGCTGGTTAGCATTCACAAGCTTTTCCGTAATGACATCGACCGTGAACTGGATCTTATCGGTAGGAAGGTTCGCAGCCAAATTAATTAGTCGCATTATTCCTGTTGAGATCTTTTCCAAGTGGTCTAACACTTTGGCACGGGAGAGAAGGGCGCCCCAGTCATCTTGAAGGAGGGCTGCACAGAGACTTTTATTCCTGCGAGGACGGAGGCTTGGTGGGCCCAGAAGAATTCGATGTGGCATGATTGAAACCCCAGAATATTCAATTGGAACATTTTGGGAAAGCTTGGCTGTATCAATGTATCGTAGCTGGTCGGGTCGAATAGGTCAGCAGGTAAATGGTAAGTGAGTAATGAGCTGAGAGCTTGATGAGACCTGGGGTTCGGAAAGAGGAATAGAAGAAACATCTTCTAATTTATATCCGAGTGTGTGGGCTATTCGTGTCTTTATTACTATCAGTTCTTTGAAAGCCATTGTTTTCAGACAAAGCATTCGATGGCGCGGCCAGAGTGAATCGCAGCATAGATCATAGGTCATTGTAGCCCTACAGTTAAGGGCCAAATCAACCAAGAGGTCTGGTATAGCTAGGGTAGGGGCTTTTCACTTTCAAAGACAGAGTTGTCACTATACTCGCATTCATCATGTACATAACAGCATGGCTTCTCCATGACGAGAGAAACAAATCTCAAAAACATTCACGAACCGTAGTAAATCAGCCCAAAAATAGCGGATGGTGTAGAACATATTCTCAAAAGGCCAAGAGACACTAGGGATGGAGTTAAGAGGGTTACGAGCTCCCATGATCAAAAAAAAAAAGAACAATGAACGCCGAGAAGCATGCCCCTACCACCCATTTTGTCCCCGCAACCGGTAGACCTTTGCTCACCAACGTACTGGATGCTCATTTCCATGCATTCAGACCTGCCCAGGGGTCACTGGCGCCAGGTTGCTGTTGTGGCTGAGACTGAGAAGGAGCCTTGTGCTGTGCGTAAGGCCTGCTCTGCGCATATCCACCAGGCCCGGCAGGGTACACTACACCAGCCGAGGGTGGGTAGTTGGTTTGTTGTGGGCGCGGAGGAGGTGGAGGAGGGATGTATCCCTGAGGAGTCATATAGTTCGGGGCCACGGCAGCAGCAGTGGGTGCCGGACTAGCACTTGAGTAGCCAGCGTACGGGGTAGGTGTTTGAGAGAAGAACTGCTGGTTCGGGGGTGGGGAAACAGGAGTCTGGTAGGGGTACGCCATGGGGTTGTACCCCTCGGAAAGCGGAGCAGCAGCGCCCTGTTGGAAATGCTGACCGGGGGCATATCCCGGGTTACCACCAATGTATTGTCCGTAGGGAGCTGGGGAGTGAGAGAGAGGGACACCCTGTTGCGGTGCGCCTGGCATGCTTGGCGGGTAACGGGGTGACATCTGCGGCGATGGCCCCGTCATCGAGTAAGATGGGGTTTGGACAGGAGGTGGCGGTGATTTGATCTTGGAGGGAGGAGCCACAGCAGAAGCGGTAGATGGTGAGGTTGATGCTGCTTTAGGTTCTGTGGAAAGACGCTCCATCAACAGGCGAAGCTTTTCCCGCTCGCGATCCTCCTGCTCAGATACGCCGCTAGCCTTGTCGCGTTCGATTTGGCTCAAAAGCTGTGCACCCTCGGACCGGCGATTGCTGATAAAAGTCTCCACATTCTTCCGCAGACTTTCCACGTTCTCGGCCATATCCTTGTAGAATGTGCGAGCTTGCATAATGCCAGATGAGAGACCATTGAAAGCCTCATACACCTTCTTATATCGAGCCATAACAGAGTTTCTCTGTTTCGAGATAGATTCATATTTGGACTGTTCAGACTGAACACGCTTGTCTTGAAGCAAGGCTGCGTATGTTTTTGTGAGCTCCTTCATCAAGGAAGACTGTCTGTGATTCGCCTGCAAGATGCGGGTTTGGTGTGGGCGGAACTTTTCGAGTTCGGTCTCGAAGAGTTGGCTCTCTTGGCCGGCGATAGACTTCTTATTCAAGATCAGAACATTCGATATGTCGTCATTACGAACCTGAGTAAGTGGGTTAGCGGTAGTCCATAAAGCGCTTGATTGCCTTTTTACCTTCTCCTTCAAGTCTTTCAAAGTTGTGGCCCGATCTTGCTTAACGAGATTCAGCTTGTTCAATATCCCTTCGACCTTTGCAATCTGTTCCGAGACAGATGCACTGCCCTCATCGTATACATCATCCAAAAGACTTCCTTCGGCAGGGCTATTCACACCGTTCTTGCCCTTGGTATGTTTAGATCCAGCCTTGATCATCGCTTTCTGGTAGAGCACATCGGCCTCATCCGTTTCTCCAGCCGACCGCATCTGATCAAAGTCTCCCTCGTATTGTCGGAATGTGGCGGACAATTGAGTATCGCTAGCACTAGCTTCACTGATGGTATCTCGGTATGTGCGAACATCTCCACGGAGCGTCGTGTTCAAGCGGCTGCTAGGCTGCTGGCTCCAGTCCGCGCCATACTTAGAGCGCATTTTCTCGCACACGCTCTCCTCCAAATCTAATTGTTTAGAGCAGTGATCCAGTTGGGCCTGTACATCTGCCTTCCGGTCCTGGAGTTCATCGAGAGCCTTATGGAACGGCTTATGGCCTGCAAGTTCTGAGCACCACCGGCGGAACTCTTCGTCCACAGTCATTTCTTGATCCATTCCACCCTTCAGGATGTTGAGACTGCCTGGAAGCTTCAGATAATCCAGACTAGCAGCCATCTCGCCATCGGCCGTGTCAACTTTCTCAGTCTCGGCGCGAATTAACTTGGCTTTCTCCTCGTCATAAAGACTGGCGGTCTCCGTGACAGAAATAGGAACGAGTTTCTGGAAAATGTCTGGTCCGATGATTCGTTGGATATCTTGTCCCTGATAAAGCTCGCTAACTGGGATAGCTTTGGCTGCGGTCAGCTTGGGAACCGCAGACAAACCAGCCTCATTAGGGACAGGTTGGTGGTAAATGAAGTCGTTGTCCTTGGTAACCGTAGCCAGCATGGCTTGCACATTTGCCAGGTTGTGCTTCACAAGCTCCACCAAGTTGGCTCCAGCCTCTACGGGCAGATTCGAAGTTGTGGAGGCGGAAGAGGGGAAGGACTTGGCCCAGGTGAGTGCAGTACTAGCCTGCTTCTCGGCCATCTGCAGACGAGCAACCGCTACACCATGCGAATTACCTTCGCTATCCGCAATCGCCTGAAAGTAGGATGCGGTGGATCCCATATGTGCGGTCTTGGCCTGTACCATGATCGACCATACTTTGTCGAACACACTCTTAGTCACGACGTCTTGCATTGTCTCGGCGGCTTGAGAATAGAGATAGGCAGCCTGGCCCGCTAGTTTCGCGAGGAACCCAGGCTTCTTGTTATCCTGTATTTGCTTCTCTAAAAACACCTCCTGAGCTTGGGCGAGAGTAATATGAATCAAGGTCTTGACGGTGTCTCGGTTCAAATCGGTCGAGGGGGCATGCAAGAAATTCTCGTTGATGTAGGTGAACATCCCCGCAGATGCCTGGAAGGAGTGATACGCCGTCTTGACACCAAGATCCTCCGCTCGATTCTGGTTTGCGGCATGGCAGGATAGGACGGCAGAGATATTGAAGATGACGGAAGCTTTCTCGTAGGCTAAGGAGTATTGGGAGGTCGGTTTGTGAGTGAATGCATCGTACCTATGGTGTAAGAAGGATTAACAGTGGGTTTTTAATAGTCATGCGACGCGGACAGCGGCGTACCATGTAAAGGAGATCTTGATGTGGTTCTCATCGACGGGGAAGCGGAGGTCCAATAGCTCCAGCTGGCCGTAGTATCGATATAGCAAGTCACGACCGGTAGCGCTATCCTTGCCGGCGCCTCTCATATCCTGTCGGAGGCGGTTGAGTGTGGCACATTCTTGGCTGTAGCGCTCGGGGTCCTCGCCATAGGTCTGGCGGATGTAATCCTTGAGGGATTGGATCCAATCGATCTCGTTGGTCTGCTTCAACGGGCAGGAGAGCATGGGGGACTGAACCATGGTCGGATCGCTGTCAGGAGCACGGCGCTCCCATCCGCTAGCGATAATGTAAAGAGGGAAGGAGGGCGCGAGGAAATGGAGGCGAGTTCAGCGGTGCTGGTGAGGGGGATCGGGATCGAGGCTGTGGGGTAAAGGGAGGGCGGGAGGTCGGGGCCTAACGGTGATCACTCGTCGGTCAATGACGTCGGTCCGAAATGTGCCCCTGCAGATATGAGGAGAGTCGGGATGGAATTGAAAGGTGAGAGAGAAGAAAGAAGAAAGGCAAGTTGGGGGGGGAGGAGATGCTGAGGGAAGGAGGGGTGAGGGTGAGGGTGAGGGTGAGTTGGGAGGGTGACAGGTGGGATGTGATCTCCAGTGACGAGCGTATTGTGATGGCCAACGCGGGCGCCAACCAACCACGCGCTGAATTTAGGCGGTGCATATTATATAGTTCCAGGGGCGCGGTACCCCCGTCTGTTCTGTATTGTACGTTTGAGTTTATATAGCTCAGACAGCTGTACGCAGAAGAATACATTCTATACATTGAAGTTGATTGGAAAGCCCTGAGAATGCAGAAGAATAGTAGAGAGCTTCATGGCTACCTAAACCAGAGAGTAAACAAGATAGTAATACAAGTGGACCTGCCCCCCCGCCCCCAAAGAATGGCAGAGGCATCCATCTCGCCGGCGCTATGACATGGTGAACAAATGAAACAGAAGGAAAAGAAAAGACCAAGGAGTAAATACAAGTCCAAGGTGGTATACAAATACACAGAGAATTACATGGCTGTTTTTTTTATGAACTTGACTTCTTCGAGTCGTCCTTGCTGGCATCGTGCTTGTCAGCATCCTTGGTATCCTTGGTATCCTTGGCATCCTTGGCCTCGGGCTGTGAAGAATCACAGTTCTTGTCCGTCAGCTTGTGCCAGACAGACTTGAGGAATCCTTCGTTCTTGTGCCCGTTGCCGGTGGACTCGGAAGACGATGGAGGGCTGGGAAATTACGAGGTCAGCATAACAGTTCACAGAGAGAAGGTATATACAGGATGTTGGGATGAAAACGACTTACCTCTCCTTGGTGAAGTTCATCGTCCGCCGAGCCGTCTTGTCACCCATCTCATCCGCAAGCACCTCCAAGATAGTCCGCTGGTTGCCGGTCAGGTACTTCGGCATGGCGACCTTGAACTCAACCTTCAGGTCACCCGTGGGGCTGAAGCGGCCACCGCGGCCACCGAGCTTCTTCATACCCATGCCAGACAAGGTGATCCGATCACCAGTACCGGTACCAGTAGCCACCTTGACCTTGACTGCGTTATCGAGGGTCGGAATCGTCACCTCACCGCCGAGCAAGGCAGTGGTGAGTGGGAGGGTGGCGGTGTACAGGATATCGGATCCGTTGCGGCTGAAGCGAGAATCGGGAGCAACTCGAATAGTGACATAGAGATCACCCCGTTGGGTTCGAGCACCGGCGGCGGCAGATGTTCCGGTAGGCGGCGCATCGCCCTCTCCGCTGACTCTCATCCGCATACCATCTTCAACACCAGCAGGAATATCCACCTTGAGGGTCTTGCGCTCCCGAACGACACCGTTTCCATGGCATCCACCACACTCCGACCCGCGGGGAACGATCATACCAATACCTCCACAGGCGTCGCATGTCGCAGCAACCTGGAATCCACCCTGCATAAAGTGAACACGGGTTCCGGAGCCGTTGCATTGCTTGCATTGGGATCGCTTCGCGCCAGACTTCAACCCATCACCCTTACAAGTTCCACACTGAGTCAGGGGCGTGATGTTGATCTCTTTAGACGTTCCCTTGGCAGCCTCCATGAATGAGATGTTATTCTGCACTTCGATATCCTCACCGACGAGAATCTGCTCCTGGAAGGGATTGCGCCGCCCCCGGGGACCTCGGCGAGCACCTCCAGCGAACGCACCAAACAGATCCTCAAAGTTAATATCCTGCGCAAAGCCTCCACCAAACGGGCCACCTCCAAACCCGCCGCCACCGAATCCACCGAAGCCGCCAGCGCCAGCGAAGGGGTTTGCACCGGCATTGGGGTCAAATCCACCATTCTGGTCGAAGGCAGCGGAGCCGAACCGATCGTAATTCTCGCGCTTCTTCGCATCGGACAACAATTCATAGGCGGATTGGGCTTCGGCAAACTTTTCCTTGGCGTTGGCATCTTTGTTGGTGTCCGGGTGGTATTTCTTGGCCATGCCGTAGTATGCCTTCTTTATGTCACTCGCGGAGGCGCCTTTGTCTACTCCGAGGACATTATACGGGTCGGCAATCGCCGAGAGGGGGGATGTGGTGTGGAATATCTGTTTAGAGAGTCAATCACTTGTAGTTTGGCGGCAAAAAAGCAGGCCATGGGAATCATCCAAACGGAATACCTACTCTAACCGACGGCGCGATGACCGATTTCTTCTTATAAACGCCCTCCCGCAGGCGTCTGGCGGGAGATTGAGAGGCCGTCGCATGATATCCTCGTTTCTGGTTCGCAGAGCAGACATTTTGACCGGCTGTCTGTTTTGAACATGTCGACGGTGCCCGCAGCAGGCGCGCGGGGAGACCCGCGGCCTTGGGGAATGCTGCGGATGGGTTCATGAGTTGTAATTTCCGAGCAGTGGTTAGTTGGATGTCGACGAGATTGAGATCGAGAGGGAAAGAGAGAGTGAAACAGAATAAAAGAGCGAAAGACGAGGGCAGAATCGGGTAAAGTCTAAAAAGTCGCAACCCCGAAGATAGCCTTTAAACCAGTCGGCTTCTCCTGTTCGCTGAAGAAGCTTCCAGGCGGCTCGGTAGACGGGTTCCACGGAGAAATAGTCGGCCCGTACTTGGATGATGAAAGATGGAGCTGCTTACAGAGCGGTGTTCCGAGGCCGGAACTTGCGTTTCCTTGCACTCCTCGTCTCTTCTCTTCTATTCTCACGACTGCATCTTCCTCGGGGCTGTGACACGGGTGCTTCGAGGTTCCATTTCATACCCGAATTCCTACCGTGCTCCATCATACCCCTACCTCCCCCCCCCGAATCACGCGACTTGATCCAGTAGCATGCTCCGCGGCCAGACGCTCCCCTGGAGAGCTGCGCTCCACCAAACACCTCGCCCTCTACTTCGTCGGCCATTCCTGATTGCACCCAGGAACACTGCGACATTCCGGTCAGCATTAACATCGACCCGACTTGCTCGTTCTCTTCCATCAGCCTCCCGCACGTTCTCGTCGAGCTCTATCCGGCGGAAAGAGAAACCCCCACCAGAGGATCAGAAAGAGGAGCAAGAACAGAAGGAAGAGGATGAATCACAGCGAAATGATAAAGAGGTAGACCGGACTCCTGAGCCTCGAAGGAAAGCTTTCGATTCGGGGAAGGCAGCGGACCAGGCAGGCTCCACGCGGAGAAAGGACCGGTCCACCGGTGATAAAGAGCAGCGCAGCTTAGAGGAGGAATCAAGGAAAGACGCCAATGCAGCGGATGGGAAGGGAGACTCTAGCCAGTCTCCATCTCCTATTCCACCGAGCAGCGGCTCGGCCGACTCAAAGCCCAGCTCGGCCAGCAGTGGTGGTAGCGGCAGCAACGATGATGGGAGCAAGAAAGGGAAGAAGGGTTCCGGAGACAAGGCTCTACAAAAGCCCGCGGTCCCGGATGTATACCCACAAGTGATGGCCATTCCCATTGCGAAGCGTCCCCTCTTCCCTGGGTTCTATAAAGCCATCACTATCCGTGACCCGAATGTTGCCGCGGCAATCCAGGATATGATGAAGCGGGGTCAGCCATATGTCGGTGCATTCCTGTTCAAGGATGACAACGCCGATGGTGATGTGATCGAGAATTTGGAAGATGTCTACAACACGGGTGTCTTCGCTCAGATCACTGCAGCCTACCCTCTTCGAGGCGAGGTTAGCGGTGTGACCGCTGTTCTATACCCCCACCGGCGTATCAAGATCTCCTCACTACTTCCGCCCACAGAAACGAAGAAAGACGCTACGACTACGGAGGAAAAGAGCAGTGAGAAGCGGGGCGATGTTGTTGCCAGCTTCGAGGAAGGAACCCCCGAAAACGCCCCTAAGGACCACTATGAGGCCACTTCTTTCCTCCGCAAGTATCCTGTCAGCTTGGTCAATGTTGAGAATTTGACGGAGGAGCCATATGATAAGAAAAACGGAATCATTCGTGCGGTGACGAGTGAGATCGTGAACGTGTGCAAGGAGATCGCCACGCTGAACCCCTTGTTCCGGGATCAGATCTCGGCGTTCTATACGGATCAGTTCCCGGGAAACCTCAGCGATGAACCGGCTAAGCTGGCTGATTTTGCCGCTGCAGTCTCCGCTGGTGAACTGCATGAGATGCAGGAGGTTCTCGAGACTATGAACATTGAGGAGCGGCTCCCCAAGGCACTCGTTGTTTTGAAGAAAGAGTTGATGAATGCACAGCTCCAATCCAAGATCACCAAGGACGTGGAGGCCAAGATCCAAAAGCGCCAGCGTGAATACTGGCTCATGGAGCAGATGAAGGGCATCAAGCGAGAGCTTGGGATCGAGTCCGACGGCAAGGATAAGCTTGTCGAGAAGTTCAAGGAGAAGGCAGAGAAGCTAGCCATGCCCGAGGCCGTTAAGAAAGTCTTTGACGAAGAGATCAACAAGCTAGCTCACTTGGAGCCCGCTGCATCAGAATTCAATGTCACGAGGAACTACCTGGACTGGTTGACTCAAATTCCTTGGGGCCAGAAGAGTGTGGAGAACTTTGGCATTAAGAATGCGGTCAGCGTTCTGGACGAGGATCACTATGGTCTAAAAGATGTCAAGGATCGTATTCTTGAGTTCATTGCTGTTGGCAAGCTCCGCGGCACAGTGGAGGGTAAGATTATTTGCCTTGTTGGCCCTCCTGGTGTGGGTAAGACCAGTATTGGCAAGTCAGTGGCGCGTGCTCTGAACAGGCAATACTACCGCTTCTCTGTGGGTGGATTGACCGATGTTGCGGAGATCAAGGGTCACCGACGAACCTATGTTGGCGCTCTTCCGGGACGCATCATTCAAGCTCTAAAGAAGTGCCAGACGGAGAACCCCTTGATCTTGATTGATGAGATCGACAAGATTGGCCGAGGCCATCAGGGTGACCCTTCTTCCGCTCTGTTGGAGTTGCTTGATCCTGAACAGAACTCATCGTTCCTCGATCACTACATGGATGTCCCTGTGGACTTGTCCAAGGTTCTCTTCGTCTGCACGGCCAATGTCACCGACACTATCCCTCGGCCTCTGCTCGACCGTATGGAGTTGATCGAACTCTCCGGCTACGTGGCCGACGAGAAGATGGCAATTGCTCAGCGATACTTGGCTCCGGCCGCGCGAGAGTTGACGGGTCTGAAAGACGTCGACGTGATTCTCCAGGAGGATGCCATTGAAGAGCTGATCAAGTCGTACTGCCGCGAGAGCGGTGTTCGTAACCTGAAGAAGCAGATTGAGAAGGTGTACCGGAAGGCAGCCTTCAGGATCGTTCAGGACCTGGGCGAGGAGGCGCTACCCGAAGAGGCTGCTTTGACCGACGAGGGCAAGGCTGCTCAAGAAGAAGCAAAGGAGCATGAGTCTGCGGATCCCGCAGAGACCCCTCTGGAACCCGAGAAGTCCACCACGGAGACCCCCCGTATTGCCATCAAGGTTCCCGAGAGCGTCCACCTCAGGATCGGCAAGGAGACCTTGAAGGATTACGTTGGACCCCCAGTCTTCACCGCCGACCGTCTGTACGACCAGTTCCCCCCTGGTGTCACCATGGGTCTGGCTTGGACTAGCATGGGCGGAGCCGCGCTGTATGTTGAATGTATCCTGGAAAATGCTCTGAAGTATTCCTCGCGGCCCGGTCTGGAGATCACCGGTAATCTGCAAACCGTCATGAAGGAATCGTCGCACATTGCCTACTCGTTCGCCAAGTCTGTCATGGCTCGAGATTTCTCTGAGAACCTCTTCTTTGAGAAGGCCAAGGTTCACCTGCACTGCCCTGAAGGTGCTGTTCCGAAGGATGGTATGTTTCAACATCTCTCCTCTGCACGGATTCAATCGTTCGAATGCTAATACGATTCTAATAGGACCCTCTGCTGGTATCACCATGGCCAGCTCTCTACTTTCATTGGCGCTGGACCACCCTCTCGACCCCACCATTGCCATGACTGGTGAACTGACTGTCACTGGTAAGGTGCTACGCATCGGCGGTCTGCGAGAGAAGACCGTCGCTGCTCGCCGAGCGGGTGCAACTAAAGTTATCTTCCCAGCTGACAATCTATCTGATTGGCTTGAGCTACCCGAGGTATGTTCAGCTTTTAACCATTCAAATCTCCTTTTCTTAGGTGACCTGCGCTAACATCTTTCTACAGAATATCAAGGAGGGCATCGAAGGCCACCCAGTGAGCTGGTACTCTGAAGTCTTCAACATTCTCTTCGCCGACCTCAACCACGATGTCGCCCGCACCATCTGGCAGAAGGCGCTCGCCAAGCCCGCCAACCAGAAGGGCGAGCGGGACGGGGAGGATGACGAGTGAAATGTGTGACTTGGAATTGATTGTCATGTCCGGGACTGGTACCCTGTGGTATATATATACACGCCTTTATTGTTGTGCGATGCGAGTTGTGATTCTCCCCCCTGTATAGTTGCGTGATCTTCCGGGATGTACATTGTACATGGCGTCTTTTCTCAGTGTCCTTCTTGACACGGAATGCATGGATTGGAGGCGTTGGCGACTAGATGTTTTGCTTTCTTCTATGTATGGACCCCAAAAGAAAAGGAAACAGCACTCCACTCTTTGAATTGAATCGAAAGGATGATTGGTGGATGCTCCTGTTGGGGTGATCTAGCATTGTCTTCCTCTTTTTTCTGTCTTTTGTATACTTCCTCTTGGCGAGTCAATCGCTCGAAGTCAGCAGGCGCGCTGCGTAGTTATATTGTGGGTCATGACTACCTGTAGTAGTGAGAGTAGATCGGCAGTATGAACTAGGTATTTAGTGTACCGAAGATGCTTTAGCCACTGCATTGAACTCTCGGGGGCTGATGTGAAGAGCATCCACTCTCCAGGCTTCTAGGGGCTGGGTTTAGTCCTCTTCCAATATCTATGGTTTCAGATCCTTCGTTAGGAAGTAACCTTGGAATGGGAGAATTAATAGGAATCAAAAGGTCCATTGTACCTCGAATGGTCGTGTCCAACCTTGAGTCTGATGCCTATATAGTACGTCAAGAGCTATCTAATCTTCCGACCAGCATACTATGACTTCTATATCAAGCTCGACTCAGTTGGGCTGTATCTCGTAGTGACTCGCAGTTTCTCTAATTTGACTCTCCTTTTCCTCTATCCAGTCATTTCGATTTTTCATTCGAGCGTGAAACAAGCGCGGAAGACGGGGAGGCGTTCAGATCAACAGGGATATCGGCCAGGCTGTGGACGGCAGTTGTAGGTGCATCCGAAGTAATCAACTCGAGCCCAACCAAACGGATAACCGCCATGCAGGCCACAATTGAGGATTCCACCGCTGCCAATCTTGAGTTGGGCAGGTTCTCGATTGAACTAGCCATGGCAATTGGCATGAATTCCCAGAGATCGTTGGCCCATCTAGCGACCCTCGTCGAAGCCTTCCAATCAGGCATGAGCTGTCAGGCCGCAACGCATCCTTTCCCAATTTTATCTGTGCGCGATGAATCATATCCTGGCGCTTTTTTTGTTTTGCGCTCTGCCTCCCTTGAAAGTTCACTTTTCCTTTGACTTGCCAGCAGGATCTGATTGATCCCCTGCAGAGGTCTTTTGCTACGGCGGTATTCGCTTTTATCGATTTCCTTTGCCTGTATGAGACATTGAAGCCTTGCAGTGGATCGACGCATCACGCCCGCCAACAACGGTTTTTTTTTCTTTTCTCGGTACTTTTTCTCCTTGGGATGACTTGACCTTGGGAGACATGGGATGAACGAGATCAAGATTGTCTGATGTTAAATCCATTTCACCCAACTCGATCACTCTCTTCTTCTTTTTCTCGTTCCTATCGTGCGCCGCCTTTTTTCCCAGGCTGGTCTTGTCACGGACCAGCCTCCCAGCCTCCGCGCCCATTGCAACCCGACGTTGTGTGACACGCCAGATTGAATCTTGAGCCGGACATACACGGAAGCTCTCATCTCTTTGAGATAGTTGGGAGGATATCTTCCAAGAAACCAGCACGAAAAAGGGGGAAATTGCTCAGTTAGAAGAGCGAACAAGGATCAGAAAGTACAGAACAAGCGAGACCACCGAAAATCTACGCCAACAAACACAAGCCAACCACCCCCCGTGCGTAGTGGGTGGCCAGTGCAGGTACAACGATCTTTTTTTTTTCTTCTCCTGGCTCTTTGCTCCCTCCTGAACCCCCACCACTAGGAGTCCGATCGAAATCGGCTCGATTCTTATGGCCATCGGCGTTCCAGCCAGCAGGGTGTTCGAGTCGTGCAAGGAACGACTGAGCGACTGCGTGCCGAATGGCCATCTCCCTTGCCAACAACTCCTATAGCCCGACGCGGCTGGGTTTCCCTTTAGACGAAAAGGGGCCTCAACAGAAGCAGAGCATGTGGCATCGTTTGGGCCTGCGACGATGGCTGGGCCGTGACGACCGAGATGCTTCGCCCGAGAGGGCCGAGAGGAGGAGGCAGGCTTCTCCCCTATCCCCCCACAACCACCACTCCCACGGCCACGGCCACCACAATCACCGCGCCGCCTCCGCCGACAATTTCCCGCGCGCTAAGCAGGATAACTTGACCCGCCGTCTCTCCCGCAAAGTCGGCGTAGGTCTCCCCGGTCAACCACATTCAAACGCCAGGTTTCCGAACATCGGGATCGCCTGGCCCCCCTGGAACCTGAACATCGTCGTGCCCTGTCCGCCGACCGCCAACCGTTGAGTGTCCAAAGGACCAGAACCCGTTCTCCACCGCCAGCCGTGGGCCCACGACTCTCCGCACCTGAGGTTCAGTGGCTCGGCCCGACGCCCGCATCCACGGTCGACGACGCCGCCGAAACAAACGATGAAAGTGATCTCCACGCCGGCTGGGAGAATCCTTCGTACCCGGACGTGACAATCACCCCCTCGGAGATCGAGACCGATCTAGAGAAAGACTCGGAAACGCAGGCGCAGGCGCCAGTGCCGGCATCGGCACCCCTGCAGGACGATCTCGAGATGGAGCTGGAGCAGCGATGGATCCTGAATCTGAGCATGCACTTTCGGGACAACTCAGGCCGGGAGAAATTCTTCGTCACCTATGCCGAAACCCCCACAAAATGGCGGCGGGTGACGATATCGATGGATTACCGCGGCGCTCCGCCTAATTCCCTGGAGCGAGACTTGGAGGAATTGCGATACCAGCGTGACAAGTGTGCCCGAATATACGAGTCGATCCGGGAATCGCTTGCCGAGATTCAATTCTACGACACCGTGACGAATCTCAAGGTGGAGACACTCGACGGCCGTCTACACGTCCATGTCACTGAAGATGTCAATGAGATTATACCTTACCCGCCCATCGCCAGTATTCGCCATCTGAGAGGCGCCCGATGCGTACCCGAGCACCTCCTACACTTTGACTCCCATCTTTCGGGATTCGTGTACAAGGTTCAGCTGGGCGGACACCCATATATCAAGAAAGAGATTCCGGGCCCCGACACGGTGGACGAGTTTCTATATGAGATCAATGCCCTCCACGCCCTCAACGGTGCACCAAACGTGATCCGGGTGGAGGGCATAGTAGTGGACGATCAGCAGGAGGTGGTCAAGGGCCTACTGATCAGCTACGCAGAGCAAGGTGCACTGGTCGATATGCTGTACGAGCAGCGTGGACAGATCTCGTTTGCCAGACGGGAGCGATGGGCCAAACAGATCGTCCACGGTCTCTGCGAAATCCACGAGTCAGGCTACGTTCAAGGTGACTTTACTCTGTCAAACATCGTGGTGGACGAGCATGATGATGCGCATATCATCGACATCAATCGAAGGGGCTGTCCCGTTGGTTGGGAGCCACCCGAGATTGCTGCAAAGATCGAGAGCAACCAGCGTATCTCCATGTACATTGGAGTCAAGACGGATCTTTACCAGCTGGGCATGACACTGTGGGCACTAGCCACGGGAGAGGATGAGCCGGAACGACAACCGCGCCCGTTGGTCCTGGGACATGACGTGGATGTGCCAGAGTACTATCGACGTCTGGTCGACATTTGCCTCAGCCCAATACCTCGACACCGATTAGGCGCAAAGGAGCTTCTCCATTTCTTCCCACCTGATCTTCTTTTACGACGACCTCGGCCTATCAGCCAAATCGCCCTACCTCATGAGACCGAGTCTGCACCTTTTATGTCAACGAGGAATGGCTTCCTTCCTCTGCCTCCAGCAGAGGCACCACACCAGTATCACCGCAAGAACTCTTACGAGCAGGAGCAGCCCAATCTACATGGTGATAATCGACCACGATCCATGCTGGCAAACAATCATGATGAAGGGAAACGATCAACCATCACCCTCGCAGAGTCAACTGGAGATGCCGAATTCGCCCCTCGTCACTCATCTGCTTCCACCCTGAATCATAATGATCCGCATGATACTACCCGGTGTTGGGATCGCAGCCAGCACACTTTCGACGATTCAATGTCCGAATCAGCACCAGATCAGAAGGTACAAAATGCCGTGCCAGTTTTCTGGGCCAACAATATGGAAAATGGAAGCGCCAATGTCGAGGGGCAGCCGCCGGCCTCGGACTCTCCCTGCCAGAACAAGTCGGCTCCTGTTCAAGATCAAGACCTCGGTGAGGCTCAGAAGTCCCTGCCCGTTCAGCCAACCTTGGAAGCTTCGCCCAAAGACGAGCATGTACCTCCACCAACTCGGAAACATGTCAGCTTCGAATCTCGGACGAAGGATTCTGACTCGACGGCCTCTCTCCTGCTCTCGGCACTGCCAATAAATCCTGCCCTCAACATCTCGAAGCGCAGATCACTTCCATCTGTACTGAAAGAAGCACAGACTCATGAAGAGGTCACCATTGGATCCGTATCCTCTCTTGCAGAGTCCCGATTGCCCATCAATCCTGCTCTCGGACTCTCTCAGCGCAGGTCACTTCCAGCCATTCCACGCAACACCCAACCACAAACACCCGCTATCGCTGCTGCCGAGTCCGAGTCCACTCGTCAAAGACTCATCACCTTCCTCGCAGAATCCCAACTCCCCATCAATCCCGCCTTTAGGGGGAAACTCGCTAATCTCCCTTGACCGCCTTTCGACCCTCATCTCTACACTCTTTCTCGCAATGCCACCTTTCCCAGCAACCAACGCTCCGACCACGTGAACCAGAATCTTTTGAGCCCCTATCTATGTTATTTACGGGGCCCTGTGCTCGATACCCACTTCGTTTCTTTCTCGCTTGTATAGTTGCCCCTTGTCATTGTCTGGGTGTCCTTTCAGCATACCTGTTTATCAAGACATATGGCCCGATGACATATGCCGGCGAACATTGGCGTCAAAAAAGTCCTTTTACCTTCTTGCATTCTTCTGATGACTCTGATTTAATACATATTTTTTCGCGATTTTGTTCTTCTCTTTTGTTTACTTCTCGTTTCCAATGCTATCTATATTTGCGTTTCTAGCTTCTATAGGGGAGGGATTTTTCATTCTTTTCTGGCGTCGCAGGGGATTTACTTTTGATGTACTTTGATTGTTCATACCTATTTGAAAGACGATTTGAGTCCTTCTTTCTTCACCTCCCACGAACAAATGACTCGAAGCTATTCCTCCAAGGATCTACAGTCGGCCCTAACCCTCGGCCGATCAGTACGATCTTGCACTGGACGGGAGATGGCTTGTCATCGTCGGTCTGCGTAGGCTCGGAATCCCTAATTTCGAAAACATCGCGAACTGCTTGGATGATCCTACTTGAACCATCTTCAAGTCGTAAAATACCTTTTAGGCGATGAATCTCAAAATTCGTCGGGTGAGTATCAGGTGATGAATCGGCTGGCGCTGGTAGCGTTGATTCCCACAGGACAGACTGTAGCCATGAGTCGACTTGTGGCACCCTCTCCGCAGGGATTGGAGGTGTCACCACTGCAATAGTTGAAATAGCCTGTAGCGACAAGTCAACACTTCCATCCCAGATAATTAACCCAAGAACTAGATAGATAGACATACCGGATCAATATGACTATGCCCCTTCTTACTAAAATCCAAATCATCCAGATGATCATAGGCATGCAAATCCAACACAACCCCTTCAATCTGCGGCGTCCGACTATGATCCGTAACATGAATCTTAGCTACGCCATTAATAGCCGAGATCCGGTCTCGTACGGCTTCCAACTCCTCGGGCGTAACAAGATCAACCTTGTTGAGGATAATAACATCTGCATGTGAAACTTGCATATGTGCCATGGATAGCACAGGCCCGGAGCCGTGATCATGGTCCTCGCTGTGAGAGCCTGCTTGTTCTTCCGGTGCGGGCTCATCCAGTAGATGTAGGATATTCTTTGCGTCGACGAGTGTGACGATGCCGTCGAGATAGATGGAGCTGCCTAGCCCCTCGTCCATCCAGAAGACCGGGGCGATATTGCCTGGGTCTGCGAGTCCGGTGGTTTCTAGCAGGATATAGTCGAATGTACCCCTGCGTTCCATGAGGGACTCCAGGGCCATTACACCAGTGTCTCTAATTTCTTTTGTTAGTCTTCCACACTTATGTGATCAATGAGGCCTGGATCTGATTCTGGAAAGCGTACTTGACTGAGCAGCAGATGCAGCCGTTTGCGACTTCCATCCACTCGGTGACTTCCTGGCCGCCCTGGTTAACTGTCAAAGGTTTCTCAATGTCCGAGGCTATAGGTATAGGATTTTAGCTTAACGGCGTGTCATGTTTCGTGAAGAGAATCATTCTTACAGTCACCAAATTCTAAAACCAGGTTAGCATATATCCTTCATTTGGCTTCGACGTTTGAACGAACCATTCATAATCACAGCAATCTTCTTTCCATGTTCCTCCGTCAAAATATAGTTCAACAAAGTTGTTTTACCAGCTCCAAGGTATCCTGTGGAGCAAAACTTAGCTCTATAGTCCCTTGGCTTTGAGCTGGACCATACCTGTAACTAGCGTGATAGGAACTCGAAGTGTTGACTCCTCCTCTATAGGCCCAGGCTGGTCAGACGGCATCACAGAGACGTCCACCAGCTCTGGAGGCGTATCATCATCGTCTAAATTAGTAGACATGGTTGGAACATCAGATCAGATATTTGTTGTAGATCAAAAGGCCGATGCAACCCGCATGGAAACTACGCTACATGACGTTGTCGCCCAAGGCGGAGATTAGGGCTTAGGGCACGGGGTGGTCATTTGTTTGGTTGCCCCGTGAGCTTATCTGGCAGTACAACTCAAGGACAACGGGACAACAGAGTATGCTCGCAAATCCGTCGCCTCTCTGATCGACTCGTCAAGTCGCAGAGCTCCCTTCTACTTTTTTCATAGTCGCCAACTACACTCGTTTCTCCTCGCATCTTCTTTTTCCGCATATCTACCTTTCCGTCACGCGTCATGACTGCCGCGGGAGTCTCCCCGTCTAGCTCCCCGCGACTTCCCAGTCCGCCCCCATTCACGGAGGTCCAGATAGGACCTCTGTCGCCTTCGGTCGGCGAGACCTTTGGCAAAGATGCAGAGAAGCTTTTCGGAGTTGCAGGTGGCGAGGATGAAGGCCCAACGCGCCGTATCCGCCCAGGTACCAAGGCCGGCGACATGGCCTTCGGCCCGCCGCTGATTCCCCTTGCGCAGGTTCGTCTGGGCAGTAAGAAAGCTCTCGATTGACATCCCGCTGACAGTACCAGCTTGATTCCCCTTTCCAGCTCCAGGAACACCTCATGGCGCTCTATCATCATTTCACCAAGCCTGAAGGGTCCGACACGGTGATCCCAATCACTCGCCAAGTCGCAAGTCAGCTCGCAACCCCTCCGGACGGAGTTGACCGATCGCTGTGGCTCTACGAGCTATGCCGCTTCTTGACCATGAAAGTGAACAATCTTATCATCGCCTTCTTCGCCGAGAACCCGCCCTGCTCGGCGCAGACCTGCCCGGAAATGCGAGCGTCGGAATGGCAATACCTCTGCGCTGTTCACGACCCACCCAAGTCATGCTGCGCTATCGACTACTGCTGCCATACTCTCGACTGGGCTACCAACACCCTCACCTCTCCGAAGTATTTCCCCAGTCGCCTCACGTTAGGCGCCGAGGGCTCCGGCGGCCCACAGGCCAGCATGCGACACCTGACAAACATCTTCCGCCGACTCTACCGCATCTTCGCGCACGCTTGGTTCCAACATCGGGAAGTTTTCTGGACAGTGGAGGGGCATGATGGTCTCTATGTCTTCTTCAAGACGGTCTGCGACATGTTCGCTCTAATTCCGGAGGACAACTATACTATTCCCCAGGAGGCGGAGGGTCCGGATGCTGTCCAGCCCACGGCGGATGAAGCGGTTGACAACAAGCGGTTGACGATCCTACGCAAGGAGGGTGATGATCCCTTCGGTTCTAGTGCGGAGGGTATGGATCCAGCAATCAGTACCGGTGCTACTACCCGCCGCCACAAGCACAGCCCATCCACGGGATCACGAGTTAGCACGATCACGGAAAGTGCTGAGGACAACGATGACTCGCCTCAGCTGGCAGCACCTCTGCGAGAAGCTCTGCAAGAAGAGGATCAGCCTGAACCAACTGGGAATGTTCTTACTGAGGAGACAAAGGAGGTCTCTCTTGAAAGCACAGAGCCAATTCTTGCTGCGGAGACAGCTGAAGATGCTATTCCAGCTGCAGTGACATCTACAGAAACCGAGAAACCCACAGAGGAGGTCGCCACAGAGGAAAAGCTCGAAGAAGCGGAAACAGACGCACAAGACAGTCACGACGAAGTTAACCCTCCAAAGTCCGCGGATGAAGCTCCTGCGGATGATGTGACTACCTCTTCTACTGCTGAAGACAATAAAGAAGTAGAGCCAGAGTCCAATGCTGCGCCTGCAACTGAGCAGAAATCAGAGTCATAAAGACTTGCAGACCCTGATCATTTCCCATATCTTCTTGTCTTCACTAATGTCTCATTACCAAACGCCATGCTGCACTGGGCGTTGAACCATGTTATTATTATGTTTGTAATATAGCCCAGGATACCATTTATGGTCAATGCCAATGATACCCATTTTCCTGAAACTGCCATCCAAACTTGGTATGAATTAGAGAGTATCAGAGATGAATATAGGCTGCTCTGTAGATAGATATCAGATACTGTAGATCGGAGGAGCTGCCCAGCTACCCTTTGATCTGCACTGATAAGCACCTTATCTCCGCGGCGCATCTCCGCCCATCCCCGATCCTCCAACTTCCTCATCACCGCCTTCAACGAACGGCAAAATCAAGTCACTTGCAATCGTTCGATAAGGATGTCCTCAGTCAAAGGCGCTTCGGCGCCGATCTACTTTGGATCCTTCCTGGTGACTCCGCAAGTAAGTTCTCCCTGGCACTGATCCACTCGCTCGTCGAAAACATGAAAAATTAACCCAGTGTCAACACAGGTCTTCCACCAGACGCCGCTCTCCTATGCGCTCGTGAACCTGAAACCCATCCTCCCCGGCCATGTCCTCGTCTCTCCCCGCCGAGTCGTCCCCCGCGTCGCAGACCTCACCCCAGCCGAAACCAGCGACCTGTTCCTGACCGTCCGGCGCGTCGGCCGCATGGTGGAGCGTCTTTACGGCGCGACGAGCCTCAACATCGCGGTGCAGGACGGCGTCCACGCTGGCCAGAGCGTGCCACACGTCCATGCGCATATCATTCCGCGCAAGGCCGCGGATCTCGACCCTATCGATGCCGTCTACCACATGCTGGACGGAGACGAGGGAGATGTGGGCAAGGCACAGCGCGAGGCGCAAACTGGTCAGCCCGCCGAGTCTGACCGAGCCAAGAATCGCCCGCGCTTCCCCGTCGTTGACAATGAGGAGCGGAAACCTCGTACAGCAGAGGAAATGAAGGCTGAGGCAGAGATGCTGGAGCGCGAGATGGAGAAGGAGTCCTTTGACTAGGAGTAAGGGGATTCTCATTTGATCTGTCTCGTGTCGGCCACGGTGGCAATCATCTAACTCAAAACTACGTACGAAGATATGACCCATACAGAATAGGGCAAGTCTAGAAGTGTATTTGCTCAATCAATCCCGAAAATTCAATGCAGTCGTACATCATCAAACGTCTGTCTTCGTAAGGAACATATTCCCAACTCGTTCCACTCTATGGTATCTAGGGTACCCCCAAAATTATGGACCAAAACAAAAAGAAACACCCCAAAAATAAAAATACTAGTGTCGCGGGGCTCCAAAGAATCCATGTGCTCTCATCAGGGTAGAATCATGCACGCTTCGGGCGCTCGGCAACGACCTGCTGAGCCCAGACTTTGATCTCCGGTAGTTGAACGCGACTGGCGACGCGCTCGAACTCGGACAAGTCGACATTGTGAGCACGCTCGTACTCCACCATCTGGAGGAGCAGCTCCATCTTATCGATATCGTGAACGAATTGAGCCTCGAGCGTGACGTTGTCTTCATACTCCTGGAACACGCGCTTGATCTCCTGGGCAGACAACGCGCCGCCAGGGATCTTGCCCAACAGGGTCTCGGTAATATAGTCCATAACGTCAGCTTCGCGACGAGCCTTCTCGGCCTTGGTCACCTCCTTGTCCACGGGGGTAATATCGCCGACGAGCGATTCGGCCATATCGTGGATCAGGGCCATCTTGGTGCAGTGCGGGATGTTGAGTTTGGAGGCCAGTTCGGACGGGGCAAACATCGTCATGATCGACATGCGATACATGTGGTCGGAGATCGATTCGCCATTGATACCGAAGCGGCGCCAGCCTTCGCGCTTTGTGGTCTTCAGGCGCTCAAGGAGATGGAAGAAGGGAATGGGCGAAGTCGTGTTCTCCTCTGGAGGGTGGGGGAGGGTAGACAGCACTAGAGAAAGATAAGGGATCAGTCCTAGTTCATATTTTCGGAATAGCCACAGAGATTTACCTGTCTGAGGAGTCCATTGAGGAGTGTTGGATCCCATTTCTGCGGACTGTGGAGGAGAGAGAGAGAGAGAGGAGAGGGTTCGAACAAGCGCGGGGGGGCAGGTATAGATTTGGTTGAGAGAAGGGAAGGAAGATTCCAAAAGAGAAACATACCCAAAATAAGGCGGGGACTGATAAGCGCAACAAACAGTGCAAACCCCCGTTATCAATTGTTGACATTCCGCCGCCTTTGAACTAAACCACGCCCTCCCCATTCGCTCGCAGCAACATGGCTGCCCCCAGGCCCTCACGGCCAAAGCCCCTAGACTGGTCCGGCCCATCGCATCTTGCTCTCTTTATTCGCAACCTGAAGCTTCTCCATTTGGATCAGCGTGATGACTGGCCCGGTATCACCATTCGCTCGTTGTCATCGTCGTCGCAGAACCAGCGCCAACGAATTCGCCTGATCGAGTGGTCTTTATACTATCTGTTTACGATCTGGGATCCTGAAGGTGCTCAAAATGTATTTCAAATCTCCCTCGAACCAGAGTTCTCTACAATTTCTAATCTCAATACAGAAACTCCGCCCTTTTTTTCCACCCTTAGAGCCCCTGCAATCCGTCAACCTTCGTGCAGCTCTATTCCGAGCTCTGAGCGAGTTAAAGAAAAATGGCGACCTCGGACGGGAGACGATCCTTCGCAAAACAATGCTGGATGACTGCAAGGGCGAGAAATTTGACGAACTGCTTGCCGTCTTCTCCACGGCTGTCCTGCGGAAGCTAGTAGCAGCATCAGCATCGGAGATGCTCTGGAATCCCGCCATGACAATATCTACCGCGTCTTTGATTTCTCCGACAGATTATCAGAACATCCTACCATTGATCCTTGCTCACCAAGTCTCCCTCGATGCGACGGGAGTTCGCCGTTCACGGGTACAGGAGACCTATGAGCAGTTCTCGAAGCTGCTTGATGATAAGAAAGTCGAGCTTACAGAGCGGGCTAACAATGTTTCCACGTACAATCAAGATCGGTCACGTATGGATTCAGATGGACTGGTGCATGAGCTTCGAACAAACTGGATGGGCAGTGAGGAATGGGCTACCGCTCTTCTGAATGGCGGATCCCAAAGCAGCACCGACGCCTTCCTAGAACTCCCCTTCTCCAAGGCATGGAAACAGGCTACAGAATCAACGGTAGATCATCTCAGCAGTGGAGTCAAATCAGACCTTGTGGTGGATCTGGAAGCTCGAGTTCTGCGGCTACGAGGTCGAGTGCGCAGATGGCATGAATTCAGCGACTCTCTGCGCAAAGAACGTGACGGGAGCGAAGATGCGACAGGCTCCGCTCTTCAAGAGTCTCGTCTAGTATTTCGAGATCATCAGTCATTGACCATGGCAAGTATATCCAAGGCGGTTCGAGAATCAGCAGACCGCGGTAGAACCCTGAAAGAAGCCGATCGTTCTTTCATGTCGAGTGTGAACGAGGCCATCACACGGGTGAACGGCAAGCCTCATGTTGAGATGGCTCAGCCGTCGTCAGTGAGCTGTTCAGAGGTGGATTCTCCACCAGCCTCGGTGATGAACCACGCTCAGCCGACAGGACTATCAGCATTGGAAGATACACAAGCTTCCAATCCTTCAACCCGCAATTCTCCGGAAATACCAAACCCAGACCCAATCCAATCCTCGCCTCCAATAGTCCGCCTTTCCCCAGACTACGACCACCACTCTGAATCCGACTCCGATGAACGACGAGACCCAGAACCTCCTAAAGCCCCAACCTCAAGCTACACCCTCGTCGAACGAACCCGCAAATCCATGTCCCTAATCCCACCCCTACCCACCCACGAATCCCACCCTCCCAAACGCCGCGGTCCACGCCCCTCATTCCCAGTCAATCAATTCCAAACCCCTCGCAAATCCTCACGTCCGAAAATCACCCGCTCTTCCACGCCACAGGATAAACTCTTCGAAGAAGAAGCCGATTATGCAAGCGTGTTTAAATCCCGGCCTCGCGTTGCCCTTAGTCCGATTTCTTCGCCGGCTGTACATGTTAGTCCATCGATGGATGAGGATGATGGGTTTGAGTTGGAGTATGAGGAGGCGGATTTGAGGGATTTGGATTCGCCTTTGGTTACTTCGAGGTTTCGGGGATAATTGAGATTATATGTCTGCTCTAGGTTCTGATCCATCAGGTGGGAAATCTATATATAAAATACTCTAATGTACAGTTTCCTACTTCTCATTCTCCAGATAGGTCATAGAACTGCAGCCTGGATAGGCTAGCAGTCCTTCATTTCAGGGTCTGATGTAGTTCAAAGGGCGTCTAACAAGTTTTCAATAATGGTAGGTTCACTCTTCGAATAATCTGTCTCGTATATTATTCTTTGGACACCGATCCAGGTATACACATCACTCATAAATTTTCATTACAATAGTGCTAGAATTGTATATTTAAGGTAGCCGGACACCCAACTCAACGGCGTCACGTACGTATCAACCCGGCGCATACTCAGATCCCGAGTCAAGATCATATTCATCGCCCGTTTCCTCAGCGGCTGAACCATCACCGGAAAGATTGGCAGGATCTGTGCGCCGGCGGGTATCGTGATGTTGCTCCACGATCAAGCCATCATCCGCGTCCGCGTCAGCTTCACCGGGTAACAAAAAGCCTCCACCGTGATCAAGGACATTATGGGAAGACTCCTCAAAGTGGTGATGCTCATCCGCAAATTCAACCGCAGCCTCGGAATCATGCTCCTCATGCTGACCTGAGCCCTTCTTCTTCCTCGCCGCAAAGGGATTACATTCATCCCTCTCGCGATCCCCCGGGTTATCAAACGCACCATACTCCTCCTGCACACGCTCCATAATGCGCAACCCGAACAGAAACTTCCGCCACGTCTGCAAAATACGTTTCTCGGCTTTGAGTTCTTCGCGTTTCCGCTTTTCCTCGGCATCGATACGCCATGCATCGCGAAGTAAATCTTCGTTCTCGGCGGCAATAACCACGCCCTGGATTACGGGTACTGCCATCTTCGAGCCAAATTCGAAGCCGGTGACGGCCTCGGCGTGATCGATGCCGAGTTTCTTGCACAGGCGTACTGTGCCCGGTAGTGGGACGTGTGCGGCGCCGCGGGGGATCATACTCGGTACGAAGCAGTCGATGTTTCCGTAGTCGTTTTTCGGGATGATCCCGTCGACGATGGGTGGGGGGATGATGAATTCCGTTTGATCGCGAGCGTAGAGTCCCTGCATGGGCTTTTCGCCTGTCTCGCGCTGTAACTCATCTACCTCGCGCTTGCGTCGGAGGGTGACGGATCGAATCGGGACTCGTTTTAGGGGCACTGCGCCTGGTAGGATCTGCCGCCCTTCTTTGTGCCAGCTCTCTGCCGACATGCATTTGACGACGTCCGCCCGACGGAATACAGGCTCCTGCTTGGCTTTGTCGCCTTTACCGGAGGTGAAGATGCGGACGGATTGTGCGCCGGGAATGAGGGCTTCCTCGCGGCGGAGAAACCGTTCCAGCACGAACTCAGTGGATTGGCGGAGACTTTGGAGAGTATCCGTTGTCTGGGCTGTCTTCTTCTTTTCGGGTTGTTTTCGTTGAAGATCGTTTGCATCTTCGTGTTCGTCAACCTTGGTCCGCTGGTTCGGGCCTCTCATATATGGACGCATGATGACCCTGAACCAGTCGAACTCGAAGTATTGGCCTCGGCGATGACCTGGTAGCGGGATCTTCTCCACCGGCATGCGTAGACCCTTGGTTTTTCCAGGCCAAGTTCGTCTCTTGAGGTATCGGGTTGTCACGTCTTTGGCTGTGCCATCGGCTGAGTAGGCGACGACATAGCAAATCACCTGCTTGGTGCGATCGGCCTTGGCACCGCGCGGTTCAAAAGCGGCTTGTAACTCGGGTGTCGTTGCCACAGGATTCGACAGAATCAGAGGGTCGACCGGAATAATTTCATGAGTGATTGGGGAGGCAACCTCGGTCCAGTAGATAGGGAATGGCATATCCTTGTCAAACTGGGGTTTACCTTTCTTCGATTTCGATAGCTCCTCTGGAGTTGTATCTTCTTCGGACCCTTCAGACTCGTTTTCTGAGCCCGCACGTTCTGGCTCGGTCTCCGTCTTGGACGGTGTATAGGTTTCCGCTTTAGTCCATCCAAATCCTAACGGCTGTAGACTAGCCACAAGCCTGGCCTCAATATCCAAAGCTCTAATGAGAGCCGTGAAGAGCTGCGTGCCTACATCTCGAGAGCCCTGCATGCGTTCAGCCGCGGATCGAAACTCATCCCTACTAGCGATGCGCTCTCCATGCCGCACTGGGTCATGCTCCTCGTTTCGAAAATCATTAATGACCGCCTCCAACGAGGCGATTGGGCGATACCCATGTTTGCGCAGCCCAGGCGCGGTAATGCGAAACTGCTTCCTCCAATATGCCACCAGAATCTTCAGCAGGCCGATCAAAGGATCACCTCGGCTCATATCTGGCTGCCCCGGCTCCAAACGCTGGGTATCCGCACTCCAATCCTTATCCTTGCGTGCCTGCTTCCCTTTCTTCTTGCTCTTGGGCGGCTGCGGTTTTGGTTCGGGGAGCTCCAACCCCGATGCGATTCGCCATTTCTTGACTTCTTTATGGATGCCCTCGGGCAGCTTATTGCGTAATATCTCGTGGACTTTCTTGTCGTTGACCCAGGCGTTGCGAATAGCATTATGGAAGAGCAGGCACTGAACGTGCATGCAATGAGACTGAATGCGGATCTGGCGTTCAATCTTGCTGGGCCCTTTCTTGCCATCCAAGAGGTCTGTTACATGATGTTCGTTCTTGTCCAGGGTGAGCTCCAAATCTTGCAGCTCAGGCTGGGGCCCCGCGACGATTGGCGTCGTGGCGTTGGTAGTATTGGTGTCGATTGCATCCTCCCAGTCGACATCCTCCTCTTCATCGTCGTCTGATTCAGGTGCACGAAGTCCCTGCGGTGTCTCAATATCGCTCTCGGGGGCATCACTCAGCGACGATGATGAAGAGGAGGAGTCGGAACCATCGATTATGGGAACTGGCGCTGGCGGTTCGGCCTGGGCCTGGCGCTTGGCTGGGGGCGGGTCCGCGGAGGAGATGCGCTTGCGGGGGACGAAGGGCGGCATGCGCGGGATTCGACTGCGATTGCCGAGGGCTTGAGCCTTGAAAGAGTAACAAAGAATAAAGTGGGGGTGAGGGTACAGTAGTTCAGTTTTGGGAAAGCGTCGTTGAAAGCGATCGTCGGGGGAAGGAGATGCGCGATGAGCCAAAGACGGGCGTGGATGACGGTGTCGGCGGATGCCGAGGTCTCGCTGACTTGACAAATTGAACTTGAACTTGGGTTGACTTCACTTGACGATATTGACGGAGTGTTCCACAGCTTCTGACTCGTTCTCTGGTTCTACAATCCTCTACAACGATAACCAGCCCGCTTTTCCTCCTTTCTCCGGAATCTCCCAAATGGCGGCCGTCAAGCGATTCTTCTCTTCCCCGCGCTTTGCCGTGGCGGGCGCTAGCAATGACCCGGCCAAGTTCGGCTTCAAGAGTCTGTACCCCTCTGCCCACTCTTGAATCTACTATTCTATGAGCCTACCAACTCACATCCTCCAGTCCTCGCATGGTATCACCAACACTCGCTGCCGGTGACCCCGTTAAACCCGCGAGCACCGCAGATCACCCTCCCCTCGTGTGCGTACGACACTGTCCCCTCGCCGAGCAAACTGCCCTCGCCCACCCAGACCTCCTTGTCCGTGGTCACTCCTCCCCCCGTGACCCTCCAGGTGCTGCAAGAAGCACATTCGGTCGGAATCCCTGCCGTCTGGCTGCAGCCGGGGACCTTTGACGATGCAGTGCTCGAATATGCTCGAGGACACTTTGAGGCGGTGATTGCGGGCGATGGGGGAGCGGGCGGCGAGGGATGGTGTGTGCTGGTGGATGGCGATGAGGGCTTAGATGCTGCTGGAGTTCAGTGGACCAGCCAGCGACTGTGATAGAGAGGGAGTGGAGTGTTAAAAAAAAAAAAAAAAGGAAGTGTGGAGGAGACGATCTGATCTGGAGATGTTGGCTCATGCTCGATGTGAGGGGGCAGCAACAGCTACTGAGGATGTCTCAGATTAGGACCGAATATACTGGTTGTTGTTGCTATTATTCACTGAGTACTCTGTCGAAGCTGAGTGTCGAATTTCAGTCCTCTCGAGAACTTCCAGTCTTTTCTTTTTTTCCCTTTTCTGTTGCAAAACACTTTTATCAGTCTCCAGAGTGTTACTGTAGATTGGAGTAAGCTCCGCCCAATGACGCTTTGTTTTGGTCCAACACTAGACCCGTCCGAGGTCCCCAACCTCCTCGTTACTTTTTTCCTTTCTCCAGTCGGTCCTCGACTTTTCTCTTTTCTCTCTTCCGTGTTGAACTTTCTATTCTTTCTCTGCTCTATCCTTCTGACAAGATACTCCTTTCATCTCCTCTCCTCATCCCCCAGGACTCCTCCAAACATGCCGGACATGCCGGCCCTCTTCCACCAGTCGGCCTCCCCACCCAAACTCGACCTTGCCAGCGCCAACTCCCAGTTCTTCCAAGTGCCTTCGTCTGCATCCGCCTCTTCATCACTCTACTCGCTGTCCGTCAGTCGCAAGCGACCTCGTCGCGACACCGAAAAGCTATGCTCCAAATTCGAGGCCTCGTCCGAGGTAGCCTCCGCCTCTCCACTGCTGCAGGCCGACTACCGTAAAACAAGCGGTCACGATCAGTTCCTCCACGCTGCCGACCTCGACTATCGTCCCAACCGATACCGCGAGTCATTCCTACCACCCTCGCTCGACAATAGTGTCGAAACTATAGACCCCGACCTCTACGGGACAAGCCGCAAGCGCAGTCGGCGCGACTCGATCCTCACATCACCCGGCGCTGAGGATGTCAGCCCTAACACAAGAAGCATCGGGTGGGGACGAACCGTGATCAACGTGGTAGGCAAAGTCCTCGATCTCTGCTGGTCAGGCACATTCAAGGGCTTTTACGCCGGTGGGGGACAAGGCTACGACATGCAGGCCGGCTCGCCAGCACCATTGAAGGCGAGCTGGGAGACTGGGCCAGGTCCAGCTGAAAAAGACCGTATCTTCCGAAGTCCAATCCCCGGCCAATACCCCGAAGAGGATCTCGATCGAAACTGGGTTGTTATACCTTCCGGCCCGACCGATCCTTTCGTTGGCGATAGTGCTTGCAGTCCTTCCACACGTCCCCGTCGCCTTCACCAGGCGTCCAGTCCCCGTCGTCGGCCAGCAGTCATGCCGAAGTTGCACAAACGACCCAGTTCGTCGATGCGACCTTCCACGCCCACGAGGAATCAGAGTTTGCCTTCCCCTCGATTGAGAGACGGACCCGGCTCGGCTGAGATGCAACGATATGCAGCACAGATTCGCCGAAGGGAACGTGAAGAGGATGCCAGTATCAAGCGATTGAATCGCCAACTTCAAGCGATGATCCGAGAAGGTAAACAGGCCTTGGGATCGACGGTGGAGGTGGACGACCTGGACATGGACTTTGACTGAGCAGTGCTTGGAATATCGCATTGGCGTCAATCCTCTCTCTTTTTCTTGTTCCTTGTTAGCTTTTGGTTTTGTGATGACTCCTTTTTTGTTCATGCTTCTCATGATTCGATACCCCAAACGCGCTGGTCGTCTTGGCTATTCGGACCAAGGCGAACCGGCTGACGCGCTTGACGACGTTACGATCCCGGTGTTTTTATGCTTTCTTTACTTTCCATTCATATTCCCCCAAACAAACTTGACTGTGATGAGGGGGACCATTTAATCCAAAGTCTTTGTTTGCTATCAGACTGCATTACCAATGACAAAGGCCTTGCTTGACTTGAATCAAATGACATTGTAACTGAAATTCAATAAATACATCATCGACTTGACTCCATAACGACTGACTTCATTCAGGCGAACAACCTCTTACTAACCCGAACGGACGAGCTATCCTTCAAGGATTACCTTACCATAAGATCACGACAGACACCCCCTACTGACCAGCGGGTGCAAGCCCACCAGGCGAGAGCAGACCAGCAACCTTGCGCAAAACACCACTACTGAGAAGAACGTCCGGCAGGGTAGCGCCCTGAATAGGCTCACCGCGAGGCTCAACCTCAACATCACGACGATCATTCATCTGATGAACAAGCGTCAGCTATACTTCTATACAGGTCCAGAAAATCCCTCTACTTACCGGCAGAATCCCAACACCGTGGTTGGCATTATGAACCAGATCACCAAGACCGCCCTCACCGAAGAGTTCCTTCAACGGATCCTCAGCGGGCTTCTTGTTATCCTGAGCAGGCTTCTGGTCATTCTTGCCCTTGTCGTCGCCTTTTGCCTTCTCAGCCTGCTGCTCCCCCGCAAGTTGCTGCGGGGTCTTCAGCAGGTCGAAAATGTCACGGCGACGGTGGCTGAGAGTCTCGGACTGGGATGGTAGTGTGAGTTGTGATGTGATTATCGTGTGGTCTTCAGGGTGGAAAGGCACTTACTCCTCCAGAGGTGAGCTTCTTGACGAAAGAGAGCAGGCCCAGGCTCTCGGGGTTGGCCTGGTTGTCACGCTTAGCTGCGTCGTTCTGCTTCTGTGCCTATTTACAGTGAGTAAATGATATACATCCCGGGGAGTGTTGAAGACTTACTCCACCGAAGAGACTGCCAATGAGTGGCAGGCTACTGAGCTCACTGGTCAAGTCGCGGCGGTGGTTCTGGGCGTAGTTCTGCAGCCAATTCTGGCCTTCGTTCTCGCCTTCGTTCTGGCCTTCGTTCTCGCCTTCGTTCTCGCCTTCGTTCTCGCCTTCGTTCTGGCCTTCGTTCTGGCCTTCGTTCTGGCCTTCGTTCTGGCCTTCGTTCTGGCCTTCGTTCTGGCCTTCGTTCTGGCCTTCGTTCTGGCCTTCGTTCTGGCCTTCGTTCTGGCCTTCGTTCTGGCCTTCGTTCTGGCCTTCGTTCTGGCCTTCGTTCTGGCCTTCGTTCTGGCCTTCGTTCTGGCCTTCGTTCTGGCCTTCGTTCTGGCCTTCGTTCTGGCCTTCGTTCTGGCCTTCGTTCTGGCCTTCGTTCTGGCCTTCGTTCTGGCCTTCGTTTTGGCCTTCGTTCTGGCCACAGTTCTGCCCAAAGCTTTGGCCTGGGTACTCGAATGAACGAGCAGACATGGCAGGCATAGCATCACCGTTGCCAAGAGGCTGGTTGGTGTTCTGGTTCTTATCTTGGTTCTATGGAATTTGTCAGATCAATCGGTCATCCTGGGTTTTCCAATTGCATCCTCTAGTCACTTACACCACCGAACAGCTCTCCCAGAAGAGGGAGTTTGCTCAGATCGCCAGTGAATGAGCGAGCGTGCAATTCCTCCTCCTCGACGCTGCGCTTCTAAATGCCAATTCCAATCAGTTCCTTATATTCCAGATCCTCTATTGATCACTTTGCCGGGTTTTACACTTACACCACCCAGAAGACCACCGATCAAGGGCAATCCCTGGAGAATACTAGCCTTCTCCTGCTTTGCAGCCTCGGCGACTTCCGTCTTCTGCTTGGGGGTCTTTTGCCAAGCTAGATCAGCATCCTGGTTCTCCAGGTTGGAAGAGAGTTGGCCAACCAGCTGATTCAGAGCCCCATCAGCACCAGCGCCGATAAAGTTACCAGTACCGTCGCGACGCATGGGCTCAACGCTGGTATAATCATTGCTGTTCGGCGCCATGGGAGCCGCCATGCTCACGGCAGCAAAGAGCGTAACCGCATAAGTAGTCTTAACCATCTTGTCGGCTGTCCCGATGAAGTCCTGCAAGAGCTATAAACGAGAGTCAACGTCGGCGAGCGACGAGGGAAGTGGGCGAGAGGAAGCAAAAGCAGGGGAAAGCGATTCAATGGACAAGTTCTGCGGAATGCAAAACATCGAGGGATGGGGTGACTTGGCTTGGCTTTATACAGATCGCCCTGGTGGCATTCTAGGATAGCTTGGGAGTGCAGGGGTGGAGGAACTCGCGTCTCCCTCACGGATGAGATGGGCCATTTAGCAGTGTCAATGACCCTTCCGAGGAATGTGGTGGGCTTCCACGCTGTGTAGGAGTGGTTGTCCTTGTTACTCGGTCCTACAACAGGAATGTCGTGAGGCTTGTTTGGTTTAATTTCTCCGTTGATCGAGCTCGCAGGGTGCAGATGCAAGGGGGATCGTCACTGATGGTGTGCGACGATGTCTGAACAGTATTTGATGGACTCGTGCCTGATGCCGCTTCCATCATTTAGGGCTATCCTCGTGCGGGTGTAAAGTGGTATAAGAGATGTCCCTGGGTTTCAAATTGGTGTGAGGCCTATATGGACAGTATGTCTGTGCTCCGCGAAGAACGTGTTATGGCCTGCTGATGATTTAGTCTGTTGAAGGTGAAGGGGATGCGGCTAATTATCCCTCTCATTTACCCTCCCTTGCCCTTGTTTATTTCATTTGGTTTGAAATCTTGAAAGCTGCGCGAAATGTCGGATTCATGTTCGATTATGAGACGCTTCCACGTCTAAGTTCTAGCGAGTATCAAATTGGGACTCCGGGCCGTAAGACTGAATTACCACTTTGGACAGCATGATAGAGCCTTGGTAGACCAATGCACTATGTGACGATACAAATTATTTGTCTTCCTTCTATTTTTTAGATGAGATTTACCAGCCTCCAGATGCATCCAGTGTAATATTCAGAGTCGTGTCTCGGATGGTCTATATTTTTCATTAACGAAATCCTACCTATGGGTTGCCAATTTACATTGAGTTGATGTTTACGATCGTTTCCAGGCCACTCTACATATAGTCTACGTGTATTGGAGACAGCTGATGCTCTGATTCTTTTTTGCTTGCAAAAGCGTGAGTCGGGTGAGTCAAATCGTCATCCAGTTGCAAAGATATATCCAGGCCTGCATCCGACTCGGCAACGGGCAGCCCCTACAAGCTCGCAACCTAATTAATCGAAATATGACATTGAGAATGACAGGAGACAAACCTAGTCTCTCCCAATCGGTTCCCAATACGTATCGGATGAAAGCGTTGTATGCTAATCTCAAAAACAATGGTCATTCAGCGAGATGTGGTGCTTTAAAGTTACCCTTTTGCGGACAAATCACAATTGTTTCATATAGTCAAAATCGCTCAATTATCTTTATCAACCGGCCAACTGGCCTAGTGGTAAGGCATCCGTTTCCGGTGCGGGAGATCGTAGGTTCGAATCCTGCGTTGGTCGTTTTTTGTGTCCTCTTCTTCTTGGTTTTTGGTAAATACAAAAAGGGTAGCTAGCGTTGCCGCTATCCATCAGCTTTTCCGCTTGCACCCATTGCGGCCTTAGATTTCTGCCTTACGGCCTGAAACTTTGCCAAGCCCGCCATGCCAGTATTTTACAGCGTCTACGCAGCCTCGCCCAATAAAAACGCAATTTTCGCCTCGGGTTAGACACGAAAAACAAAAAACGACCAACGCAGGATTCGAACCTACGATCTCCCGCACCGGAAACGGATGCCTTACCACTAGGCCAGTTGGCCGGTTTCATGTTAGGTTCGTGCAATCTTTGCATCATTATGGGGAACTGTCAAATATCTTTATCTTATCCTCTTTTCTCTCGTATCTGAACCGTATACACGATTACAGCCTGTAGTAAAATTACAGGTAGTGTTCAGATCCATATTTAATAACACAATACACTCAGTATAATTGTTCAGATCCCAGATGCCGATGTGCCAGCATGCCTGTACGAGTCTAGAGGGGGCATTGTTATACGGATAGACGAATACATATCCATTTCATGAAAGGCACGGAACAGCCTCAGTAAAGTGTCCAGCACCTAAAATAAATTTATATCGGATCGTAAAGCTGGTATTGAAGATACTCTAAAACTCATCACACTTCAATCATCCCCGACGGATAGAATCGCGTTCCAGCCGCGCTGAATTCCTCGCAGAGTGAATTTCCCAGTCAGAAGTAATTTTGATCTGCCCGTGAGCCAGCTCACTCAATTTTTTCGCCATCGGCGGCATCGTGACAGTAACCAGTGGTATCTCGGGTTCTTCCATATGCGATTTTGACAGAAGGGTCGACTTCCAGCTCGGGGATATGGGACTAGTGGATATACCATCCGTTGTTGACGAGAACACTGAAGTTCCAAAGGTTCTCTGGACAGATGGGGAGAGCACTGGCAAACATGCCGTGATGATGCCTAGGAGAGGTACAATGCTCGTGAGGAGCGATTTTCGTGCTGAGCCGTAGGTTGGATCCTCTGGGTCCAGGTCGAATTCGACTTTGATTCGAACGGCGGAGACGGCGATGATACTACATGGTCACGTTTAGCCAGTGTCTAATATGACTGCCAATGAACAGGGCAATACATAGAACTTACCCAATTCCAAGAGCGTATATGCAGCCCAGTGCGACTTTCCTGGCTCTGGAAAGGACCAAGTCCCGTATAGCAGGACTGGGAAGCAGAAGAATCACTCCGTCGAGGACCACCTCGGTCACAGAAGTCCCCAGATGCAGCATTTTCCGGTTACCACAATGACCATCCATATCGGATAGCCACACCTTCTTCGGCGGCGTGCAGAAGAATGCAGTTGCAAATGTGCTTGCAATCCACAACGCGGTACACAGGCCCATGGTGACATAGCTGGCCCAGATGATGATTTGACGTGGGAATCTCCCGAGATAGTAATGTAAAATCGAGAGTTGAATCAGCGCCACGATGGTGATCCAGAGAAGGTCACCGGCATATGTAAGCTAAATGACGTTAGACTAACTCTTCACCCATCTTTTGGACTGACAAGTCCGAGTGGAAGTTGGAAACTACCTGGTCAAATTGAACAAAAAGATCGGGGCCACCGACACTGGCAACCTCTGCTGCATGCAAGCCCATTCCACAAAGTAGGATAAGGGCAAGCTCGACAGTATAGCGGCCGACCATGAAGATCTGAACAGAGGACGTTAGGATGCTTTGACAGGGTAGAGCCGGGGAACTTTTTCTTACCATTGCCGCTACTATCAAGTAGTCATTTCCTTGCCACGAAACTCCCAGCAATCGCCGAGACCATAACCGCAGACTCACTGCCACAAAGCCAATAGCCAGCAGAACCGTCTGCACAGCAATATCAGCCTTGCCTAGCCAGTTCTGGCTCAGCTCATGAACAAGTGTCCCGGTAGGAGGTGGCATCGAGCAACAATCCAACAATCAGGAATTCCTCGCCAGGCATCGGGCACCACCCCGAAATATAATGAGCCTTAAAATTCCATCCATCCAGGCCTCGGGACCACGAGGACTTGAAGAGGGGGGCAATGCGGGGCCTTGCATTAAGGTCAGTAAGCTAACCAGGGGGGCCCCTGCGCGCAGGCCGCCAGCGAGATCGACGCTTGTTGTCATGAAGACATCGTGGCTCCAGTACGACGAGCGATTTAATCTGCGTCTAGCAAGTGTGTGAGCGCTGATTGGACTAGAGAAGGCTCTTCTGGAAGTACTGTATATCCGGGCAGGGCGTTTTGTAGAGCGGGGGCCCGCTGCCTGGAGTCTCGGACAGGCTAAACATCTTCTGATGGGATCCACAGCACTTTATCTCAGACATCCGCGTGTCACACCGCTGCAAAGTCCGTTTTAAATTGCCGATGCGCTGATCATGCTATTGCGTCGGTCTAGACCTACGAGAAGTGATTTACAGTATTCTCAGCCTGACGGACGGTAGTAGCTTAGCTTAGACCGGGAAATCATATGAACGGCTGGGGCCGGGATCGAAATATATGTTACTATATCGGATACATAGCGTGTGAGATTTTGGACAGGATGTGCTATTCACAAGATAGACTCCCACTGAGTCCGTGTGGAGTCCGACGGCTGGAAACAGCCACTGACGGGACCTTGCATGTCAAGTCGAGGTCGAAGCTCAAATCGTACCCGGGAGTGAATCGAGACATCCTCGTGCGAATGCTGCAAGATCGCACCGTACAATCTGTCTTCGAATGACATTAGTAAGATCATGCTTGGGCTTGGTCTGGACCGGAAAAGTGGCTGTTAGAAGTGATCAATATGGACTGTCAGGGACCTAATGTATGAGGCTCGATGAGCTTTCCTGGACCAAAATTGAGTAGGTCGATGTAACAACGTTGCTTGGACCCTCGACTGGAGGTCTAGACTTCAGGAATCCTTAAAATCTCGATTCTTAAGACCCACGGTACTTTGCGTATCACGAAACCTCTAGCGAAGGAACGGGGCCAGAGATGGACTTGGGCCAGTCTGCAAGGCAGGTTGCCCTTCCAGTGAAACCTAGTTCCTAAAGCTCAGATGCATTGGAGATGCTACGATTGTATATAGTACAACTAGTAGGATAGCAAGTACTCGAGTAAGGTCCCGTAGTAAAGTGATTAATCATGAAGTATTATATTCAACTCTTTCTCATCCCAATCATCAAGCTCATAAGCTGTATCTTTGTAGTCCTACATCTCCTTCTCTGCCAGAGACGACGTTTTCAACCCGTCGTGATACGAATCCGGTTCACTTGCAGCACATTATCATCCACGCCTGCCCGCGCAATCTCAAGTGCTCTTCTTCTGAGCCTCTCGCTCCGCCTTGCGCAAGGCACGCTTGCGAATAGTCTCGTGCATGGCGCCATTCTGAGACACCACGAACTTGTTGAAAGGCGACGTGACCGAGGTCAGGAACCAAGCCATGATACCGTGGCTCCAGTAAGGAGACGAGCTGTAAGCGTAGGAAGAGGTACCACCGCTGCGACCAATCTTGGACAGCACGGCACGAACAAAGGTCCGCGGAGTGGGGATGGTAGCAGAAGCGCGGCGGATCTTGGACATGGCGGAGGTAATCAGGTAAGCCTGAACGAGCTCCACCTCGATGTTGTAGGGAGCCAGCTCGTAGCCAAGAGCCGTGGACCACTGCTGCAGGAAGGCCTTGCTACCGGAGTAGGTGGCCAGCAGGGGGGTAGGGAGGAGACCACCGAACGAACCCATGGTCAAGATCAGACCGCGGCGGCGCTGAACCATGCCAGGAGCGACGAGTTGGGTGACGCGCAGAGTACCGTTGCAGTTGATTGTGATGATGTTGGTCATCTCCTCGGCGGAAGTCTGGACGAACGGAACGGGGATAGAGTGGCTCTGGCCGACGTTGTTGACGAGAATGGAGACATCCAGATCAGAGACGAGGGCACCCAGGGCCTTGTAGTCCTCGTCCGCGTTGCGCGCGAAGTCCATCGCCAGGATCTTGGTCTCGACATTGGGATATTGCTTTGTGATCTCCTCCGCCAGCGTGACCAGCTTCGATTCCGTTCGAGAGACAAGGACAATGTTAAACTTGGCACGCGCCAGCTGCAGCGCGAACTCCTTTCCGAGACCATCCGAGGCGCCGGTCACGACGGCCCAGCTACCGGGGGGACCGAACGAGCGAAGCTATACAGAGAGAGCTGATTAGTCCTTATAGCTCAATCGCAATATTTTGTGCAAAACAAAACCACTTACCGGCTTGCCAGGAAGCACAAACAGGCTGAGAAGCACCCGCAAGAACGACCAGACCTTACACGCGACGACCAGCCCACCAGTTCCAAGCAGAAGCAGCGCACCGATAGTCGGCAGACCCGGAGCCAGATGCTCGGGCCATTGCGAAAGGCATTGAGTGTATTTTGACAGATCCATGGTGTGCGATTCAATGGTTGTGGGAGGATCGGAGGGGAAGGATTGGGGAAAAAAGACGGCCGTCAGCTTGTTGGGGACGGCTGATCGACGCCAAGAGCCCCAAACACAAACATCCTCGGCCTACTTCTTCACAAGCAACCCATCTACTCAACAACTCCCAATTGACTGTGCAAAATGGACCAACTACTGTCTTATCTGCCCCCTTTCGAGGGTCTGCTCCCCAAGTGGCTCGTTTTCGTATGTTTTTGCCCCTCGGCCACATTGTGGTAGCTCTGCTCACCATCCCGCCAGGTCTCCGTCGTATCCGCCGTCAACAGTCTGCAGGCCTACTGTTCCGCCGATTACACCTCCAAGCTCTACACCAATGGTGCCGTTGCCGTTGAGCCTCTCTCCGGTCGTGTCTTTGGCACTTGGACGTTCCTCTCTGCGGTCGTTCGTATGACTGCCGCCTACAACATCAACTCGCCTGTCGCGTACGATCTCGCCTTGTGGACCTATGGTATCGCCCTGACACACTTTGTGGGAGAGCTTGTCTTTGGTAACGCTTCTCTGCGTGGTCGCTTCTTGAGCCCACTAATTGTGGCTTCGTCGTCGGTGGCCTGGATGTTGACTCAACGGGAGGCGTATCTGAGTGCTTGAGCTGGTATAAAAAAAGGGGGTCACGGTATTGTGATTGTTTGGCCTTGCATACACGGAGTTGCTTTGAAATGGAATTGGAAGCTGCTATTCAAGATGTACCACTTTATAAGAATGATTGAAATATTATACAGTTCGGGGTTTAGGTCAAATACAAAGGGAGGTCTGCACAGGCCCATCCTTATTGGTCTCTATCTTGTACAACTTCCAGGGTGCCTTCCGACTCCAACTCAAGGCACAGACCGTTGACACACTGAAGGAGGAGTGATGCTACTTATATAATATGCCTGTACGCATCCCCGTCGAGACTTCGACAGGTTTCCGGCGGCCTACCTAGTCGGGCCAAATTCCGGCGGAAACATCCCTGTAGCAAGGAGATAAGGCCTTCCTACCCTTCAAGGACTAGCATGCAGCCGTGAGGGGTTGATCTAATTGAAAGCTGTTCATATCAAGCTCATTCGAGCCGTACCACTAGCGGACGATCTAGGAAACTATTTTCTAAGACACATTATACGTGCCTGCTTCTTCTGCTTCAACATGGCCCCTTCAATCACTAGTAGTGTTCTGATCTCTGAGGCTCCAACTAGGCCACTGGAACTTGACCAGAATGAATATTCATTTCGCTACACTCTGACAGCCAAGTTGAAGAATGCCCTTGAGAAAGCCGGTCGCGACTTTCGGTCCGACGTGGTGACTGTTCCTACGGAAGGAATAATGCAGGTAGGGTTAGCCACTATAAAGTCTGAGTTCATGGAGAATCAAGTTAATGATTCAAACAACAGGCCATCATAGAAGCCTCTGTTGGAGATGATATCTATGACCCAGATGGTGATGCTTCCGTTAACGCCCTTCAAAACAAACTCATCGAGCTGAGCGGCAAAGAAGCGGCGCTATGGACACTGTCTGGAACTATGGGTAATCAGATATGCCTACGAACCCATCTCACCCAGCCGCCACATACCGTACTCCTCGATCATCGAGCTCACGTTCAATGCTGGGAGTCTGGTGCACTTCCTGTCTTCTCCCAGGCAGCGGTAACCCAAGTTCACCCCAAGAATGGCGTTCACCTCACCCTGGAAGATGTCAAGATGAACATGATCGCGGATGGAAATAGTGAGTCACGAAATCAATCGATGAGTCCCCAGTCACTAAGAAAATTGGTAGTACACTTTCCACCAACTCGCGTAGTCTCCTTGGAAAATACCCTCAGTGGCACTATACTCCCCTTGGAAGATGCACAGGAGATATCAGAGTTTGTTCACAGCTTCCCCGTTCCCGATGACCAGAAGCCGATCGCGATGCACCTGGACGGGGCGCGACTCTTTGATGCGGTAGCCGCGGAAGGAGTCGATCTCAAAGAGTACTGCGCCTGCTTTGACTCGATAAGCTTTTGCCTAGCAACAGGTGTTGGTGCCCCCATGGGCAGCGTTATCGTTGGAAACAAGCGGTTTATTGAGAGGGCGAAATGGTTTCGGAAGATGTTTGGCGGAGGCACTCGTCAGGTACTTTTCTCTTTTTCAAACATTTTGTACCCTGAGAGGACAATCTGACCATTATAGCCCGGCATGATGGCTGCTGCTGCCTCTGCTGCCCTGGATCACACACTTTCTCGACTACCTGCAGTGCATGCAATGACAGCAAGTGCAGCACAGGAGCTAGGGGTTTTAGGATACAAGTTTGCACTGCCGGTACAGACAAACATGATCGTCCTTGATCTCGAAGCCGTGGGGATTCCTCCGGCTGCATTTGTGACGTACTGCGAGGACAATGGTGTTGCAGTCTTTCCAAATGGAAGGCTGGTATTCCATCATCAGACATCCCAGGACGGGGCTGCGAGACTGCTCAAGGCTTTGGGACAGTTGATTAGCGATAAGGAGGCCGGTATTCCTCTTGTAGATCATAAGGTAACTGGTGGATATACATGAAGGTAGTGATGAACGGTATTTTAGGCATCAAATTTTACAAGATGCGAAGGAATCTCATGAGGCCTTTGATAAAGTAGAATCGCAGTACAGTAATTCACATAAAAAAGTCTTTCTAGGGCTTGAGTATAAGATTGCATCTTCTTTCCTCTCCTCAATAAGCGATTGGGTCCAATTATAGGATTAAAGTCATCAAGAGATACTTTCATTTTTGCACCGATGGCTTCTATTATGCACTATTCCATGTGATATTTTTCCACCAGCAGACTTTCTATAACCTCGCTCGGTCTGTCTGATGGATAATCTCATTGACCAGACGGGCAGCCTTCTCAGCACAGCTGAAAGAGACTTGGTAGCCGAACCCTCCATGGCCGTAATTGTGCACAATTTTGACGCCATTCACTTGATCTTTCTCGATCCGTGGGCCATCAGTCCTTGCCGGACGCAGGCCAACGCCATGTCTTACAATATCCAAACCTTCAACTCCCTGTCCTTCTTTCACGAGTCGTGGATCAAGCTTGAGGGCGCGCTGCATGATCCTGTTTGCAAAGTTCGGATCAGGCAGGGGATCCCAGTTGTTCTTCTGGTAAGTTCCGCCAATCACAGTGCCACCACCTGGATAAAGTTAGCTTTTGAGTGCGAGACAGCCTGCTGAGAATCTTCACGAACCTGCTGCCCGAGGAAAGATATAAGAAACCTCGTCTCCGCCGTCATCAGAGCCGGAAATAGAAGTCATAGATCCAGGGTCATTCCGGACGATCATGATTTGACCACGGACGGGGTAGACTTGGTCATCGGCTACTCCACCGAGAGTACGGGAAGCCAAGCCAGTGCAGTTGACCACGACGTCGGCCTTGTTACCAGAATGATGCGCCTCAGCTGCATCGGCGATGTGCTTCAAGGAAGCTCTTTTTAATACACAGCCGTTCTTCATACACTGGCTGACCAACCAGGGAAGGTAGATCGCGGGATTGATGCAGACGGAGGTGAACCTTTGAGCGTTGTCAATACCGGGTGGTAGCTGGTCACGAGGTAGATTTTGGAACTGTTGACATGGTTAGCAAAGACGGGACTTCAAACAGGGTCACCTTGACCGAATAAGCCCCCATCACGTACATTGAGAACAAAATCCTTGAACCATGGGTTGGCTGATGTCAACTCTGCAGACCACTGACCGGTAACAGTATTCTGATCCTTGAGGCGATTGTGAATCGTGATATCTAAAAGGAGACATCAGAAGTGAACAATAGTAAATGGGATTATTGGATTGGTGGCATACCTTGGAAGTGAACGCCCGATTCTGGGTGATTCTCTGCAAGATCCTGCAATGCTGGCCAGGTAGCCCGCTCATACTCGGCATTGTCGCTTCCCTTCTTACCAAACCTAGTTCGGTCAGGCATAATGCGTCTGGAGAATTGGGCGAATAAGAGTACTTACGGCATGTAGCTGGCACCGGCCCAGGGGGATGCATATTCGATGTCATAATCTCCAGGCATATGCTTCGCGATCACAGTGACCTTGTTGGCCGGCTTCTTGGAGAGCAATAGGGCTGTGGTGAGGCCAGTTACCCCCGCACTGGCGTTTATCTGTTAGCCATGGACGGAAGAGGAACAACCTGGAAAAGGGAGTTTGGTCATACCCCACGACCACGATATTGTTCGTTGACATGTTGGACGATGAGGATTCTCGGTTGTAAAGGGCTTGGATGAGGCAATTGCCCGAAATAAGAGGTTCGAGTCGCAGAATATAAACAGCGGAGGCGGGCAGAGCGGTACGAGAGGTGTGGGTCGACTCACTTAAATGGATGGGTGCGGGTAGATTCCGGCGGGCTGAAGTTCTCCGCCGGAAGTGCTGGCAGGCGGGTCGAACCAAGGCCAACCAGGACTACCGAATGGTATCCTGGCAACACGCAGACGACTATCATCAATTGAAGAACCAAGAAATAATCTATTTTTATTTCATGATACTACTCTATTTCACTAAGAAACTATAGATACACCTGCCCCGTGTCGACCTCTTCATAAAGAGGAGCGAAATCCAATCCGCTCCAAAATGTATCTGCTGAATTTTCAAACAACAGATCGAGGTTCGAAAATGGCAGAGCATCCGGTGCAAGTTCTCCGAGACCTGACATCTGGGAGCTGCCTGCGGCATTCTGTCGGTCTAACTCTTCACGAACAGTGCCAGTCCCCTGCGCTAACGCATCTTTGGACACCACATGCTTATTTCCCTGGGCGTTCAAATAACTTATAACTTTGGACATGGATTCGCCACAGCGGGCGATACACATTGTAGCAAGATCCCAACTGTCATTTTCGGCTGCATCTTGGAGCTTAGCCCAGAATTGAATTAGGCTGGTTTTGCATGACTCGGAAATAGCTGCATCGGAAGCCTCGACGGTACAGCGTAGAAGGATGATAAATGTAAAAGTCAAATGATGTGCCGTATCTGTATAGACCAGAGTAAGCTTTCCATTCACACCGTTCAAGCCAGGATGAAGGTCACTCACAAACAAGCCAGAACTCCTGTAAATGGACTCGTTCTAAAGAGCAGACATATTCAACGATATCTTGAGCCGAGCGGCGAAGTCTCCCAAGATGATACCGCAAATTAGTGGCCCGATCCATATCCTGAGAGCTAGTCTTGTTCGCAGCCTGACATCATTAGCCTGCTTTCTTAACCATAAGTCTGCGACACTCACACGAAACGCGATACGGCATAAGAGCAGCCGTACAGATAAGTAACTCAAACAAAGACTGCTTAGCCCGGAGATAGGGTAGGGGTATTTCTCGTTCGGACCATTGATCGGTAAAGAGACGTCCTGCTCCCAAATGTCTAGCTCAGTTTCACGGCGACGGATGTCCCTCCAGATATCTCTCTGCTCTAGATCATAGACCAACGGTAGAACTTCTCCTAAAATGACCGAAAGAGTGCAGAGGTGAATGAAACATTCTGATGCCTTCAGCCCTTCTTCTGATTGCCCTTCATGTGTAAGGTCTCTCAAAGTGGGGACTGGGACATCATATTGCCTGTTGGTGATATTTGGAGACACTCCATGAGCGAAGCTTGACCTAGAGGGAGATGTTGGTAATGAATACTCGAAAGATAAGCAGAAAACGAGGCGAATGTTACCAGTAGTCATGAATCAAGATTGCCCACCAAAGGCGGACTCGAAGAACCTTTTCACTGTCTGGACGCTTCCAATTCGTGGGGTCACGATTAAGTCCCAGGCTTCTGGCAAGCGCCACAGCTCGTCCATTATTAATCGTATTCCCCAGAATCGAGAAGATAGGCCGCCCAGTCATATCGAAAAGAACGGAATATATGGTAGAAAGCCCCGGTGCTAGAAAGTCTTGTTGCAAAGACTCCACGGCTAAATTCCAAACAAAATGGGGATCAGGTTTCGGATATTGTCTGAGGACATCCGAGTGGTCCCAGAGTGTCAAAGACAGAGCGAAGAACTCGCAGAGAAGAGGCGGGGAGATTTTATCACCGCGCTCGTATATCTCGAGGAATGTCTTCTGATCTAGTATCGGGAATGCGGGATGGAATTTTTCAAAGTACCTGCACATCCGGTTAATGGAGTCATCGGGCTTGGAAAACATGATATCGGTCATCGACTCACAACTTGACAAGCTCTTTGGCAAATGGTCTCAGTATTTGCCAGAGAACCTCCTTCTGGTACTTTCCGGGATTCTTCGCCATGGCAAGACCTTCTCGTCGCCGGGGAACCCTCATGTACACCAAGGACCTTTCCAACCCATCCGCAGCCGGTGCGGGATCCCCCGTAGAAGCTCCAGAAGAAAAGTAACGCTCCAGTGCTTGTATATCCTCCGTGAGCACTGGACTCACCACAATTGAAGACTCTGCCCGGGCATTACCAAGATGAATGGCATTGTGATCATTCGATTCCGACTCGCCAAGACCGTTTCTCACATTTGGGCGAATGGGTGATTCATGGGCTGGGTTGTTGGTGTCGGGCCTTTCTTGGACCTGGTTCCGCCGCGGAAGCGTATACCCTACTCTCGTAGACCGACGCGACGGTGTGTGTGCCTTGGTAATATCTGATGGCTGACAGGGCACGTTTTGCAGTTGACAGAGCACACAAGGGTCGTCGGGTCCACCACCGGTACACCGTCTCTTGAACCGGCGGCAGCGATCACAGGCTGGAGTCTTGTGAGATCGATAAGGTCTACGAGAGGCTGGCGGAGCGGATGGCATGACTAGTTCACCGAGGAACCACTCGGGTTTGGTGCTTGAGACGCGGAAATATCGTTGATATGCCTAGGTCGTTCTAGGTGGCATCTGGTGAGGAGGAGACGGCTCCGCCGGGAAACTACCCCGCAAACGCCTTTGCGAAAGAGAATGTACCGGATGTGAAATTCGAGAGAAGTTCCTGGTCCCATACTCATTAGCCCTTTACAAGGCGTAGATCGAACTCCGAAGACGTGTGTTCACCTTCCACGGAGTCCGGCGGAAGTCTCAAGGTTGACTCCGGCGGGAAACTCTTATCGTAAGACTGGGCCTGAACCAACCAGATTGAACGATTTATATGACCAAATGGAAAAGATTGAATACTTTGCAACATGCGAACTGAGACTTATCGTAAGCTATTCTGCTTAATCATGACCACTAATCTCCTTGGGTACATATGGATCTTCCAGATAAGCTTCCTCCTCAAGCGTCAAACTCCTATTTCCACATCCTAGAGCTTCATCAATCCTTTCCACCGAGCTAAAGCCAACAATGGGACTTGCGACACGGCGGTTCACCCAAGCCAGTGCTACCTGGCTCATAGTCCAATTCCTCTTCTTGGCTACCTCCTCCACTCGATTTATGATTGTTGCATCTGCATGCGGAATATCACTAGGAACGGTTGTCCCTAGACGATCAGTTGCCCCGACCAGCTGTAGAGGCCGTGCAAGTCGACCAGCATCAAGTGGGCTCCACTTTGAACCCGTTAGAGGTTGAGCTCAAAAATCTTTAATAGGCGTGAAACATACCGGGATCAAACCGACGCCAGTCTCATTACAGAAGCGATTCATCTCTCGCTCCTCCTCTCGATACGAGAGACTGTACTGATTCTGCATAGAGATGAACTTGGTCCAGCCGTGCTTCTCGGCACAAAACTGCATCATCGTGAATTGGTAGGTTCTCATCGAACTGGCTCCGATGTAGCGAACTTTGCCGCTTCGAACGAGATCATGGAGTGCCTCCATTGTTTCTTCAATAGGGGTATACGGGTCGAATCGGTGGATTTGGAAGATGTCGATGTAATCCACGCCAAGTCGTCGTAGGGATGCATCCACCGAGTTGAAAATCGCTTGACGAGAAAGGCCTGACATAGTCAGTACACGGCTATGAAGGTCTGGACGCTGGCAAATGGTAAAGAGTGCTCACCAAATTGATTAACGTATTCCTTGTCTTTCCACATTTCCTCGGCGAATGGGACAACGTATACATTTTCGTGCTCGCCAACCGGCGCCCAGCATTTCGTGAGAATGACAAGCTTATGTCGAGGAAGATTGTAATGCTTGATGGCCTTGCCGATAATCTCTTCCGACTTGCCGTTAGAGTAGTTGTTCGAGGTGTCCCACTGCTTCAGGTCAGCGACACATTCTTAATCGGGGAGATGGTGTCTTACAGTATTGATTCCACGGTCGAATGCGGCCTTCAACAAGGGAAGTGCCTTGTCTTCCTCGAGAATCCATGATCCAAACTCTGAAGAACCTATACTCATGCCACCGAGAATAGGGACTGAGACCCAGAGCCCACTGTTTCCCAGCCGTCTATAGGAGGCCTGAGTCTTGCTTCTGGAGTCTTTCAACAACGGAGGAAGCTCTGGACCCATCTTGTATGATTAGAAGAAAAATACGCTCAGTTAGCTAGAGGATAAACTGCTTTTCGAATGAGCAATGCGAAGAGGAAACTCTCTGGGAGAAGACCAAGTTTAAATAGACAAAACACAGTCGCGACAGGACTCCGTGACCACAACATCCGTATAGCATCGCGTTTTGATTTCTAATCATATACTGGATTTTTGGTCTGTGCTAGCCATGTCTGTGATTTCTATCGAAGACATGATTCATGATCCATCTGGCCTCTGGAACCAGTGATCCGTTTGCGTGGAGGTGATCAACTGAGGCTTCCAAGACCGAATACGAGGTAGCTATGAGTAATTCTCGGGGTGTCGGGCCGGCGATGCGAAGAAACACCAATCAAAGAAGGTACCCCAGTGGGCTAGCTTGATAATCGCGGGCCTCGACGCATGAGATAAATACTTGGATTTTTTTTCTTCACATATTGACATAACCATAATGTATACAATGCGGTCCTCCAGTCCATACTCCTTGCTCGCCTTTTCTCTCGCTCAAAACCCGACTGAGATTTACTCCAACTTCTTGCGGTAGAGCTCACCACCACAATCACGGAGACGAGCCGCAGCCTGCTCAGGAGTGATATCACGCTGAGGCTCGGCCATCAACTCATAACCGACCAGGAACTTGCGAACGGTCGCGCTCCGCAGAAGAGGCGGGTAGAAGTGCAGGTGCAGGTACGAGGCCTCGACCTCCTCATCAGTGCCGTCAAGGGGAGCCTGGTGGATACCCATGGAGTAGGGGAAGTGAGTCTCGAACAGGTTATCATACCGGCGGGTGATCTCGGCAATAGCCTCAGCCAGGAGAGTCTTGTCAGCATCGGAGAGATCGACCAGAGCGCGCTTGTGCGTGCGGCTGACAATCATGGTCTCAAAGGGCCACGTTGCCCACCAGGGGCAGACGACGACGAAACCCTCGTTCTCGAACACCACGCGCTCCTGCTTACGGCTCTCCAGTGCCGCGTAGTCCTCCAGCATGTGGCTACCGCCGTGCTCTTGGCGGTACCGGCGGAGCTGCTCCAGCTCCGCAGCAGGCTCCTCCGGCAGTGTGCTGGTGGTCCAGACCTGACCGTGAGGGTGGGGGTTGGAGCAGCCCATGGCAGCACCCTTGTTCTCAAAGATCTGCATGTACCGGTATTGCTCCTTGGGCTTGGTAATGCTAGTGTGAGGTGTAGCGGGCTGGATGTGGGTTGGGGGCGCGTTCTGAGCGATGGGGGATTTGGGTGACAGGTGCGCAGCATAGATCTCAGTCCAAGCGTTGATCACCGGGACAATCTCGATGGGGGACAGGTCGGCGAGGGTGAGGTTGTGGGCCTTGGAGAAGGTCAGGACGTAGCACTTGCCAGTGACCGGCTCGGCCTTGAGGAAGCGCGATTCGAGATCTACCTGCAGTTAGTCCACCGCCGCATGGGACAAAGGGGGAGTGTCTCGATTGTGTCATACCATCGCCATTTGCTCCTTCATAATCAGCCTGCTCTTCCTTGACAGCACTGTAATCGTTGACAAAGACAAAGGTGCTCTCGTATTTGGGATTGACGTCACCCTGGGCTCGCTTGTTACCAGGGCACAGGTAGCACTCGGGATCGTGGTGGGGCAGAGTAGTCTTGGACGGGCTCTCCTGCTGTCCTCTGTGCAAGGCAAATTTTTCCAGTGGTTAGTAGCCCGGTCTGCCAAGCAATTGAGCGCATAGGGAGGCTCAAAACACTCACTGCCAGGGGCGCTTGGTTCGGTGGGGAGACACCAGAATGTGCGAGCCCCGAAGGGGATTATAGCGGCGGTGAGAGATGTCGTCGAGCACGTTGGCCATTGTGGGCTCGAATTGCTGGGAGAATTGACTGCCTGCGAAGAGTACCTTGTGGAAGAACAGGAGGGAGAAAAAAAGAAGCAGGACAAGTAGCAGAATGACCCCGCCAAATTCGGATGCCGGATAATTTAACGGAGTCCATCAAAGGGCCATGCCGGTTGGGCCCCTGGCGGGGGCGTCGCGGGGTCTCCGGAAAATAACGCAGGACATTACTGCATTAGAGATTCGCTATAGGTGCTACGCAATATCACAGTATGAAATTGATATCAGAATAATCCTTGAAAATGGGTCACTAATTCCAATGCTGCTAGAATATCTCAAAACCGTACTGAGAGTAATCCGGGCATGAGGTGTTGCACAAGTACTCCAGGTCTTGGCGAAGATGTTACTTTTTTCGGTGAACCGTAAAGGCATTGTCTCGGGATCCCGCGCTCGGGCCAAGCCGGGGTTGAGATGCAGCCACGCGCTGGTGGGGACTGTCCCTCGATCTGTATACTTTGCATCTATATTTATACTATTTATAATTATAACCTTTGTTGGGAGTTTCTAAGTCTACTCGGAAGCTTCCGCTAGAGAGGGATATAAGTGGCTTAGCAATGGGCTTGTTAACTGTGACTCTGGTACCATTGATGACGTCAGTGAGCTTGCTACTTGGGCTTATCGATAGACCCGATAAGACCTCACCTTCTGGTCGCTCCTCCGCTGCAAGTCACTATAACCAGAGAGATATACCTGGAGAGCTCACTTCTTCCTCATATATTGCAACAACACTGATAGACTTATATTTATAAACCTGTCTTCGCAATGAACTTTGGCCTACCATCTTCCCTTCGCCACTACACACCTTCTCCACTCTTTGAAACATCAATAACTTCCTCATCTACTTCATCAACTTCTCTATCATCAACTTCATCACACTCTACATCATTTATTCCTCCATCTACCCAATCAACAGTGTCATCAACTGGGCCCTCATCCGTTCAACACTTTCAGACTCCACATATCCCTACAGATAGCGGCATTGATCTCGGGAAAATGCCTACTTTCGGTGTTAACCAACCAGTGAGGGAGCCTCCAAACCCACAGGGGCATCCACAGGAGCCCGACCCTGCCATGGCAAAGGGACTGAGGTTCCTCCCGGTAGAGGTAAGCAGACATATCCGTTTCAGTCGAACATAACTGACTTGTATGCAGATTCTCACCATGATCTTCCGGAATCTTCCAGCAGAGGACCTGGTTCGCATTGCTAGGACTTCCCATACATTTACGGAGTCCGCAGCCTATATCCTCCGCACACGAATGTCCCATGCCTTCGAGATTCCCGAACCTACTTTACTCTTCACTTTCGGACCCCCAGATACTTATCCAGAAAGCGTGAAATGTATCTACATGGGCATCAGCGGACTCTCCAGCTCCCCAGAGGGTCAACAGGTGATGACTGATGCGTTCGCCATCTTCCACCCAACACCCTACTCACCTGCCGACATGCCCACAGGTGGTCCGTCAGGTACGAGGACACATCTCATTCAAAACTACAGTTAGATGCCTGCTAACATGAAGACTAGTTGACGAGTCATTGACACGGGAGGTTGTCTTTGAAGAATCGGAAAAATTTGCCCAATTTACGGGGAATTTGTCCTTGGTGTTGGCTCTGGAAATTGCATTCATTGCAGATGGCACTACGATTGGCGGGAAAATGGTCATTCGACTCCAGCGGGACTGGCTGGAGAAGGAGAGTTCCAAGATCATCTCCCTCGATCACCAGAATACAATCAAGATCCTGGTTGAAGTACGCAAAATGGGTGTTGATACCTTTGAAATTCGAGTTACAGGTAAGTCAAAGTATCCATACTGGGTGAATAATTTGCTGACTTTGTTTGAGAACTGCATATCTGCGCAGCTCGTATGCTTGTGGCTCTCGAGAAGACTAAAGATACGAAAAATCGAGGAATCGAACATATCAGACTACCTGTTGCGCTCCCTGCAGGAAACAATCGATCTGGCAGCGGTGTTTTTAGAGGTTCCCGTGTGAATCGGCCTCCATGAAGCGTGTTTTCTTTATTTTTGTTTTTGGATTTTGGGTTTCTGGACCAGATCATTATATACCCTTGGCTTCTGCTCCTTCCAGTTCGCCAGATCTCTTTTCAGTTTTTATTTATTTATTTATTTTTGAAACTATTATAACGGAACGCCCAGGTTCAAAATGGAATGGTACTGGCATACAAGGAACTCTAGCGTTGTTACTGTGAATTTATTCTCGAGCAGAATTGTTTCACATAATATGCCATAATGAAATGCCAGCCCGAGTTAGTTTTCTTTTGGCCGTTCTCTGCATCTTCGAAATCCATGTCCGTCAAACCATCGTCATGTACAAGAGTTCTCAACGGCATATGACCGTCAAAGTAGGTCCAGTCGGCAGCCTCTGCACTTCCTGCCTCCGGTTGAATCTACCCACATGCTGGTTATTACCCCGGGCACGCATCCATGTTTCAAGTTTGCAACACTTGGTAGATCCCGACTTCTACATGACTCCATGAATCAGAGATAGCGATCTCGGCAAGCCGTGTCTATTCAAGCTTCTGGTCGCCAGTGGCGTTCGGGCCGGTTCCTTGGGTTGAATAAATCCAAGCCTAATGATGGTCCACTGAAAAACTCTGAGCTAGCAACAATTACGGTCCACTCTGCTTTTAATTCGGCACAAGGTGCCGAATATACCAGCAATGAGCCAATCAGAACGGCGGACTGAATATGTACCTGGTCAGTATTAACCAGATTGGGAATGTGCCGAGGCTCCCGGGTATCAAAGTGACCCATGGACCCACTTTGATTTACGCGATTGCTATTCCTTTCTTGTCCTATGGACATCGACACGATCGGTTTTTCTTTTTTAATGTCAGCAATATTTCGTGCGTTCGATGATCTGCATTGAGTTTGTCAATACGCTCATGGGCAGGAGATCATCTGACAGATTCATTCGAAGCGGTGGACTCTTCTACAACTGAGAAGCATCGTGAAGCCTGTTCGAGAATGGCCTCCTTCCAAGCCGGGGGCGAGACATCGCGGCCCTCCAAAATTCCATTCTGGCGTCTCGTGTTTGACCAAAAGGTCATAACGGAGGAAGTTGCCTCGTTTCCATACCCGGGGTCTGGCACTGAAGAGGACCCATTTGTTGTGACCTGGCTACCGCGCGATCCTCGCAACCCTATGAACTTCGGAGCCGTGAAGAAATGGTCGATCACGATTCTGGTGTCATTCGTCACACTAGCGGTCGCCTTGGTCTCATCGGCGTACTCTGGAGGTCTGGGCCAAATTGTTGAACAATTCCAGGTGGAGGAAGAAATCGCTATTCTTGGCGTGTCGCTCTTCGTACTTGGATTCGCAATTGGGCCATTGATCTGGGCACCACTCAGTGAGATTTTCGGTCGTCGTCATATCTTTACTATCAGCTTTACCTTCTTGACTGCGTTTAACGCAGGTGCTGCTGGTGCGACTAATATCCAGACTTTGATCATCTTGCGATTCCTCGCAGGATGTTTCGGTTCATCCCCGTTTGGTAATGCGGGTGGCACGATCGCCGATATGTTTACTGCCTCACAGCGTGGTATTGCTATAAGTTTCTTTGCTGCGGCTCCATTCCTGGGCCCTACTATTGGGCCTATCATCGGAGGTTTCCTAGCCACTGGTGCTGGCTGGCGCTGGGTTGAAGGCTTCCTTGCTGCTTTCTCTGGCGCGCTCTGGCTGTGCATCATCTTTCTGCTGCCTGAAACTTACGCCCCAGTGTTATTGCGTCGTCGCGCAGCTAAGTTATCCGAAATCACTGGCAAAGTATACCGCAGCAAACTTGATATCGAGCGTGGGCCTATTCCGATGGGCAGGACTCTGAAAACGGCTCTCTCACGCCCGTGGGCTCTGCTTTTCCGAGAGCCTATCGTTTTCCTTTTTTCTATCTACATGTCTATTATCTACGGAACTCTTTATATGCTTTTTGCCGCGTACCCGATTGTCTTTCAAGAGGTTCGCGGGTGGAGCGAGGGCATCGGCGGTCTTGCCTTCTTGGGAATCCTCGTCGGTATGGTCATCGCTGTGGCGTATACCTTCCCTGAAAACATGCGTTACGCGAGAAAGTGCAGAGAGACTACCGACCGTCTCCCTCCAGAGTTACGATTGCCTCCAAGCATGGTGGGCGGCACTGCCCTCCCCGTCGGACTCTTTTGGTTCGCTTGGACCAATTACCCCAGCATCCACTGGATGGCATCCATCGCCGCCGGGGCTCCGTTCGGTTTTGGCATGGTGCTTGTCTTCTTAAGCGTGTTCAACTATCTGATTGATTCGTACACCATATACGCTGCCTCGGTGCTAGCTGCGAATTCAGCTCTTCGATCGCTGTTCGGCATGGCCTTTCCACTCTTCACAACCTACATGTATCACAACCTGGGCATCCACTGGGCATCATCTATTCCAGCATTCCTGTCACTGGCCTGCGTGCCATTCCCGTTTATCTTCTACAAATACGGGGCCCAGATTCGTCAGCGATGCACTTACGCCGCCGAGGCAGACGCCTTCATGCGCCGTCTCGCTGAGCAAAACCAGGTCGAGATTCGACGTGAGGAAGCCGCAACACAAATTGAAACAGAGAAGAATGAGGTTTCTGAAGATGTCTCGGATGATACCAGTGATACAGAAAGTCTGTCAACCGTTCCTTCGCGCATCACTCTGGGACGGTTTGCATCACGGGCATCTCGCCAGTCTGGGCGGTCGATGCATCGCACCGCTACGGCGACGCAATATGAGGAGAATCCATATGACCTTGACTTGGTGAACACTCGACAGTCTGCCATTAGCACTCATCGCCGGGATTGATTGTACAAGCGTGAAGTTGGATGTTTATCTTCAGCTCTTGCGTAGCACTCTGGATGATTTTCTGCATTTAAGAGCCAAAGAGCACCAAACGAACAGAATCGAACTGTGGGAATAGTCCGGTGCAGTCAAATACGGATAGAACTGCGCTGGGCCATTTCAGGGGCTCTTCGCTCCCATCTCCTTTTGGAAGCATCCCGTACCTCGAGTCAGAGCAGCGAGTACTCGAATCTTGAACTTGCAGGACAGATTTTGTGTCCATCTGGACCTGAATCATGAGATTCAAATCCATGATGCTGTATAATTCCTACATGAGGCCCATTTCCGGATTTTTACAGACTTGGACATACGAGACGACACAGAACGTCAAGAAAGACAGCAATTACCAACACTGTTCACATTGCTCAGCCAGTCGTTCCTATACTGAAATTGTGTATGATTCCATCACCCTTTAGCAGAATACCAAAGCTTGGCAGACCCCTCGGTCAGATCCCCCGCACAATATCCTCAGATCCTAAAGTCCGAAACCAGCAACTCAAAGTAGGGGTCCATCAACTTAGAATGGTATAGTTCGCCCCCAATAAACGGCAGTTCTTTGCGATAGCAATTGGAGGGGCTGTACCACCTTCATTGGCAATCTAGCTGTAATTGCATGTCAGGCTCAACGTCTGAATTTGACCGACAGTACAGCCGTACTTGTCCGCAAGATCCTTGTAAATTCCCGAGCTAAACGAGTAAGGCTCGGTTTTGCACGTACTAGGATAGCGCATAGGGATCTTGATGAACTGGCCGGGTGCAATGGTCTCGTTGGCACTGTATGTACTTCCACACCACCGAGTAGCATGTCACGCCAGGCCTTTCCACAGGTCCCGTAACATTCCGCCTTCGTCAAATCCTTTTACGAGACTCTTATCACCCAGATCAAGCTGATTTGGAAAAAATTAATTTCTTCACACAATACAGTTGGTTTAACTATCTCTAATAGTTGAGCAGTCGTGTTCATCAAAAGCGACGGGTTATACTTCACCAGCCGCACTCCCGTCCGAAAAATCATGATCACTCATCACAGCCTCGGTCCCTTCTCCACCTCGGGCCAGTAGCTCCCTCCCCCAGCTTTTCCTCCACAGTATATACGACCACCCTCGTCCATCTACGATGCACAACTGATCATCTCATCACGCCAGATACTTCTAAGCATACATCGCCGTGATGACTGGCAAAATAAACGCGTACGTCGATTGCGGTATGTCCACCCCTGTCCTCCTCCCCTGTCCTTCCCCCGGCCCTCCCCCACAGGAGTGAGAATCCAAATCTAGCCGGTCGCTTATTCGCTAATTAATCATTAGTCTCACCTTACTCCTATTATGCGACGCTGTATCTAAGGCGGAATCGGAGCGCACTGGAGTCACATGGTGTTCAGGTTGAGTGCGTGTGCTTGTGGTCTGTGGGCTAGTTTGGTGCGAGCGCTGACTTGGAGATAGATTTCACCCTGTCTTCCTGGGCGGTATCAATGTTGGCTCAGGTATGTGCATGCTCATAATTGAGCAATCAAATTGAAATGAGCAACTTGGATAGATCTCTCATCCGTGAAATATTAGGGAACAAGCCCCCATGGACGCTGCCGGCCAAGGCAAACTACTCCAAGTTCGACTCTGAACGGGCTTGCAAATACTTTGGTGTCCCGCAAATCAAGACGCCCGACTTCTTCCCGATCTTGTCAATCATGGTGAGCACCTCACGAACAAGAACACTTTCCTGTCCATTTAATTCTCCATTTTGAGTTACCGCATATTGACTATTTCAGCCCCAACGCTGCATGATCTACATCAAGCGCCACTACCCCCAAGAGCGCTACGAAACCACATTCCTCTCGCTGTGGGAGTGGATGTACTACAAAAACATCGACATCAGCAAGCCAGAGAAGCTAGCAGAGCTCCTCAAGACTCACAAGTATTCTGACCAGGAAATCAAAGATATCCTAGAGGCCGCTAAGAAGCCCGAGTACAAAGAAGCGCTGACTGCCAATACGCAAGAGGCGCTGGATCAAGGCGCATACGGAGCGCCGTGGTTCTGGGTGCGCAATAAGGAGGGCAAGGAAGAGCCGTTCTTTGGAAGTGATCGGTGAGTTTGATTCTAAGCATTTCTCGACTAGTGTGGCTGGAGCTAAGTGGATTATAGGTTCGCATTTATGTGGCAGTTCTTGGGGATTCCGTTCCAGGATGTCACTATTGTTGAGAAGGCCAAGTTGTAGGACTAGAACTTTGATGTACAGTATGGATGAGGGAGGTACATTTATATTCGGTCAATTTATCATTTGCATCGTTGTTCTTCTGGCTATTTATGACACGCTCGTAGCAAAAGATGGAAATGTCGACAACCATGCTGGTCTGTGACAATGTCTGCAATCGCGATGGTAAACAGGATCTTGAGAGCGACCGTAGTAAATGTATAGAATGTCGCATTTCAACGGATTCTCTTAAATTTCAATGAATCAATAGCAAATTCGGCCTATCCTTTACTTCTCCCATTGACTTCAAGTCCAGAGACTCCAGACCGTCTCCATCGGAACGCGCAGCCTTGCAATCTCGGCTCTTCGGCCTTAGTGACTCACGGCTTATACAGAACAGCACTCTCGCCTCGAGAATAGCCCGAGAGCGACAGATGAAGCCGAAGCTATGACTTGTGTTGATAGCTTAAATTTTCTACCCCTGGAAGTATAAATAGGGCGATTCCAGGCAATTGAAGCTGTACAGCAACTACAACTGCAACTACAACTGCAACTACAACTGCAACTCCAAGCTCATCGGACCGGAAGCGGATAAGAACTGAGCCCGCGGAACTGTTACCCCACGTTGTTACCACACTGCCCCACGAAGCTCGACTCGTGGCCCATTACCCGCCAACTTCCCCTTCTTCTCACTTACATACCTCTTGAATTATCTTTGGAAGATATTGATATCATGGCTGGCGTTCGCGTAGCATGGATTGGCCTCGGCAACATCGGCCGGGTGAGTATATATCCCATCAACACATCCATCAACATACTAACCACGAACCTCCCAACTTCAGGGCATGAGCAGCAACATCGCTCAAAAGGGACCCCAATCCAGCCTCATCCTATACAACCGCACCACGTCGCGAGCCACCGCCCATGCCGAGAAACTCGGCGGCAACGTCAAGGTCGCAACCTCCCTCGCAGAAGCCGTTCAAGCCTCCGATCTAATCTTCACCTGCGTCGGCGATGACCCAGCTATCGACGCCATCACCACAACCATCCTCTCCGACAAAGAGACCGACCTGTCAACAAAGACCTTTATCGACTGCTCCACCGTCCACCCGGATACCTCCCGCCGGACAGAAGCCGCCTATGAAGCCCGCGGTGCCTCATTCGTCGCATGCCCGGTCTTCGGCGCCCCCAATATGGCCGACGCGGGACAAATGATCGTTGTGCCTGCCGGCAAACAATCCGCCATTGCAAAGGCAAAGCCCTTCTTCGAGGGTGTCGTCGCAAAGGCCACAATTGACCTGTCCACCGGTACCGGCGCCGACATCGACGTCGGTCGCGCATCCACCCTTAAAGTCCTAGGAAATACATTCATCCTTAACACCGTCGGCGTTCTCGCCGAGTCCCTCACCGCTGCTGACGCGACTGGTCTAGGCACGGGTCCATTCCGGCAGTGGCTGGAGCTGTTTAACCCAGGTCCGTTTGCCAAGTATGCGGATCGGATGATTAGTGGAGACTATTACCAGCGGGAGGAGCCGTTGTTTGCGGTTGATCTTGCGCGGAAGGATTTGAGACATGCGTCTAATATTGCAAAGGAAGGTGGGCAGAGGATGCGGAATGTGGAGGTTACGGATCACTTTTTGCAGGAGGTTAAGGCTGAGAAGGGGGAGAAGGGTGATGTTGCGGCTGTTTATGGAGCGGCGAGGAAGGCTGCTGGGTTGAAATTCGAGAATCAGTGATTATGAGGAGAGCTTATTGTATATACGATGATAGGGAGGTCGGCTAAAGCAGGGGCCGCTAGTTAGTGACATCGACGGTTAGAAACATGTTTTACCCAATGAATAAAGATGTTGTATTTGAACTTTTCAACCTCGGGCGATTATATGATACCCTCCTGTTTACTACTGCCTCTACCTGGGGATTGCATGATTGGACCAATGTTGGTTGCAAAGCATTGGTTAGACGTGGAGGATTCTATGATGTACATCTTCTCTGACGTGTTACAGCCAAAAAGGGAGCTCAGAACAATTATGTGCACTCAACGACGGAACAAGACTAGAAGGACCTATCTGGCAGGGTGGGGTTTGATATTATACGGTACGCTAATGTCAAAGCCAAACATTTTATAGTCTTAAACGAGGTGCATATACTAATCAGGTCAGAAGCGAATTTGACCTTATAATTTCTACAGTAGTTAGTGACTAGTAATTACAGCGATATTTATAACATAATAGGCAGATTGAATGAACAAGAAGGAAAACCAAGGAAAGGTGGGAATATTGGATTTCTCTTTGCGTTTCCTCAGAAAACCATAGTCAATGCGGATCGGCATTAAGTAACTATTGTGTAGATCTATGCAGGCCGGTAGCACAGACTAATTGCATAAGCGTGAATTAGGCAATTGCATGTATATGTATATGATAAGGGTAGGTGTACGGCTTGCTTATGAAATATGTTATTCATTTCTTAGACCATTCACGATAGCAGTTCGCTCATCAGAAAACTCCGGGGGGATCTTGCAAGGTGCAATAGCCGTGAGCCCCCGGACTCCCACAAAACAGGGGGTAATCTGCGGCTGTAGTTTAGAACGGAACTAACCCAAGTAGGCAAATGCTCCAATCCGCGCTAGCTTTAGAGGGCGTGTGGCTATTGGTTAGGACTAGAGTAGGACGGGACATAGATGTCATTGGCAACGTGGAGATTGAAAGTTCTTGCAATTTTATTCTTGAAGGTTAAGAGTACTCCGTAGTCACTGCTCCCTCCATGTCTCGACACGTACATATTCATCTTGCCGATGTGTCTCAATGGTGGATTTCAAGTATTCTCCTCAAATCCTCGCAGGTTCGGCAGGCACGTACTTACTTTTGGACCGCAGATAGGGACCATATCGTAAGAACATCCATGGGATTGGGATGAGCAAAACAGAGATAAACCCAATGAGTGACGTTGACCAGTTGATATGCAGAGAGTCAATTGCTTGCACCCAGAACAAGGGGGTTGCAGCTGAAAGCAAATACCGAAACATCACCTCGCCCGCGAAGGCCGATGCACCGTAGTCAGCCCCGTAGATTTCGTTCTTGAAGAGTGTATATGTAATCTGAAGTAAGAGTAAGCAATCGAGCTACTGTACCGTTCGTGGCGATTTTTGGTCCGGCAAGGTTGAACGATGGCCAACTCACCATGATACAAGCAAAGGCCAACCCAAACAGTAAACCCGACAACTCGGGAACAATCGGATGAATGTAGGGTCTCACAGTCCATGCAAACCTGGATTTTGGCAATGTCAGAATTCGGCACATGCGATGTTTGGAGTATTGGATGGCTTACCAGAAAATCGAAATGGGGGTAGCAATGGTTCTAATGCAGGCGGCGTAAAGCCTCAACTCAGGTTCGACCCGTGTACCGGTCTGCATGGCGATCACGCGGGCCTTCTGATATTTCAATTTGTCGCAAATAAGGATCACAACGACACCCAAGATGTTTCCGCCAAAAATGGGGAGAAAAGTCAATCCCTGCCTTCTCGCGTCGAATTGATAGACTCGCTGGAAGATGAGGGGATAAGCAATATACCAGCAGAACAGACTTGCCTGCTGAATTGCACAGGCTAGGGATGTCAGAAAGACGATTGGTTCCTGCATGATAGTCACTGGACGGATGAATGCTAATCGCAAGGTATGCATGAAGCCTACTTCAGCAGTAGTCTGACCCGCCTCTCTCTTCTTCATGTTTTTCTTTGCGTGCTTTTTCGTGATATATGGGTAGTATATCTCCGGGATGGGGACGGTCCATAGGACAATAAAACCAAGGAAAATCGTATTGAGCCAGAAGGTCCATCTCCAATCATGTGTTCTTTCAACGATAGCTGCGCCCGTAGATGGCCCAATTGCGGCATCATTTATGCATAGCTACACCGATAAATGCCTTTCCCGATGGTCTGTGTTTAGTAAATCAAACCATAAGCCATTCTTGTATGCTGTACTTAAAGTGCAGTTTGAGAACTCTCTTCTAAAGCTTGGGTGAACTCCAGGGTGATCGATTTCAGAGGGTTGAATAGACGTCCTGGATCGCCAATCCTTCATTGGGGCGCTTTTGGGCCTCCATATTCTCAGGAAAGCGTCTTCTGGCCTGTGCGGTTCGATCACATGATATCTATCAAGGTCTCAGCAGTATCGAAGACCGCTGATACAAATGTATCCGATAACATTCACATTCCCAAGGTCAAGGGGAGCTCAATTTCTTGCTTCGGATCTCCTGCATCGAGTACTCTATACCTCGAATGTAGCTCGCAGCCTGACTCCAGTATATGAATTTCACGAAGGTAGGTAGACAAAAAATCAGATCAAGGAACATTCACCCGGTTACCATCTAGAGAGATTGAAAGATGAAGATTGATACAATTATGGTTCAAAAGCCATATTTATTCGAGACTCGACTCCGATTAGGACGTCGTAGCAAAGTGGGGAGCCAAATATACACAGTTAAAAATAGAAGACTAAAAAATACATAACAGGCCATAGCCAGTTGGCCTAACTTTTACCTTTTCAAAGCTGGCAATGTAGACTGAACAGAAACCACACTAACTCCACTCACAACAGATCTACTGCTGCTCGGGGATCTCAGTGGGCTCATCGTGGTGCTGGTGAGCCTCGCCACCCTCCTTGGGCTCGTGCTCGACAGGGGCGTGCAGGTCGGCAACGATGCCCTCGGGGGGAACCCAGCTGGCAGACTTCCAGGGCTTGACGTGCAGGACGTACATGGTGTCGACCTCCTCGAGGGTGCGACCCTGGGTCTCGTTGACGAAGAAGAAGACAACCCAGATAGCGGCAAAGCAGCAGGCGGCAAAGACGTAGCCGTAGCTGAAGTCAATGGAGCTGGAGATGAAGGGGGTGAAGAAGGAGATGAGGAAGTTCCAGGTCCAGTTGGCGGCGGTGGCGACACCCATGCAGGTAGCACGGTAGCGGAAGGGGTACATCTCACCGCAGATAGCCCAGACGATGGGACCCCAGGTGGTGGCGAAGCCGACAATGAAGAAGCAGGTGAAGACGATCATGGCGACACCGGCGGAGTGGGAAGAGGGGTTGGAGTGGAGGACCTCGTGGCCGACGGAGGCCCAGATCATGAAGCAGACGAAGCACCAGGCGGCACCGGCCATGAGACACTTGCGGCGTCCGTAATGCTCGACAATGTACAGGCCGGGCAGAGTCATGCCGAAGTTGACAGCGCCCAGGATGATTTGGGTCACGTAGGAGTTGGAAAGACCAACACCCTGGAAGATGGAGGTACCATAGTAGAAGATGAAGTTGGCACCAGTGAGCTGCTGCAGGGACTGAAGAGCAATGCCGAGCATGGTACGGTAGAACATGCGAGGGCCGGTGAGGACCTCGTGCCAGGCAGCCTCGCCAACGGAGCGCTCCTCATCGAGCTTGTTCTTCATATCAGACATCTCCTGGGCAACAACGCGGTGGTTGGTGGGGACACCGTAGAGCTTGGACATGACCTCGCGAGCCTCCTCAACGCGGCCGTGACGGTAAGCATAACGAGGCGACTCGGGGAGGAACAGGGTGCCGACACCAAGGATGAGCGGCCAAGCAAAGCCAATGCCCATGGTGATACGCCACGAGGCAGTGGAGTTGAGGCGCTCAGTACCGAAGTTGATGATGTAGGAGATAAAGATACCGAAGGCGACGAACAGTTGGAAAGCGCTGACCATGGCACCACGGACCTGGCGAGGAGCAGACTCCGACTGGTACATGGGGACAACGCTGGACAGGGCACCGACACCCAGACCCATGACCCAACGGCCGAGAGCGATCTGGTACCACTTGTCGACGGTGGCGATCTGCACAATGATACCGACCATGTTGATCAGGGCCCAGAAGGAGATGGAGAACTTGCGGCCGATGCGGTCCGCAATGGGGGCAGCCACCAGGGCGCCAATCATGGTTCCGATAGAGAGCTATGGAAAGTAGGACGTTAGTTGTTTGTATTCCATAGGAAGGAATGCAGGTAGTTGGGACATACCAGGCCGACAATGAGGCCGTTGCGAACGTTGCTAAAGGCATATTCACCGGTAGCAGCGTTGTACTCGGCGAAGCGCTGCTTGAAGTCGGTCATGCTGGTGAAACCCGAGATTTGACCTACGACCGAGTCAGCTACCATGCACCGATTGGGTTGGAAATCTAACACCGTGGATGAGGGTATGTAGCACAAACTTACCAGTGGAGTAACCGAAGATGAAGCCACCCATGGACACACACAGACCGAGGATGAATGAACGCCAGGTCAGGTACTTGACGGGGCTATCATCGATTATGCCCTCATCCTTCTCCACGGTCGAGTCAGCCCGGGCAGGAGTCGGGGCCTGCGAGGAGAACCGAGACTCAGAACCGGGCTTGAACCGGGCCATGAGGTTTCCAACACCCATTGTGAATAGACCGGACTGGGGGATAGATGCCGGGCAAATGGGGATAGGGATAAGGATGGAGTCAAAGAGAGGAATAGAGAAAGGAAAAAAAGAACAGTCGAGGAAGCGAGGGTGATGTCAAATAAATACGACCATCAAACGGAGAATCGGCTTCCCCCTCGGGGTACCATGGCAGACACAATGGGGGCCCGGATCTCGAGTCCCACGTTACCGGAATGGGGCGGAGGAAATTTCACAGACTCCATTATTTCATCTCCATGGGCAGGGCATTCTCCGTACTGTTTGGAGGGTTCCTTGGGGTGGAGAAAAAGGGTGGAGAAGAGGCATCCGAAGCTCTCGAGTGTCCAGGGCGCGAGGCTAAAATGGGAGTATCCACGTGAGACGAAGAAGGGTCAGGATGGGCGATTATTCAGAGTTCAAGGTTTGATTAGATGTCCACTATAGTTTGTTCATGAGATAGCTCAAGCATAAAGAGTACACCGAGGAGCAAGCAGTTCATGGATTATACTTTACTTCCTAGTGATGGCAGCAAATTGCCATGGCACGTTGAAGCAATGCAGAATCTGTACGTATTCCGTATTGCTGTTTACGGAGTACATTTCCAACGCATAAATTGTCTCAGGGAAACATGCCAGTAATCAGTCAAGCAGGAGACAGAATCAATGGAATGTGTCCAGCATTCTGGCAGTATAGCCGAGCTTCCTCGCCACCTTCTAGAAAACTGCGCGATTCAGTAAGAACTGGGTCTGGCCCAGCGAATGAGAACCGCGTGCCTGGAAGAGAACGGACGGACTCCGTGGGTACGTTGGGATCGGCTATAGTCGATGACGGAAAAAGAAATCACCTCTGGCCCTGTTGAGCTGACAAAGTATGGTACGATGGGCAACTAAACCGAGCGACGGCGCGTCATGGATGAATAAGAATAAGCCATAGTTTCTATAGTGCCACTCTAGCAAGGTTCCAATAGTACTGTGCCTCATACGTTTAGCTCTGTGGTTGCCTTTTACTTGCTGACTTCTCTGTGATAAGTCCTTGCAGTAGATATTGATGAACGCGGGAAAGAGTTTTATCTCATTGACTAAGGATCGAATTCTAGCGTTTTGCCCTCTCCTGAAAGAAATTCCAAGGTTGCTACTGAAACGCAGTGGTTTCGGTAGATAACAATTATTGCATCAGAAAAAAAAAATCTGTTTACTTCGCGCCCAGTGGGGCAGCGTGGATTCTGCACTGGAAAAGGCTGGCGCCCGAACCGGTCTCAACCTCGATGACGATCGCCGAGCAACAAAAGCTTGGCTCATAGACGTAGGGCCCTGCAAGGAGTCCTTGTCATCTAGTAGTTTTCCAAGTCAATATACCATAGTGCCAACATTTTCTAAATCTCATGGGAATGAGCCCCGTTTATATACCGTCTTTGGGGCTGGTCCTGAATGGCGTGTGCAGTACTGATAAGTGGAAGGTGAACTGAATGCATGCTCCGGTCGGACACATTGCTCAGCTCGAAAGTGGATCGACCCACTGTCGGTGAGCCATCAAGCCCTCGGGCATCTCCCGTGCAGGGATTTGCGATCGGTTGAACCTTTAACGGGGTCCACTCCTGGCCCAAATCGGCACACCGAGTCCTGCGTGCTGCCATCCCGACGCCGAGCCGACTCGGGATCTTATGCACGATGCCGGGTGGCCGATGGGAGACAGCCTCTACACAACGCAGTTCCTAATTATTCGAGATAATTCCTTTTCTCAATAGAGAGCTTTATTCTTTGATTATAATCCATTTTTCCATTCTCAATTCCAAGACTAAATGCCTGAACCCGACCATGTCAAGTTTTCACACTCGGCATGCCGAACACGGGACCTCTCGGGCAAGTGGACCAGCAGGCAAGAAAATCCTCGACGGAACCAGACTCTCAATTTTCACACGCCCCACTCCAACCAAGCCCCTTCCGTGATCTGCGGTGAACTCGGCAGGGAAACCTCTGACGCCGACCGACCAGAGCTCCATCAGACCACTGCCCAAAATAACCCAGAATACACCAAGGAAAATCACAAAAAGGGGCACATGGTGGGCCTAGCTCTAACGCTCCTTCCTAAACCATGGTGTGCTCCTTGCACGGCATCTCACTGCATCCAATCATGATGAATAGCCCTCTTATCTTGGTGCTGCAGATACTAGGTTTTTTCTGGACTGCGGTGACCAGGTGTTTGGCTGAGGTGATGGAGGTCAATGGCTCTAGGCCTCTTGGTCTTCTCGGCCGGGTTGGATATTACGGAGTAGAATGAAAGTGGTTATAGAAGAATTCGAAATTGGATTCCATGTTTTAGGCAGTGAAACTCTCCCAGCCCCTAAAGCTAAGGCTATGATGAAGCTCACTAGGCTCAATTTAGCTAGGCCGTAGATCACCCTGTAGGGAAAGACATTGATTGGGTTTTACGACACTTTGTCCGTCTCGTCGTAGCATGGAAATATGTCACATACTGCATCCGCGCCCAATGAACTCACTCTCTGAGCTAAGGGATTGGAGATAGTCATCAGATCTCAGCGTTCGATCTGGAACGCCTTGCAATGAAATCTCCTTCCTTTCGTTACATGGTATTGCCGTCTTTAGAATAGCTCCAAGCCCTCTCAAACTCATTCCAACCCCCAGGCGGTGCGTCCCACATGGCCAATTCACGAACCACTGTCTCGTAGCATCCATCATTGGGCATATTGCCCTGACAGACATTTCCTCCAACGGCGATGTTGATGAGGATTCTGAACTCACTCATCTTCCTCGTGCCAGGCGGCTTCTCGGCTCTCATGATGGGCCTGCCATCAATCAGCCAGACCAAGCGCCCCCTGCCCGTTGTTTCGTCCTCATCCCAGATAAAATCGTACCTCACTCCCACCGGCGAGTTAATGTTGGGGATGGGGGTTTCAAGAACGCGATGCTTGTCCCAGTCCTGACCGTTGAAGTGACCCCAATGCAAACAGGTGTGGTTGACAGCATCGCCGTTCCATGCTTCCATGATGTCGACTTCACCATCCTCGGGCCACTTGAAGGGGTCTTTAGGTAGCAGCCAAAAGGCAGGCCAGATACCTCGTGCCACTGGCGCCGTAATTCTGGCCGATAGACAGCCCCGTGGTCGACTGAGGGTCTGATGACTCGAAAGCCTGGCGCTGGTAAATTTCTGCGCCGGGTCGGGATGCCCGTGGCTGATCAGGGCGCGCAGGATCACCGCATCGCCCTGGGGTGAATGGAATGAGTTTTGCGGGCTGTCGATATAATTCTGCGACTCATTGTTGCCCCATCCATGTTGACCCTGTTCGTGGTAGAAGTTGGTGGACACTGGTACTTGGGGATGGAGATTGGGCCGCCAGTAGATCTGGGGTTGCGTGGGCTGCTCCTGATAAGCTGGAGGCTTAGTGGAGGCTGGAACAGGTGGCGGGGGAGGCCTGTTGTACGATAGTCCCGGTGGGGGGGCAGGATGGCTGAATTCCTCCCAGGCCTTGTCTGCCTTATCGATAATGCCCTGAAGAGCCTGTCTGAATGGCATGTTGAGAACGACCTCAGTACAGATGTTAGTTGCACAAGTAGCAAGGAAGTGAAAAGAGATGGAAAAGCTAAGATGACGTCATATTGTGGATATCTAGGCATCGTATTTCAGATAGTACCAGTCATTAGCTATATGGAGTATGTGCTACTCAACGCTAACATTGAAGCTATCGCTTAACTTGAATCTAAAATCTGAAAACCCTTCTTCTCTTTCGATCACTGAGCCCCGGCAGTAGTGATAATAATGTAGTGGTTACTTTTCTCGGCCTGCTAAAATTTTGTGCCTCAGGCAACAATCATATGCAAACTCTACAAACCTCTATTGAAAACTTTGGCATCACAAAGAGATTGAACTCCTAATGGTGTGGCCTATATATGGCCAATCTAATGTGCTCAAGCCTAGCGCCACATCATTGCAAATCTTCATCTCGGCACAATCAATATAATTAACACCACGTGCCTCTCTGCTCGCACTATCTCCCAAGTATGGCAGAACCATGCCATGACCATCCTCCTGCAACAGACCTCTCTAGAGCAGAGCGCTTCAAAGCTACGCACCTCGCCGCACGCCATGGCAACTACCACCAATATTACGCCAAGTTCCGGGCTCCTACTGTCCCGGACGAACGCCTCTCCATTCTTCCATCAGAGGTCCTCCGCAATGCGCGTGTCATAGATCTCGGCTGCAATGCGGGCAAACTGACCCATGAGGCGATAGTGCACTGCGGTGCGGCCGCCGCAGTCGGCGTCGATATCGACCCATGGCTGGTCGAGCAGGCGAAGGCGGCGTACCCGGACGGGCCGTGCACATTTGAGCACTTTGACTTTGTGGATACGTCCGCGTACAAGGGTACCGCGCTGGGCAAGTTCGACGTTGTTCTACTGCTCTCTGTGACCAAGTGGATTCACCTGAACAACGGGGACGCCGGGATGTTGACGCTATTTGCGCATATACGAAGTATACTGAATGAGGAGGGTTATCTCGTTGTTGAGCCGCAGCCTATGAGCAATTATGCGAGGGCTTCGAAGAAGAATAAAGAATTGAGAGAGACGTATAAGACTATCCAGATTAAACCACCGTTTGATGATGAGTTGAAAGCGCAGGGATTTGAGAGGATACTTAAATTTGAGAGGGACGAGGAAGGGTTTGCTAGGCCTGTACATGTTTGGAGAAAAAAAGTATCATAATATGATCAATGGAGATAGCTTCAAATGAATCGGACGAAATGACTTTCATCCGGATGATGTAGAGTTTTTGGCTAGTTCCATCTTGGTATTAGGGGCGAACAAAAGCTAGCCTGGTAGTGCTGGACATATGAACGGGCCATTTAAGTGAAGTAGAGCACGGCATGTAAGAGAAGTTCCTGGGCATCTTTGTTTTCAATTCTTCTACCAACATAGCTCGTGGTGCTTTATACTTGGATGCTTTTGGCGAGACTCGCATGATCCATTCGATTATTTAGTTCGATCAATTGTTGGAGTCGATGATCATCTTTGAAGCGTTCCAATGCTTCTGCTTTCCACATCTCCAAATGGAAGTCACTAGTGATGCCCATAGCTCTTAGAAGCCCGGCGAAGAGCCCAAGAAATCCTTCCCAATCTTGAAGGTCGTACCCGCAACAAAATCGAAATCTATGGATGAGCCACCCATTTCTGACAATAGTTCCGAGATCCGGATGCCTTTTTGCTTCAAAACACTTTGCAAAAAAATTTTCATCTTCACTGATGGAGTTCTTACCCTCGTAAAAGTCCGCAACGGAGAGCAGGACAATCGGCGAATTGAACGCTCCTGACTTGGAGTCTGTATGCGACCACTCCCAGTCGATGATTCCGGTGATATTAAATTCATCGTCGACAAGTATTTGGTCCCCCTTCTCGTCCGCATGCTTCAAGTAGGACTTGCCATCGTCAGATAACTGTGTGAGTAAGCCTGCGGGACTTTGTCCAAGAGAAACCGATGAATCAAAAACGCATCGACTGGCCGGTCAATGTAAGACTCCTGTCGGACGATTAAATCCAAAATCAATTCGATTTGTGTGGTAAAATACTCTTCAGTAGAGAGGAAAGGCCTAAGCGCTTTCATCTAGTGACCGTCAAAGTCTGTCAAGGACTCTCGGGCAAATAGACCAATATCATAGGACCCAAGATGATGTATAGAACCCGTCTCATCAAAAGGATAAGCCTTTAACTCAATATAGATGTTTGCAAGCTGACTTACCACCTTTTTTCTTTGCTCAGGAGTGGCAAGAGACCAGTGCAAGGACCTTCCAGGCAGCTTCTCCATCAGGATATACCCAACGCCCACAGGGTTTGTTTCACAAAAATCAAAGTCGAAAACCTTCGGAACGGGGACTTGAGTTTTACTAAGAAACTGGAGGGTCACAACCTCGCTGTGCAGAATATAATCTCGTAGCTCTGCTGGTGGTGAAGTAGCGTTGGACCTTCGAATACGCGCTAGCTAACTGATTCCATCATCGAATGATATCTCAATATGATAATTCATCCCCCCAATAACTGTGCTTCGTGTTGATCTATCATATCTAAGGTTCTACGGGACAGAACAAGGAAGGCCTCCCCTCAGAGCTGAGGCTCGAGAAGTAAGCGCAGAAATGTTCATTACATCTAGAAGTTAAACGATCTCATCCTGTTCCCCTTTCCTAGCGGCCGGGTCATATCTAGCCTCTTCCTGTCCACATAAAGTAGCATGGCCCACGATGCTGTGATGTTTGACTTGCCTCCCATTGGGGACAGGTGTGGTAATTTGGTCCCAGATGGTTTGCACAAAGATGACGATTGCATAGAACACATTCCCCAGAGATACGAACAGAGGCTTTGTTGCAATTTTGAATATCACATAGCCATATCATTATGGCTAATCTGCCTATCTTCGAAGACAGCAGGAACCGAGTAGGCGGCTGGTACTAGTATATATGCGTTCAACCCCTATGGCATGTATTACGTGAACTTTTGTTTGGTCTGTTGAGGAGAAAGTTGAGTATGAAGCACACCGCAAATTTGACACGTGACGCCTGCGCAGACTTGAATCCATCGTATGCCAGCCAGATGGAGTTTATATCCTCTGATCTGCCCTCTCCATGCTTTAAATATTGAAGTTTGATGAGGTGATTGGTACAGGATACGATCGTTGCTGTCTGGCCGATTCTATCCACCTCTACCCACTGCCCCATATCGTTGGTTCCAAGCTGCATTATTTGAAAGAATGGCGTGTTCACATTGCTGGAAAGGCATTGACCTGGTTTATTCACAACTACTTTTCTATCCTGAATAAATGAGTTGCCTCGATGTCTGGACGAACCTCATAATGGCTATCTAGAAAATGCTGGGGATGCAAATATGGAGACTAGACAATTGCGACAGAGACACGTCAGACACTTGAGACTGGAGAAAACAAGATCATTTATGCAAATTTATTTTGAGTGTTTTTATATATCGAAATATGATACAAGTGTCACCGGCTCAAATCCACGATCCTATCTACGAATGCCCAGGCGACATAGCCGCCCACCGCGACTGCCGCCTCGTAGGATGCCCGGGCCAACCAGGATGGCCATCTGGCGGATCACTACAGTAGATGAGACTATGATTATCAAAGCGGAACCGCTTGGACGCAAGAATATCAATAATGAAAATGACCGGAAACAGACACTCGAGTGTATACGCGAACCGATCAATCTCGCCCGCGACGGTGGTCGCGCTCTGCGCGGTCGTCCTTAGCGAGGACGTGACAGCGCGCAGGATACCGATGCAGCATAGACTGGCGAGCCGGATCTCGGTGGACTGCAGCAGGTGTCGGAAGAGATCGTGGGTTGGCGAGCTCCAGGGGGACGTGACGTATGCGTCGCGGAGAAGGCGGATCAGGAATGCGGCGCTGGTGGTTTCGACTAGAGCGATGGCGGTAAAGTAGCCGACGTGTAGGTAGTCGACGCGTTGTTGGGAGGGTTCATTTGTAGCGATCTGGACGGCGCGGGTGGCGGCGATGGCTATGCGGATGGCCACGATGCAGGTCATCAGCGACCAGAAGGTGAAGCGGAAGATGAGGAGGGCGCGGTCCTTGAGGGTGTGGACGAGGATTTGGTAGCTGTAGAACGAGAGGCCGGCTTCTTGGATCTATTAGCTAGGTGGTTAGCAAGTAGCCTCGCGAGTAAGCGTGGGTGTTTCCTGTGGGAACCGACCAGCCAGAATATATCGGCAAAGACGCTCGCAACGGCTTGCTGCCGGATTGGGTAGTCGGCATAAAAGGCGTAGTAGCAGAGGCCATTGGCGATGGCGCAGGCGATGGAGACAATGATTGGCACGAGGTGCAGGGGAGACACGCGAGTGATGAGGATGGCCCAGACCCCGATGACGGTCAGAAACAAGCCAATGGTGCTTAGAATCGACCAGCTTAGCTCGAAATATGCGGGGACGCCCATTTCGGTCGTGAAGGGCGGCGCATCGTGCAACGGTACGGTATGACGGAGAGGAGGAGGAGGAGGAGGAGAAAGTGCAGGGTGAAAGGAATAAGTAGAAGGATGAGATGAATTCGGACAGTTTGGGAGGGAAAAGAGCCGGAATGGGCTAGATTGCTAGAACTCTGATCAGCGATCTTGGTTCGAAGGATCCAGACAGGGGACGGTTACTCAGAACGGCCCCAGCGTTGAGCCTGTCGAGCCAATGGAGGCCAGTCGAGGTCGAGGAGGACTCGAGGAGGACTCGAGGAGGAGTTCGAACCAAACTTAACATGAGGAGTGAGTCATCTGATTGGATGTCCCGCAGAGCGAATCTGGGGTGAGAACCCCACCGCGTGAGACTTGTCAGTCAGCCCCACCAATAGGAGAAACTCTGTCCAAGCCTTTCCAGCGGTCACAGATCCTCCGAGAGTCCGAGAGTGGTCTATCCTGGTCCCATGTTTCAGTCTCTCGGCTTCTGGGGTTGCTGAATCGAGATATACTGTACACTGTACGGAGTAGCATTGGCCTTAGTGATGATCAATTGGAATGTCCGTCCATTTTCTTGTTGACAACGCCTCTGCACCACCCGAAAGTACCTCATTCTGTTCCTTTCAGTCGCCTTCCGTATGCATGGACCCCTGAACACCCCTGTCTTTAAAACCCTCAAAACGGAATTTCTCTAGTCTGCAAACATGTCTGGATTCAAGTAGGGGACAAAATCGACAAAGCGTAAGCAATAGGCCCCAAAATCTCCTATTCCAAGGATATGCTTCACAGCTATCCAAACTCTACATCGGATTCTACACGCACTTCTTTCCCAAAAAGCCACCCCCACGGAAACAAACTCTCGGAAAAAGCCAAGGACATCCGAAACCCCCAATCCGATCGATCAGTTCACTACATTAATATTAATCTCTTAAATCCCCCGGCCCCTCATCGCCCCATCTCTCACTAACCTGGCCAATCCACCGTCGATACAACCCCCTCTGCACCAACCCCACCCGCTCAAGCCGCATAAGCACATAAACAACCCAATACTGACAATTCTGCGGCGGAACCTTACACGCCTCCCGACTAACCACCACACCCAGTTCCACGGGGATCAAGCCCAGGAAAATCTTCTCAGCAAAGGCCCAGCTGTTGAAGCGCTTGTTTGGCTCGATGAGCATTTCGTAGGCGCCTTCGTGGCCAGTTTCGTTGACCGAGTGGTACCAGATGCAGTGGGTGTCGTTGGGGTGGGCGAGGAGGAGGATCCAGTGGATTGGGTCGGAGGGGTGAGTTTGTTTGCATATTGCTAGGTGGATTTCGTAGTGGGTGCGGTCGATAGGTGGCATTGTGAAGGGGTTGGGGGTTGTGGTACAGACCTACAGACCTTGATAGTTATGTTTTGGGTAGAGTTGGGGGATTGGGCTTTTTCGATTGGGACTGGGATGGCGCTGTGATTGTGATGGGGATCTTTGCTGGAGAGGAACTTGCCTCTGCTTTATAGGCATTTGGCTAGCGAAGTTGTTTCTGATTTCTAAATTTGGTCGGAATGGATCAAATATGGATTCGAACAAGGAAACAAGACTGAGTTTCGGTGCCTTTGTATGGGGACTATCTGTTTGGACAATTCAGAGACACTCTTCCCTTTGTTCCAGCCCTCAATGATCGGGTTGAACAATGTCTTTCTGATGGCCAAAAAGCTCAAAGAATAACGACAATAACAACATGAATGACAAGGCGGGAAGCAAAGACCGACTACGCTGATTGTACCTCTTGAAAGAAGAACAATGCTCCACTCTCACCTTCCTAAGCTCTTTGCCCTACGCAGACAGGACAGCCTATCAAAGCCAAACAACTCTACCAAAAAAATATCATCTGTATTGGTATATGCAACATTCATCATGTCAAGTCCAAAACTTTTGGTCCTAATGACTGGGGAAATAGATCGATGAACAAAAATAAACAAATCTAAATCCCAGCAAATCGTATAAGCTGTGAAAACCCTTCATCTGATCCACGCCCCAATTCACGCGCACGTGGACACCGAGTAGTGTATGGAATGTGTGGAGACCCCTTTCCGTGTCAAATGAACGAAACAGGGAAACAAAGACGAAAAGAAAAGAGAATAATAGAAGAGGAGAAACAACGCCAAACACCATTGTGCACCCGGTATGGAGAAATTGAACCTGGAACCAAGTTGACGATGATTACGCGGGGAGGCCTTAACGACGCTGGTTCTTGCCAATACCACGCTTTCCAGCGACCTGTATCAAATGAGTTAGCAAAATGACCCGAAGGATTATAAGATCGGATCAGATCCAGGATGAGTGTACATACCAAGTGCTTAACCAAGGAGACGGTGGTGTGACGATCGGCTTCACCCTGTCGGGCCATGCGGTTCATCTTCTTCTGACCCAGCTTCTGCAGACGGTCAGCCTTCGAGCGAGCGGTCTCGTCAACGACACCATCGTTACGACGGTCAGTTGCGGCCTGGCTGCGGGCACGGCTCTTGGCACGGGCAAGGGCCTTGTGAGGATCGTCCAAGTCCATGGCATCATCATCACCGGGCTCGCTGCGCGTAAGCGGGCGACCACGGGCTTGGCTCTGAGAGCGGGCGCGGGAGCCAGCGGCATCGACATCATAGCCAGCGGCGTCGAGGCCATGCTCCATCTCGGAGAGCTTCTTGGACTTGGCGGAGCGGGGGATTTGAGCGCGGTTCTTGAGCGACTTGCGCATCTTGGCCTCGTTGCGCATGAGCGTGCGCTTCTCGCGGATCAGGTCTGCCTTCATGCGGATATCGGCGTCCTCGGCATCCTCGACGCTCTCGTCCGAATCGTAGTAACCCTCGGCCTCCAGCTTCTCCTCCTCCTCTTCCAGAGCAGCCAGCTTGGTCTCGATATCCGGGTCCACAAAGTCGTAGATGTTCTTGCCGTTCCACACCTCGGGGATCTTGTCGTGGTTCCAGTCGGAGTCGGCCAGGGTGTAATCGCGCTGCATATCGAAGTTGTAGACACCAGCACCACCATTCTCCTCCTCCAAGTCACGCTCGAGCTTCCGGCGGTTGGGGTCGTTCTTGTTGTACTTCTGGAGGTTCTTGACAGCCTCGGGGATGAAGGTCTCGCGCTGGACACCACCCATGGGCTGAGCAACGTGAATACGGGCGAGGACATCGCCCAGGCGGCCACCGGGGGTACCGGCAGTGTTGGAGCCAGACTTCAGCTTCTGAGACACACGCTCGGCGAGCAGCTTGTCACAAGCAGCGTTCTTGACGGCAGTCACACCCTCAGTGGTGGTGCAAGAAACCTGGAGCATCTCAACATCACCAGACTTGAGAATGTCTTGAATCTCAGCCTGCTGTTCGGGGTCCAGATCCTCGGGGCGGCGAACATCAATCTTGTTCACAACGATGTAGACGATCTTGTTGGCAAAGAGGGGCTTAATGCTGTGGAACAGCTTGATCTGATCGGTAACAGAGTAACCACACTGCTCCGAGAGATCCATGAAGTACAGAATAGCAGAGCGCAAGTGAGCAACGGCAGTGATCGACTGCATTTCAATAGTGTTCATCTCCTCCAGAGGGTGGTCGAGAATACCGGGGGTATCAATAGCCTGGAAACGCAGGTACTTATAGTCGAAGTGGCCGACGAACAGCGACTTGGTGGTGAAGGCGTAGGGCTGAACATCGACATCGGCGCGGGTAATGCTGCGCAGGAAGCTGGACTTGCCGACATTGGGGTAACCGCAGATCAGAAGAGTACGGGTGTTGGGATCAATCGAAGGGAGACGACCCAAGTGCTGGCGGACCTGCTCCAAGTAGACCAGGGGATCCTTCAGGCGACGGCAAATAGTGGCCATGCGACCGAGCGCAGCGCGCTTGAGCTGCTTGCACTGGAAAAGAGATTGCGCATACTTGATCAGACGGACGTAGTCGCGAGAGACGGTTTCAATCAGGTGCTTGGCGGTCGAGACCTGACCGAGGGCAATGCGGAAGTGGTCGGCATCGTAGAGGGTGTTCATCAAATCCTTGTCTGATCGAATGTTAGGCCCCACGTCGAGAGGCGATCGAGTCGCAGGAAAAACTTACGGAACGGATGAATATCCTGCAGGCGGGGGAATCCATCGAGGATGGCCTGGAACTTTTCACAGAAGGTCTCCTGGGTGTACTTGACCTTACGGGTGTAGAAACCTGCCGCGGGAAGAAAAACCGGATCAGCGATACTGTCTTTATCGATAACCCCGATCACACTTTTTTTGGCCTTTCGCCCACTCCCTCGCAAAAACCGATCGGATCGACTGAGAATGAATAAATAGGAATCATACCTCTGATACGGCTGATCTTGAAACCAGCACGGATCTGGGTGGGCAGCTGTCTCTGAGTGCGACTCAGGACAATGTCCAGGAATTCCTGGCTGGTAGGCACAGGCGCAATCTAGCGGTGAAACTGATCAGTTGGGAAATTCTCGACTCGGGGCACCGAGTCGTAGTAATCAAGATACGCACATCCTTCCACGTCGTCTTCATGATGGGCCACAGGAGTCAAAACTAGCAAGTGTATTGACTCTGAAGTGGGAGGTTGTTGGGGGGTCCAACTGAGTTTCTCCACGAAAAAATTGTTTGTCGGACATTTTTCTGCCGGGCGGCCAGCAAATGCGGGGACCAGGATTGGATGCGGTAACCGAGCCACTTTTTTTTCTTTTGGTCCCTGATAAGTCAAGGCCAACGTACAGTAGAACTTACAGTACGAGGATGGGATTAAGTATAATGCAGGACGTTGAAAGAGATTATTGTCATATTCAAGGATATTCATCAGTCTAATCTTTTTTTGGTATTATATTATATGGTAGAAATCAAAAGAGACGAGGCATGCTCATGTACATCGCATTTTCAACTATGATACATAAGCGCCCTGGGCGAAAACCTAGGTTTGAAAGAGTCCAAGCCTCTTTTCATTGAGAATAATCCGTCAGACTGGCCATCCCCGATCCCAGAAGACAAAACAAACTCCAGTTTCGTTCAAACCCAAAGACCAAAACCGATGACCGGACGTAGCATGCGTAACGAGGACATGAGACAGAGGAAAGAAAACGTAGATATGAGGAACGAACAACAATCAAGAAGAAAAGCAGACCGGCAAAAAGGCCACACACGGTCCACGCCGAAAGATGCAAAAAAAAAACAAAGACCAGGAAACTAGCTCGTCTCCTCATTACCAAGCTCCAAGACCTGCAGTGTGCCGTGTTAGTTACGATGTATGAATGCCAAATCGGACAAAAGGAATCATCAACATACCAAATTAACCCAACCACCTCCGCCAAATTGGCACTTGCTTGGGCCGCGGGACTCGAATCCGAACGACTCGTAGAAAGGAACCAAGTGTTCATGAGCGATAATCGCAATCCGATCTGCGATCTGGGCCTCCCGGATACGGTGGATATACGACTTTAGCAGGGTGCTGCCGACCTGCTTACCCTGGTGCTCCGGAAGCACAGCCAGGGAGTGAATAGCAATAGTGCCGCCACCCTCTTCATGGCCAACAGCCTGGTTGTCCTCGAACGCCCACCGCTCGGCTTGCCAGTCTTCGGGCAGGCGCATAGCTCGGTCCGTCACCAAGGGTTCGGATGTCCGGGTGGCGATGATGTGTCCGACAAGAGTCGCGCGGGGTTTGGGCTTGCTTTCATCGATGACGGGCAACGTAAATAGACCCAAGCTCAACTCCGGGCAGCGAGTGAGGCGGTAGATGAACTTGTCACGCGAACAGCGCTCCGCCTCCGGGAAGGCATTCTCCACCTGGACACAGTCCTCCACGTTGGATACGGAGAGCAGTTGGACAAACGGATGCAACTCGTCAAGCTTGGTGCGGTGGTGAGTTGGGGGCCGGCGGAACCAGTAAGGGTAGTCGTTGGCATCTTCCTGGTCGACTGCGACGTAATCCTCGTCCACTTCGTCCTCGTCCTCAAGATCGTCGAGAGGAAACCCGCCATTCGTCATTGCGATACCGGCGCGATTCATAATCCGGGCCAGGTCGCTGTTGCCAGGGTTGCCAATGGACTGGAGGTCATCGTTGGCATTGGACAACGGCTTCAGACCAGAGGTATCGGAGCCGGCCATCGACTCCGACGGTTGATCGTTGAGATCCGACATGATACCGTTGGGTGAACGGGGAGTTTGACCGCGACAACGATCGGAAATAGTAGTCGCGAGTTCAGGAAATTGCTCGTGTGTGTGATGAAAGGCAGTTGCACAGTCACCTCTTTATTTGATTTTTTTTTTTTTGGCAAGGGGACCCGGCTAGGTGGCGTCGATGGAGACTGGAGGAAGGGGATGCAATCTAGACCAGTGGGGATTAGTTGATATGCACGTAAACTGCAGATGAAAATGCAGTAGTACAAGGTGGAAAGATCGGACGAGAATGAACCCTGGTAAGAAGGATCTTTTTTGCCTGGTGTTCCCTTCGTCTGCGCGATTGGACTGGGGGAGGTTCTGGCAAGGCGATAAGAATTTGCGACACGGGCAATGTGCGGGTACGCAAGGAGGGGTAGTGGCCGGTGGCCGGCGCTCCGGACGGGGCTGGGGAATGAAAGCAAGGAGATGAGATGCGGCGAGCTGGATTGATCTCAACTTACCAGAGAGGGGATTCCGTCTGAAAGCACGGTGTGGTGATCGTAGTTGTGGGAAAGGGAAAAAAAAAGAAGAGTGAAAAATAGGGTAGAGCGAGTGGCGGGGGAGCTGAGAATGGCGAGCGACTCTGGCAATACCACACCCGCCCGAGTTCTTCCTATCTTTCTCTGCGTACCCCCCAAGTACCCCCAATGTAACTCCTCCACCCCCCAATAAAACTCAAGTGCAGAAAGCACACCCGTCACCGCTTGCCTCCGAGCGCAGAAGCGGGGCATTTCTTTCGATCCGATCCAGCGAGTCGGTGTCGATCTCTTAGCCTTCTAGAAAGTCCAGCCTCCCTTATTCAGGTGGCCTGCAGCTGCACTCCAGGGATCTGTTGTCCCACATAACCTGCCACACACAGTCCGCGTCAATCTTGGCTCATTGAACCTGCACCTAGGATCACGCCTTGACTAAGATATGCTCGAATAATGATAGTAGATTCGAAGTACTACTTAAACTCACTCCTGTCGCAAGTGACTTTGTTACGCTCAGCATTTACTTCAAATTGCTGTGCCAAGCTTCGCTCATTATATGGTAACCTCGTGTAGGTAATATACGGGTATCGGTACCTCGCCCGCCGTGCCAGTACAATGCCGTATAACACTGCTATGGCTTAACATGGAACGAGGTAGGTTTTAGCATTCTTGTAGTGGTTTGTGGATGCGTACAGTATTCTTTACACTATATTTGCCTGGTTTGGTGAGACTCAAAGACCAGAAATGACATGCTCTTTACCTCTAACGAAGAAGTGGATATAGTATCTGTACTCACTATACAGCGCCAAGAAACAGAGCATCCTCTGTCATAGAGCTACCCTAAAGCAAACAATCAAAACTACAGAGGGTTTTCGATGATCGATAAACCTTAGTCCTAAGTACAAGTGAAAGACATGGACGAAAAGGAAGAAACAAACAGGTCTATGGCATATTCTAGACGACACCCGTAAGATGTATCCATGTTCAATATTAGGTATTGTTTTCATAGTCTTGCGAAGGAAATAAAGTACGTGAAGATGCTATGCTTTCACAATAATAGTTCAAGCTACTATATACCGGCGCACCGGATATTCCATGCCACCTCTTTCACAATCTTAATTATATTTACACTTCTATAATGTAGGCTGAATTTCAAAATCAAGCAAACACATCTTCTCGTCGTTGATATATTGTGACCTAAAAAATTGCATTTAGTATGATGCCCCCAGTAGCGTGGCTCGGTCGGCCAGGAATTACGTTATGGCTCATATAGACACTTCATATTTATCGGTTTTTTTTTGGATAGAAAGGGAGAAATGGAGGACCCTCGAGGGTGGTCAGATTGTGAAGCTAAGAGGTACGTTCTATCGAGATATTGGAGGATCTAAATGACACGATCCTGTGGCTAGGAGCATATGACGAACGCTTCTCAGGGCTGGCAAGGCCAATTGGGACCACGGTTGTTGTAAGAAGACTAGAAACGGTGTTAGCCAGTCCATCATACTAGTGGAAAAACTTCGTTGTCTCACATCTTTCGTATCCAGCATCGAATACATAGTGTCAGAAGTGCAAGTAGGGATATTAAAGAACCCTGGGGTTCTGACCCCATCTCGTAAGGGCCATGGATCGGTATTGATTTGTCCATCCTGAATGATATTTGCGGTATTGGGCATCTGGTACCCTGGTTGATTGCCGTTAGCGATGAAGCCGTTATAGGCGCTAGGAGAGCATATGTTAGTAATTTTCAGTATATCTAAGCTATTCCAACTTACCTAACAGCAATATCGTCAATAGTCAACCCTCCCCACGTCCCACTATCACCAGTGAGAGTATCTGTATCGCCTCCTGGTAGGTAATCTGGGACACTGCAGAGAGGTCAGTTGCCTATAAAATACAGGGGTAAAGGAAAATAACGGTGAGCCATACAATATGATTCTTTCTCCCCCCGGTAAGTCCTTGACTCCTAGAACTCGGCGTAAGCAGGAAGGATCATGGTAAGAACACAGGAGAATAAAAAGGGAAAATTACCAAGTACATAAATCGTGACACCGGGGATTGCACACGATCGGGCTTTAGGAACATAGATATAATTCCAACCGTACTTAGCGTCGTCATCGCATGTTTGGTTCGTAATACTATAATATATCTTTAGGTCAGTTATATTTCTTAGGGACAACGCTAGGACGCGAAATTCATACACCACAGTAGGGTAAAGCTCTGCGGTTAATTTCCAAGCCCTTTGAACCAACAAGCCATAGAGAGCATGTTCGAAGTCAAGTTTAAGCTCTCGATTGTCGATTATTGAGAGACTCGAACTAACCCACACGCCATCAGACAACAAATCCTGAGCGCTAATGACTGGTGATGCATTGTGGAAGGCACCATTCTCCATAAGATCCTTTGCCATGTCCGAGTAGATTTCTTGCAAGGTATTGGTGACTGTCGACAAGGCTGTTCCAAGCTGTTCTTCATTAATTTCCTGTTGCTGAGCGCTGCAATTTGATGGACGTAAATATTAGCCTTCCGAATATGTCTACTCCATAGGGTGGATTCTTACGCTGGTAAAAGATCCTTTTGTATCGTGAGAGTTCCACTAAGGATACCGACCATGGAAGCTGTACCTTTGTCTATCGCCTTGCCTAGCATGTCAGGTTTGGCTTCAGTTTTAACAAAGCCCGCTGCGAATCCAACTTCAGCATTAAACATAGAGAGGAGGATACTGAAAATATCAAAAAGCTCCTTTGTCATAGTCGTATCGTCCTTCACTGGAGGAGCAAACGTTGATGTAAAAGTCCCCAGCTGTGGGGTTATATCGGCCTCTGCATTCTGAAGGGCTGTATTGACATTGTTCCATAGCTAGTGTAGTCCGTCAGTCAGGGAATCCAGTATACATCAATCACAGGGAACGTAAAGCGGTGATCACACACGTTATGAAAATTGGATAAAGAATTGAGGATCAGCCATCCAGCCGAGCTGGTTACACTCTCACACTGCGAAACACCCGCAGTACACGGACTATCGATCAATTGACAATCGTAGTCCTCGGGACCATTGAAGTAATGAGATACCGCTCGGGAGAACGTCAGAGAGCTTTGGTTGTTGTAGTACGATACCGCCTTTGCTAAGGCCAGATCTGCTCCCGCCTGTTGCCAACGGGTCGCGGGATCAACAGTAGGGTCGCCCACCTTAGAACAGGGAATGGCGGTGGCAGTCGACTGCGGAACTGCGAGGACACTGGGAATGGCTTTCACCGATGTGTGAACTGGCTTCGGCGCTTTGATGGAACGCTGAGGAGCGCCTTCCACCGAGAGGAAGGCGAAAAACAAGGTTATCACGATGCACGTTATATGCATGATTGCCGTGCAAGTTAAACCAAATAGCAGTGACTGATATTGGTAAACCTGAGGGTAGAAACGATGGTATAAGGAAGTTTCTGCCCTTCTTGTCGATTCTTTCAAAGTTGTACTCGGCGCCCATCCACCCTCTTATACTACAGCCTCTGAGGAAAAGAGGCAATTGAATAACCTTTACGGCCGAAGCAAGTACCATAAGAATATTAGAAGTAGGGGCTATGGTTTTCGAAACAGAGGCACAGAGTAGATGATCATGAAAGACTTTACTCTCACGCCAGTTTAGCTGCGTTTGGCGTAAGCATCCTAGAAGCCCTTAGTATATCTCTTTACGGTTTATACTGAAAAGTTCTAGATTTACAGCCGTTCTGATTCGCTATTGCTTTCGGCCGTAGAATGTATTGACGTGAATTGTGCTGTCAATGCGACCGGAGGGTTTTGTTCCCTCCATTCAAAGATCTGGATCCTAGCACGTGTATCTTGCCGCTTGCTAGTCTTAATCTTCCTTCCCGATGTCTTAGTTTAGCGTTTATAGTTAAAATAGAACTAGATCAACTAATGTTGTAACAGCTATTTCTAAAGTAGATTATATTATCTTAGAGAAAATAATCATTTTTGAAAATATTATAGAGGGTGAAATACGTACAGCAGCCGATAGATGTAATAGAATAATAAGCTACTTTTGACTGGCAGAAAATTAAAGCTAAGGCAAACAACGACTTCGATAGATTTCTTTCCCCCTTAACGACCCACCTACTAACTAGGGCGATGCTAGAGCGACTACATAGTTCGATGAAGACGAGTCCAATCTGCTTTTGCATGTGGATATGTTCGATCCTTCCTCTGAACTTTCTGAGCTATCCATAAGCTTACGACGAGCCTCTGACTTGGCCTTTGCCGCTACTGCCTGGCGGGGGGCCGTCTTGTCGTTCTCGTTACGGAAGAGCAACGATGTATTTAGGACTTGCCTTGATCCGTCTCTCTCGATAACTCTCGCAATTTTTGTTCGGGTGACCGTAAAAAGGCATATTTGGTCATCAATCCGATCACGTAGTTCACTCTCACTTCTCTTAACCCTTAAAAAAAGCAGTAAGATTCGGCTGCTTATCCGATCTTGACACGGACTAGGTGAACTAGCTGTATCTACTACTTAGTCGCATGATTATAGCATATCTAGTCTCCCCTTTATGTACAGTGATGTTTCATAAGTCTCCGACCACCAGTTGATGACATAATATTCTGCCAGTCAAAATATTTGTCTATTGCTTCCATTACAAGGTAGTATTTCATTTTTCGAGTTAGTAGATGGATTTTGATTATGATTCTATAAGAAAGAAAAGTAGGAAAAGATCTCGTATCACTTTCTTGGTGTTTTATATGCAGGCAAAGTTCTCGCTGAGGGCGGAAGACTAGGTGGTAGTTAGAGCGGAGGTGGTCGAAGGCTTATTAAACACCATTATACATTAAGATTAGTAGATGTAGTCGAACCATACACGCTATAAGCAGAACTGCTATAGGGTACCGGATAAAGCACTATATCTGTGAAGGGCTGTAGCTGAATTGATTCAAGTGTTCTAGGCCAACACGCGGTTTACAACAATCTTGGAGAGGAGGGAACTCGCTACGGTTTCCCTAGGAAAACAGTAGTGTTCCCTTTCTGCTAAGGACGGTGGCCTTCCGGCCTACCAACACGCCTGAGGCCATGGCATATGATTTCCTACCGGGCTCTGTCCCGTTACAGTGGAAGTCTAGAAGACACCTTAAGGGTAAACTTCCGTGCGTAGCTATTCCTGTTTAACCCACCCCCCATCCGAGTGACGTGAAATGCTTACTAGGTACTTACACATTCGAGCGCCGTCACTCCTAATCTATACATTGAATATTACCTGAAAGCAGTAGAAATAATAATTATTTGATTTCTTATTTGATAGCTCTTTTTTAAACAACGATTACATATTGTTAGAGTGGCGGATTACAGGACGACACTCACTGCTCGAAAATCCGCTGCTTACTACTCCGACGCCAAGATGATCCACAAAAACGTCTTGAGAGGGATAAAAACACAATGGTGCATCATTTTCGCCTACCGAGTTACCTATATTGATTTTTTTTTATCACATAATTATTTTACCTAGGCACTGGCCACGCGACCAGGCGGCGGTATTGAATACTGAGCACTGCTCCTACCTACCACGGCTTAGGTACGATACGCTGGCACATACTCGAAATTTAGAGTTGTACGGTGCTATGGCCCTAGTCTCCATGATAGAGATTGATAAGTACCGGCTACTATTTCTTCCGCCCATCTTCTGGCCGATGATCCAAAGCGGGAATTGGCGCTGATTTCTTGGGCAGAGATGCACATAGGGCTGCCCCGCCCAAGCTTAAGTCCTCGGTTAGGCGAAGTACTGTACTCTCATACAGCTACAATCAAAAAGTCGTCTAACCGAATATCACAATGAGCAGATTTTTATAGCAAATCCTATCCAAGCGCCCTAGATTAATCAGATCAGCTAACCCGGCATGTCCGGGAACTGCTCACGGCGGCCGAGACACGAGCGGAGAGCTTTAATCCCTCGACCCGCAGGTTCAGGCGGTGAATCATTGCCGTGCGTCATGCGCCGTTATTTTCGTGGGCCTGACTCAACTTAAATTCCTCTTTCTTTCTTCTTCTCCTCTCTGGTGAGCTGGCTCTTCATCCCCCCTCGAGCTTAGGCTGCTCTTCCGCGACCGTGAGAGCCCTTGCTGGCCGACAATGGGCTCCCGAGCACTCCACTGGCCCCGGGCTGCTCAGTCCTCGCTAACCAAGGTGTGCAATACCGACGGAAGCAGAGATGTATACATTGTGGACCGAATAAAAGCTGATCGACGATTTTAACAGCAACATGTTGCTCGTAATAATGACCTTGTGGTGATGTGCCCGGCGCAATCGCTGCATAGGGATGTGCGTGCCCAGCAGACTGCCGAGTTCTCCAGTACTGGGGGGAACTATGACCGTCTGGGGCGCCGTGCGAAGGAGAAAATGCTGGATAAGGTGTGTCGGAGTTCTCAATTGCGGGATTGGAAAATATACTAATATATTAATGCTATCTCTCAGGAATTCTTTCTAAGTCTCCTCAGTTCAGCATCGACGAAACGAGAAGCAAAATCATATCTATCCCGTTTCAAAGCCAACCTTCCAAAGGAAACCCCCAAATCCGTTAGTGAACCTCCGAAAGGGCCGGTGAAAGAAGAGTCATTACCATCCGGGGTGAACCTCGGATCTTTCTATGGCGCCTCTAGAGCAGTATACGACACTCCGGTGTTCCGGCAAAATACTACGCCAGTGCCACGAGAACAGGAATCTTGGGAAAGACTACACTTGGCCTTGATCAAGGTCACTGCGCCGCAGTCTCTCGACGATGAGACGCTCACGGGTGTAGCAAAGACATTTTCACAACTTGTACGTCTGGGAATGGCGTGCTGTGTTGTTGTCGATCCGGGAAATGTGGATGATGCCGCCTCAACGCGACAAGTCGCCAATGAGCAGGCCACTCGGATCGCAAATGCAGTAGACGCGCAACCCGACTCAAAATCTTTCCGTCTTGACTCGGCTCTATCTATATCCGAAAGGGATCCGAGTAATCCTACGGTCATGTCGCGACAAACGCTTCTTCGTCCGCTCCGGAATGGACATGTCGTGATTGTTACGCCAATTGCATATGTGGATGAAAATCCTAAAGCTGTACCGGTATCAGCAAACGATGCCGTCATGGCGCTCACCAAGGAATTTGCCGGATTGTCTACGATTCCTGACCCAGACGAGGACCCGGCTGTCACGGCGGAAAGGATCAGCGAGCTACAGAAGGAGGTTTCACTAGATCGGGTAATTTTGCTGCACCCGCTTGGAGGGATCCCGGCGTTCAGTGGCCCACAGGCATCCCACGTTTTCATTAACATGGAGCAAGAGTTTGAAGAGATCGAGGAAGAGCTGCTCGATACACGGCACGCTCTCGTCGGCGAAGGTAAACCTACACGCAGTAAGGACGAAGGACCAGCCTCCATCCTCTTGGAGAGCAACCCCTTTTCCAAGTTTGTTGACCAAGAAGTTATCTCGCCTCTTCCTGGGAGATCGAATAAGCTCCCAGGTTCCCAGGCTATGGGCTATGTGATTGACGGGCACCTGGAGAATCTCCGTCTGTCGCAACAAGCCCTGGCCGTGCTCCCCTCTGCCTCCTCAGGCATCATCACCTCCCCACAAGAAGTCGCCAATTCCGCCCGCGCACCCCAGGAAGCGGTATCAGACGTATCCGCAGTTGGAACACGGCGCCAGCGCAACCCCCTCATCCATAACCTCCTGACCGACAAACCACTCCTGTCATCTTCTCTCCCTCCAGGCCGCCGCGGGTCAGCTAATGGATGCGCAAGCGCCATCAGCGCCCTTCCCCCGCACTCTACCTTCGTCAAGCGCGGCATGCCCCTCACCATTCTACCAAACCCCTCCGTGCAGATGTGGGCAGCGTCGGGCCAGACTCGCTTGCAACTCAATGACCCATCGATCGACCTGCCCCGACTGGTACACCTAATCGAAGATTCCTTCGACCGCAAACTCGACGTTCAAAACTACCTCGAGCGCGTGAATGACCGCATTGCCGGCCTGATCATCGCAGGCGAGTACGAAGGTGGCGCAATCCTAACCTGGGAAGCGCCACCAGGCGTAGTCGACGACGGCAGCGAAGCCAGCGCTGCCCGGATGGTGCCGTACCTGGACAAATTTGCCGTGTTGAAGCGCAGCCAGGGCGCTGGCGGCGTGGCGGACGTGGTCTTCAATGCGATGGTGCGCACCTGTTTCCCCAATGGGGTATGCTGGCGCAGTCGCAAGGATAATCCCGTTAACAAGTGGTACTTTGAACGGTCGAGTGGGACGTGGAAATTGTCTGATAGTAACTGGACGATGTTTTGGACGACACCTGGGCTGGTGGAGGATAGCCAGAGATTCCGGGATTACGAGGCTGTTTGTCGGAATATTCAGCCTAGTTGGGCTGATAACAAAAGTGTCGTTGATTGATTTAGTCGACGGGATTTGCATGTAGCATGAGTTAGGGATCCCGTGTATATAGTTCCGACAGTGAAAATCCAATATCCTTCCGTACATTTCGAGCAATCACGACCAGGTCCAATCTCTTTAAATATAACTTATCAGACATTCTTAATGTCCTAAATGTGCGCTAGTTTGACTGAAATAAAGTACTCCATCCATACTCCATATTGTCTGAGACTGCGTCCGGCCCACCTGAATTGGCCCCGGCCCGCCCCTGGCAGATCGCCGCGACGTCAACTCAAGTTGACCGCCCACAAGCAACACTCCTATCTGTTACACCTACGCATACACTCTCCTTCAATGGCGCCATGACACGATGCCCATCTGCATCGAATGCTCGTACCCGGTCTCGCACCTGTACAGCGCCTACAGTCGTGCCGATGATCGCTCCCAAGGCAAAGGTGTCCGACTGACGCAGTGTCCGCGCTGCCAGCGCTTCGCCGACAAATACGTCGAGTACGACTTTGTCGTAATCTTCATCGACCTCGTGCTCATCAAGCCGCAGGTAGGACTTACTGGACCAACTATTGTGAAATTACACGCTAACGAGTAAATTAGGTCTACCGACATCTCCTGTTCAATCGACTTGGGCGCGATGATAACCGGTTCGATGTGAGCTAGCTCAATTACGAACTACAACATGAGCTGGGATAGTACTAATAACATACGATACTAGCGATCAATCGTCCGCCTCGGAATCTTGCTGCTCCTCTTCGACGTCTACCTAACCTGGGCACGTCTCGAGAAAGACCCTTCCCTAGCAACGACCTTCATTGCGCGCGCCCCAATCGTCGTCCAATACCTCTTTTTCCTAACCCTCAACGCCGCCGCAACTCTCGCGCACCATCTCACAGTCCGCCTACTAGCCTCAATGCTAGTCCCACAATCCCACCGCTACGGCGCACCAGAACCCTCCTCAACTTCCCAGGCCAACACAGCGGCCAGCACAGGCGATACAACCCCCTTCCCTTCCGGACCTCCCACACCAACAATCCGTCCCTCACCCCCCTCGCAAGCAAGCCACGCAGCACAACAATTGAGCTCGCTGGGTCTACCAGCAGCGAAACTCACACCCAATCTCCTCTTCCCCAACGACACAACCTCCCCACCAGATCCATCACCCACCTCACAACCGCAAACAACAATCCCCCAACGCCCCCCTCCCCCGCTCCGCCGCACATCCACAGCTCCCATCCAAAACATCCGACCCCTGCCCCCACCAACAGCCGCAAGTCCAACAGCAATCAGCACCGCCCTCCTCGTCAGCAGCTGCGCCAAGCTCTTCCCCATCCTCCTCGTAATCTGGGGCGCCGACGGCAGCGGCAGCGGCAGCGGGATAACCAGCATCACCGGCTCAGAAACCAGCCCCTTCCGCAAAGACATCGGCGCCTCAAAGGCGGCACTCTCCTCAGCCCGTGACACTGCGTCTTCGCCGTCGCTGCTAGAGTCGTATCTCGCTGCGGCGGAGGTGTCGTTGCGTCCGTATCTGCCGACGCAATATGTGACTGGATTGTTTGACTTGTTGGCGTCGTTATTGTCGTTGGGTGTTGTTGATGCGCATCTTGTATTGTTGAGTAATATCGAGGCGCTTTATATCTTGCTGGGGTGTGGGTATTTGAGGTCTGTGGCGGTTGCGGTTGCGGGACAGGTTGCGAGGTGGGCGGTGCAGAGGGTTATATTGGGGGCTGTTGGAGTTGGATGAGAGATTGTAATTGTGGTTGAGAATAGAGTTGGTTTAGACTTGGTTTTGTATAGATATGCATTCTGAATTAAGCAATGGGAGAAGCCCATGTTGAGGTCATAACCCAGGTCCAGTCCCTCCCAGTAACCCTCCACCTCTATAGTCTAGTGGTTTAAGAAATCAGCTTCTGCCGAGTTTCCCACTAGACGGGCCCCTTCCAGGAAGGGGTCCTCTGAGGTGGAGGGTTACTTCCCTTTTTATGCTGGCCGGACACAGAGGCACCACCACGGCTGGATGTTTTTGTATATTTCCAATATATTCCTTATATCAAAATGATCCTTAAATTTAGGAGAATATAACAATCTTTTCTACGAAGCCTTTTCATTCTAGTTGTGGTTGTATAAATGTGGTATTTGGGAGGTATGAGCATCATGGTGAAGTATATGAGCATTGTCAAGTGTCGCGAAATGATTGTATGGTGACACGTAGGTCGGGGGTTCGATTCAAGAGTGTAAAGAATTTATTCGTGTTAGATCTGAGGTGAGGTCTTGCTGTTGAGTGCTTGGATATAGCTTGATATGGTGTGCTTTGATCTAGGACAGCAAGACCGGTCTTTCACTTTGCAGTATATATTGCAATTCGTATCAAATAGAGATCAGTTCCCTGATCACAGCTCTCTATCTAAACCTATACCCAAGAAATACAATGACTCGAACTAGATAGATTATCTATCACAGCAAAAGAAAAAGAAAACTGTACAAAAAACACCCGCAACCCAAGTGCATACAATTCCAAATGATATGAATAAACCATCTCCCCTCTCTACAAAAGTCCACATAGAGAAAAGAAAAGTCACCCCGCAATCTCTCCAAGTTCAAAATCCTGTCACATCAAGAAGGACCCGGCCCGAAATGAAGCAAACAGCAAGGCTTTACTCTGGTACCCGGTCAGGCCGGATATCAGCCCTCTTAGGCGCGATGAGAGGATGAAGCTGGGCCATGAAAACGATTGCTGGATTAAGAAAATGTTAGCTTAATGCCGGGCACTTGTGGTCGTTTGGTAATTTCATTGCAGCGTATTGCATTTCCGGGATGTTGGCCACGGAGTTGGAACCGGAGATGGGATGGTAAACGTACCCCACATCAAATAACAAGACACAAAGGAGAGGATAAGTGTGCTTCGCCAGACACTATAGGTTTTAAATGAAGATATTAGCTTCGCTATCGGACAGATTGCCATTTTCGACGGTCAACATTGCACAGGACGGAGGGCAACGACATACGTCTGATTTTCGCCTTTGGGACTAAGGAACCACGCGGCTAGGGACATAGCCACGATGATAATCAGGCCGATGAAGAGGCTCCATCTGGACATGGTATATGGTCAGCAAACCGTTCAATCCAATGAGGTGCAGCACGCGCAGGAATGCGTTGTGGAGGAGCAGCGGAGTCCAGCCCGAGACGTGGACTGCGTGCCTGCGTTGGTCCTGGTTTCCGCGGGCCTGGGTGGGACATACCCGCTCGCCATTTTGGTATATCAGGACCTATTCGTCCTTCCTCGGATCTTCGAAGAGCTCGCTTGTAGCCCGGAGAGTCGTAACGTTATCGGTGCGGGCGGCGGCCAGGTGGGCGTTGATCGGGGGGTGGATTAGATGGGTGGGCGGGGAGAGAAGGTTGTACGGAGGCTGAAAGGGCAATTCGGTTATCTAGCCGGTCGAATCTCCTCCACAAAGCGTTGTACTGAGGTCGTAGAAAGGAATGGTGACTTGACAAGTTGCACCGGCGTTGGATGTCGGAGCTCCTGGAGCTAGCGGGACTGTTCTGCCTCAGGCACCAGGGCGGTGTCCACGCGCTTCATTTACATGTGGAGTGTACAGATTACGGACTCGAAGAATTGGATTATCTACAATAATCCATGGCAGAAGACTTTCCAATCTATTCATTGCAAGCCTCATAGCAAAAGGGAAATATCGCAACCTAACTGCGATCCCTTGCAATAGCAGCGAAGCACAAAAAGGGTGTCGGTAGAAGACTGTAGATACAAAAGGGCCAAGGCAACGACGAAAACTTGGAAGAAAAGGGCAGGCTAGGGACAAAGAAGGCAGAACTATGCTTATGCGCCTTCACGGCTCTTGCGGTAGCTGGCCTATAGTTGGGATTCGGCGTTAGCATTCGATTGACTTCAAGGATCGCTAGGTAAGCTAGCTCACCTCCTGCTCGACCTGGAGCGCATCCACGGTGGGAGCGAGCTCACTCAGGATCTCGTAGGCCTTCTTGTGGAACTCCAGCTGGGCGGCGATCAGATCAGCCAGGTTGCGCAGGGGCTCGGGGGTATCGAGGACCTAGTTGAGCAAGGGGTTGTTAGTACGGTGGCCAGTAGTAAACTCGAGAAAACAAAAACATACATTCTTCATCACGCTCACGGCTTCCTCAGTCTGACCAACGAACTCATCTTCCGCCTGCTCAATCTCCTGGCGGGCATCCTCACTGAGGTTATCCAGGTCACCGTGGGCAGCAGCCTTCTTGCTAGCCTTGATAGAATCCAGAGTGAGACGAGCGTTCTCAACATTCTTCCGCGCCTTCGCAGCGAACATCAAGTTGGTGTTCAACGTGGTGTTCCATCCAGCCAGGAAACGGGATTGGATCTGCGCGTCCTGGGCGAGACGGGCCTCGCCAACCTTCTCCTCAGCCAGAGCGTACTTCTCCAGCGCAGTGGCGAGCGGGTCCTCAGCCTCGCTGCTCTGCACCAGGGTCTGGGAACCGGCGAGCGAAGCGCGCGCAATCGCATGGTTGAAGGTCTTGGGCTGGGGCTTAGCGGCGGGCGGCGCGGTCAGGGCGGCCTGGGCTTCGGCGGGAGAACTGGCCTGAGAGAGAAGGGAGACCTTCTCGTTGATAGTGCGGCCCAGGTCGTTGAAGGACTCGCGAATGTTGGGTGGGTAGTCATAGGCCTCGTTGGAGTATTGCGAGCTAGTTCAGGAGCGAGCCACTAGTGTTAGTGGCGCGTGCAAAAGCTGAAGACGGACACGGATATTGACCGTCAGCCATGGAAGAACTCACGTCACCTGGAGGAGCTTCTGGTGGACAAGCTTGAGCGCATCGACGCGCTTCTCGAGCTCGATGTACTCATCGGGTAGCTGGGTCTTATCTTCAACCTGTCCCAGCTGCTCCTTGATCATCTGCTGGGTACGCTGCGCAAATGGCGTGAAGCTTGCGCTGTTCATACGAGCAACAGGCAAGAGGATGTCAGTCAACGTTCGATCAGGGTCCAGAACGGGTCCACGGGGTTGTTTTCTTCGGCGGGGAAGGGGCTCTTTTCGCGACGGGGCCACTTGAGTTAAAAAGAAGGGGGCTATGCTCACCTGAAGGTCTTACCGAATGCCTGCACTCGATCCATGATTGTGAGATATGAAGGATTGAAAGGTAGGGAGAATACGGAGGAAAGTGAGCAGTGATGATAAGATGGCCAGCTACGAGGGTGCGATGGCCCATCCCGCTGCACCGCCCCACCACCGTGCACCGCCACAGTTTCATCAGGCATCCGCTTATTATGGGTTGAACATTTGTATACAAGGAAGAAAAGTGAATAATTAGAAAAATACACCTGAGAAGAAATAATATCTGTAAAAATGATCAAATCCCGTAAAAATCATGACAGTCATCTCCATGATCCCTGCTCTCAGCCTCGCTCAAGTCAAGGTGGCCAGCATCGCCCGCATTACTCCAGCGCTGGGTTCTAAAAACGTGTCAGCCACAGTTACTATCTGCAATATGATATCATCTTCAGAAGACATACCTTTGCGCTCTGTCCGTCGAACTTCATGGATCTCTGTCTCATTCCCTTTGCTGTCAATGACATCTGTCTCACGATCCCGCGTAACTTCATATCCACCCTGTCGCTCGATTCGCAACAGTCGGGCCTCCTCTTCTAAATCACGAACGTAGTCATCAACTTCATGGTGGCTGCTGCGTGGGCGCACCAAAACCAATTGGCCAGAATTACGCGGTCGCGCTTCAACACGCTCCTCGACGTAGCCCCGGGGCTCGATCAGTCGTAGGGGAGATGAGTGTCGTCCATGTGTATTAACGGACACTGACCGCGGACGAGTGATGCCTCCAAGTTGTGATCGCTGGATGTACTGGTCATACTCGACTTCTTCGTAACCATGGTGGTGGTGGCGTGGTGATGCTTCAATGAGATATGTATCGTGACGAGGCGAGCGGGCATCGACAACCAGATGCTCCGTAGTGACACGCTCGCGAGGAATAGCACGAACCGGGGATCGGGGAATACGCAGGTAATCGGCTATTTTGGCATGTGTTAACCCGAAAATCCTGGGTCTCGAGTATTTGGGAAGTCCTTGGGGCCCTGGAGGAAGGAACTTACTCTCCACATGTTCGGCGGGTCGTCGGAACTCTCTGCTGAGGCTGATGACTTCGTCGATTTGGTCTTTGGATAGCGCCTTCTTAATGACAATGACATCATCCTAGATCATTAGGAGAATAGTAATTAGCAATCCACGGTGCAGCACATCGTATACCTCACGGTCAGACCAGATAATATATACATACCTCCTCTGTGAACGGATACCCCAAGTCCAGGATAGCGTGGACATGCACCCACTTCCGGGGGATGCGAGTCTTTCCCTTGCGCGGGTAGGGCTTCTCCTCCCGACGAGAGCGAGTAGCGCTGCTCGAGCGACGCCGACGATGATCCATACCGGCACGCTCTCGGAATTCACGATACTCCTCATCACCGTAGTAATCCGGCTCCGCGATACGAATGTCCTCATATACCTCGCGCTCGCGATAACGACCGGGCGAGGCCCGCGGCGGGGGTGGCGGATGAGGCACACGAGGCATGCCGCGGGGACGATCGCGAGCCTCAAGAGACTCCATCTTACGACGAGGGATGCGATCGAAAGTGTCGAGGGACGACTGCCGCCTAATCAAACGGGGCGGTGCGAACGAGGGACTCTCGTCGCGGCGACGGCGCCGGTCATGCGCCACAAGGGGGCCAGATGCTTGAGACAGGTGCTCATCTTCATAGTATCGGCCGGCAGCGCGGGCAGGAGGGCCATATCGGTCTTCCTCGCGCATGCGAAACTCGAAGCGCTCTTCCTCGACCTGGCGGGGTCTATCAACCACCGGTGGGCCTCGAGACCGACGGCGCTCGTAGCGGTCGTGGGTGTCGACGGTCCCGGTGGATGAGTGATAGTCGTCATAGCGCGACATGGTTGGATGAGGTGTTGTGTAGTTTGTTTGTTTGGAGGAGTAGCTGAGGGTGGGTGTGTGAACCGTGGATGACGAGGGCGGCTGACTTGCGGGCCGATGGGAGGTGGGTGAGGAGAACCACGGAAGAGAGAAAGGAGAGTTGAGAGAGTTGAGAAAGAGGCTCAAGCGGAAAGAGATGTAGGTAGGAGAGAAAGTGAATGGACAAGAAGAGCTGAAGAGAAGAAAGAGTCGATCGGAGATTCAGCCTTACTAGTTGAAGCCCTGTCGAAGGACAAGAGGGTCAGGCAGAAGCGCCGCTGATGACGTTTGGGAAGACGAAGTGGGGGGAAACCCCACCAGACTCGGAGACTCTCACACACGACAACGCCTGGCACTTCCAACAATATTTGACTAGTCCTACAGGAGTAGTACGACTAGTGACATACTTCATCAGCCATTAACTCTGCCTAATGTAGGTACACGTTCTCCCATCCAATCCTACAATGCCAACACATCTGCACTGCCTACAACTCCAAGATCTGCATATCCCCCTCCAAGCTCAACAGGCCCATTGCCAAATAGGCTCGATCGGGTGGCTTAATCGTCACAAGCCGCCGGTCATCACTATACTGCGTGTTGCGGTCGCGCTCGAGGATATCCTGCGGCTGTAGAAACGGGTCAGCATGTCACACACAGCGGGCTCGGCCCGATTCGAAACTCGACCAAAACTTGACTCGAGGTCGTGTCAACACTTACATGAGGTGCACGTTGGTGGTCAGTGTCGAAGGATCGCACGTACGGCGGACCGCGACCATGCTTAGCGGCCACGACCCACGCCTTTTCACAGCCACCGGCGATGGCGTCGGACGTCTTCCAGCCTGTGAGTCGGGAGACGTCCCGCAGTTTGGCGATGGTCCAGCCACGCTGCGCGGGATCCATGTACTGCACGGCAGCGAAGAAGATCGGCATCGTCATCTCCGTCAGTGAAGAGCCCAGCGTTGGACTGAGACTGCCAGCTTCAAGGTTGTAGCGCTGCGGGTAGTAAATACCTCCAGTGATGCGACCGATGATTTGTGCGTAATCGGTAGTGGTGGAAGCGGCAACCCCCGCGGCCATCATCATGGCCGGGGGCATGGAAGGGTGAAGTCGTTTGAGCAGGATGCAACCAGCATAGTAGAAACCCCAGACGACCGCGATCGTGTGCGTGCGGTACTGGAGCGCCGGTCCAAATGGCGTGGAAATAGACTGCGTGACGTCTGCAGGAAGTGGCTCAAAGTCACGGCCAAGGGCTTCGGCGAAGGTGTCCATAGCCACTAAAATCTCCTCCCATTCACGCTCCGCTTCGGTATATGTAAAATCGTCACTTGCCTCATCCTCCTCGGGGGACTCTCGCCGGTCGTGACGGCCATCAACGAATCCAGATGGAAGGCGCACCGGACCCTGTGGTGGCATCATTCCGTACATGGGAGGGCCATCTGGCGCGGGCGGACCGGCGCGCTGGCCAGGTGATCCTCCCGACGAATCTGACGGAGGGCCCGATCCTCTTGGAGAAACCGAGCTCGACGACGGTGGTCCTCCGCGGGGACCATGAGGAGAGGACCCTCCAGGAGCAGCCCCCGGTGGTCCCTTCATCTTGCTCGGATCACCACGAGAGAACCGGCCCATGAACTTGAACATGCCTGGTGTGGGCCTCCACTCTGTTCCAGCAGCACGCAGAGCCCGTAGCTTTCGTTTTCGGTCGCGATACCCAAAGTCTGTCACCCGCGCGAGCAACAACCAAAGATGGTCAGCTGACCCATAAATAGCATCAATCCGCCCGATACCTGCTCGTGGTGGGCTTTGACACTGCATAGAGTAAGGCATGCTGGATATTGAAGTTAGCAGAGGACATAAGCAACGGCCAGCCTGGACGAGAAAGTAACTTACAAAAGTTTATCTCCACTGACCAAGCTATGGAAAACATCTTGTTTAGTAAACCACCAGTAGAGATCGCACTGGATTCGGAAATTCTCGATGTCCTTGCGTGTGAAATGCTTCTTTGGGCTATGCCCATAGTCATCTTCCACACGTCCAAACTCGTCAAAGTTGACTGCTCGTCCCAACAGTCGTCCAATGAGATCTTGGTCGATGCTTCCCTCTTTCTCAGCAAATGGATCATCTTCACTTGGATCGGGGCCAAGGCCATGGTGGTACATCATCGAGTTGGACCACCCCATCTGTCGACGCTGTTCATTGACTCTTCGCCGGTGGGCGCGAAGATCTCGAGTCGTGCCAGCAAAGTCAATCTCCTTGATCAGCTGCGCGGCACCAGCGACATGGCTGTTCCATTTGGAATGATCCGCGGATATGACTTCGTAATATGCGAGAAGCTCAGTGGCTGCCAAGGTGCCAATGTGCTTGCGGCGCAGTGGTAGGCCGACAGCTCGGCCAATGCGCTTCAGTGCATAGTGATAATGTTTCAGGGAGACGGTAGTGGGCACGCCCTGCAAGTATGCAATGTGCAAGCTGCTGATGGCGAGAATAGCCTGGAGCAACGCAGGGTTCTCCAAAGCCATAAGCGGTAAGGTATATGTCCAAAGTCCTTGCTGGGCAGGCGGAACCGGGACTCCCAAAACGATCGAGGCGTCTGTCGGGTGGCGTTCAAAGATGGACAACGAGGGCCCGGTCGAGTGGATGAAGTGGGCGAATATGCGAGCTGTTGTAGGGTTATTGAGAGGACTGGATCCAAGACTGGGTTTATAGGAGGCCAGAATATTAGGTTCGTTTAAATGAGTCGTGAACGAACGAAGTTGACGATCATCGTGGTTCGCCGAGGCCATAATCAGACTTAACTGATTGAAGCCTTCAACTTGGGTCTGGTTCGCCATCTCCTCGTCGGACTCCACATCATAGTAGTCGTCATCCTCATCCTCAACATACACAACCTGAGGTTGATATTGCTGAACATATTGCCCAGAAGGATCCAGTTGCAGGGGTACTTGGCCAGGCTGCTGCTGATACTGGAATACGGCTTCTGTCGAATGAAGAGGCTGCGGGCACACATTTTTAGCAAACATTGACCCCTCAATAAACATCCTATCACTGATGTGTGACATACCTGAGGGAACAGTGGGTTCTCGGGGCCTTCTGCTTGAGAACCCCCTGGAGGCGGCGGGACAGAGGCTGGTACAAGCTCCTGACCTTGCTGAACATTCGACCAATAGATGATGGGTTGCGGATGTGGCGGTATTGACTCTTGATACTGCACTGATTCCACATTTAAGCCTGTTGATTGAGCCTGTACTTGTGAATAATCGGACGGTGGCCCTGGTGGATGTTGTTGCGGGGGCTGAGCAGACCATGTCGGAGGGGGCGCCTCTGTCGGTGGCGCCGGATAATAAAACTGAGGAGCATTCCCTGTCTGCTGCCCCCCTACTAACTGTGTGGGATTAAATGTCTGGATAGAATGATATCCCATCGTCGCGGGGTCAATAGGCCGCGGGGCTAACATGGGATGCTGGGCGGCCGCGGCTGCGTGCTGGGCCGGCAGAGCACCGAAATCATTGTATAGGGGAACTCCCATATGATGCTGTTGCATTTGATCCTGTGTCTGTGATGGGCCATAGGATCCGAAGACCCCCAGTGGGTTCTTGAAAACAACTGGTCGAGCATAGCCCTCACAGATACGCTTGGACTTGACGCAGTTACTGCATATCGGTTTCTCTTCGCCACACTTGATTCGACGTTTTCGGCATGCTATGGACTTCGGTTAATCATTTGTATACTTCCTAGAAACAACAGTCTGTCTTCTCTGCCTACTTAAGCAACCGGTTTTTGTGCGTCTCTTTGGGCCTCTGCGGGACCCGGAGTGCTTCGCTATGGGCGGCTCGGTTGACTGGCCGATGTCGATAGAAGCGATGACCGCCGACGCTGCAGGTCCATCGTTGAGGTCCTCCTTCATGACAACCATAGATAATTGGAAACAGATGATTCAAAGCAATTTGGGACTGTGTATGTCCGCGGACATGGTGGTGGGGCTGGGAAGAGAAAGGGACGAACTGGGAGGGGCCGGCGATAGTTTAAAAGTAATTTACAGGGACAAGGAGCCGGTCTGGAATCCATGGCCAGCTCGACTCCACAAAATGGGCAAAGCTGCCGAGCCTCGCAGATCACCCGAGATCCTCGTTGTGCAACCCTTTTGCTGAATCCTAATTTCGACTGTTCTCTCTTTTTGGTTCTATTCACGGGGCAAGTGCTTGACTACAGGATCTCAGTGTTCGCGGGGCTTCAGGGCGGATCCTTGCGGGGCTCTCAATCCAGACCAGCAACACGATCTGACATGCAGAACCCTACAACTACACGATATCAAAATCAGGTCACTGATATCTTTGGCAGCGTCCAAATGCTTATACGACCCTCCGAGGCTGGTCTCCGGGCGTCAACTTTGAACAAAGTTTTGTGCCCTGTCACAGCTGACAAGTCACCCAGGAGTCACCCCAAGGCGGCGACAATTGGACCGACCCAGAACCCTATCAGACCCCAGAAACGAGGAGTAACGCATCATGACTGCAGATTGTGACGCCACTATTCTGATTAATAGTTAAGCATTTGCTAGAGATAGAGAAACAATAACGGGGCGAAGTTGGCCGTTTGGTCTCTGCAGGACCAGGCTGTGCGGCCTGAAGCATAAGGCTACAAATACACGAATACATGTAACACTCTGTATCAAAGTTACCGGCGGTAACAATCCGGAGATTGGGCGAAATTTTGCGGAATAACTTTTTTTTTTTTTGGGAAGCCTTTGGCTGTCGCTGCACACCCTCACGCCGTGGACATTTTGTATCCGGCATAAGAATTGGTGATAAACCGGCGAACCAAAAACAAGGAGCTCTCGCAACGTCACCAACCGACCGTCATGTTCGCCGTCCCAGGATGGTCGCTGGAGAGCTCTGCTCTGAAGCAGCAGTCTCAATCGACGCAAGCCCAAACCGAGTCGAAACCGGGCAACGATACCACCACACCCAATGGCAAGAACAAGGACAAGAAGCGCAAGCGTGAGAATGTCACCTCGGGCAATGTCAACGAGATGTATCGAAAGCACATCGAGGGCCAGTCCGAGAAGCCCTGGAAGAAGAAGAAGCAGGAACAGCAGGCATCTGCTGCCGTGCCCGCTGCTTCCCCCAAGACAGACAAGGAGGAAGTGAAGAAGGTTGCCACCAATTCAGCTCAGGAAGAGGGTCAGGGGAAGAAAAAGAAGCAGAAGCAGCAGAAGAACAAGAACAAGAAGGACAACGATACTCAAGAGGACAAGGTGAACGGCGCCGCACCTACTCAATCGACCACCTCTGCTGCAAGCTCACTTGCCGCCCCGCCGACGACGAACGCAACCCTCACACCCCTCCAGCAGGCTATGCGCCAAAAGCTGATCTCCTCCCGATTCCGCCATCTGAACGAAACGCTGTACACCACCGATTCTTCCAAAGCCGTCGAGCTGTTCAACGCCAACCCCGAACTGTTTGACGAATACCATGCCGGTTTCGCTCGCCAGGTCAAGGAATCATGGCCCTCTAACCCCGTCGACGGCTATATCCAGGCCGTCCGTCGTCGCGGGGCAGTCCCTGTGCCCAAAAGGGGCAAACCGCTGCCCAACAAGCCTCTCCCCCTACCCCGTAGACCCAATGGAGTCTGCAATATTGTCGATCTGGGATGTGGTGACGCTGCACTTGCTCGAAACTTGACACCCTCAGCCAAGAAGCTCAATCTCAAGCTGAACAGCTATGACCTCCAGGCCCCTGACCCTCTGATCACCAAGGCCGATATCTCGAAGCTTCCCGTGGAGGAGGGCTCCATGGATGTGGCTATTTTCTGTCTGAGTCTCATGGGCACCAACTGGGTTTCCTTCGTGGAGGAGGCATGGCGCGTGTTGCGTAGTGACGGAAAGGGCGAGTGCTGGGTCAGTGAAGTGAAGAGCCGCTTCGGCAAAGTCACCCGCAAGAAGTCGATGATCGGAGCGCAGAAGCCGCTCAGCAAGACCCAACAGAAGAAGCAGAAGAAGAGCAAGAAGGACGACGACTCCGATATTGACGAGGAGGATATTTTCGCTGAAGATGCCCGTCCTGCCAACGATGATGACGAGACCGATATCTCGGCGTTTGTGGAGGTCTTCCGGACCCGTGGGTTCATGTTGCGACCAGAGTCGTTGGACAAGTCCAATAAGATGTTTGTCAAGATGGAGTTTGTCAAACAGGGTGGTGCCCCGATCAAGGGCAAGCATGCTACTGGGTTGAGCGCACCGGCTCCTGGTGGAAAGAAGCGGTTCGTAGACCGCAAGCCGGCGGCTGATAGTGGGATGACGGCTGAGCAGGAAGCTCAAGTGTTGAAGCCATGCGTGTATAAGATTCGGTAGTCTAGCTATTGCAAGATGTAATCTACAGAGTTACTGATAATGTATATGTGGTTAGAAGACAAAGAAAAAGAATGACAGCATATTGACATCGATCTTGTGAGGACGTGATAGACTCACCTGCCTAAAGTGGGCGCGGACAGCTCTTGGTACACGTTAGGCTTATTCGCCACCTTCTGAGCCCTAAAATGGATTAGTCGCTTCCAATGAGGCATAACACAGTGCGTCTTTTTCGGAAATCCGAGCCTGGGCAGGAGTTCTTTGGCATCTTCTCCATGAATGGTCTGAACTCTTCGTAAACCCCACAGCGAAGTATCTCGGACCGTATGAAAGAAAACTTGAACCAGCACCTTAAAGACGCATATCCTCTCAGAGAACTCAATATTTCATGATTCGATAATCGTTCTACCTCTCTTCGCCAGCCTCAGAGAAAGTAAATACTGAGTCTGCCGTATTTCCCTTTGCAGCTTTCAACCGAACAAAGCATCTTCTCACGGGAGCACGAGATCCGAACCTGGAGCCATCTCTCGAAAACAACGAGATCTGAACAAAGGCCTTGTCATCGGCACTTGCATGTAGGAAGATCACTAGGACATCAAAGCTTTTACAGGATATTGAGGTTTGCCTGGCTATAAAGGCACCGACTCCTGCTTTCCAATACCGGATTCGTCCCCATTCCGATCCCTTAAACACACGCCATCTCCGTTATACTAACTACTAACACCGGGACAACAAGTCGCAATCACAATAATGGCAATACCTGAGATTGAATTATTCTGGCAAGCATCAGCTCAAGTCATGGCAGGCTGCCAACTCCTCGCCGAGATCCTCCGAGACGTCGAGAACAGAGATGTATTCACCAATAAACTAGCTTTCCTCCTCGAAGACCTAATCGATCTACAAGAAATAGTGTCCCAAAAAGCAGCAGGGATTTCAGAGAACAAAAGCCTGGTTCGTCAGGATATTCTCCAGGATCGAATCTGGCAAGTCGAAGATATCTTCCGCGGGATGCTTGTTGGACAGGAGCAGACCGCGGTAGATCTCTGTACTCGTCCTCTATTTGCTAGGCAGCTTGAAAGGGCATATGATATTTTAGACGGGCTTATGGTGACATCGTGGCAACGGCTTGGACTGGAACTTGGTGCTACTAAGTATGTTCCTGTTGCAAGGATAGATTGGGCTAGGAAGATCGAGGCTGGCCCGCTTGATGTACCTTGGTGAGGTCTCTTTCTCCTCTTTATTTTGAAGTTTGGATCTTTGCTGACAGAAGTGTTTCTAGGCACTAAAGCGATCGGCACGTAAGTATGTGGTAGATTGACAATTCTTCCGGGAAATGTGCCTCAAATTTACTGTGAACAGAGTAGAACTAACAAATGCTTTCTTTCAGGACAAACTTTGATACTTGAATTGATATTGGCTGTTGTATACTCTTGACTGCATATCTTGTTTAGATTTGTAGTTTGCTGTTACTCTCCAAAGAGCCCCAAACCTCTTGAGAGAAGTTCAATCGAAGTAACATCCACCATGTATGAATCCTCGTCTTCCTTATCAACATAATCATCATTAAGTGGCAAGATCTCCCCAGTCTGAGGAGAATCAGAAGAAATAACCTCTGGAAAACCCGAACGCTCAGATCCCATAAGCGACAGCGAGAGATCTGTCGATGGAAATCCCAATTTAGTTCCCGAATACTCAAGCGCCAAATGACCACTCGCCATCGACGCGTCCATCATTCCTGCAATCTTGAAGTATAACTCAGGCTCGAGCTCAAGCAAATACAAGCAATCTTTCCCAGGAAACACTCTTTGTCGTCGAGCCAGGTCTGCAAGTTGTGGCTTGATAGGCGATAGAGATAATTCAAACAGGCTGACGAATCGATTTACCCAGGTACTGACATGGGAGACGTCGTAACGCAGGACGTATTGTCGATTTAGTTCCATATAGATGCTCAGGACATTCTCTTGGCGTCGACGAGTTATTGTGTCACTCGAAAGTCGGAGGTTCAAGTTCAGCACCATCTGTGGTAAAGCTGTGTATGCAACTGCACTGATTGGTAAATGACCCGCTGTTCCATCAGCCACGAAACATTTGACCACGTCGTGGATGGCCGTGACCGCGTCCATCAGGTCTGGCCAATCGTCCGGGCGTTGATTCCGATGTATGCGGAAAGAAATATATTGATAAAGTGCCAAGCGAGCAGATCTGTGCAAGGATAGAGTTAACAGCCGTCTAAGATACTGATGAAAACCAGACCTGTTGGCCCTTACTCAAAGTACAAGGCGGTTAGCTGCTTGAAGAAAGCAACGGATGAATGGTGGTTAGAATCTTGGGACGACGGCCGGAGCATATGATTGGATTCCCAATATTGAAGCCGCGCCTGTATATCATCAATTGAAGCTATATCAGCCAATTGACTCCCTTGGCAATCCGGGAATGGGTCCAGGGGATAAAGGGTCATGATGAGATTTGTCAATGAGGCAGCAAGTCGACACAGGCTTGTCATAATCTTGCAAAGTATCTTTTTTGTCTCAGGGTCATAGACTTGGGAGGACTCGATCTCATCAGATAGGTCCTCTATTAGCAATGGTTCTCGAAACACGACGTCAAACCGAGCTGGGAGGATCTGGAGCGGCCGTCGCATGCCTAGCGCGATGATCCTGTCACGGATGATAAGACACCACCACAGACGCTTAAGCTCTGATCGCTTATATCTCGCTTCTGCAGGGCAGCGATGATAAAGATGAGCATTTACAAGATGAGCCTGCTGAATTGCAAGGCCAAGCCAGGTGCTGTTACTCAGATGGTCGGTCCCGGAGCTTTGATAGGTCAGTAGGGTTAATGCTTGAGCGATGCGCATATGATCATCCTCGACACCAAAGTCGTAAAGGAGCTTGTACTCAAGTCAGTCCACTATTCAAGTAATCAAGAATTGCGTGTCGAATGTTTTCCACATCATACCTTAGCGCGCCGGTAAAATGAATTGCGCATTTCCAAGATTGACTCGGCCCCCCATTTCTTCGCATCTGCCAACGAGATGTACTGATGACACAATTCAGTTTCGAACAGGATTATGAGGGTGAAATAGCTCAAGGGCTTGGAAATGAAAACATACACTGCAAGCAGCGAACATCATAGCCTGAAACACCAGTAGAGAAAAAGACGACCTCCCAGTCGCTTCTTGGTGGAGGATCGGCCAGAATTCTGCCTCGTTGATGACCGGCAAAAAGGATGGACGTATAGGAAGTAGCGAGACATCACGGCGTCGAGGATGGGCCCGGCTGGGACATGGAGACTTTTCTGGGATTCTAGGAACGATCGATCGGCGGATTGCAGGCGCTGCAGGTTTGGCGCTCGTAAATAGGGATAATAAGAGAAAAAGACATCGCGATTGGGCATGGGGGGATTATAATCTAATGCAAGTTATCAGCGTTTGACCCAGAATAGTTCCACGTAGGCCCTAATCGATGGATGACAATTGAGGGATTCTTGGGGATCATACAAGAGTCCACGCTGAGGGCTGCTTCAATAAGCCGTACCTCATCACTCCCAGACGCTGGCGTTTGATGTCCGAAAAGATTCATTCCATTAAGATCACAGATTCTTTGGGCGTTGTCGTGAATCTCTCCAGTCTTCCAAACATCATAGCGTTGTGTTTCAATCTCTTGTATTGGTGTTGATGGCATGGCCTCCTCGGCCAGTGAAGTATGAATCGATGCTCTCGATCTCTTGCGCAATTTGGGACGAGTCACGCATTCCAACCCATCCAACTGACAATTTGTACAGGGAGGTCCTTTGATTGCAAGCGTGCATCGTACCTTGCGAGATCGGCAGTGGAGGCATGCGACCCGTGCCCGAGATGGTTGTCCATTGAGCCTTCTTGTTGCCCGTATATCCATTGAGTAAAAGTTGGTTCTGTGTATCTTCACAACGCTGATCGAGTGAATGACAGAGTAAGTCTGAGTGTTCGTTGAATAATTCATTCTCCGTCTTCAGATCGAGGCGGCTCCATTCTTGCCCCGGATTTCGTCGCGCCAATCACGCATGCCATGCCATGGATGCTACCCCGCACACTAGACCATGAAGCCGAAGTAACCGGTGTGAAGGTTAATGGTTAGTGCACCTATTCCACGGATAAAATATACCAAGTGCGTTCATAACTCGGTCAAAAGGGATAGTGCTATCCATTCTGGTAGATTTCTACATCCGTCACATCCGTTTGCCTCCATGTTCATGATGGAAAGTAACGGGCTAACAATTGGGGTCTGCTTAGGATCTTGAACGATGAGACCAGATACAATCATGCTTTCCAGGTCAGTATCTCGGACTTGAGATAGACTCAAATACAAGTATTTTTCCTAGACACAAGGACTGTATGGCCATACACTATCTCTGTCTTGGCACAAAAATCATACGCATCTTATGCTTAAAGTGTGCACAAGAGGATGAACAAGATCGTGAGGTTTATATTTCAGGGTACCTTGCTTTTAATCAAAAATTAAGATTCCCTATTCCTGAAAGGTTGTATCGTCTACTGCCAAATCAGCGAGTCTTTCATTGATTCCCACCCAGCTGTGCCACAGCACGGCCCATCTCTTCATCATTGTAGATGCGGAAGCCCTTCTCCTTCGTCACGCTTGCCAGCTGCACATTCTTCGCATCCAACTTCTCCTCCATCACCTGCTTCAGTGTCTTCAGAACGAGGGTCTCGGCTTCGGCCAGCGTCAAGGAGCGGTGGTATTCGTTCTGCAGCTCGGCCTGTGCGCCTTCGCTTCCGGAGCCAATCGCCTTGGCATCGTAACGGTAGAAAGTACCTGAGGGCTCGGCGTGATATCTGTATGAGAGAAGGGATGTTAGGTCTCCTCATGCCACCCGATTTCTGGGATAGGCTGTAACGTACAGCTGAGGACCATCCTCGTCATATCCAGCAATTAGCAACGCAACACCAAACGGTCTGCTCATAACGCTCTCCTCATCATCGCCACTCTCTCCGAATCGCAGGGCCAAATCGCAAATAGCCTGTGTGGTACTCTCAACGCGCAGGGGCTCGGCGAAGTGGAAGGCATGGTTCTGGCATTCGACACGGGCGTGCTCGACCAGGTTGCGGGCATCGGCTTGCAGGCCAGACATGGCGCAACCAATATGCTGATCAATCTCAACAATCTTCTCGACGGACGACGCTTCCAGAAGGGTAGATGTGACACGCTTCTCCACGCCAAGAATGACACCCTCCGATGTAGCAACCTACAATCCAATGTTAGACGCACGAGCTCTGTAATCCATGATCGCTCGCCGCGGGAAGGAGATCGCAATTCCATTTTGGGCCACATCTCCAAGTTCAAATATTGTGATAGATCGTCCGGAGTATGGCAGAAAGGGCAAAACGTACACCGATCGCTGTAGAACCTAGTTTGATAGCTTCAAGAGAGTATTCGACCTGGAACAGACGACCTTCCGGGGAGAAGGTGCTATCGGTGGTCCATCGTAAGTAAAAGTGTTTCCATGTGGACGTAATATATCTGGATCAGGGTGCATACTTGATTCCACGGTCTGTCCGAAGCTGTTAGCAATGCCGCCGTGTAGTGAGACGTGATGGAGCTTACCATATTCCGAACGTGCAATGAACATATTGGGCGGTCCGACACCAGGGGAGAGTTTAGAGGATCAGGATATGAAAGAAACGATCTAAGAAACCAAGTACAAAGCCGGAGCGATGGGGTGGAGGAGCAAGGCAGGACTGTGGACAGGAGGATGAGGACGGGAGCTCTCGAGGCGGGAAGCTCTCGCAGTTACGCAAGTTGCGTGCCTGGCCGTGTTGGCCTCAGGCGGTAAGGCAGCCACTCCTAATGCTGCCCAAGGCACGGGTGGAGTTTCAAGCGGCTTTTGTTTAGTTGCATCTCCAATTGCGCCTCGCTCGGGTGGATGTTCCTTTTCTATATGAAGCGTGAGTTCTTAGAATCGGACACCGCCGTCTGCGCTACATGACACTGTTCAGTTCTACAAGGGATTATGTCCGTCAATGATCGGCGCGCCAGCTATATGGGCGCTCCGCGACCCCGCGTCGTCTCCAATCGTGTCGATGCCGAGAGGCCCAGTCGCGGCGCCGCATCGCCGCAACAGCCAGACAACATGGATTCCTTGCGCACGAGCACTTCTAGTCAGAAGCAAAGATTACCCCGAGAGCAGAAGAACATGACCGAAAAACGTACGGAGCGCACTGTGATCACAACAAGGGAAAAGGCGGTGCGGCGGAACCCTGTCAAGGAGTCCTCCAGCGCTTCGAATCGCGGGGAATGGGACAAATCAAGGACCAAGAAGACGAGGACAGCCGATGGGATGAGCCCAGCTGGACACAAGAGGGAACAGGATGCGCCCAACGGTTCGTGGCTAGACCCAATATGCGCGGTTGATGTCGCATTCTGTTTTGGTATTGACATCGACATGTACTAACTTGTTTCTCCAATTTGCAGCTCCATGGGATCCGCACGCCTCCCTTATTCCTCATTCAACTGCTCCCCTCGCATGTCGCGTATCCGTTCCTCCGTTGGCTTCAACCGCTCCACAATCTCTCTCCCCCCGGCCATTTCGAGAACTTTCGCCCGACGCCCAGGAAGCGGCCATTCTGGAAGACCTATTATTCGTCTTCATGGGCTTCGAGGGCCAGTACATCCATTACCACAGCTCATATGATCCCTCTGTTGAAAAGGACCGCTTGACTGGTCCAGTATTCCAGCTGGCCGCGGGCTTAGACCCGACGTTGCGCGATCTCACCCAATCGATGCTCAAAATGGCAACGCACTACAGCGCCATGGAGGCATTTGTGGAAGTCCAGAGTCGCGCTGAATTTGGAGCTGTCTGTCATGCACTTTGCGCATCTATTCGCAAGATCCTCAAGGACTACTTGATCCTTATCGCCCAGCTGGAAGGGCAGCTATTGAACAATCCGTCCTTTACATTGCATCAACTCCACCTCCATACGATGCCAACCAGCCAGTGCTTTACCCAGCTGTATTCCATAGGCCAAGAGCTTCTGCGACGCAATGGGCTCTTGGACTCGGATGAGCTTGACGAAACGATCGATGACTTTGACGATGTTGATAATATTCTCGAGCAACTCAAAGAAGGAGGTGATCTTGTACCAGGCTCCAGCAGGAAGGTTTGCAAAGGAGGAAACGTCCTCAGACTCCTGACAGAGCGACTTGCGACTTTCTCGGGTGACCCGACAACCAAGACCTTGATTCAGACCTTGCTACGCGATGCCAGTCGACCGTACATGAACATGTTGAACGAATGGCTACACCATGGTGGAATTAGAGATCCGCACGCAGAGTTCCTCGTCAAGGAGCAAAAATGGATCAAGCGGGAGAAGCTCGAGGAGGATTACACGGATGAATACTGGGAGAAGCGCTACACGATTCGCGACGATGAGGTACCCCCGCAGCTCGAGGGTGTCAAGGACAGGGTTCTCCTTGCCGGCAAATACCTCAACGTGGTGCGAGAATGCGGTGGCGTTGATGTTAGCAAGGCTGTGAAAGACGTGCCCAAAACGCTTGATGATCCGCGTTTCTTGGAGAATGTCAATGCTGCTTATACCTACGCCAATGCCTCTCTGCTGAATCTACTTCTCACCAAGAATTCCCTCACAACCCGATTCCGTTCCCTCAAGCACTACTTTTTCCTGGATCGATCCGACTTCTTCTCCTACTTCCTTGAACTCAGTGCATCCGAGTTACGCAAGAATGTGAACGTTGTCAATGAAGGCAAGCTCCAGTCGCTGTTGGATCTTGTACTTCGTCAGCCTGGCAGTATTGCTGCACAGGATCCGTTCAAAGAGGATGTCAAGGTTCGGATGAACAAAGTCGGGCTTACAAAATGGTTGATGCAGGTGGTTAGTGTGTCAGGCATTGATCAAGATCATCCAGAGGCCGCATTTGAGAAACAGCAGGCCACTTCCTCTCAGAGTACCGATGATGACAACAACATTACTGGATTCAGTGGCCTGGAGCTGGATTATTCTGTGCCGTTCCCCCTTTCCCTCGTCATCAGTCGCAAGACCGTCCTTCGATATCAATTGATCTTCCGCCATCTACTGTCCTTGCGACATGTGGAGACGTTGCTGGTCACGTCCTGGGCCGATCAGAACAAGGTTGCCAGTTGGCGCCATAGGCCATCGGACCGAAGACTTGAGCTGTGGAAGCGACGCGCATGGAACTTGCGTGCCAAGATGCTCATATTCGTTCAACATTTGTTGTATTTCTGTACCGCAGAAGTTATCGAGCCTAATTGGGTGGCACTCATGGACCGAGTCAACGGAGCCGACGCAAATGGGTCCGAAGTGACAGTTAATGGGTCGAAGCAGGTCAACCGGACGGTTGATGAGCTGATGCAGGATCATGTGGACTTTTTGGACACTTGCCTGAAGGAGTGCATGCTCACCCAGGCGAAGTTGTTGAAGGTATGTGGTCAGCTCAGGGCATGAACAAGAATGAATGCTAACTTTTCGTGTCTTTCTAGATACATTCCAAGCTCATGACTTGCTGTACTATGTTTGGGCAATGGACCGCCTCATCGCTCGCGCGGGCTCTCAGTTCCGCAGACCCCGACTTGGCCAGCGACAAAACCGGGGCCCCCGACGCGAGACCATATGATCCATCCCGCATTGTGAAGCTTGAAGAGACTCTCAAGCGATATGAAGATCATTTCAACCGCCATTTGCGGATTCTGATGGACAGGTTTGTGGCCCGTTCGATTGGGTTGTCTTTATGCAATAGACTAACATGGAAGTAGTCTCAACTATTTTGCCGCGACCGAGAGCGTGGTCCTGTTGAAGCTGGCACACTCCCTTAGCTCCATCAGCAAAGAAGATTGAGGTGGGACAATGGCCATTGTCTCAATTGTCTCGGATATCTCGGACAACTCCGCCAATCCATGGGGCCAAATCAGCATGGCACGCCTAAGTTCGTTTCGATGGAGATACAAATGACACCTAAGGGTGGCCCTGTCTCGGAACAAAAGCAGGTATTCACGCCCTCTCTAGCAACTCCGAGCTTCGACAGCCCGCGGGACTCATCTCAGGGTCTCGTCACATCACACAAGCATCACACCATCCAAACTAAATCTTGGCGTGGTGGGGCCAACGGTGGATCTCGAAGGGACAAAGATAAGATCAAGTCAAGAGCTTCGAGCTTGGGAGGAGCCGTCAGGACGCTGTTCCAAATGATTTGTATGAAGCATAGATAGTTGTGCATAGCTGCCGTGAGGTCTCACAGTCATTCAACACAAGCCTTTTTTGTTCAAAGCCCGTAAAATATTGGTAAAATGCCGAGGAATGTAACATGTCCGGAGGAGAGATGCGGAGCCTCGCGTTTTTTTCCGCGTCGAACAGCCGAAGCTTGGACTCTCCCACACGTCAGCCCCGTCGGTCCCGACAACCTTTTTTTATTGAACTTCCCATTCCCATGGACCTTGTTACTTCCAACTTCTCTCCCAACCCCCTTCCAAAATCCCCTCAGGGTACTAGTCCTCGCCTGCGAGAATGTCGCTCGAAACTCTCACAAATGCGCTCCAACACATCCGCCTCCCACGCTCCCAACAAGACCGACTGAACCTCGCCGTCGGCACCGCGGCTGTCCTAGGCAGCGCAATTCTACTCCCCGCCGCGTATCGCGACTACCGCCTCTTCAAGAGCTATGGTCCCGGCGGGGTTCCAAATAATCTGCTTGGCTGGATGACGGTGCGCACACTGTTCCAGCCGTTTGGGCGTGAAATGCTTAGTACGGAGGTGTATCTGCGTCGCATTGATGCGGCAGAGGGACATGGGAGGGGTGACGACGGGTACTTGACTCTGTCGACTGAACAGCTGGAATCGAGGAAGAACGATGGCAGGCCTGAGGTTGGACCGCATGTCGTGCCGCAGCGACAGTTGACACAGATTCCCGATGAAGATGTCATGGAGGTTCGTTTGTTCGTGTTTGGATGGGCTTGTGTCGCGCGAAGATGAGATTGAGAATGCGTTGCTAATTTCAGCCCCGTTTCGAGGGGAGTTTTCATGCAGAAACTCGACTCCAGATTCACCTCCTTTGGTTTGCGCAATCACCACCTAGTCAAGTTTCAGCCATCCAATCTCGAGAGACACTCCGACGCGCTGTTCTTGGCCGATCACCTCCCCATCACCGATTTAGCGACGACGATGCAGGGTGAAATCGCGCATATACACAGTGGAAGTGACTACTCGCTTCATGTAGTCTTGGCCCCGGCGGATTGTAAGTTGCACGGCCACGGCCCCTGTCATACATGCGATGCTTCCAGACGGGCCGTTTCTGTTCTATATTTCCCAGCGGCTAACACTACTGCCCAGGCAAGAAAGTCATTGACGCAGGCTGGGGTCAGCGCCATGCCTTTTCTGGTACATCCGCCATGACCTTCCTCAGTCTGGGTACCCTATCCGATATCCCTTCTGAATATCTCCTCATCTATGCGCCACGCAATGACGCGGAGATTGAGATCGTGATGGAGATTATTTCTGCCGCTGTCAAGTTCATGACGGGGCGGGAGGATGTTCGGTAAGCTGGGTGTTGTTTGTCCATTGTGATCGCGTGTATATTTGTCTTCGCGGTGACAGTTGCGAAGGATCGCTGGTTTGGTGTTGGTTCTTTCTCTGACGGTGTATTACTCTTTTCTTGGCTTCTTTTATACCCCACTCGACGAATGCGATGCTTTAAGATTATTAAAATGTACGATTATTGATCCAGGACCATTCATTTATTGTAATCAATCCTCCTTCTCCCTGGCCCTGGTCGTGAGAAGCACTTTGCTTTGGTAACCTGCCCGCTCACATATTGAACATAAGGATATTTACTAGATGCCGTAATTGACTGCTTTGAAGTCTTCTTGTGCTCAGAGCTACCTAACTTAGCGATAAACTCCACGCTCAACTCATCTCCTATTTTTCGAACCCCCATCGCTAGACAACTAAGAGACTCCCAGTCCTAATCACACTCAGAGCACATAGGAGCGACGATCTGTTGAGAGTACGCTTTCATCCACCCCACAACCTACAGGTTAAAACTTACACATAGGTCATACTCGGGTCAAGATGCAAGGTATTCATATAATTTTTCTATCAACACCCCTGGCTCCTATATCTTATCCACCATAATCGCGAAGCTTGGTCCTATTCACTTCTCCTATCCCGGCCATAAAGCCTCCTGGTCGACTAATATGCAGAACTTATATCATCCCGATGCTGCTATTCTGACTCTCATACCAGTGATGTTCTCTTCTCGCTTATATGATCCGGTCGATTGCTTTGTGTAACACTTCCGAACAGCCCGTAGAAAAGAGGAATGCAGGTTCTAATTGATATAGGGTTGTAGTCGTCGGGCGTTCTGCAAGTGCAAACTAGTTACATCAGGTCATATTCCCTCACACTGGTGATTCAATGAATGCACTTTAGATGTTCGTCTCTACCTTGAACAGAGTGTGCTTTCAGGGAAGAGGCGGAAACGAATTTGAACGGCCAATCCAAATGTTCACCAGATACCTAGGCTTGATTTGATATCCCATGCCTCTTTCATTGATGAAATCTCTCAATTTGATGCTCACATTTTCATACGGTCTAACTAGTTGCCTGTCCTGGTTGTGATTGTGTTGACCTAACTAGCTTCATGTCAGCTTCAGGAAGGAAATCGCTTTCTCCTACTACCCTCGGTTCACCCTTTGGACGTGGCCACACCCTATATGGTGAGGATTCAATGTATATCAGTATCTGTCTTTACCTAGTGTTATCTAATCAACTTAGGATCTCCTGAACAGGCCGCAGGTCCACGGAATGACACGAGTATAGCCATCAACTACTTCGTTTTCCGTCGCCTACTGGAATAGTAAGGGGAGACGAGGTTGTCTGAAACCCAACCTTGGAAGACTGGAATTGAAGTAGAATAATCTCGGGTAAATGCGTAGATCCACGGAAACAATATAGCGCAAAGAGTTCTCCAGATTTGAGTTGTCAAATGAATTTTCCGTTTGGGATAGGTTGTAGTCATTCGATATATACTAAGGCTGACAAGTTCCAAGGATGCTCGTCGAGGACTTGATTTAGGTTAACTCGCATCGCTCGTATACCCAGCTAAAAGCAAGTCACAAAGAAGAAATCCGTTTCATGTGTACACTCGTCACAATGCCAGAGCAAGGACAGCTTCATACATGTATGAATATCCCGTGTCCTTTAAGCCAGCCACACGGGCGTAGGTACATATCTGACCCCAAGCGAAGTAACACAACAGCCTCCCACGGACCGCCGGGCTAACTTCTCTTTCCAAAATGGACTTTACAACGATTTCCACCGTGGTTGAGGAGAGACTAATCTAGGAAATGTACTCCATAGCACCTAGTATATATACCTAGATTGGATTAGACGAAGGCAAGGCGAGTGCTCTTGAGATGGCTAGTTCAAGTGAGCGGCCCACAACGACAGAAGTAATATGTACTCCGTCTTCTGTTGCCGGTGGTAATAATAATTAGCATCAAATATTAATTATGAGGGGCGTCCCCTCGCCCGGAGGGGCAAAGGAAGGAAGTAACTGCTAAACACGGATTATTGCAGGGAAGAGTGGGCTGGGACTGGAGACCCGACGGAGTGGTACGCTAACAACAACTCACTTTTTCTTTTCCCTATTCGGCAGTAGATTTTGGGGCAATTCATTTTTCTTTTTCAATTGTCTTGTTCTGAGTAAAAAGTCTTTCTCTTCATCGACGGTAGTCTGGCATCTATGGCACCGATAAGTAGATTCCAAACCTCGACAGGTCTGAAGACTATTGCTTAGTCGCTGGGAGGCAAACTGGAACAAGGAGATGGCTGACTGTGAAGTGGGTGAGCCTCCCTCGCTGAGCCGGTGCCTTCAATTAGCGCTACCTGGGGTTCGCACGAGCCGATCGTCTCATTCCGCTTTCAGCCCCTGCTCGATTGAGATTCCCAAGGCACCGGGACGAGGGAATAATCTTGTATGCCGGCGGCTCGATAGGCTTGGCTGTGGTCATTAGCGGCGGTCCACGGGGGACTATGTACTCCGTACTTAGTACTACCCAGTATAAGATCATCTTATTCCAAATCATTATAATTCTGCGAAACCGGATCATTAGATCATTAGACTTCATTCACATGTAAACGTCGCTATTGTTCACGGGCTTAGTCGCCTAGCTATAGATACTGGGAGATCCAGTAAACACTTCAGGAGGTGATATAGCTTTTTGGAGGCTTATCACTAATTCAACACCACCACGGTCAAGGAGGAAGGAGTATTTAACAGAACATGGCTTTGACCAAGTCAGAGAAAGTCAGAAAATCTCACTATCGAAGAGTCTTACGACTCTTACTACCTTAAGAAGTAGTTAACTATTCCGCATTTTGTTGTCCATAGTCCCTAAAAGCCCCATGCGCCAACGACACTAACGGGTCCAGCCGCCCCCTCGCTCCCCGATAACCACGCCTGTCTTCCCGAGAATTGAACCATGGCTCTGGGTTCTCTTACCAACGGCTGTTTAACTCCTCGGGTACTCTGTACTGCACTCTGTACGGGCCCCGGGACAAACACTATGCTTACTTGCATTTCATGCATGGATCTGTCCGGATTGCAGGCTACATGAACAATGGCATTCCCTTCCACCCCTGTCGGACGCCGCACGCCGCAGTCCCGGTGCATTGGATGCTCGTGCCTCGGGGACCCGGCGCAGTCCCTCTTTGGGCCCATCGTGCATGAACCTGGGTGACGGACTGCAAGGCATCCAGCTAAGTGTGTCTCGAGAAAGCGCACCACGGGGCATGGTTTGCCAAGTCTTGGGGATGGGGGCCCGTTTTTATCTGTCACCGAATGCTGTGAACACTGACGACCTGGACGCACTTTGAATCCAAGGCCTGGGGCTAGGGCCAACTCATTTAGGGACGGGAGGCTATCCACTGTTCCCGTCCCCAGGTCACTTCGACGGCTGCAACTTTGGAATGTAATAATACTTGCTCATGGTAGGATTGTCTGTTTCACTGATGGATCTTGCCAACGGTCTTCGTATTTGCCCTGCGATGGAACTCAAGAATCCCGAATGTGTCTCAAGATGTTGTTTTTGCGCTTCCATTTGCTGGTCGGAGAATTGCTCGTAACTATCCGTGCATTGATCCCCTTGAGTCCACGAATGGAGCCAATACAAAACGAGGAACTGCTCAGCTCGTTTGATAAGTGTAACGTGAGTTTCGCGAATTCCCGAGGGACTGGGCCCACCTTAGAAGGAAGGGAAAAGAATCCACAATCCACAATTCAACACTTTCGCGGCCAGGGAGAAATTCATATAGATGCATTTTCCGCTTAATCATTCGTTGCTGTCGATTTCAATTCTACATTCTGTTCTTGTGCAGGGTGTTTTCAGTAGGACTCGTTCTAAGAGGACTCCATGTAAGTATGCCGTTTACAAGTATCGTCACTGGTGTACCTTTGTCCCTTCTCAGATCGGAGAGACAATTTGGATGAGTATCATTGTCGAAAATCTGCATAAGAAAACAGTTAGCCCATATTAGTATTTTTCTATTTCAAGTCCTCCCCAGAGCTCCGCAAGACAAGCGGTGAAGAAGGAAAGGAAGAAGATTCAATCAGTTGGTGATTAACACGAATCCACCAAAGAGTCCCGAGGGAACGGAGCCCAACGAGGATGTTGCTGATCGTGGGCCCGGTCTGAGGACTATCCACCCCACTCTCGCCTGGTTGGAGGGGGATCAGACTGCCATCGTGGCCACCGTGGGCGAGCAGGCTTTCAGGACCCAGCTGAACGAACCACCTTAGCACCGAGTTTCTGGATGCATAGTGGCGGCCGGGCGGGATGGGGGTCAGTCCGCCGTGTGTGATGGCTGATGATGGTATTGCAAATCTGTCACCGGGGCGCTGGTCCAATTGCTGCCTTTTTTCGGGCTGACTGACAGCGGGAGCTGGCGAAGATCCATTTCCGCGCCCTCGGAATCTGCAATGCAGGGCTTTGGCTGGGGTCTGCGCCGCCGCAAGGGTCGGATTGAATTCCAATTTCTCGTGCTGCGGACTATTTAATCTTCTCTTTTCACGTCATCTTGGCCACTTTCTGCTCTGTTCGTTTTTTTCGCCCACTCCGATAATCTGGTTCGGCGGCTCCGACCAGGTACATAAGTGTACCATGGGAGAGAAGTTCTCCGTAGGCATTGTAGTATTTCTCCGTGTCCATGTGACTCTCTGATGGGGTTTCGGCTTTGTGGATTTGCAATGATGTCTCCGTCACCTTCTTGGCTCGTCTTTTAATTCCCCCCTCCCTATTTTTGGTAAATAGAGGGTCAACCACGGCAGCACAATCCATCCACACTGTAGGGAAGGCGAAGAGACCGGTTGAAATGAATTTCCATAGACTCGCGCCTCAGCCGCTGGACGTCATCGCAGCTACAGGTAGCGGCACACGAAGAAAAGGCTGAATTTCGCTCGATCCGCCCTGTCGGGCGCTCGGCAGCCACAAGTACTGTAGTTGGTCATATGCGACACCCCGAATCGTGCGTTAGCTCATGGCACCGCCGTGTGGACTCAAGGTTTGGTTAGTCTGGCCTTAAGCAGCAGAACGGGAACGAGTCGATCCTGATACTTGGTATTTTGGCGTGCTGGTGTTCTCTTGGTGAACCATTCTTCGGTTACTAAACCGATCCGCTCCTGCTTCCATCTTATATCCTTGGCTGGATGTACATGTACATTACAAACCCCCTTTGTTGTAGCCAAAAGTGAGATTCTTCACACATGTCCCAAGTGAGTAATAGTTCACGCCTGTCAGGGTTTAGGACACGACCCCATTGGTGAGAGTGTTCGGGACCACAAGTAGGGCCGTTTCGGAAAAGACTAGAAGGCCTAGTTGATCGAATGCGTCCGTTCTTCAGTGCATGATAGGCACCAATTCACGAGGAACAGGTCCTAACCACAAGCCTCTTCTGCGAGACGACAGAAGTCCCAGACATTTGAAGAAAAGCATTGCTCCGAAGAGTCTGGTGTGGTCGTCGAACTGGGCGGATCAGGCTCGCTCAGCCCAGTCTTTTGGGGTGCAGTTTAGTACACAGCTGGTATGACGGGGTCCCTCATACAAGCCCTTGACGAGCGCCCACGACGAATCGAATATATGGTCCTCGAACCGCCATCGTGTCCGAAACAGTGCTGTTGCCGCCGAACACCCTGTTCCATTCCTCAAACAGTATCCGATCGCTTCCACGAAAATTGAACCACTTGATTTTCTCCTCCACCGACTGGTACTATAAGTTGATGTACACCCCTTTAGTCAGAGAATTTAGCCCCGCCTTTTGAAAAACCGGGCCAAAAGGATCCCAGTATACCAGCTGAAAATTGCCTTTTTCGTCCACACCACGTTGTTTGAAACAGGGGCACAAGGCTACCATGATGTACTGAAATGAGAATTCCCTCAGCTTTTCATCATGAAAGGGCACACAAAGGCTAACCAGGCATTCTTTCCTCTTCAAGGAACCCAGATTCGCAGACGGTAGAGTTAGACCGTCAATTCCTCGATACTGTCACCGTCCATGGCCGCGAGTACCAGAAATATTCGATTGACAACCGCATATATTTCGGCCCGATTGACGAGGTAAGGGAAGCGATGGCCTCGTCGCCATTGCTGATAGCCGCTGACAGTCAGACTAGGAGGAGGCGCAGCGTCTTGATTATCAACAGCGGGTGTTCCAAAGAATTTTCGACGACCGACTAATATTTCCACCCATTCATCGGCTGCGAAGGGTACTGGACTGCGGCCACGGGGCTGCATCATGGGCAGTAGAAGTTGCTGAACAGCATCCGAATTGCGAAGTGAGATGTCTTCTTGTCTCTCATCTGATGTTTTCCTGACAGTTGTTGGCCAAGGTCATTGGCGTAGATATTGCCCCGCACATGAGCCCAGACGATGTGCCTAATAATTTGTGGCTCCAGGTGAGTAGATCGTCTCCTTCCTCCTCTCAACCTCTCCAACGAGACGTTGCGAGGTTATGGCCAACGCCCTATGCAGGTCACTATTTTCACAACGAGAGTCATGCCTCCGATGAGAAAAATCAACATAGTTACCTCTGCGACGGGGGACGCGTGGTCCTGGGAGGGCGGTCGCTAACGTTCCACTCTGTAGGTCGACGACCTGAATCGACGATTCACATTTCCTGCCAACCACTTCGATCTCGTTCATTCTCGACTCCTCGCAACCGGGATTCATCGTTCTCGATGGCCATCATACATCCGTGATATCGTCAGGTGCGAAGACTTCCCGTCCTGATGCCCTGCCAACCCCAATTACACCAACAGCATAGCCCCTTAGGAAACAACAGACCAGTGCCAGTGGCTAACATCCGCTTCAAAGGGTGCTGAGGCCAGGAGGATGGGTCCAAATGACCGAGATCTATTTCAACGTGCAATCCGACAACGGTTCCATCACTGACCAACATGCCTTGCGACGATGGAGCACTCACTACATGCGTGCATTGGAGGACCGGAAAGATATCCGAGTCGGATCCAGGCTGCGCAGCTTTTTTGAGGAAGTAGGATTGGTGGAGATCGACGCCAAGATGATACCGCTTCCTCTATCGGCATGGTCGAGTGGTAGGTTCTCACTGCATTGATAGAGATAGGAATATCAATGCTGACGGCGATACAGATCCCAGGATGCGGGACATCGGCCAGTATAATAGCGAAAACATCCGACAACTTCTGCGATCACTTGCGTTGTACCCTCTGACCCAACGTTTGCATATGTCGACAGAAAGTTTTGACAGATTGGCGGAGCAAGCACAGGAAGAGGCCAGGAATCACTCGCTGAAGGCATACTTTCCATTGTAGGAACGATTCCAGCTGGCAGGCTCGATGACAATGACTGACTCGGCACAGATACGTTTGCATCGGGCGTAAACCGAGATAATTGGATGACTGAGGACCGGGAACTTCTCAGAGGATTGTGCATGTCCAACCTCTGGAACCCGGAGGCATCCCTTCTCTAATGTCCATGGTTCATTCTCGTCTTGCAAACCCATCGACTCGCGTTCCAATGTAAAGTCTTTCGCATTTCTGTCGCATAGCCATATCGAATTAGCCAAGAACGGTTAGTCAAAGAAGCGTTTCTTATCACATTTCCCCCTTTTGGAGGGCCCTCCATGCAGTGCAGTCTGAGACGAACGCTAGCCTTCTTCGCTGGGATCTCCTTAAAAGAACATTTTAAAACAACCCCGGAGTTTGATGCGCGATAGGCCATCCAGGTCACACAGGGGCACCACAGAGAGCGGGTTGATGCATCCAAAACCAGATGTAGTTCTCTGCCAACGCAGGACTTGATTCAGGGGATGTGTGTGCTCCAGTTTAAGAACGCCACCGGCGATAGATCGATCGGATCTCGGTCCCGTGGAGATCGGAAAGATCGATCACCAAGCAGATCGGAAGATAACCACGAGTTAGACAAGACAGCCCTGCAGGCTGGAAATACTGTGTACAGTGACTGGAAACAGGCTGCTTGGAGGGAGCTCTCGAATCGGGATTGGGGGAGATGGTCGTCGAAATAAGCCTCCCGCTGTAGCTTAACTCGACCTTACCAGATCTCTTCCCCTCACCCCCATCTATCTTGCACAGCTCCTCAAGCCAACGAAATACGGAGAAGGCAGGAAGGAAGAACAAGTTCGATATCAAAGATGCAAAGATGAATCGAAAGATTAGGCTAAGCGAGGCAGGAGAAAGAGGGGGTTCCAGACCCAAATTGTCGGGAAGGAGGCACCGGGGGAACCTTAAGTCCTTCCAGTCCTCCCCAGTCCTGCAGGAACTGGAACGTTCTGCAGACGAGATCAGATCCCCGGTTGGTATGATCTTCGTTAGAGCTGTTTCTCTCCTGATCCCTGCCGTTGGCTGCCCAAAGAACCCGAGAAGCAGTCAACAAATAGTCCCGAAGCGAACCCTTGGGAGACGCCATTGATTTCTCTCTCTCTAATTTACTAACTACTATCAGTCTGAGTTACTAATGCTTGAAAAGCGGCTCTTGGATGGTAGGAAGTCTACACATCCTCCACCATGTGTTGTGGAATCCTGAACTAACTTTGGAATAGCACGCTGCCTGACAGGGATATTAAGATGAGCGCGAAAACTCGAGAACGATGGACTCGTCAGACTCTCATACCCAACCCAGCTACAGAGAACGCACTGAATACGCACTCGGGGGCCTCACCGACCTGTTCGCCTAACTTCTCGGAGAAGTCGCGAGAAAAACCATCCTGGGTCCCGAGACTCCCGACCAGGGCTGTTGCGTTCTCCGCGAGTCAGGAGAGACATCCCCGACCAAAGGGCCGGAATCAAGCGCCCTATTAGAGTTCATGCTGGAATGCACTTGGTGCCCAAACCGGATTGAGATGCGCACACAGAGCCCCGATATACGCGCGGAACAAGCTGGCCTCGATATGTAGTTCTTGGTGCTCAGAACGGGCTGGGTGCTTACTAGACCCGCGGCCTACCTGCGTTTCAATGCGCTTTTTGCTTCCTCGGCATGGGGGTTGGCTGGTGTTTTGGGCCTAGATCTACCCGCGACTATCTTTGGGTCCCTAAATGCGATGGGTCCCGTCCAGGGGCTTCGAAGGGCAAGCTAGGAACCAGAGAGTAGCTAGACATGATAGGTCATGAATAACGGGCTTTTTGACTTGTCTTCGGAATTATGCATTGTGAAACTGGAAGTTTGATGATTTGCAGTTTGCTCTTGCATGCTGCGTGTTTTCTAGGACGATCTGACTACTCGAGCATAACCCATGATAAGCTTACGATTTGCTCATTGAAGACCAACGTTGCCAGTGTTACATGAAAAGCAATTGACCAAGTCCTGGTCTGGATACAAATATCAACTATATGGAGTATGCCACGTTGTGTAACTAAAGTACAAACTGTGAGGCCTCGATTTAAGCGCCCGATCCGCTTGGAGAATATGGCGTATTGTAGCCTTAATAACAAGGCACACAGTAATCCAAATCGGGAAAGGCGGCAGGCGGGGAGAAAAAAAGTTGGCGCGGATTTTCTTTGAGCTACGGACCATCACCAACCTATTCGCCGGACACCTACAAAATGCCGTCCACCTACAAGAAAGACAAGCCGTGGGATACGGATGATATCGACAAGTGGAAGGTATGCTGAATTCCACTGCTCTCAAATTTTTATCCTTTGCTTACACATGCCTCGCGCAACACAGATCGAAGAGTTCAAGCCCGAACACAATGCCGGTGGAAACTTCGCCGAAGAGTCGTCGTTCATGACTCTCTTCCCCAAATACCGTGAACAATACCTGAAGGAAGCATGGCCCGGTGTTACCCGATCGCTGGAGAAGATGGGAATCGCATGCACACTCGATTTGGTGGAGGGAAGCATGACTGTCAAGACAACCCGCAAGACCTACGACCCAGCCGCGATCTTGAAGGCGCGCGACCTGATCAAGTTGCTCGCGCGAAGTGTCCCCGTTACCCAGGCCCTGAAGATCCTGCAAGACGATGTGGCGTGCGACATAATCAAGATTCGCAACCAGGTGCGGAACAAGGAGCGGTTCGTGAAGCGCCGACAGCGCATTCTCGGACCCAATGGTTCAACTCTCAAGGCGCTGGAACTCCTGACCAGCACGTACATCTTGGTGCAAGGTAACACGGTCTCGGTAATGGGTCCCTTCAAGGGTCTGAAGGAAGTGCGACGCATCGTGGACGACTGCATGGCGAACATCCACCCGATCTACTACATCAAGGAACTGATGATCAAGCGCGAGCTAGCCAAGGACCCGACACTGGCGACGGAATCATGGGATCGCTTCCTGCCCAACTTCAAGAAGCGCACCCTCTCCAAGCGCCGCGTTCCCTTCAAGGTCACCGACAAGGAGAAGAAGGTGTACACTCCCTTCCCGCCCGCCCCCGAAAAGAGCAAGGTCGATTTGCAGATCGAGTCTGGCGAATACTTCTTGTCCAAGGAGGCCAAGGACCGTGCACACCAGGAGGAGGTTATGGAGCGCCAGCGCGTCAAGCGGGAGGAGAAGATGCGGGAGCGAGAGAAGGATTTCGTCGCACCCGAAGAGCACACTCCCGCCGATCTGGACGAAAAGAAAAAGAAGAAGGAGAAAAAGGAAAAGAAGGAGAAGAGCAAACGCAAGCGCGAGGCCGAGGCCGACGGAGAGGATGCCGCCGAGCGCACAGAGAAGAAGAAAAAGAAGAAGAGCAAGTCCAAGGAGGTGTCTCCCGACGAAGAGTAAACTACTTGTCGGTTTTTACGTTGTTTGGATTTTGGCGCTTCTGGCAGAGCATGGATCCGGCGTTTCAGTTTTACTTTTGTTTATTTCTTCCTTTCGCAGTGCCTTCAAAAAAGGCTTTGTTGACTGTAAAATGATCAATACTAAGCATTTATTTCACTTTGCCATAACGATGATGATAATAGTGATGCTTCCATTATGGCTATTATCTAAATCTGTAAGATGAACGACTAACCATGCCCAGAGCATCTTGCCACTCCCCCCTGCTCCGACTCAACAACAAAAAAAAAGAACCGACTCAGACTGGATTCTCGCCTACGATCGCCTTAAGGGCGAAAGTGCTAACGAAAACCAGCAACAACGGCATAGTTGAAGAAGCCGTTACGCGACAACACCCATTGCGCCCTCAGACAGAGACGACCTGATCAGTGTCATTCATGGCCTTGTCGTGGTGCTCCTCCATGCTCACGCTGGCCTCGGTCTTCTCAACCATGCCCATCTCATGTGCGAAGGTGTCGTGAGGCTTCCACTTGGCACTGGTAGCGGGGGTGGACTCCTCGAGCATCTTGTCGACCTGCTCCAGGGTGAGGCCCTTGGTCTCGGGAATGAAGAAGTAGGCGAACAACAGGCAGAGAAAGAGAGCACTACCCCAGACGAAGAAAACCTTGACCTTCAAATTTCCTTCGTTGTCATCGACCATGTATGGAGTAATAACGGCGATCACACAGTTCCAGAACCAATTGGAGGCAGTCGCAAGAGCAACGCCCTTGGCTCGAACCGGAAGAGGATAGATCTCACCGACGACAACCCAAGCCGCGGGACCCCAGGTAGTCGCAAAGGCGGCAATGTAGAAGCAGGTGAAGACGATGAGACATGTACTCCTGTGGATCGAAATGAAAATTAGCCATTTAATAGATGTCAACGGCCCTGTTGAACTTACGCTGCCTGGCTTCCCTCCTTAGCAACGCCAATGATTGCAACGAGGAACTCGCAAATACACATCACAGTCGCGCCATAAAGGAGCAAAGTGCGACGACCAAGTTTTTCAATCATCCAGAAAGAAGCTGGAGTAGTAACCACATTGACAACGTTCATAATGGTCGAGATGAGGAAGGCATTCTTCATGCCTACGGATTGGAAGAAAGTAGTACCGTAGTAGACTGGACGAGACGTTAGATACAAAGCATCGAGATGTTTGTTTCAGTACTTACAGATGAAATTGATGCCAGTCCACTGCTGGAACATCTGCAGACAAGTACCAGCAATCACCCGGCGCAGGTTACCGCGAGGAGAAAGACCACCCTTGAAACAGTCGGCCCAGGAGGTACTAGCAATCTGCTTCTCGTACTCGAAATTGGCCTTGATCTCTGCAAGCTCGGCCTGGATAGCAGGATTGGTTCCCGGCTGGCCTCGAACTCGCTCAAGAGAGCAGAGGGCATCTTCCATTCGGCCACAGCGAACATAGTAGCGAGGTGACTCGGGCAGAACGAAAAGTCCTGCAGCAAGAATAGCCGCCCAAATGAACTGCAAGCCAATAGGGATTCGATAGGAGGATCGCGAATTCAAGTCTTTGCATCCTTGATCAACACCGGACGCCACAAGCAAGCCGATGGTGATGGCCCACTGGTAAGCAGAAACCAGCAAGCCACGCACCTTGCGAGGGCTAATCTCAGAGACGTACAGAATGACCGTGGCGGAAACACCACCGACACCCAGACCAGCGACCAAGCGACCAGCAACCAGACCACCGACGGTAACAGTTGCGACCTGAACGGCAACACCGATGGCGAAGATCAGGCAGGAGAGCATAATGGTAAGGCGACGACCAATGCGCTCAGAGACAGCACCGCCAAGCAGAGCACCGATGAAGGTACCAGCAGAGAGGATCGAGATAATGAGAGACTTGCGGGAGCTGGCAATCAGGAAGCCACTGGGGTTCTCATCACTCTTGGGCACCGCATGACCGAAGTGTTCCTTGACGTAGTCCATGCCAAGGACACCAGAGATGTAACCGGAGTCATAGCCGTAAAGGATACCTGTGAAGTGAGAAGAGGATCAGTCTTTGCATCTTGCACGTGTCTTGAGGACGGTGATCTAACAAACCTCCAAAGCTGGCGAAACCACAGATCATGTAGGCTCGCCAGGTGACCGGGGCCTCAATGAGGTTGAGGTCGGCAGTGCCCACGAGGTGCTGGGGACTAGCCATGTTGAGAGAGGATGTGCTTCAAGTTGAATGAAGGGTAGTGAGACGAGTATCGAGTGGTTGAAACCAATGGAGGCAGGTTAAGCAGAAGTGAAGAGGTGGAGAGTAGGCGAGAAGGAAAGAAATGAAACGAAAAGAAAAGGTGGCGGAGGAGGAGAAAAAGAAGAAGGAAGAGAGACGAAGAAGAAGAAGAAGAAGAAGAAGAAGAAGAAGGAGCGAGTCAGCTAAGAAGCGTGTGTTTGTGGCAGCCCAAACCGGAAGGTGCCGTCAGCAGCACAAATAAACTGGCGAGGCAACGGTGACACGCTGCATCGTGGGACAAACAGGGCAGGCTTCTTCTTTGACAGCTCCCAAGAGAAAGATTCCAAAGATGAGTATTCAAATCCAACGGTGTAGTACGAGTGCGTACCTATTAGCAGACAGAAATTATAAGAGAGCCGTCCTACTAGTGTAAAAGTAGGAGTGGCTGCTTCAATCGCTATACTGTTCACACCAAAATGGTGCCTCGAGCCCACTTTCTACATCCAGCGGCCCTATAGAAGGGATATTATCCACACACCGCTAACAGACTCCCATATGCAGCACGTGAAACGGCGCCCCATAAGACAATCTCATTGCACGACATCATCACATCATGGCGAAGCTCTCACAGATCTGTTTCTCGAACAATTCGAGCCCTTGAGGGCTTCCGAGTACTACGCCGGACAACCACAGAAATCCCACCTGGTCGAGGAAACATATCGCACGGGATTCGACCCGCAATGAAACCTGGTGGTGATACAATTCATCTGATTGTCAGGGATGTATGTGATGTGAGTAACCGTTGGGCCTGTACAACGGAGACAGCAAGAACAATACGGCACGCTTCCTTAATATTCCCGAACAGGGGGTTGGAGAAATAGCATCTATGAGGGAGGGTATGGAATGTCAAGTTGGCTCAAGAAGATGTTGTTGCAGTGATGAAGCATCGAGATTAATATACACCCTATATGTAACACTAGAAACCTAATACAATCCTCCTAACACTATACATGTTATATTTCAAACAGGTTCATAGAAACAAAAAAGCCGCAAAACGAAAAAAAAAGACTTCATTAAATTCAAGGTCCACTGGTGCTGAAGGAGACCTTGGCCATCACCTTCTTCAACATCTCCACGGGATTGGATGGAACTTCCTTGGCCCTCCAAGCGATATACCCGTCTGGACGAATGAGAGCCGCTCCCGACTGGGAGACAGCAAAAGACTTCTGGAAGTCATCTCCATGCATGAGCTGCACACTTTCTCCAACATGTGCAAAATTGAGTGGGACTGAGGAGGTCTCATTGATAGAGGACACTGCCTCACACCACTGATCCGATTCAGAGACCAGAGTCCATGCACCCTGATCAAAAAGATCAAGAGTTGGGACCCTCTCCCCGTCTTTTAGAACCCAGAAGTGAGGCATATGAGTTCCGGGCTGCCCATTCCATTCATCTGGCTTCTTCGCCCGGGGCAGACTTTTGTCAGCACCGATAAGACCCTCAGACAGATAGATCTGACCAAACTCCATGGCATCGTCGTCGATCTTCTCTCCAGCTGGAGTGGCCGTGTCAAGGTGTACGTTGTAGTCGGCGCGTACAAAGATTTGATCGTGTCGTAGAAGTGCAATAGGACGTCTCTCCGCATCGTACGTATTCAGAAGTTCGGGCGATGACTTGCCAGACAATACAGCCGCGAGTTTCCATGCAAGATTGTGCACATCGTGGATACCAGTGTTTGCGCCGTACCCGCCACGGTTGGGCGGCAAAGTGTGCGCGGCGTCCCCTGCAAGGAAGACTCGCCCAGACTGGAAAGTGTCGGCCACAAGAGCGGTAAGTTCCCAACGACCAGTCGTAATGATCTCGAGTGGAAAGTCAGATCTTCCGACAGCTTGATAGATGGTATCGCGAAGAGCTGACTCGTCGCGGTCGACTGCATCTTTGAACATCAAGGCCCATCGTCCATCACTGTAAGAAGCAAGGAAAGCCTTTAGATCGGGTTGTTCTATATCAAATTGCACAACCCCCTTGGTCCACTGTTCGAGAGGCGCGCGGAATAAAACGCTGCTCAAGGTCTGCATGTGTCCACGGCCGTTTCGAGGAATTTGAAGCAGTTCTCGGACGGTGCTGCGATTCCCATCTGCTGCAATGAGGTAGGATCCACGGAATTTCTGCTCTTTTCCATCTGCATCAGTGACCGTAGCGATGACCCCGCCTTGGTCCTGGTCAACGGATATTAATCTATGTTGCCGACGAATGTCTGCGCCGCGTTCCAACGCCAAAGCCTCGAGCATAGGCTCTAATTTGTCCTGCGGGATAGCCGAAGCACGCTCCACAGAATACTGCTTTTTTGGAGTGGAAGTTTGAGGAGACTGTTCTCGCGGTTTCTCTGCTTTGGGTCTCCTCTCGGTGTCAGACCAAGAGGAGTTGTCGTTCCATTTTCCAGTCAGGCTTTGAACGTGAGCACGCTCAAGCTTAAAGTCCTCGGGTGCAGGATCCTTATTTTCGATTCCAAGAGTGCGATAAATTTCCATTGTTCGGGATGTGAAACCAATTGCACGCGGGTGTTGCGATTTTCCGGAGTGTTTTTCAAGAACGATGGTCGGGACTCCGTGAGAGCATAGGCACAGAGCAGCCGATAGACCGACTAAGCTGGCGCCAATCACGATAACTGGCTGAGGAGTGGTGGAAGGCATTCTGACAAAAAGGCTTTTAAATATAGAATTCATGAAATGACGATGACTTGAAGAATTATGTTAGAATTAAAAGACGAACAAGTTGTCTGTGCCCAGACTTTATAGAAAACGGTTGGTTTAGATCGGCGCCGAGATACCAAGAGAATCTCGGCACCGAAAGTGTTTCTTACTTAAGCCACTATGAACCCAAGGAACCCTAAATCAAGGCACGGGCCCGAACACTTTAAACCACCCATTCTACCGCAACTAAAGGATAAGCTACGGGCCTGACTAAAGACCGAAACGATAACTAGTTAAAGGTCGCTTACGTGAATAATATTGGCGAGGGGATGGAATGCGGGAACATTGAGAGATTTTTATAAACAACCCCCTCTTATAATCTTAGCTCAAGTCATTCCTCCTTCCCTTGTCTACACTCTCAGTTGTCACACAAGTTGTCTGGAAGGTTTCCGCAGTAGTGGAAATTCTTATCTTTATTTTCAAGCTAACCCACTGACTGTGTCGTGTGAATAATGTACTAAGCACATTAACGCCATGTACAGGCCAGGCCCAACGCGAATGACCATGATCTCATATGCCCACGTTCACACTGTGGACGAAGACTCCGAATCATCGAGTCGTCTCTTTTTATCTTGCAGGAATTTTTCCTGCTCGGCTTGACTCTTTCCAAGGTCAACGCCAAAGGCCATGATACCAAAGCTTACAACACTCAAGGCGAAAAGGAAGTAGAATGGGGCCGAATTATCACCAGTCGGACTGGCATCAATGATAGCGCTTGACACGAGAGGACCAATGAACGATGATGTCTTGCCGATGATGCTGAATAGACTGAAGAACAAGAACTCGTGACCGCGGGGCGTGATTTCCGAGATCATGATTTGGGAGTAACTGTACCAGGGGCAAATGAACAGCCCATAGAATGCCTGATAGACCTATAGAGATTGGGTGGATGGTCAGTCATGCCAGAGAGGCGGTTCAGTTTCAGAAGATTTACTAACCCAAACTTCCCATGCATTGTGGAAGCCGAACTTGTCGGTCCAAATGCCGATCATACCCCAGCCATCGAGGAGGATGATAGCGACGGCAATCGTGTTGAACATGGTCTTGGTTCCTAAGCGGAAGCGCTTCTGAATATACCAGAATCCATAAATGCCGACCGCCTAAATGCATTCACGATCAGTGAAAATGAAGTAACGGGGTACTTTTGGGTGCGAAGGACTAACCTGAGCCGCAATACCGACAATCAAAAGGTAGGTCAGCTGCAGAGTGTTGTATGCAACGATGCTATTCTGCAATGTTCCAATCACGGTGACAGTGGTGTTCAAAGAGTCTCCGAGCAAGAAATAGCCTGTTTCACAAGAGAGAGCTGTCAATTATTGTCCCGCTTTCTCTTGCACTCCAGCGAATAATGCACTTACCGATGAGATAAATCAGACTCTGTTTCAGCTGCCAGATCTGTTTCATAGCATGCCAAAGTTGCCATACACCCGCAATGAGAACGCCTCGCCTACCGGGATCCTGGCCTGGTCGACGCTTTTCCAGGAAGAACCAGGGTAAGGAAACAAGCAGCCAGACTCCAGAAACAAAAGCAATCAAAACACTGAGACCCCAGTTGTTGTTGGCCTGGCTGGCATTCACATCCAATCCAAACATGATTCCCACGATGATAGCTAGAATGAAAATCTCGCCCACTGATTGAATATAGAAGGCAATATTCGCCAAACGGCTGCGCATCATGGTATCGGCATAATCGTACTGCTCGCGCGTGATTGTCCCTGCCACGTAGGCGTCGGCCTTTTCCTTCATTTCAATCGTGTTGCGTGCCAGACCTGGGAAGGCAGCAGTCCAGAAGGTCAATGTCGTCTGGTAGGCTATTAGGCCGACAATGTAGAGGCCAACGCCAACCTGCCATTTATCCGAAGTGTGAACTCCCAACCAGCCAAAGCCGATAGCCCATGCGATGATGGACAGCGCAATGAGAATGTTTGGTCGCCAATTACCAAAATCAGCGAAGCTACCTATGACCAAGAACACGACTACTTGGATCGCGAAGGAAATTCCATTGGATAGCAGCACGATACTGTTGATTGAGCGCGGGCGCCCGAGAAATTCCATGATGCCATCGGATGGGGCTGCTTGATAAAGCAAATTTTGGAACGCAGTGGGCGCAAAGTCTATCCAGTAAAGATTCGTGAGTTAGCATTTTCTCCCCTGCGATCGAAGCAGCGAGGATGCAAGCTCACTTACTGAAAAGTGATAACCCGTTGTTGCCGATGTAGTAGCTATAGAGGTCCTTGTGTTTAGTGGAATCTAGGGAATGTGGCTCGCATCTCGCTCAATGATCGCACGCACGCATAGTAAGCCCAAATTTCATTTCGGGTCGTGCGATATTTTTCATCGAATCGATCTGGGGCAATTGGCTGCTCATTCTTGTCCAAGACTTCGACTTGGGGCGACTCCCCCTGTGGACCATTAGCCACCTCCACGGTGGAGAGCTCAGTGTCCTTCAGATGATCCATGACTCGTTCTCCGTCGCATGAATGAGTGCAAAGGGAGATCTGGTGAAAAAGAAGGAATTCGAGAAATCCTTGTTACCAAGGAATGTTGGCTTCATTTGAAGACACGGCCGGCCGTCTTTGCCCCGCGTGCTAACCCTTCGAAGACCTTACGGACCAGTCGCATTGGAATGATGGCGGCGATCGTGCGATAGCAATCTGGATTCTCTCCACGCTACGACCCTGACGGGTCTAGTTAAAGTGGCGCGACCGTGGGCCACCTATCACAGGTGGGAGTGGATCGGAACGTGCGGTAGATATCATTTCGGGACTGACCATTCACCGGTTAAGATCTTTTGATTATCTCCCTGAGCACATCTCAACGAGGAAAGACACGCGTTTTCCAGGTTGAGCTGGCGTTTGATCTGCGGGGAATAGAGTGGCAAAACTTCGCACGTCAACTGGCAACTGGGCCCCGGCATTTTGCCCACTTGCCGGATTTTATCGCACGGCATTTACAAGCTAAGCTGACCAAGCCACATGTTAAGCAAGCTTGGCTAGTCGTTGTGGCTTTTCTCTTGAAGCTTCAACAAGACCGTCCAAAGATCTACTGGTAAGTGTGATATGACGAATAGTACAGAACGCAAGTCCGACGCCTATCATTCGTAACACCTATTGGAACGCTTGCACAACCGCCAAGCAGCCTTCAAACAATGAACTGCTGGCGAAAAATTAGGAACTCGAGAATGGGCCAATCATACAAGGGTTTCAGAGCCCTGATGCCTCGTGTTATTGGATCACAACCTTAGTATCAGATGCCATACGAACAAGGATTTCTTTCAAAGAAATCCCCTTATTTCATGTCCACCCTGGCCTCCTGAGCCATGGTCCGATCAAAAAATCTTCAACTCAAAGACACCTCTTCTAAGTATTCTCAAATCGATTCAGTATGCGTCCGGTGATGAGCTTCGACGATGCCGCATGGGTCAAGAGCGAGCAAATTGTCGACAACTGGATCTACCAGTTTTGCAGGCCCGAAATCGGGGCCGCAGCTGCCCAAACCCTGCTAGAATGCCACAGTCCCGGCGATCCAGTTGATTTTACGCTGATTGGCAAGGGCAGTTACAATATCTCGTTCCGGATGGAGTTCGACAAGGCTCCGCCCACAGTGATACGCTTTCCTTTGCCTGCGACACTGCGTTTCCCCGATGAAAAGATTCGGAATGAGGTCGCCTTTATGCGTTACGTGAGAGAGCACACTTCGATTCCGATTCCGCGCGTGATTTATCGAGGAGTAACGAATGAAGGTCAACTTTCACTGGGACCGTTTATCGTAATGGAGTATCTTGGACATGAATCCACGATGTATGCCTCACTGAACACGCCTGGACGTCCCTTGGACCTACGCGGGATCCTCGATCCCAATATCGCAGAGGCGAAGTTGGCAATGTTGTATGGTCAGTTCGCCGAAATTCTCTTGAAGCTTTCTCTCTTATCCTTTTCTGGAATTGGATCACTCAACCAAAAGGATGACTTGACATGGGAAGTGGCCCAACGACCCCTTACTCTCAACATGGAACAAATGGTCGTTATGGGAACTTTGCCTCCAGAAAATTTACCAGGCCCGGATGACACCTTCAAAACGTCAGCTTCATACCTCGAATCTATTGCAGAAACATTCATCCGACATTTTGAATACCAGAGAAACGATTCCTTCGAGTCAGCCGACGACTGTCGACGAAAGTTCGTTGCCAGACGGCTATTCCGAAAACTTGCAAAGGAGAAGAAATTGACAAATCTCTCTCTGGAGAATGGCCCATTCAAGCTATGGTGTGATGACCTGAGACCCGCCAACGTGATCGTGGATCAGAAAGACCATGTCGTTGGTGTATTGGATTGGGAGTTCAGTTACGCAGCGCCAGTGGAATTCGCTTATGCTCCACCATGGTGGCTTCTCATTGAAAAGCCCGAATACTGGCCTGAAGGTCTCGAAGACTGGACAAAGGTTTTCGAATGTCGCTTGGAGATCTTTGTCCGAGAACTGATCAAATGTGAAGATACCGCGATTGGCAGAGGAGAAATGAGCGAGGCACAACGGCTCTCTGGCCCCATGAAGGAAAGCTGGGAGAGTGGTGATTTTTGGATCATGTACGCAGCGTCACACAGCTTTGCATTTGATGCCATATACTGGCAGAAGATTGATCTGCGGTTCTTCGGACCGACCAATGACCCCGAGGACGCCTGGAAACAAAGACTTGCCTTGTTGAGCGATATCGATCGTGCTGAAATGGAAACCCTCCTAGCACGGAAACTGGAGGAGATGAAGAACAGAGAGCTGGCGTGGGATTGCGACGAGTATACTCGTTTTCTTTCCGATCGCATGACAAACAGTCATATTCACCTCTCGGAGGCTGAAGCATGTGAGCCGCAGGATAGCAACTGCAAAGCGAGTGGGGTTATGGATGACCCATCCCAGCATTCCCTAGAATCGGTCCATTCAATAGCCATGTTTCAAGCGATCCTCGAATTTGCAGCGAAGAAGGACGCGATAGCAGAGAACACTAATGGCATTAGGGCACAGAATTTGGAGGTTGGAGGTTCCCAGATAGAGAAAGGTGACACTGAAGAAGTTCAGCTTCCTGACATTGCTCTGAAAGACGCAAAGGGTGGATCGGAGACACAAACCCTGTCCGATGAACTAGCTGAGTGCAAGCTGACAGCCTAGTAGCTGTCACTGGGTGCAGATGCAAGTCCATGACCCAAAATCAAGTCAGATTTACATTCAGAATCGGAATGGGCTAGCAGTGGAGAATGCAGACATATTCGATATGACGTCATCCCCTTATCGTAGGTCTCGTTATTTGTTATCATAGCCGTATCTCCTCGAATATTGGCCTTCCTACCTAGTTTGGACTCTCAACATACCAGCAGTCATTTCCATATAAGAATTTGTGAAAGCTAATAGATGATATAGGGACTTATAAGGATCTAGAGGAAGCTCCACCGGGTGCAGGCATGAAACTCCCTCATTGTCGGGCTTGTCATCACTTGTCTGAGTATGATCTTCGCCTACCAGGCTGGTGCTGGCTTCAACCCGAGTCGTGACTTTGGTTCTCGTCTCACGCTTCTGGCGATGGGTTATAGCAATGATCTCTTCCTAAATCCGTACTGGTTCTATGGGCCCTGGGTGGGCGCAACTAGTGGTGTCTTTATGGGAGCCTTCTTGTACGACTTTATGATCTTTACTGGCGGTGAATCTCGTGTCAATTACCCTCTGGAGCGAACCCAGCGGGCGATGAAGAAGAGTTGTATGAAGTGGAAGCGTCGTCTACATCTCGATAAAAGAGAGCCGACAACCGCCCCCGTTGCTTGAATGTGATACGAGACACTTTTAGCTTGCTGGCTTGCGTCCATCCAGGACAAAGCGGATACATTTCCCTTCCCGTATTGACAATGACACCGCGTGGTACTTCGTCAGCAATTTTGATGTATATAAGCATAAACTAGCACTTTACCGTGTGCAACCTGACACTTACGCTCTTGTTCATACTTTTACAGCCAGTCGTGACATTAAGGTTCAGTCAAGTGGACCTGCAATGGTTCGTCTAAATTCATCTGTGTACCAGCACTCCTCTACATAATTTATCACTGTTTCTCATGCTGAGCCCTCAGCGCCTGCTTCAGTAGATCAGGATACCACCGCTGGGCAACATCTTGGTGGCTCGTAATACGTGCAATAAGTGTTCCCTGGCCGATGCTACCAGTGAACATCTCATTGAATGTAGCCTCGGCATCCGACCGTACCTTATCATCTTTCACCAACTCTTTGACATGCTGCGGGATCTCAATGTGAATCTTCTCAACGCCCAAATCAAGACTCACGCCTGAGAAGACCGCAAAGGAGAAGCGCGGACCGATTGACTGACCATTTGCATCAAGATAATTCTCTCGGCGCAGATTCACACGATGTGTTGTCGCGGTGCACACTCCACCAGTAATAGCTTCGAGAGCGCGACCAATGTTGATCACCAGCGTTCCTGGGATGGGATGTACTGGAAGCCAGGTTCCTGCTTTATTCTGTACTTCTAATCCTGTATGCGGGGTGGCTTGTAGGAGGAATGTGAGGAAGCACGAGTCTTTGTGTGGGCCGACACCTTGAGTCTCTTCACCGGGGCGAGAGCCGAAAGGCTCGGGGTACTTGATTAACTTGAACTTGTTCTGCTGAGGAACGTCAAAGAAGTCGTCAAATGCGTTCGAGGGAAGGTCGAGTGCCTCAGCGACTAGAGATCGGAACGAGCTTGAGAGTTCTTCGATTGCGTCAAGATAGTTCTCAATCGTTGGGCGGAAATCGGGCAGAGAGGTTGGATCCGGCCACTTTGAAGTATGAGACATCTTGTAGCCGTTCTACTAGTTAGACAAGCATGCTTACCTGGTTTGGTCCTCGAATGTTGCGGTATAGGGGCTCCTCGGGGCCAGGAGCTGGTAGCTCAGTTGCAAACTGTGCCGAATTTATTAGTGTAATTTGATCAGGGTGATTCAAACGAACACGTACATCGAACTGCTCGCGGTAGTCGTTCTTCAAAGCCGTTATCTCCTGGCCAAGCCGGGAATAACCAAGAAAATGCTTGCTATTAACCATTTCAATCTCCAGTTTCTTATTCAATGGTAGGTTGAAAAGCTCAGAGGACTGTTCCGATAATGCTTGGTATAGCTCATCCGGTACACCGGTGTTCTTAAGGTAGAAGAAGCCCACATTGACAATGGCATCTTTCAGTGCTGCCAGAAAAGTCGATCGTGTCGTTGGTGAAGTCGTTTGCGCGTAATCCAACACGGGGATTTGTGTGAAAGGGAGCTGGGATGTTGTTTGATCATTTTTGCCTTCTGACCGTGCCGTCTGTCATATGTTAGCACGCTATCCAGTCACCTCAGCTCGTGTTGTTCGTCCAGGCTTCATACCAACTTCTGAACAAAATCATTCCTGCGCTTCAAGAGCAATCCAACGTTTTTCGAGAATTCATAGTTATGGCCACCGCGCGGGAGTATCGCAGCATCAATCTCTGGCGTAGACTTGAAATGCGATACTAAGGCATCGAAGATAGTCTTCCCTTGCAGGGGGTCTTCATCATCCCAAATGACTTCATTTTCCGCTGCGAGAAACTGCACTGGCAAACGAACACCTGGAAAGACAGTATCGACAAGGTACTCGAAAAATTCTTTTGTCTGGTGCTCCCTCATTTCGGATTTCAGGCCTAATATACTCAGTGGGTTGATTCTTTGCAGATCGCAGAAACTTACCAGGCTCAAAAACCGCCACCACAACTTCCTCTGTCAGGGCATCAAGATTCAACCACTCCATTCTGCCCATGAATCGCTTGATATTCTCTGGATTACTCTCGACGATGAACCTCGGATTTTCTGGTTCTGGGTCTGTCCAGTCGAGTATCCCCAGTGGCTTCAAGGTTGGCAAGCATCCCATAGCACTGACTCCCAAGATAGGTAACCGTCCTTGCGCCTCGTATGTAACGGACAGAGCCAAGGCTCCTCCGATCGAATGGCCTACCAGGATAATTCCTGTGTGACCCTTCTCCTTGCGCACTTGATCGATGAAGTCAATAAACACCGAAATCGAGTCCCGCAAAGGTGTCGAGCTAGCCGGCGCGGGAGTTCCCCCATAGCCTGGGCGGGAGATGTTAAGAACATCGTGACCGAGCTTGTTGAACTCATTGACTACTCTATACGTTTATCAGGCCTTCATTCAATGTCATTGAGGATCCCGGCAGAGACAGACGTACGAGACCACTTTGTTATCGAAGAAAGCCGATGTCGCTCCCCCGCCATGGATCAGGACGATCAATGGCAGCGCCTGTGCGCGTGAACCCCGCCGGAAAAGGCCGAAGAAGCTAAGTCCATTCTTTTCGAATGGGATTTTTTCGTCCACCATGTTGTTTTGTTGTGAAGCTCGACGTGATTGCTGAGGGGAAATGAGGAGTCACAGACCACGGAGAGGGGTACTGATCCGTCATCTTCGGAAACCCAGCCGAATCTGATGGTGTAATCCGTAAGCCTCGGATCGCGAGATCGGTGGATCAAATAGCCTCATTCGGAGTGTGCATGAGATAGCAATTTCAGGAATTCCAAAGAAATTGGCGTCAAATTCCTGGTTCGAGCTGGTCTTTACTTCACATCAGCTACAGGATTTCTTGCTCTGATCAGGTTCCATGACCGAAAGGTAACGACCAATGGCCACGGTTGATTAAAGTATTGGAGAGATACAAAAGTATGCACACAGTACAGAAGGACTCATGATATGGAAACGGGAGAATGATATGCTTTATTTTGTCTCTTTTCGGACCGAGAGCTTTTCTCTGCCAAAATGTACTGGGTCTTCCACCTATACGACTTTTCCCTGGCAGAAAGGAAGAAAGGCAGAATTGGCAGTCATGCTAACGGCAATGGGGCCAATTCAGGATATACCTATCATATGCAATTGCAGCCACATCAGATCATTCAACTCCTTGTCTCCCTGTAACTCAGTCATTTTGATTAAACATCAACCTCTCTAGCTCGAACGTTCACCGGCGGATTCAACAATTTACTCGGCTCCCCTTCTCGCGAACCGTCATCGTCAACAATAGAATCATCTATCGCAACCCTTCCAATCACCCCACGAGCTGTATCTCTCTTCTCCAGATACGCAATCAACCCAATCAGCGGTAGAGTCAGAGCCCCCGTCACCAAACTCGCGACATACCCCTTATGAAAATCCGGCGCATCGGTCGCTGGATAAAATATCAGCGGCCACCACGTAACAAACGCAAAGTCGAATGAGTTCATGAATCCTGTTGCAATAGCACGGAGTTGGAAATCATGGCTTGTCACATCGGCGAGCCACGAGTACCAGACTGCCTGTGGTGCGAAAGTGGTTCCCAGAAGATAAAAGGCGACGAAGTAGCCTGCGTCTGTGGAGGGGTTTGATACGAGAATGGCTGAGCCGATGATGAATGTAAGGCCGATGGCGATGGATACCTCCCAGCGTGATTTGAGCTTATCAGAGATAATTGCGTACAGGACGGTGCCGACAATAGCGGTTGCGTAGATGCCCGTGGGATAGTTGTTCTGTTGAATGGTTGTGTAGCCTTGTCCGGCCATCCAGTAGGCCATCACATTGTTTTGTAGCATTTGGACGGAGAGGGAATATACTTTGTAGCAGTTAGTGACAAATCCTGTGTATAGTCGGATCTAGAGACATACGCATGAAAATCATCGGCAAGAGCCAGAACTGCCAGCTCAAAAGCACACGCCTGAATACAGTCACATCCCAGGATTCTTTGCGCGGTGAACCTAGACGAGCAACGGCATGCTCCTTTTGCTCGCTGGTGAGATACCAGGCCGCACGGTGCACCGGTAGATCAGGAATAAAGACCCAGCCTTCATGTTGTCAGCCTGTGGTCTCGTGCCGTGCGTGAGAATCGCCAATGAACTTACCAAAAAGAGCCACTGGCACAGTCATTACCGAGACGATAATGAAGATCCATTTCCAGGCCGGAAGACCACCTTTCCCTGCCAGCGTCTGCAGCAGCCCTGCCTGGATCCAGCCACCGGCCATGCTTCCCACATGTCCAAATACGCAGAACACCGCAGCCCGAATTCCGAGCTCAGACTTTTTGTACCACGAGCCAAGAATAAACTGGGCGCCCACACTGTTCACAAGGTCAGTCAGTCCAATTAGTTCCACAGCAAGCTCTCCGTATGGGAAGGGTGGGGATATTACTATGCAATGGCCGAGAACCCTCCTTCGATCGCATTCAACAGAATGACCTGCCACGCGCGGGTCATCTTGTATGTGATGAGAGTCAAAACGCTCCATGTGACATTGGCAGTGACGAAAACATATTTGGGTCGAACGATAGTCAAAAGACTGGTCCCTGGCATCTGGCACACAGCGTATACGACCAGATACGCTGTACTCATGTAGTTGTACTCTTTGCCCTCGAAGCCGAGGGCCTCTTTCATGCCGCTGATATAGGCAGTGGAATAACTGGCGCGAGTTACGCCGAAAAGAAACCATATCAACGAGAAGTAGGGAAGTAGTGTCACGTCGAGTTTAGCCAACAGCTCACGGTCCTTGGGTTCTGGGCCCCATAGCCAGATCGCAAGGCTGGTGCGAAGAGAGGCCATCTTGTGCGGTCTTTGGCTCTCTTGAGGTATCTGGATTTGACGATCGCTTCGGGGAGCGACGGTGCTATATGAACGATGATATGGCGTTGAAACGCCATTCGCGCTAGACAGTCGAGCCATCTTTGGAAGGTTTGGTCCAATCAACAGCGCGACCGTGAGTAACTCGTTCGGTCGCACCTTCCAAGCAGAGATAATGTTGCAGATGGCGAGAAATCACTTGTGAATGATGAGATCGGCGGATAAGATGCAGTACCTGACTAATGATGGCGTGACGGTGAAGCGGAGTGCTCGCAGTGACTACTACGAACGGTTTCCCCACTCACGAGCTCGTTGTATATTCCCCTTTGGAATCTACCACATGCCGATCTGTGTCCCATGGATGTAACAAGAGTTAAGGTTCTCGCGAGTGGTTGATGATAAGGTTCGGCCACCAACACAAGGCTCTTTCCGGTGGTTGTATGTGCTTCGCCGAAGTCTGCCCCACTACGATCGAGTGTAATCAGATAAGGGCCGAGGTAACCAACCTTCCTGGCTGGACCACATTCCCATCACACATACAAAATCATCCGAAGGTGGAAGAACACCAAAGATCAAATATTTTGACTCGGAGAACCCATCATCCCAGCTCATGGAAAATGTACATGCAAGTATCTAATTACACAGAGAATGTCTATCGTCCAAGCCTTTGTCTATCAGGCCTCACAGTTTGGCCTTGCCGACCTCTATCTGAGACCAACTTTGGTCAGTCAGTTTCTCGTACTTGGTCCCGTTCAGCCAGTACAAGGTATCTCCACCGCAGTCCTTGCGGGGATCCCAGCCCTTCTTCACAAGATCACCCTTTGCTTGTTTGAATGTCACACCAGTGGCCACCCTATGATGAATGTTAGAAACGGTCAGATCTCTTGGAGTCCAGAATGACTTACTTCTCGGTGATCCGAACTAGGCGAGGCAGTGCGTAAGATGGCACACCTCTCTTCTTCAGCTCCTTGTACAAGTCCGAAATGAACTGGATCTCAAAGGCTGGGGAATGCTCTTCCAGAGTGATTCCAGCTGCACCAGCTTGGCCGTCGTACCTGATATGTGTTAGAGCGGGATATCCTTTTTTACAAAGAACCTGCGTACTCACCCAGCAAGCTTCACACCATACACCACAGCATCATGAATACCCTCAATGCGACAAATATGATCCCGAATCTCACCCGCACTTACGTTCTCACCCTTCCAGCGGAACGTATCGCCAACGCGGTCTTGGAACTTCACCCAGCCCGAGTGGTCCTGCACAACCAAATCACCCGTACGCTGGAAGAGATCCCCCTTTTGGAAAACATCACGCAGCAACTTGCTCTCCGTAGCATCCTCATTGTGCAGATACTCAATCAACAGGCCACGATCCCGAACACGACCAATCGCCTCGCCCTCCTCGCCTAACCGAGCGCGAACGCAGAATCCAGTCACGGGGTCACGGAAGGGCATTTCAGTGTCCGTATCATACTTGACGATAAAAGTGTCGTCCTCGAGGAAGCGACGAATTGGACCCGAGAAGCCGACCTTACCGGCTCCCCAAGCTCCAACACCGTGGTTATCGAATTTGGCGATACCTTCCGTGGAACGGTAGAATTCACGCACTTCGGGAACACCGAATCGCTCGCGGAACTTCTCCCAGATCTCGCCGCGGAGTCCGTTGCCCGCCGCTGCGATGCAGTTGTGGTTGCGGTCGTAAGGAGACGGAGGCGTAGAGAGCAGGTAGCGGCACAACTCGCCAATGTACAAAATGCGCGTGGCTTTTGAATCATGGACGTCCTTCCAGAACTGAGAGGCGGAGAACTTGCGTCTCAGGCAGAGCGTACCGGCGTTACCAACTGAATAGCACATTCCGGTGAAGAAGGCCGTACCGTGGAAGAGTGGCAGAGAGGAATATGTGCGGAGGGGGTAGTACTTGGATGGGTTCTTCGCGTCTATCGAGAGGGGGGTAGAGGTGATCAGGGCCAACATGTTTCGCACGGCGCAGGCTTTGGGCTTTCCAGTTGTTCCGGAAGTGTAGATCAGAGCAGTCAAATCTTTGGGTGTGCGCTTGGCAGGCGCCAATCCCGACGGAGAGTAATGTTGCAGGTCGGACGCTGTGATGAGTTCGACTGGTCCTGTCGAGACGCCCTCGAAAGACGTCAGGTTAAAAGCGAGATGTGGTAGATCAACGCAAACGAATTGGGACAGATCAGGTGTTGAAATGATGGATTTTGAGCCCGACACATTGAGGCAGTGAATAAAAGTATCATCTGCGAAGTCGTTAGCCATTCTTCTGGACACTTGAATGCTTGTGGAGGGATATTGGATGCCTTACCCCGTAAATTAGTGTTGATCATGGAGGCCACTGCACCCAACTTGGCCAGCGCGTAAAGGGTAATCACCATTTCGGGGGAATTAGTGGTGAAAACAGCCACAAAATCCCCGGCCTTGACATCTCGAGCGTGAAGCAGTGCAGCAAATCGATCAACCGCTGTGAAAAGTAACAATTAGTTTGAGAAACCTCTGCATTAGGAAAGCCGGACATAACCTACCATCCTTGATTTGGCTATATGACCAAGTCTTATGTTCAAACCACAGCGCATCATCCGCACCATGGCCCTCCACCTCGACAACTCGTTCCAGAAGTTTGTAGATAGTGGTCGACTCGCCGAGATTGCCGATCCGCTCGGCCAAGCGCTTGCCAAAGGCGCGGTCATTGGAAAGAGCTGTAAGATCTGTTGAGATCGCCAGTTTGGCATTCAGGTATGCGCCTGCGCCCACCGCCAGTGCCGACGCCATAGCCATGGCGGGCATGCTAGCTTCGGAGAGAATGTCCATGATGCGCAGCGAGCAACAGCCCCGGTTCTGTCGTTGCTTTGCCGGTGATGCTCAAGGGCGTTCTGCGCTGTAATTTGTATAGTGTTCAACAAGGAGTTCTAAACTCTCTTATTTCTCTGTGACAGAACTTCGCAGGTGCAGATTGTTGTAAAAGCTGGTCAATCGCGAGGCTGGAGTGGTTATAAGGGAGTATACCCCACGGTCCACTTGGAGAGCTCCAGACGGAAGTTGGTCTGGCTTGATCTGCCGTTTTTTACAAGATACGGCCATACAACCAAATTCGCAGCTTAAAGGGCCGAGGTGGAGGAGGAAATACGGCAAATCCTCGTATTGTCGACGAATCTTCCCCATCGTGCGACCCAACTGGCTCTCGTTCCCCGCGAGTCTTGCGCGGGCCGTCATACCCCGGTTTTTGGGGGTTTGGCCGGTATGGAGATACCATCATGATATTGAGTTGACTTACACACATTGAGTCAATTCTAACAAAGTTATTGCTACTTCCGCCTTCAGCCTCAGCTAGTCATTTCTTCTCTCCCCAAATTATCTGACATCGGTGTTTATCCGAGTAACTTGATGAGGACGAGCTGCCACCATCGTGAAATGACTGAAATTACCGTTTGTAAAATACACCAACCCACCAATCAATCCCTTCGTTTACGAGCCGAGGGAGCTGGCGTAACCAGTTGTGACGGTATCATACAGCCCTCTTGCCGAGAACAACGGCACTTCCACTCGGCTGCCAACACCCGACTCGGCTTAACTGCGGAAGTCTGTCCAACATACTGTACTGAGTGTCCTCCAGAGTCCAGTGAACTTAGTTGGGTAACAAGTGTCGGCTCGGTCCAATGTCCATCACTCCAGTAAAATAGGCTCGGCGATACTACACTGCTCCCTCCGTCACGAGTCTGATGAGCCGCGGTCCAAATTTCTCCCCGCGTTTCTGCCACCCCGGAGACTGATAAAAAGTGCATCTCCGGCCGTGGCGCATCGTAGCTACTCTACTACTTTTCTTTTTTTTGTATTCTCTCCCTTCTATCTCTGCAGATTTGTCGGTCCCGTTCTAGCTTCAAATTCTCATATATAACATAACCAGCCATGTCTTCTCCACAGCAGCGGTTATCCTCCATCTCCAAGCAGCTGTCGCCCGATAGTGTGTCGGCGGCCAAGGCTAAGCTTCTTGCAAAGAACCCGGACGATGTGGTAGGTCATTCCTCGGTGCTGCTACTGCGCTATCAGTCCATATTCAATGAATAACACTCGTACCAGGTCATCACCTATCTCGCGCGTACACCGCTCACCAAGGCGCGCAAGGGTGGCTTCAAGGATACCTCCGTCGATAACCTCCTCATCTCCCTCCTTACCGTGGGTAGCCCGTCACATCTTCAAATCCAATACAATGCAACCCTCCCCTAACAATCTCCCAGGCCGTCCGTGAAAACTCCAAGATCGACCCCAACCTCGTCGAAGATGTCTCCGTCGGCAACTGTCTCGCCCAGGGTTCCGCCTACATCGCCCGCTCCTCCGTCCTGGCCGCCGGTTTCCCCGTAACCACTGCCGCCTCAGTCTCCAACCGGTTCTGCTCCTCCGGTCTACTCGCCATCCAGAATATCGCCAACCAGATCCTCGCCGGCTCTATCGATGTCGGTATCGCCGTGGGCGCGGAGAGCATGAGCACCAACGCCGACGGCGGTGCCCCCGAGATGGCCGAGCGTATCGTCCAGCACCCTATCGCTTCGCAGAACTACATGCCCATGGGCCACACGTCGGAGAACGTCGCGGCACAGTTCGGTATCACCCGTGAGCAGCACGATAAGTTCGCCGCTGGTAGTTATCAAAAGGCCGAGCGCGCACAGAAGGCGGGTTGGTTCGAGGATGAGATCGTGCCTATCAAGACGCAGATCAAGGATCCTAAGACGGGCGAGGTGAAGGATATCATTGTGGATCGAGACGATGGTATTCGCTACGGTACCACCGCCGAGTCTCTCGGTAAGATCCGCGCTGCTTTCCCCCAGTGGCAGCCCAGTGCGACCACCGGTGGCAATGCCAGCCAGATCACCGACGGTGCTGCGGCGCTGGTGTTGATGAAGCGGTCGCAGGCGCAGAAGCTGGGTCAGCCCATTGTTGGCAAGTTCTGCGGTGCCACCGTTGCTGGTCTAGAGCCTCGGATTATGGGCATTGGCCCTTCCTACGCTATTCCTAAGATTCTGGGCAAGTTTGGTCTGAACAAGGATGAGATTGATATCTTTGAGATTAACGAAGCTTTTGCTTCTATGGTTGGTCCACCGATTCCTTACGATTGAATATTTTCAGTCAACTAACTTTGGGTTTCAGGGTGTCTACTGTGTTAGCAAGCTCGGTCTGGACGAGAGCAAGGTGAACCCCCGTGGTGGTGCTATGTGAGTGATCCCAAATACGCCCCGTCAATTGAGCTTACATACTGACCATAAAACAGTGCTTTCGGTCACCCCTTGGGCGCCACTGGTGCCCGCCAGGTTGTCACTGCCTTAGCTGAGCTGCGTCGCCAGGATAAGCGTGTGGCTGTGACCTCCATGTGTGTTGGAACTGTGAGTGAACCCCTTTTTGATTTTGTTCTTGAGGTGATGTTCGATAATGCTAACCTCTGATCTTCTTTTTCGCACAGGGTATGGGTATGGCCGGTATCTTTGTTTCCGAGCATTAGAGACGCGGGGGTTTGGCATAAATATCTTCTTTTGTAATTATGTATATATCCTACAGATAAATTGCGATGCATGATACTTTCACCAGCGGATGAATCTATTCCATTGAATTGAAAATCTGATAGGTACGGAAGGTTAAGGTTGCCGGGATATACTGTACGCCAACATGACCCGGTGGCGCAAACCTGTTTGATGTTTGGATACCTCACGCACCATATGACATGCAGTAGCTTTACACGGATTTACCCAGATTCCGGTTGGTCCCCCTTTCCAAGGTGTTCTGAACCAGGATTTCACATTGCGGGTCTAGAGTACATATATAGAAGAAGATTACTTAAGATGATCTTGGCGTCATGGCTCAGTCGCCCTTGTCGACAGCCGAAGACTCGACTTCGCCACACATTGAGTGCCTGAGGTACCAGGCAATATATCACCCACCTACATGCCTAAAGAGGACTAGCGTGATCCGCCGGCGAAAACTACTCGCGGCATCGATCGTCACTGTCCACTTGATTTTGGGACGACATACACTGAATCAACAGTATGTGATATTGCATCACAGCGCAGAATACGCATCTTTCACCTTAGACATATCCAAGTTGGCCATGACCTCAGTCTCATGGGGTTCCAGACTGTTGTACCTGCAGACTCGGACATGGTAAATGCCGCGGTCCCGGACGGCCCGGAGCCACGCAGGCGGCGTCCAAAATCTCGAACGCTCACCCACAAAAGGGTTCATTCGGATTCCAAGGTAAGGGACAGGCACAGCAAGGGCTGAACCAGAGTTGACCATCACCGGGACCTGGATCTTCGAGCTGGTTCCTGGCAGGCTCCACGGGGTGCAAACTCTATTCCAATCAGAATGTCAAGTTGTCAACCAGCCAAAGGTTCTATCCGGCGGATTGCGACAGGCACCACAAATGCCACTGGCAAGCCCTTTTTCAAGTGTTCACCGTTCCACGCTGTTCGTCAGTCCACTTTTCCAAGCAGGTTTCAGTGATTATTGGATGCCCGAGTATTTTTGGAACACAACTGGCCAATCGGCTGCGAGTAGGTGCAGACAAGCAAACGTGTCGTGGTCCACTTGGAGTCCACTCGGTTTCTCCGGTGGCGCAGTCTAGACTGTAATGCCCTCATTGTCTCTGATCCTTGGGGGGGGGAGGACTTTGGGGAGGGGGCCGGGCTTTTACTCTTCGTACATATTCCTCAATCCTTCTTTCTCTCTTCTTCCTATCTTTCTTCTCTCGTCAACGATTTTTCTTCTTGTGTTTCCTTGATACATTCGCTTCAAGATCATTTTGTTCGTTCGCTCTATATTTCTGAACTTTGTGTCGTTCGCTGCATTTTTCTCTTCTTTTCTTAGACCGCTATTAGTCGACAATACTCGATCCGCACATACACGACTCATTCGCTATCAAACACACATCCAAAATGTTCTCCAAGCAGGTCATCGCTCTCGCGCTGTCCATCGTGGCCGCCGAGGCTGCCCACCAGGGTTTCAACTACGGTTCCACCAAGACGGATGGCAGCTACAACTACGAGGCCGACTTCAAGACTGAGTTCCAGACGGCCAAGAACCTCGTCGGCACCTCCGGCTTCACCAGTGCTCGTTTGTACACCATGATTCAGGGTGGTACCACCAACGACCCCATCCAGGCTATCCCCGCTGCTATTGCCGAGGACACTTCCCTCCTGCTGGGTCTCTGGACCTCTGGCGGCAACATCGACAACGAGATCGCCGCCCTCAAGTCCGCCATCAGCACCTACGGCGAGTCCTTCACCAAGCTGGTCGTCGGTATCTCCGTCGGTAGCGAGGATCTCTACCGTAACTCGGTCACTGGTGCCAAGAACAAGGCCGGTGTTGGTATCAACCCCGACGAGCTCGTCAACTACATCAAGCAGGTCAAGTCCACCATCTCCGGCACCACCCTGAGCGGTGCCTTGATCGGTCACGTCGACACCTGGGATGCCTGGACCAACAGCTCCAACTCCGCCGTGATCGACGAGATCGACTGGCTCGGCTTCGACGGCTACCCCTACTACCAGACCACCATGTCCAACGGCATCGACCAGGGCAAGGCTCTGTTCGACGACGCCGTCGCCAAGACCAAGTCTGTCGCCAACGGTAAGGAGGTCTGGATCACCGAGACCGGCTGGCCACTCAGCGGCCCCAACGAGGGCGATGCCGTTGCCTCCCTCGCCAACGCCAAGCAGTACTGGGACCAGGTTGGCTGCCCTCTCTTCGGCGAGACCAACACCTGGTGGTACCTGCTCGCCGATGCTGGCTCCAGCCCCAGCTTCGGTATCACCGGTAGCACCTCCACTACCAACCCCCTGTTCGATCTGTCCTGCAAATCCACCTCCTCCAGCTCTAGCTCGGCCTCTGCCTCTACCTCCACCGGCACCGCTGTCACCCAGTCTGTTTCTGGCTCTGCTTCTACTACTGGCTTTGCTACCTCCACGGTTGGCCTCGGCGTTGGTCGCAACAGCACCAAGGTTACTACCCAGACCTCCACCCCTCTGATTGTCTCCACCCAGACCGTCGGCTCTAGCTCTGGCACTTCTCCTTCTTCTTCTTCTTCTTCTTCTTCCTCCTCCTCCAACACCGGCAGCTCCTCGTCTGGCTCCGGCTCTTCCAGCTCTGCTGCTGCCACTTCCACCACCACTTCCACCACCAGCTTCAACTCTGCTGCCCGTTCCTCTGGCTCGGCTTTCACTGCCCTTGCCGCTGCTCTGGTCCTCGCCATTGCTGTTTAAGTGGTACCTTCCCTTGGGATTCTATCAGGCGTCGACTGGCTAGGCGAATCTTGATAGCATCATTTTCCGGAGCATCGTCTTTTATATTGTGAATATTCCCTTCTCACTCTCGTTTATTATTTGTATATCTTGTTATAGAAATCAACGTGTCTCCGGGTTCATCTATATCTTGCAATAATTGTCTCTATCTGCTGAGTAATCCGAGCAATTTCAAGCTCCATGATTTCCTTCAAAAGATGTTGCTAGGTCAACTATCCGCTGCTATTTTTGGTCCAGTCTTTAACCCCTATCTTTTATTACTCGACCATTGCGCAGTACATCTGGAGTAAAGTAGTATTTCTTCACACCGTCAACCCCACAACATGCTGCCCTCCAGTATACTGTACCTATATTTATCCATCCCACCCCCTTTACCGTGCAGTCCAACAAATTAATAAAATTAATCGATATCGCTCATAACCCAATTACCACCGACTCACGTTAGACCCACTCGCCGCCCACAGCGGATTGCCCAGCCGTCAGTCTGATCGCGGTCCCGCAGTCTAGGCCTTCTAATGGTATTGCTAGCATGCGAGACATGTCTAAGGTTGCGGTCATCAAGGAGAATTAATGTCAAATAAGGAACAAAATTACCAGTGGCCCGTGGGAAACACCCCTATCCTCTTGATCTTGGTATGTCGCTCATGTGTGACCTGTGGAAGCTGAAAGCTGCAGTGTGGTCGGCAATTATGATTCTAATGGCCAATCACGTCAGTGATTCCTTGCGGAGAACTGACAAAAAGAACGATAGGAAGTATGGCATGCTTGGGCATTACGGTAGTGGGAGTGATGATAGGTCATGGCAGGTACATGGTCTCGATTGAGGGATTCGCTTGTTGGCAGATTGCCTCTATTGCGGAGCGTAGCGAAGCCTATCACTTCCTGAGTAAAGAAAAGGGGTGTAGGGGGTGAAATTTCGATGTTGAGGTATTGAGGTTGAAAGGTGCCGGAATAGATTACTCCCATACTTGCGAGGGGAACCTTGTTCATGCCTGCTCCAGCTCCTTCTCCAAAGTCTGTGTGGGCACCGATATTGCAGATTTGAATGAAAGGCTAGGCTGGAGAATTGCTGATTGCATCGTGATGGGCATGACCCGTTGTACGAGTGGATCTGTAGCTGCTGCGAGGACCAGAACTAAACATCCGAAGGTCGCGAGATGGCTGTAGAAAATCAGACAATAAGAATTCATTCAGCCCAAGCGAAAAGACTCACCGAGGCAAGAATCGAAAATAAACAACGAATGAATGCCCCAGCAGCTGGACGACTAGCAGCGTCGAGGAGCGTAAGATCACTAAATCTGTTTTTACCATGGAACCAAGACCATTTCAATTGGGCTAGGCATGTATTCAGGATAAAGGCCATACCTGTGGCTTTCATAGATGCGTTATGCACCGAGACCAGTACTTTGAGTTTAATACCATAGGGCCAATCTGCTCTATTTGGGACTGATATTTTTAACTCAACTGGAAAGGGCCAGGGCATATCCTATTCATGACATTCTTTGCTGAACACCAAAGTGAAGTCCACCTCGCAAACATGAAGCCTTGTTCGGGGTTGGGCTGGCTGTTGACTGATACCTATACCGCATATATGATGCATTTACCGGCCCGGGCATGTCCATCGCTACCATCTGCCCGGCTGATACCGCGTTGATTTGCTATATCTGATTGGTACTCAACGGGGCCGCCTGCCACAGATATATATATAGAGCCTTCGACAAGTAGAGGTAGGCCTAGCAATCAAACTTGTAAATGCCCTTCGCAGTCGCTCAGATCTAGATATGTTGCTATCATGACAATGAACTGTAAAGAATGTCATATATAGCTGCAGTCACTGTGCCTGCGGTGAGGCTTTCAGCCGGGTTGATCGCCGTGGCTCTTTACCCGACTGATCAAAACCTGGAGCAAAGTGGGTCGCCCGCGATAAGGAACTTGGGTTGAAGGTGGCTCATTCTGATATTCAAATAATGACCATGCTGAACCCAGAAAATGGATCTCTTGAAACCAAACCAAGTCATGCATAAGCAGGGCTACAAAGTTCACGACGCCACTGACTCCGAGGAAAGCTGCAGGTACACTGCGTCCAGGCAAAACAAAGCAGGCGTGAGGGGAAGCGGACGATCTAACCCCAAAACAGCCAAGCCAATCACGTGACAACCGTCGTCATCAAGTGACTCCATCTTACTCTTCCAGGACCAGCCGTAATCCTGAACTTGTCTTGGAGATTTAACCGCTCTGTCACTTCACTGTTTCTTGTACGTGCCTGAGCCTTTAAGATCTCTGGTCCCGATATCCAGGTCTTGCGAAGCCACCCACTACTCAGAGATTCCCCCCCAAAGGCCAGGGTCATTCCAATCATGAAGTTCTTATCAGCCACCGCTCTGCTTCTCGCCTCTCCGCTCGTTGCAGCGGCCTCCTTCCCAACCCTCTTCGACCCCTCGCAGGCCCCGATTCGTGCGGGAGACAATGTGCGCCAGAACCCAGTTAAGGGAGACAACCCTCTAGAATTCTGCGAACCTCCATCTTCTCACCTCCTCACGATTGACTCCGTGGATCTGTCGCCCAACCCCCCTCAACCGTGAGTTACAAGGCAAAACTGGGCCTTTGGGCCCCTGAAGTACTATTTCACTAACACTGTATTTCGCCATTAGCGGCGAGACCCTCACCATTACCGCGTCGGGCACTTTCCACGAAACCATCACCGACGGTGCTTTCGTCAACGTGGAAGTCAAGTGGGGTGTTATCACTTTGGTTAAGCAGACTATGGACTTGTGTGAGCAGATTGAGAACGTCGATCTGAAGTGCCCCCTGGAGAAGGGCAAGATGGTCTTGACGAAGCAAGTCGACATGCCCAAGCAAATCCCTCCGGTAAGTTCCCTACGATCAAGCTGGCCTGCCCTTATCATCACGGAGATGCTGACACTCTTTCTTACAGGGTCACTACTCCGTGAACGCTGATGTTTACACCGAGGACAAGAGGAAGGTTACTTGTCTCAAGGCCGATGACATTCAGTTCAAGATCAAGTTCTAATCGCTCTTCGCACCTGGGAACTATTCCCCACTTGCATCCACGCTATCGGTGGCCTGTCTTTTCGTTGCATGTTGGAAATATCTCGGTCTTTGCTTGATTAAGCCTTTCTATGCTAGTTATGCTTTTGCCTACGTCTTGTCACGACCCTAGTACATCTTCGATTTTGCCTATCACGTTCTGCCTTTTACAAGTCATGCGTTCTATTCAGATATCACTATGCCTGTGCCATTCCTCCTATTAACTTTGCATCTCACTGCTTGATTGTCTTCGACTTGATTCAAGTCAGGCGCTCTAGCCATGGTTTGATTATATACATGGAACATCACCGTTCTCTGAATTAATTCTTCGACATTATCTTTTTCCCACCATATGATCATAGTAGCATGCTATGCAAACCTTGGACGGGAACCTACTCATCTATGCGACACCCCGGGGACTCAAAAGCTCGACACTAGGTAAATTGTAAACGTATATGCACATTTCAGGTACGTTGGGTATCTTCCCTCTAAAGCTTATGACCTTCCCGCAACAACCAGCCGTAGTTGCAAGCCGATGGACAAATCCCGAAACGAGTAAAATGAAACCAGATATTTTAGCATGAAACAGACATTGTGAAAACATGATGTAGCCAGACACCTTGTGAGCTAAGTCAGGACGAAAATGACCCCCTTGACTAAATCACTCTCCGAAGAGTCGTCGCACACGCTTGAGGACACTGTCCTTCTCGGGGTCATACGGGTGATCTTTGCTGGGGATTTCGAGGACGGCAGGGAAGGGGTCGGCGAAGGAATCGACGCTATGGCGGATGCGCTCAGCGATCTGTTGAATTTGAGGTTAGATATGATGCGCCAGAAGATATTGTTAAGGGATTCAAGGGGTACACACGTGTTGGTTGATCAGGAGGACAGCAATGTCCTTTCGCTCCTGCGTGAAGTTCTGGAAAGCTTGCTCAATTTGCGATGTCTCGGTCTTGGCATCGACGACTAGGAAGTTGCGCTGAGCATCTGCCCCTTCGGTAACGTGCTGTAAATTGGAAGATTGTGTAAGATTGGTATGCTTCGTATGTTATGGACATAGGCTAGCTCTAGGTTATAGGCCTCGTGAGGGGTACGTACACCAATGCCAGCGAGGAGAAGACCGGTAACGGAGCTAGATAGAGGCTCAAAGTTAGCTCGGAATGATGCTTCACAAGGAAAGCAGATCAAAGGAAGGAAGACTCACTCTTCATCACCAATGACAGCGAGCAGTTGCCGGTCCTGCAGTCGAAGGTGTTAGGGTCACTATCGGGGGCACTGACGTCTACGGTTCGAGAGACCAGGTGTCAAGTACCTTGTATGTCGCAGCCGACGCCATGATGATACGATGAGCAAATCACTAGACCACAAGACTTCGACAATAACAGGCCCCGCGGTGAAACAGGAGCTAAGCTCAGTCCAGGTCAGTCGAAGCTCAGAATGCCGTTGCCCGCTGATCGCCGCAAGGTGGTTATCGCGGAGAAGCTGGTCATTACGTAAGCTGATGCAATTTTGTTTACCTTTCAAGAAGGTTCATTGTTCCTCCCTTCATCTTTGACAGCTCGGGGTTCACTCTGAATGTCTGTCGCTCACATCATCATTTAGGGCAAAGCTGCTGAGGATCAGCTTCTGTTCTACAAATTACCCACCGGTCCTCTTAACACGATGCCTCGTCTCGTGCGCCGCCAGCCGCTCGCAGAGCGCATCCAAGCCTACTTGAACCCATGGGATTTTCTGCTTTGGTTGTCCGAGTCTATCGACGGATATGACTGGGACCAGCTAGAGAAGGACTGGGGCCTCACAATCGGTGTCACTCTCAATTTGATATTTTTGGTTGCGCGCGCAAATAGTGGATCGAGTGGAAGCGAAGCTATCGACGATGTCTTTGGAGATGGGGATGGTCTGCCCTGGCTCAGCTGGTTTGTACGTGACAGAACGTCCCCAACCCTCGTATAACGACTGGAGGCTAACTAATCCTGTTCTCCCTCCTAGGCATGGGTCGTTGTTCATACTCTCATATTGATCTCTGGGGGTAATGCAATCTACACCTTCTACCGCAAGCGGCATTACCGGTTGTTTGAATCTCCGATTGACACAGCACCTGCGACTTCTTCTGCCACTAGAGTGAGAGTTGAATCAAGCCCGATGATTGCCTCACCCTTGCGGTACCTGGCAAATGCCATGTCATCCGAACCAGCCGAGTCGCGGGCGCATCCCGACGCGCATCGGGATGTTTGGGAGGTGGCGATGTGGGATCCTCTTCCGATCTGCGTTCGATTGTTCTGTTTGTTCAGTCCTGGCCATGTTTTGATCTATTACCTCTTCTTGCCGACTCTGCTCTCCGACCCTCGCCCTAGCGTGACCATCGTGACGACTATTTTCTTGACCATTCTTCTTTCGGTTCAGATGTCCTTCATCTCTTCATACTACAAGCAACAAGCCAAGGATTCTATGCTGGTGCATAGGGAGGTCATGAAGGAATATGATACAAAATATGTCCACCCCCGGACTCAGCCATTGATGAGAGATGTTGGCACCCAGTTCTCGGAAGGCAGTGACCTCACCCCAGCATCTGGAGGGCAGAACAAGGTCGAAACCTATACACCAACCTTTATTGTCAACCGTGGATTCAAAACTAGTCCCAACCCGAACTATCTCAGTCACGTCGACCCAGAAGGGTTCTCCCCGCGGCGTCCAATGGACTCTACTCCATCCGCGAGATCAATCTTCCAAACTCAACCGTCCTTGCATACGCCAGTCACGTCGCGTGATGGCTCCCCCATGGTTCGAACGGCGAACACATCTATGCGACAACCACAGTTTCGGCCAGGCTCAACCACCACTGGTGACGGTGGTAGCCTCGGAGTTTATTCACATGCCAACTCCCCCTTGAGGAAGTCGGCATCGACGGCGTTTGAGCGTCGCGTTCAAAATAATGGAGATTTCTTCTATAAAGAGCGGGGGACCAGCCCTCTAAGGAAACCCTCCAGTCCTCTCAAGCGAAGCAGTTTGGCAGGACCATTGGGTAGTCCAGCACCTGGACTTAGACCAAGTAACTTGGGTTCCACCAACCGCCGTGAAACTGGCAGGTTCTAAAACGAATGAATGAATGGAAGCTTCTTTTCACCCTCCCCCCTTTTTTGCCTAGCATGATATCATGATATCGTGTCCATATCCGGAGAATTTAGTCCGTCACCTGCGTGGTGTTGCTATCCAGGTCTATTCAGACGACCTTGATTCCGAACCTGGATGTGACCAGTACATACCTAGCCCTAACTTCACCTGATACTCGATGCTGGGACGAGTTTGGATGCTCGGTCATTTTACCTCGGCCTGCCACGCTTAAGAATGCGCAATCTCGTCATTGTACTGATAACCTGCCCGGTCGGAAAATCACCGCCATAATCCAAGATTTTCTTGATCAATCCCGAGATCAGTGCCTGTCTGGTAGCGGTTCGCGGTTGCCGGGATGTCGTGAAATCGCACTTTCTCTCCCGACGATACCCAGTCAGAACTGTTCTCCGTCGCCATGGAGAAGATTTTCAAAGGCAGGAGAGTCCGAAGCCATCTTTCGGACTGTCATACCAGATGGCGGCGGGTCGAATTCTGAGGCATTCCGGAGCGGGGGCTGGCATTCTTCATCGCCGACCGCATACCATTCCAGCCAACGAGACCATAGTATTCTTACGCGTTGAAATCCTCACTCATTTGGCCTTCTCGATCGATTTCGATAATCCCGCGAGATTTTCTGTGCCCGTCCTGCTCACGCAAATCCTAAGCACCCTAGTCTGACCGTTTTTCTCGACTTACGTCCCGCCTGAGCTACTTCGACCACTGCTTTCACGCTGGGTCGCAGTGTATACATCGCGGAATGGGCACAGCGACGGCTCAAACCTGGCCCTAGAGTCAGACCTAAACGCGAGCAAGCCCTGCGGGCCAAAATGGACGTCGAACGCCGTGTCGAATTACCAGATGGACATCTTGTCAACCTTTCGCCACGGAACCAGCGCCAAACAGGTCCATGCCAACAACAATATCAAGCATATCGAGCAGACTATACCGTCACAGAATTATCCGCAACTCCCTCCTCACAGCCCAACTATCGACCCAGGCCATCCGAGCTTGGAGGCCCCCGAAGCCCACCAGACAACATGTTCCACAGATCAAAAGCAACCAAACTTCCTGCTCCCAAGGCCTTGAGTGAACGAGCTCGAGAGCAGCGTAATCAGACTCCCAGTCCTACCAGTATTCCCAAGCCATCCTCTGCGACCTACTCCTCCGGGGGATCTGCTGGCCGCTCCGGTGGACGAGATCAGTATTGGTCAAAGATCCGCGACAAATTTGAGAGAGATTCTCCTCTATCACAACGAGCTTCTTACGTGCGATCAAGAGAGAGTGATCAGAACAGCTCTCCAAGCCATGGTCATTCTCCCGCAAAGTAGACAATCTCGGGATGACCAACCCGTCGGCCGCAGGAGCAGTCCCAGGTCGGGTATCCCGAGCCCTAATGTTAATCAAGTCAGCGGCGCACAGAGCTCTCGTCACGAAGCACCTCGCAATTCAGAGGGCCAGCAAAAATGGAGAGAGAACGGAGACTCGTTGGTCAGCCTAGAGCTCAATGATACTCCTCCGCACCGATCGGATAGAACAGACACAGCCACCGACTCCAGTCCCCATTCCAATTCATCCATTTCTCCGTTGTCCGCTGAGGATAGTCTGACAGATTGGGAGGACAGATTCGTTGTCAATATGCCGAGCGCCAAAGATCCCAACCCACCTACAATGACTGCCCAGCAAATTGCTGAATACCAGAAGAGCATCGAGAGAGCACGCCACAAGGGCAAACGGAAGGTCGATCCACCCCTAGGACAGAGCCCACGCATTGGGTCACCAGCGGGAGAACAACGCCGTTCTCCACCAAGAGAGGATTCAATAGGTTCCTTTAGAGCCTATGACGGTGGTTCAGCCCAGCCTCCATCAGAGGGAGAGCACCCGTCCGCTCAGTCACAACAAGATCAGCAAAGCAAACAATCTCAACAGCGACCCCAGAGGCCGCAGGATTATTACAGTCCTGACGAGATTGGACAAAACCGGATCAGCACAATTTGGGAGGAATCGCCAACGAAGCAGCGAGAAAAACGAACCTCACAAACTACGGATGGTTCTTTTTTAGGCTGCAAGGAAATCAACGGGCCAGACACGAAAAATCCAGACGAGATTCTCCTTTTCGGATCTGGCGAAGACACCGGAAGCCTGCACCCTCGACCTCTCGCAGTCAGTGGGAGGAAGAGGCAGAAGGAGGAGAAGAAGAGCTCGGGCGGACACTCGGCGCCGCGCAGATCGGGAGACAGGAGCATCTTTCAAGAAGAGTGGGCAGAGGTTTCTCAGAATTCGAAACATGTCCCATGCTCGAAGCGGTCGTTGGTGACACTGTGTCAGGACCCTCGTTGTTCGGAACACGAGATACCGAGGACAGGCTCTCAGGGCTCAGAGAAGGAGAACTCCCGCCCTATCGAGAACCCAGCTCGGTCGACAGAGAAGCTGGAAGACACTCGTGGGGACGACGATGTGTTCATTATCATACCCACTATCACACGCACTATGATTCCCATGGTCGAGAAGAAACAGCCCGAGAAAAAGGCTTCGGCTCCCAAACCGCAAGGCCTTCGACGTCCTGGGGACACTGGTCAGTCCGGTACTGGAGAGGCAGTCAAGGCCGTCCGCGCGAAAGCTCAAGTCGTCTCTTCACCCTCAGGGCTTCGACCAGCAGCAGAACCGTTGCAGTCGAACTCAACCGGGCAATCCGTGGGGTCATCAAAAACAACACAGCCCAGCAGCATTCCAACGCCGAAAGAAGCTCACGGTGCCTCGAGAGACGTAAAGGAGACGAAACCCCCCAAGGAAGCGAAGACGAAAGATTTCAAGGAAATCAAGTTCGTGAAGGGCACAACCCCTGGGAAAATGTCCCCAGGAAAGGACAAGACCGACGTCGAGCGAAGCACAGCGTCCAGTTCTATTCGTGGGTTCATCCGTACCTCCGGGCTAGCAAGGTCAAGCGGACCCGTGAGATCTCCCACCGACAGTCTCGCTACCATCCTTCGAAACGGCACTGAGTCTCTGCGAAATCGGGCCGAGTCACTTCGCAACAGCCGCAAGGGTTCGCCCATCTCTCTTCCATCGCGCGACAATTCCGACTCATCTCGCTCCGAAAAGTCCTTCAAATCAGCCAAAGATTCCCCGAGGGCGACTCCGCCACCATCCATGCGGCCCTCTCCGAAGAGAGACTCGCCAGCTTCAAAGTTGTCATCTGTTGAAAGACCTCCTTCTGAAAGAAAACATTCATTCGAGAGATCTCCTCCGAGACCTGCTACCGAGAAAGCAGCGCCAACGGAGAACCCACCCGCTACGGAGAATTCACCACCTGGGAAGCTCTCCCGTGCTGAGCGGCTGGAGAAGTTCAAAGAGCAGGCTCGTATCCGTCGGGCTAATAAGATGGCGAATGAGAAAGGGGTCGACATCGCTGGGATCGCAGAGCTGGACGGTCACCAGGTTACTGGCCGTAAGAACAAACTCCAATCCAATATAACAGACGTCAACGACGTCTGCGAAGATTTGCATGAGCTGAACGCAAGAGAGAAGGACGACCATTCGAAAGAGAATATCAACCCCGTCGCTTTGTCAATGATCTTCGAGATTGTTGTTGTCGCCGTTACGAATATGCACAGACTTACTGTGCAGGTTACAGACAGTCCGTATGCCAAGTTTGTCGCGAGCAACGTTGTGAGCATGGTCCATCACTGCTACCGGGTCTTCAGCCGGGTTATCCATGCTGTTGCACAGTATCAAACAACTGGTGCTTGGCCCAAGGCGAAGGACGACAAAGCCATCAGCCGCTTCTTGGTCGAGCTGCTCCAGGCTGTTGTTTATCTGGCCATTCTTGGCTTCAGCACTCTGATCGTCTACCGGGCCGCTAGCTATGCCTTGCTTGTTGGAAGCTGGTTCTTGTGGCTTGCCAGGCCATTTGCTTGGGTCTTCAATTGTACTACTCGTGCTCTCATCATGTGAAGGGGGTCTGCAAGGGGGTCTGCACCTTGATACCCGTGGCCTTGGTGAGATTGTACTTTCACTGTACTTGCTAAGAAAGTTGGCATGTAAGAATGATTGTGTCTACTACGGAGTTTGGGGGGACCAGGGCGTTTTTACTTTGGCGTTTTCGATTTTACTCTTATTCTTTCGATCATTGGAATTCGAATACGTCCTCGCGGGGTTTCCATTCGTTGGTATTCTGTTATTCGTACTCAATCCATCCGATTTGAAATGTCTTCCTTTTGCTTGACACGTGCCCTGTAGACGTCTTCAGCTTTTGAATCATATCACGAACATGCCCTATTGACTCGACACTGCCGAGACGTGCCTCCCCCTGGTGCTAACAACTGTGGACCTGATTGAATCGATTGCATGATTAATTCAGCGCCTGGGCGGTATTGAAGGAATACTCTAGAGTTATGGATCTAAGGCTTCCAGGTCACCGTAGTCCGAGAATGCCATGATAGACGCACGTACGAATTCGCTAGGGTTTCGAAAGACGCAGTCGTACGAACGGTTACGGTCACAATTCTGTTCACTGTCTTCTGCCATGTCCCCTGGCTCAATAGGAGAGGATCACTGATATCTCAACCAGGTCTGACACACGCATACTAATTATCTTAAAATTCAGGGTCGCCGTGGGAATGTAGTCACAGGCCTGTGGAGAGTGGCATGGGAGGCGAGCTCTCATTAAACGTGCCGATCCAACGAGATTGTCCCCATTCATGTAGGACTCTGACCGCGCGAATCTGGCCAAGTCTCCCCGAAATTTCAAGGCCCGAGAAGGTAGGAAAATGTATGTCGATAATGTCTTGCCGTGCTCGTCTACCAGGCAGTGCATATCCGATGAGAACATTGGGTTGATCATGGCCTCTGTTGATCAGTTCCAGTCCTGTGATATGGACTTTCCCATCCATCATAGAAGACACCTCCCAATAGACCCCAAGACTGATCCAGTTGGAAGATACCGGGGCTACCTGTGTGTAGAATGCTGCTATCTCGAGATAAATGTTACGAGCACGTGCTCAGAAATATATGCTTAACCGGCCAATCAAAAAGGAATTATTTTTGGTCATGCATGGAACCAGTATAGAAGGTATACAAGTATACACACTGGAGTAGAGCAGCAGAGCACGGGTTTATGAAGAATTAGCCCCGATATCTTAAAGTGTCCTCAACGCCTACGCCCAGGAAACAGTCAAGACAAACCAATCAATCTTGATCTCTCCAGATATCCCCAGGGGGAAAAAGAAGACAGGGAAAGGGAAAGCAGGGCCTTCTCGTAGGCTGAAGCGGCAGGACAACAGCGCAGGGTCTACCAAACAAGGAATCTGCCATAGGGAAATTTCCATTAATATCAAGCCCCAAAAGCTAGCTAGAACATTGAAACGCTTCGTGATCGGTCAGTATGAAACTGCATTCTTTGCTTCCTTATCATGTTAGATTTAGATTTGAGATACATTACTTGGTAGCATTCGCCGGAGTATCTATAGATCAACACTGGAAGTTGCACATAAGCGCCAAAGTTTCCCCGTGTTGAATGTAGGGGAAACTTGGCTTTGTATTCTGTTTCTGATCAATTTGGTCTTATGGAAGGACGGTAGGCGCATGCCCAGTAGGAAACTCCACCATCCTAGTGTTGAAGAACCCTTTAACCAAAACATGTGGAGCGGAAAACATCAGCCAGGCTAGGAAACAAGCACCCAGCATTGGAGATCGAGCCAAGAAAGAGGAGAGAAGAAAAGTAGCAAATGAAAAACACCGCTGCCTGAAAGAAACCGGAACTTGTTGTAGCCGAAAACGATGAAATCTCGTTCTCGTCACGATCTATATCGGAAAAAGACAAGGACATGAAGATGAAGAAAATAGCTCACGAAGGAGCTGGATTATGTTGAAGTTTTTGAGGTCTTCTTTCCTTTTTTTTTTTCAGCCGTTATAACACAAAGTAAATGTCAAGATGGCCCGAGAACACAAGCACCGGGCTTTGTGGAGGGTGGCGAGAAGTGAGGAAATGAAGAAGACTGAGCGATGAAGCGTCGGTGTTAAAGAGACGGGGTATCGGTACAGGGAATGTGGGATGTTGAAATGAGAAAACAGAAGTGAACGCTCAGGAAGAAATCGTTGAGAGGTCTTCAATCGTGACGCCATGACACATTGCAAGGGGGCCCGGAAATCGGTGTTGGATGATTCCTTTCGGGACTAAAGTCGTTGAGTATCGTTGAGATAGGTGATGTTGAATTAGGTAGTAATCGTATTGAGTAGTGTTGACAAGGGTTGAAAGTGTGAGCCCGGTGTTGGATCCAGAGCATCGGGTTCAGTGAGAATGAAATGATGTGTTTTTAGTTTTTAGTCGCAGTGCCGTTCTGCTCTGCGGAGCCGTTGGTCTCCGACTTGCCAGGGAGCTCGACGTTGAGATCCTTGACTTCGAGGTCCTTGAACAATTCGAAAACGGAGTTGTTTCGGTGGAAGTCGTTGTCGACTAGAGTGTTTTCTGTTAGCCAAATGCTTTTCTCGATATACAAATCTGTCCTTCTTACCAATGTTGACCAGGTACCAGTCGTCCATGACCTGCTGAATCAACTTCCGACTAGGACTGGCGGAATCGTGACACTTGGACCAATCTTCACCCAGTCGGTACGCCTCGTCCTTCCAGGCCAGGAAACTAATCGTTTCGACGATGGTGGGTTGAATGATTTCTCGTCCGGCGAAAATACCCCAAGTCAGTGCGTTGGGGCTGTCATGAGTGTTGGTCCGTAGCTCGCCATTCTTCCGGATAGCGTGGTATGTCAGGTCATCGTTCTTTTCGATCCGAGCGACGAGCTCATCAATCAAGGAAGGTGGAACAAGAAGTTCCAGGTAGGCCTTCTGGTAGACGAAACCGTTCTTGGGACCCCATCCATAGATTGGGTGAGAAGACTTCACACCGTTGACAGCGGGCTGGGAGTTGATGGTCAAGAAACCTCTCCGGTTCAAGTCGACCAAGAGATCCTTGATGTCATTAGCCTCGGCGCTGATGGGACTGTCACTCCAGGGTAGTCGGTCCAGTTTGCCATCCAAGTAACGAATGAATATTTCGGAAAGATCCCTAATGGACTTGGGTTCTCCCCACAGCTTGATGTTCTGCTCGTTGGTACCCTTGAGCCGAACTCCATATGCATCAATCTCACCAAAGGCAGGTGATCGGGAATCGGTCCAGCGACCGTTCGGGTACTCGTCCCATGTTTGCGTGCGGGCAACGTATGAAGAATTTCGGTTGCGCCAAAAGACTGGTCGGACATCTTCCGTTCTCCGGCCCAGTGCAAGGGAGGGCCGCCATGGTAGAGCTCGTTGAATGGGAGCTTCTTCAGAAGGAGCGAGACCCAGCTCCTCCAACACGAGTTTAGTTGCCTGTGCCAAGTTCATGGTGTAGCTAATCCGGGGTTGTCAGCACGTGCTCTTGAAGACTACTGTAGGTCAAATGGAAGTGATCAAGTTCTCACTTACAAGTGGAGGTGGTTGATGCCGGAGGCCATCACCTTGCGACACATATCCGCAATCAAACGCTTGCCAATTTCTCGCACAGCAGCGTCGTCGTTCTTGACGGGCTCCAAGGCTTCCATCCACTCTGGCGGTACACGAGCCTTGGTCCAGTTGGATCGTCGAATGAAAGAAGCATATTGTTGGATGGGCATGATACCGGGGATGATCGGCACAGTGATGCCCTTAGCTCGGCACTTCTTCACCCATTCAATGAAAATGTCCACATCATAGAACATCTGTGTAATGATGAAAGTGCTACCAGCATCCACCTTCTCCTTCAAATGATCAATCAGGAGATCCACGTCCGGGTTGTCATCGGCACCTTCCGGGTAGCCTCCCACACCAATGTCGAAGTGATTGCCATACTTCTCGCGGATGTATTTCACCAGGTCCTTCGCATATCGGAATCCATTCTCTGTGGCCTCCCAGGTCTCCTTGTCACGAGGCGGGTCACCTCGCAGGGCCAGGATGTTGGTGCAGCCCGCCTTGTAGGCAGCCTGAAGAGCCTGGTCCACCTTCTCGAGAGGCATATCAGTGCAGGTCAGGTGCATGCATGTCTCCAAACCATAAACCGACTGAGCCACCCCGACCATCTCACAGGTTAGGTCAGAGAGATGACCGCCAGCACCCCACGTAATATCGATGAAGGAGGGACCCAAGGCATGCATGCGATCCATTCGGTCATAGAGGTTCTGTACACCCTGAGCGGTCTTGGGAGGGAAGAACTCAAAGGAGATGCTCGGCTCCCCCACAGCCTCCTTGCTCGCGAGCTTTTCTCGAATATGCATCGTGTCGCGTCAATCTACCCCGCGGTTTGTGTCAGCAGTCCAGTCTTGACAGAGACCAGTCAGGAAGGGCACAGAGGTATCGCCGCGTACAGATTCCTGAAAGAAAAAGAGACAAGAAACAGGTGTCTTACCAAGACTCAATGATCGAACGAATTGTTCGAAGCCTGTGGCACCTAAAGGTGTGCTAAATATGGGGCTGTTTTGCAGCGGGGCCTTCCGATCACCGGGATTCTCGACCAGTGTGCTGTAGCCCCCAAAAATGATGGCTTCTCACAGGCGAACGCCCAAAAAAGCCAACCCGAGGAAGGATTGTGAAAATGAAAGGGGGTTGTGGAGGCTCCGAGGGGGGAGTTGAGGGAAAAGAAAGATGAACGCTTTTTTGGGAGCGTTTGGAACTTTTGGCGGGGGAGGCCGGCGATCGGAGGCACGTGTTCTGCCCACTGAAGAAAGGGAATGGCTGGCACCAGAAGAGAGATAAGGAGCAATAGAACTACAAATGGACTGGCTATACGAGTCTACAAGTTCGTATCAGACTGCAATATCCTCATAGAAAGAATGGTGAAGATGGCATTGGGGATCACAATCTGCCCCTCTCCTGCCCCTCACTTTGGGAATTAAAAAAAGGCTCCGGGCCAAATTTCCTTTTGCGGCCGCCTCTCGCCCGCTACTTCTCGACCCATTTTGATCTTCAATTGTTCGCTGCTTTCTCGACATTCAGCCTCAACTTCTTTCTTGGCCACGCTCTTCCTCCCTCTTTTGATACCACTGGAGCGTTAGAATCGTCATCATGTCCGCTGCCACCATCCCTCCTCCCTCCGCCGATCAGGACTACAAGTCCACCCTACTGCCACTTCTGATCTCGAACAATGTCCTCTCTTTCGGTACTTACGTGCTGAAGTCCGGTCGCGAATCGCCTTACTTCTTCACCTCCTCCCTCCTGCACACTGCGCCTCTCCTGCGCGCCACTTCTGCCGCCTACGCGAGCGTTCTCTCTGCCGAGCCCTTCGTGACCACCGCCGCCGATGGCACCACCAAGCCCAACTTCGATATTATCTTCGGCCCCGCCTATAAGGGAATTCCCATCTGTGCCGCCGTCACAAACGAGCTCGCTGTTCGCGACTCGCTCTCTGGCTCGCCCAAGGGTACTTGGGACAACGTGAGCTACTCCTTCAACCGCAAGGAAGCCAAGGCACACGGCGAGGGTGGAAACATCGTCGGCGCTCCGCTGAAGGGTAAGCGGATTGTGATCGTCGACGATGTCATCACCGCCGGTACTGCACTGCGGGAGGCCGTTGGCATCATCCAGAAGGAGGGTGGCATTGTCGCCGGTGTTGTGGTCCTGCTGGACCGCGAGGAGCGGGTCAGTGATTCTGAACCCAAGAGCGCTATCGGAGTTGCCCAGCGGGACCTCGGCGGCAACATTCCCATTCGCTCGGTCATTGGTCTGCACGACTTGATCGAGAAATTGGGCGACAAGATTGGTGCCGCGGAAATCCAGCGGCTGAAGGACTACCGGGCTCGATACGGTGCGGAGTAAATTAGGCCGGAAATGAGAAACGATGTATGAGACTTTACAAAAACGAGGAGCTATCATACCAGGATAGCCTGGAGTTACTTCAATCTATTATACACTAAGACCTACGGTCTAACGCTATTTCGTTCTTTCTTCAGACATGCAAGCTACCTCTCTAGAGGCTACAATCGTCCTATATTTGGCCTCTGGGGATGAATGAATCGCAAGCAAAGCTTACCCACGAACAGGTAGGACGCGCCTCTGTCATCGGGGTTGCCAAACCCCGCCCCAATCGGGGCGTTGGGAACTCTATCGTTGTCTTGCCTTTCCACCGGTGTCTTGGTCTGTGTGAGAAACTTGGGTCATTTCTTCACCTATTTCAAGTAAATCATGACGCCACGAAGCCTATCTCTCCGGGTGTCTGAAGCACCCCTGGAGAACGTGTCGTACATGTCAGCCAAAGTCCCCGAGATCAACCATAATGTCTCGGACGAAGTCGATCTTACCGGCTATTCTAAGCTTGATCAAATCGTATCATGCAAGAACTTTGACTCCGGTGAGCATGAACACGAGTAATCCGGTAGATGAGTAGGCCAAAGTCACACAAAACACAACATATAGAGGTCCGTAGACCTCAAGCTAACGCCTCTGGCGTGTCCCGAAGATAGGGCAGGCGCTGTATACAAGGGGCTTGGAGAGAACCTGTCCCCTCGCCTAAGAAAAGAAGATCTGATCGCGCTCAGACCATATGTAGAGGGACCTTCTCAGGAAAGCGACGGTACAAGCAGCAGAATTTCACATCAAACATGCATGACCTCCACACTTCCGATGCTAAGGTTATGGCATGTAAAGGCTTTATATGGTTCTCTTCGACGGTTTGGGAATGATGGTTTTGTTTATTGACTGTGAGCAGACTTTATGGCTTGGAGACTCAAAATATACAGGGGAACGAGCCATTTCCAAAGGCTCCCAATTCCTACCCTCGACTATCGGGACTACCTGAATTTATATGTTGGCATCTCATTGGAGGGCTATGAACGTAAAGTTCGCCGCTTCCGACAGTCTCCCAGTGGCTGATTGTGTACCACAAAGCCTGTATACTATGGCACAAGCTTTGAATTTGGACCAGTCGTCAACGCGAGATATTGGTCTACTCCACCAATTTTTGGACGATAAATCCAATCGAATCCCAAAAATATGTGGAAAATATCGCCTCTCAACTTCGATCTCGACAGAAAATAGGGCGAGAATCAAATATCTGCCTAATGGACCATACGAAGCATTTTCAATATTGCGATGGAATCCACTGAGCATGGATGTATGTATCTTGCCAAATATGCGTATAATTAGGTACCAGGCGCATCTGAGCAGAATACCTTGACATTTTGTATTTGTTGTGCCGCATGTAGAGTACCATTATCTACTCTCCAATACACAAGCACTGCAGGACTCAACTCACATTCCAATTAAACATTTTATTAACGGGCCTGATTGCAGAAGGTTCTCTTGGGATACAGAGTGCAACAAAGTCGGGAAAATGTGATCGGCCTACCATGTTTCAAACTCAACAGGCCGTTGGTAATTTCTTCAACCGGTTATCGGAACGTAGCTTGCCTCTCGCATGCTTAGCCTGCTCTCTAGTGAGCAATCAGGAGAAGCCATTTGATCTTATACTATTAGAAGCAACTGCCCCGGTAGCAAAGCTCAAATCGGACAACGTGGCGCATGAGGAAATAGTTTTTATTGGTTTTTGCAAATACTCAAGTTCGTGCAGCTACGGCTGATGCAGCGAAGACAAGCTGATTCCCTGAATTTAGGATGACTAGGATACCGAAACACAGACCAATGGTAAATAATTGTAGATCTTGACTTCTAAGGAAGCTTTTCACAACAAGCCCGTTCCTAGTCAATTGTCCGAGCTTGTTGAAGATAACAGCATCGTCGCCGATAACTTAAGTTTGGAAAATCCGTTATTTTTGGCCAATTCCTATCGCCCAGTGGAATATCAAGAGGCAATTATCAGAGCTTTGGTTTAGTAATGCTACGCGGTAGGAGTCATCGAAGACAAGATAGAGGGACGAATATCCCAGTCACTGTGCTCCGCATTCCCTTGGGCGCCGATGCTACAGCAGTTGGAATGGCAATTTCAATCTATTTCGGAGGTCTGTAAATGGTAGCCCTTTAGACTGTAACCAAAAGGATTATTATACTCCTGAAGCATACTACAAGGATTGGACTCCTAAAGACTAACAATGGCTGGAATCATACTATATGCCACTCAATGGTAGTTGAGAACTCTCAAGAGCCCTCCACTCTCAATCCACGATATAGCGGCCGAAGTAGCATCTATAGGTATGCTGGATTAGCAACTTCTTCCTTGTTTCCTGCTCGTCGATGTTGAAATTCGACTGATCTTAAATCTCCGCTGCATGTACTGCACTTATCTATCTTGCCTATCTAGATCACCTCACCTCTTTACCTGCCATGGTGAGGTATTACGGTTCTCTGTGAGACATGCACTGCATGATATGCTCAATTCCCATTATCGAGACACCGGCTTTCCACTAAGGCCGCTCGTAATGCAAAAGACTATGGATGTTGCTGGGAGGCTTCGAGGAATACCGTCGTATCGTGGGACGGCCCCAAACTCCGCATCTAAGCACACAGTTCCTCAAGATAGCATCGGCCAACCATGACTGTTCATCGGCCCCGGGAAAGTTCCTGGTGTGTACCGAGCTCTTTGCCTCCTACAAACAGTTTTTTTCGATGTTCACCGTACCTTCCGGAGCTAGGCACCTCAGCCCCCATGTCACCTCTACTTTCAAAAGGGCGTGGAATATTTCGCCATTATACAGCTAACATAATCTGGGAGTAGTTAACACTTGGGACATAGTAAGTGGTGGAAATTTTGCCCTGTCACATCTCTTCTTATTTCTCGTACTCCGTCGATTCTCTTCTGGCTTTTTATTTCTATACAAAGTTTTCCACGCCATTTATTCTCTCTTTTTCACCTACTCTCTGCCTCAGTCAGCCTGGTCGACTGTCAAAATTTTTAATTGGGATCGACTCCGCTGGAGGTCCGCCATTGCACTCGGACATTCTCAGGCAGGACGCTTGGTTTTTTGATTCAAAGTGGCTGTTTCTTAAGTCGCTTTAGAGATATATTGCCTATTGACGGGTGAGTTTCCTTTCATTCCTAAGAAGCATCAAATCCCCGTGCAGATACGTCTTGAATTAACGTAATTGTCTGTTTTGCTCTTCTCTTGTCATCACCAACACCTCATGCATCCTCACCAAGTTCATAGCGATGTCAAAACTCCAAAAACTGACCACATGGCAGGGGATAACTCGATGTGAATATTAGCTTGCCCTTTTCTCATCTACAAAACTCATCGTTCTTGACATTTCACATGCTTTAAGCTTAAAAAAGATCCAGAGGATAGTTCACGCGGCGGAATTACCATGCATTGGAAGTGTGGAGGTGTAGTCCTCGTCCATCTCGCAGTGACAGGATTATGTTGGCCATACGATGAGTCTCTTACTTCCTACAATCTCAATGAAAACGAAAAAGCAACCAACCCTGCCGATTATTGGGGCGAATGGCCCAACCATACGTACTTCCCTTCCCCCGACAACTGGCGTTTTCCTATATATACTCTGTTTCTTGACCGTTTTGTTAACGGAGACCCCACCAATGACAATACCAACGGTACGCTATTGGAGCATGACTTAAACTCGAATCAGATGCGCCATGGTGGTGACGTGGTTGGTTTAGTGGACACCTTGGATTATTTGCAGGGGATGGGAATCAAGGTCTGCATGAACTTAGCATATGGTCCATGACTGCCATGTTTACTAACGCGTGACTTCTATTCAGGGTATTTATCTGGCTGGGACAGTCTTGATGAATCAACCATGGGGTTCCGATGGATACTCAGCCCTTGACACCACGCTGCTCGACCAGCACTTCGGAACAATTCAGACCTGGAGAGATGCTATTACCGAAATCCACAATCGAGGCATGTATGTGATTTTTGACAATACCGTTGCTACGTAAGTACATAATCGATTCTAGGTTTTACTTGAGAGCGGGGTATTGAGTTTCCAATCCAGCATGGGAGACCTGATCGGGTTTGAAGGTTATCTCAATACAACCACGCCGTTTTCACCATTAGAGCATAAAGCCCAGTGGAAGTCAGATCGCCGTTATGTTGATTTCCATTTCGGAAATGCCTACAACCAAACCTGTGAATATCCTCGCTTCTGGAATGAGACCGGCTTTCCCGTTGATGGGTATGTTGAAGAAGAGTTGAAAGGATGCTATAACAGTGATTTCGACCAATACGGCGATATTGAAGCATTCGGGGTTTATCCCGACTGGCAACGTGAACTAGCAAAGTTTGCCTCTGTTCAAGACCGTCTTCGCGAATGGGTACCTAGCGTCAGAGAACGTCTCATTAGACACTCATGCATCATTATTTCCTCTCTCGACATTGATGGTTTTCGATATGACAAAGCTACGCAGGCCACAGTCGATGCGCTAGGTGACATTTCTGGGGCCTATAGAGAATGTGCTCGGCATTTTGGCAAACCCAACTTTTTCTTGCCAGGGGAGATTACCGTTGGAAACACTCTAGGTTCGGTCTTTCTTGGCCGTGGCCGTCAGCCTGATATGCTTCCCAAGACATTAGACGAAGCCTTTCAGTTAACAAACTCATCAGACTCAACCTTCTTCCTTCGAGGTGAGAACCAACAAGCTATTGATGGCTCTGCTTTTCATTATTCAATCTACCGATCTCTCACTCGATTTTTGGGTATGGATGGAAACCTGGCAGCCGGCTACGATATCCCAGTCAACTGGACTGAAGCGTGGTACGAGATGGTCCTTACCAATGACTTAATCAACGCAAATAATGGAAAGTTTGACCCGCGTCATCTGTATGGTGTGACAAATCAGGATGTATTCCGCTGGCCGACTGTTGAAATGGGCATTGAGAGACATCTTCTCGGACTCTTCATCACAACGCTGCATTTACCAGGTATACCATTATTGCTATGGGGTGAAGAGCAGGCATTCTACATTCTTGATGCGACAGCTTCAAACTATATTTACGGTAGGCAAGCCATGTCACCAGCAACTGCATGGAAGACTCATGGTTGCTTTGAACTGATTTCGGAACAATATTTCAACTGGCCGATCAAATCCGGGCGATTAGGGTGTCACGATGAGACCGCCACATATGATCACCGGGATCCTTCCCATTTCATGCGAAATATCATCAAGCACATGTATCAGATGAGAGAGGACTTCCCTGCTCTCAATGATGGCTGGTGGATACAATTGCTGTCGAATCAGACCCACGATATCTACTACCCGGGCTCGAATGGTTTACCTACAGAGACAGGAATGTGGTCTGTCCTACGTAGTCCTTACTATCAAGGGCAGAACCTTGGAGAATCTGGAAACCAGACCATCTGGTTTGTCTATCAAAATGACAACAAGACGGTGACTTACGACTTTGACTGCTCCAATCCAGATGCAGCCCTTGTTGCTCCATTTGACACCAACACCACTGTGAAAAATCTCTTCTATCCACACGACGAACTTACTCTCAAAGACAGTGCAATAAGACTGCATCTCAATGGATCACAAGAACCAAATGGTTGTCTTGACAGCATCACGCTCCAACCTTATGGATTCAGGGCCTACGTTCCGAAAGAGAAATTTGTACCTCCCCGTCCGATGATCACGAAATTTACCCCTGGGCATGACATTCCTGTACGCTCTAAGGTCGCCCCTGGGCAACTTGAGAGTCTTGATATTGGCTTGTATTTCTCAACAGAGATGAACTGCACAATGGTCTCACAAGCAATCTCCTTCGAGTCATCAACCGAAACTGGGGTCATCCCGTCCATTGACTTGGGTACTGTCGACTGCGGGGCTATCGTTACTGACAAAGTGTCATATTCCGGTCAAATCCCAGCAACTTGGGCATGGACAGCCACTCTGACCAACGTGGAAAACGGAATCCACAGGCTCACTGTCCGGAATGCGACCAGCATCGATGGGCGTACCACCAATGCCATCGATCACTTTTTGATTAGGATCGGCCAACGTGATAACCCGATGATCTTCACCTCTGCCAATTATTCCACGAGCCTTCTTCATGAGCGGGAAGACGGTTCTCTGTATGTCCAGCAACATGCAGCTGGAGCAGATATGTATCGCTACTCGACTAACTGGGGCAGTTCATTCAGCGACTGGCTTCCATACTACGGAGGAAACCTGTCCATCAAAGAGCAACATTGGTCCGGGACGAAGAAACAGCGATGGAAGGGGAAACACGTCCGTGTCGAATACTGGAGCCGCCTCACAGGGAGTAGTGATTATTTCCAAGAGGGAGATGGTCCCGATTGGAACTCCAATGTCCCTCGTCGATTCCCTCATATGTTTTTCAATGGGCCTTTCAATGAATACGGGTATGATGCTGGTCTCCCAAATGTAGTGAAACAAGATAGCGACGGTCTATGGAAATTCCGCTTCATGGCGGAATGGCCCACTCAGGGTCAACTCAACGTTTGGGGTATTAATCCTGACGGCAAACCTGATCAGAGCTACATATTTGGGGATGCAGATGGCGACTCAGTTCTCGATCGTCTACCACCATCTTCTCGTACTGCGACGACGATAAATATTACTGAACATCCACCAGATCCACACTTGGCCTGGAGAATACACATCGATGATGCAACTCTACGATTCAAGTTGGTTCCAGCAGGCTCGAAATACGTGCAGATGGCCCTCTTCTTCCTGCTATGGATTGTTCCGGTGATTACGGCTACAACTTGTGCCTACATATTCAAGAAGACGTTCTACAGGATTAAGTTCAACCAGGTTGGTGTGACCGAAAAGAAGACCCTAATATCCCTTGATATTCTTAAGAGATTCAAGGCAGACGGTAATGGAGAGCCTCGAAGTCTAATTGCACGACTGGCGAACAAGTCAAGGTTCCTCCAAAGCACCTCTGCCTTTGGCAATCGCGCCTCCCACAAACGAAAGGTCCTCGTCGCGACCATGGAGTATGATATTGACGACTGGGGAATCAGAATCAAAATTGGCGGCTTGGGCGTCATGGCCCAGCTCATGAGCAAGCAACTTGGCCACCTAGATCTTATTTGGGTCATTCCATGCGTCGGGGGAATACAATACCCGGTTGACAGGCCCGCTGAATCGATGTTTGTCATGATTCTTGGGAACTCCTACGAAGTGAAGATTCAGTACCACGTTTTGAGAAATATTACCTATGTCCTTCTCGATGCGCCAGTATTTCGTCAACAGTCCGCCAAGGAACCCTATCCTGCTCGAATGGATGATCTCGATAGCGCGATCTATTATTCAGCTTGGAACCAGTGCATTGCCCAGGCACTGAAGCGGTTCCCGGTTGATTTATATCACATCAACGACTACCATGGCGCAATTGCGACTCTGTATCAATTACCTGAGACCATTCCAATCTGCCTTTCCCTTCATAACGCAGAATTCCAGGGCCTATGGCCGATGCGCACACAGAAAGAAAAGAGCGAGGTGTGCTCCGTCTTCAATCTCGATATGGAAGTTGCCGCGCGCTACGTTCAGTTCGGCGAAGTCTTCAATCTGCTTCACGCTGGTGCGAGCTACTTGCGTCTTCATCAGCAAGGCTTTGGCGCTGTTGGTGTATCCAAGAAATATGGCAAGAGATCCTATGCACGCTATCCTATCTTCTGGGGCCTGGGAAAAGTTGGAAACTTGCCAAATCCTGACCCCTCGGACACGGGGGAGTGGAATAAAGAGTTACCAAAAGAGAATGAAATTAGTGTCGATGGGGACTACGAAGTCCGGCGGGCCGAATTCAAGCGTCAAGCACAGGAATGGGCTGGTCTACAACAGATACCTAATGCCGATCTCATGGTGTTCGTGGGCAGATGGTCTATGCAAAAGGGCATTGATCTGATTGCAGATGTCATGCCTAGCGTTCTCGAATCTCGACTTAATGTCCAGTTAATCTGTGTGGGACCCGTTATCGATCTATACGGAAAGTTTGCAGCATTAAAGCTGGAACGCATGATGAAGCTCTATCCAGGGCGCGTGTTCTCACGTTCACAATTCACGGTCTTACCCCCATTCATCTTTTCCGGTGTAGAATTTGCGTTGATTCCATCTCGCGACGAACCGTTTGGTCTTGTTGCGGTTGAGTTCGGTCGCAAAGGTGCTCTCGGTATCGGTGCTCGAGTAGGTGGACTTGGACAGATGCCCGGATGGTGGTATACGGTTGAGTCAACGACGACATCTCACCTTCTCAAGCAGTTCAAACATGCTATTGACAGTGCTTTGAGTTCTAAACCTGAGACCAGGGCCATGATGCGTGCGAGGTCAGCTAAACAGCGCTTCCCTGTGGCCCAATGGATCGAAGACCTGGAAATTCTCCAGTCGACGGCGATTCGGGTTCATGACAAGGAACGGGCAAAGACTCAGGCGCAATCAAATGCCGTTCCCTCTACATATAACGCTATCTATGGAATGATGACACCACAGGCTGCTGGGTCTGGTAGGTCTGGCGCGTCGAGTGGTACCTTAACTCCACTGCCACGGTCATCCAGTCGCCCAGAGACGATGGCCTCTTTGCAACGAAGCTCTATCATCTACAGCCGTGACCCAAGTCCCGGAGAAGGGAGGCCAAAGTCAGGTCTCAGTCGGCATCTTTCATTTGGTATGAGTGTCGGCCCACGACCACTCTCGGCTCCTTTGGAAAGTCGTGGACGCAGAGACCATGGGAAAGCAAGTGTGATGGAGACAGAGGAAATGCAGAATGGAGGATCACCGGACACCGAAGATGAAAGCGACGATGAGATGATGTCCACTTGCTACGGCGATGAGGAATATCCGATGGCAGGTGACTCTACTGAAAGAGGACGCCGGATGGAAAGTTCCTCCCAAGCTCCTCTATCTCCCGGAATATTTCTTCCCAAGGAGCTTCTTTCAGCCCGGCATTCAAGTCAGGGCTCTGTTCTCGGTCGATCCATCGGCAGTCCTTCTAGCTCGACCGCACCCAGTATAATAGGAAGCGAAGACACTCTTCTGCCTCCATCAAGACCTTGGGCAGAGGCTGGAAATCGGCTGAGTAACGCTTCAGTGCTATCTGTGGACTCTGTCGTCGGAGACAAGAAAGATTATAAACTGCAAAAAGTCGACCCGTTCTTCACAGACAGCAATGGAGAATACTACAGAGCCTTCGAAAAGAAACTCGAAGACTTGAATGGCTCAAACTCCGACTCTCAGCTCTGTATTGAGCAGTTCCTCGAAAAAAGCGAGAAGAAATGGTTTGATCGATTCCGAGATGCGCGTCTTGGCCGCAATCAATCTCCAGCCCCTTCAATGCAGACTGGGAAAGGAGGAGGAAGAGGTTCCCCTCCGGATTCCATCACCAACGACGATACAACGTCCCACGAGAGCGGTGGACCGGAGAGAAAGGCAGACGATGAATTCCACCTTGGAGATGACTACGTGCCGCCTACTGGTTTGAAGAAGTGGATGCAGATGCGTATTGGTGACTGGCCCGTTTACTCCTTATTCCTCGGTCTCGGCCAGATTATTGCTGCCAATTCCTACCAAATTACCCTTTTGACAGGAGAAGTTGGCCAAAGCGAGGCAAAATTGTATGGTATTGCCACAGTATACTTGATAACGTCAATCCTGTGGTGGCTTTTCTTCCGTTTCTGCAAGTCCATCCTGGTTCTCACAGTTCCATGGTTCTTATACGGAACTGCATTCTTGATCATTGGCGTTGCTCACTTCGAGCCTAACTCCTTCACCCGGGGCTGGATACAAAATATCGGCAGTGGTGTCTATGCTGCAGCCTCATCCAGCGGTTCGATCTTCTTTGCGCTCAACTTCGGCGACGAAAGCGGCGCCCCAGTTAAGAAATGGGTGTTCCGTGCCTGTTTGATTCAGGGCACGCAGCAGGCCTACGTGATAGCTCTCTGGTACTGGGGCTCCACGTTGACGAAAGCCTCCAACGCTGGGATTCTGGACGCACAGGGCAATATCACAAATACGTGGAGAATGACAGCCATCTGTACACCGATCACTACCTTCCTGTGGGGCATCGGTCTGCTGGTTTATTTCGGCTTGCCGAACTATTACCGGCAGACTCCTGGCAAGGTTCCGTCATTCTACAAATCAGTCTTCCGGCGCAAGATCGTGCTGTGGAATTGGGTGGTCGTCATTCTCCAAAACTTCTTTTTGAGTGCTCCCTATGGTCGTAACTGGAACTGTATGAATGCATGCGGCCGCTCTATACAAAGTCTCTCTGCTAACCCGCTTCCCTTTTAGTCTTTTGGATCTCCAACCATGCCAAGCCATGGCAGATCCTTTGCCTTTGCGTCGTCTTCTTCGGATTTGTCTGGATAGCTATTCTCTTGCTACTTGCCTGGGTATCCAAATCACACAGTTGGATCTTACCTATCGTGGCCTGTGGACTTGGGGCGCCCCGATGGGCACAAATATGGTGGGGAACATCAGGGTCCGGCCTTTTCCTTCCATGGGCAGGGAGCTATGTCTCCGGGGCACTGGTCTCACGAAGTCTCTGGCTATGGCTCGGCGTGATGGATGCCTTACAGGGTCTCGGCTTTGGCATGATCCTCTTGCAGACCCTCACCCGTATGCATATCTGTTTCACACTACTTGTATCGCAGGTCATCGGTTCTCTTGCGACCATTTGTGCAAGAGCATTTGCGCCGAATAGGATTGGGCCCGGGCCTATATCACCGGATATCACGGCTGGAGCTGGTGCACTGGCTAATGCATGGTTCTGGATTGCCTTGATCTTCCAATTGATGATATGGTAAGTTACTGATCCTCTGGAGCAATTCAATCCTGCTTTTAATGGTCTTGTTGCTAATGATTCCTTTTGATTCTAATAGTGGTGGCTTCCTTCTCTTCTTCCGGCGTGAGCAACTTTCCAAACCTTAGCTGTCATGGAAGGAAACGGGCAAGGCTACACAGTGTGGTTGAACAGGATTTTTGTTGTTGTTCGTGTTGTTTTTGTAATCTCTTACTTCAAGCCTTATTTGTCTGGCTATTCTCTATTTCGATAGTATCTAATGTAATGGCATTTTCTCTCATGTGCAATTCTTAGATATTGGCTCTACAAGAATGTACTGAAGAGAAATCCATGGAAGCCTTATTTTGAGATTCATAATTCATTCTCATTGAGATTCGTAGGTTATTAAAGCAAGCCAATAGTCCGAAGATAATCAAGCCCCGAGAGATGCAGAGCGACAAGTTAAATAACATTGGGGGATATTGTTTTTTAAACCCAAGGAAACAACCAAAATGGAGGACTATAGCACTCATTACTATATCCAATGCGATCCTCCGCAGCGCCAAACCAGGCAGTAAGCAATCCACTTTTACCACTCGAGGGGTTCGCCCTTGACGTCACCGCGGTTAGTCTTAGGCACAGGAGTGGCCTCGATCTTGGTAGCACCACCGTTTCCACGGCGGAGATAGCCGCTGCCATCCAACCAGGGGGTCTGCAGGCTTCGCCTAGCTTCGAAGTTCCGAATCTTAGACTCCATCTGGAGAGTCAGGCCAATGTCATCCAGGCCGTTCACAAGGCAGTGCCTGCGGAAGCCATCAACATCAAAGGAGACGATCTTGTTGCCTTCGGCGTCCTTGATCTCCTGGTTGACAAGGTCAACTTCGAGCTCGCGACCAGCGCGGGCCTCGTCCGCAATCTTCTTCAGAGCAACCTCATCCGAAACAACGACGGGGAGCATGCCGTTCTTGAAGGTGTTGTTGAAGAAGATGTCAGCGAAGGATGGGGCGATAATGCACTTGATGCCAAAGTCCAGCAGGGCCCAGGGGGCGTGCTCGCGGGAGCTACCGCAGCCGAAGTTGGGACCAGTCACGACCAGAATCTTGGAGTTCCGGTAGATGCCCTGGTTCAGGACGAAGTCAGGGTTCTCCTGGCCGTCGGGGTTGTAACGGAGCTCATAGAAGGCAGCAGATCCCAAACCGGTACGCTTGATGGTCTTCAGGAACTGCTTGGGGATAATTGCGTCGGTATCAACGTTGGCACGGTCAAGGGGAGCGGCTGTGCCCTTGAGGACGGTGAACTTGGGGAGACCAGCGCTGCTACCACCAGCGGAGGTGTTGGTGTGGGGCTCGTTATCAGCGGGCAGGTCCAGAACACGGTCCAGCTCGTCCTCAGTCTGGGGGGACTCAGCCTCGGGCTGAATGTCAACCTGGGGCTGGACCTTGGCAAGGACAGGGCTGGAAACCACATGCTCACGAATATCGGCGAGCTTGCCAACAATAGCGGCAGCGGCGGCCATGGCAGGGGACATCAGATGAGTACGACCCTGTGCACCCTGGCGACCCTCGAAGTTACGGTTGGAAGTACTGGCGCAGCGCTCCTTGGGGGAGAGAATGTCTGGGTTCATACCAAGGCACATGGAGCAACCAGCCTCACGCCACTCAAATCCGGCATCAGAGAAGATCTTGTCGAGACCCTCAGCCTCTGCCTGTTCCTTGACCAAACCAGATCCGGGGACAATCATAGCACGCTTGATGTTGGCGGCGATCTTCTTGCCGTTAACAACCTTGGCCGCCGCACGCAGATCCTCAATACGAGAGTTGGTGCAGGATCCAATGAAGACCTTGTCCACAACGATATCTTTCATGGGGGTACCGGCAGTAAGACCCATGTACTCGAGGGCTCGCTTGCAAGAGGCCTTGCGGTTCTCATCCTCAAAGTCATCAGGGCCAGGGACGACACCAGTGATGGGGACGACATCCTGAGGAGAGGTACCCCAGGAGATGGTAGGAATGATGTCCTTGCCATTGAGGAAGACATCAATGTCGTACTTGGCGTCGTCGTCCGATTTCAGAGAGGACCAGTAGTTGACGGCCTTGTTCCACTCGGCGCTGCCGTACTTGGGAGCAAGGGGACGGCCCTTCAGGTACTCGAAGGTAATCGCATCCGGAGCAATCATACCGGCACGGGCACCGCCCTCAATAGACATGTTGCACATAGACATGCGGGCTTCCATGCTGAGCCCACGGATGACAGATCCGCAGAACTCAATGACAGCACCAGTACCACCAGCGGTACCAATAACACCAATAATGTGGAGAACAACGTCCTTGGATGTCACACCAGGAGCGAGCTCGCCATCGACCTGGACACGCATGTTCTTGCTTCGGCGAGTCAAGAGGGTCTGGGTGGCGAGGACGTGCTCGACTTCACTAGTTCCAATACCAAAGGCCAGGGAGCCGAAGGCACCGTGGGTCGAGGTGTGGCTGTCACCGCAAACAACGGTCGTTCCGGGTAGGGTGAAGCCCTGTTCGGGGCCGATAACGTGGACAATACCCTGACGCTTGTCGCCCATGCCGAAGTAGGTGAGACCAAAGTCCTTGACATTCTCCTCGAGAGTTGTGCATTGGAGACGGGAATCGCTCTCCTTGATGAATTCGGAGGCGTTCTTGAAGTTCTTCCGGGAGCTGGTAGGGATGTTCTACAGAAGAGTGAATTGATCAGCGCATGTTCGTCTACTAGTCAAACAAGTTGTGCGCCTTGAGACTTACGTGGTCAACGGTCACCAGAGTGCAATCCGGCCGGCGGACCTTCCGGCTGGCATTCTTCAGGCCCTCGAAAGCTTGAGGTGAGGTCACCTCGTGGACCAGATGCCGGTCTGTATTTGGGAATTAGCGGAATTGCGGGCAGCTCGTCGGAAATTCGGCCTGCATACCGATATACAGCAGACAGGTGCCATCATCTTGCTGGTTGACAATATGGTCGTCGAAGACCTTGTCGTACAAGGTCCTCGGTTTCGTCTCTGCGGAGGGCATATTGTATGAATGAAGTATGCAATTAGCAAAGCTCGTGCAGCCCTTGTTGAGGAGGTATGGGAAAGCAGAAGCCAGGACTTATATTTTGCAGCGCGCGCGATGTCGCTGGGGAGCTTCTCGAGGGGCAACGCCGACTTCGGTCGGTCAGCGCTGAATGTCTTGGCTCTGATTGGTTGGGGTGGCGAAAGAGGTGGGCGCCGATATCGGGTGGGCCAGAAAAATGCGACGGCGGCTACTGGCGCTTGCGGGCGGCTCTGCGCGTCTCCAATTTTTAGATTCTTAGTTTTATTAAAGTGTTATATAAAGACTCTAGAGACTTTAGCATTTTCTTGTGAGTGAACAAACACTACCCTCTTAGAGACTCTATCAGCAGTCAATCTCAGGGTCGATAAGACCTGCACAATGTCCCCGTCTTCACCGACTCTCGGAAGTACGGTAACTACGGAAGTACGGTCACTGCGACAGTACTTATGAACATGACGTAGGCCGACCGACTCCGGGGGTGACTCAGGCAATAATTGGCCGCTAATTGGCCAAGACCGCCGGGGTCCGGTCGAGGCCCGCCCTCTGGAATGACTGTGCCTCGGGCTGTGTAAGTTAGGAGGCGGGGTGTGCAACCTGGCTTTGGCCTCCTTTGATGCAATTTCGATTCACCAAGGTGTGATCCGCATCAAATGAATCCCGTACTGTACGAAATTGACTATGTTAGTTAAGAACTCTGACTGGCAGGTCTGTGTCTTCACCCTGTCTATGCTCCCTTATAGCTGACTAAGCACTCATTGTTGCTCAGTGACCAGCTCTCCCCCTGCACGCGAGATCCAACCCGGCGTGGCCCAAACAACCAATATTATATTTCTTGGCCTTTTCACGTCAAAAAGGTGCAGTGATCTGCTCTTGAGCGCTACGTCCTTGGAGACTATCAGGCAGGCTGTTTGTGGAGTTTCTCGCCGGATAGAGACACATGAACGTGTATACTGTAGTCAAGTTGCATGATACCGTAACAACGCAAAATAAATTCTTTGCGATGGGAAATATGTCATTCAGGATGGAAGATTGGATCATGGAATATCCTTCTATTGCAGCGATGCTGGAGATTGAAGGGGATACTGTTTGTTTATGAAAGCAATAGTGACAATCATCGAGGTTTCAAATACAGTCATTAACAAATAACAAGGCATTGTACATTCAGCATTGCCTCGACAAAGAACTCTCCAGAGGTGCTGTTGATGGCTACGCATCAGATGTGACAGTTACTTTTTCAAAGGAAAACAGAGGGGGTTATTCCATCCGGGTTGCCTCACGCGGCGTAACTGAAGATATAACTGTCTAGGCATAGAATGTCGCCTGTGGAGCCCTTTTGGTCTAACGGTGTTGCACCCCGTATTTTGCGACATCTCTTTGTGTCTCGACCGTGTTCTGAAAAAGGCTGCCTCAGACATTGACTTCTCTTCAATGCCATTGGCCCATGATATCTTGTGGAGGAGTGTGTTGGGGAAGAGAGATTCCACAGCTAAGTGAAGCTGCTCGCCTCAGTGGAACTATTTACGGAACGCACAACTATTTGGCTTGTAAACAGGTGCATTGAATTATTGGAAATGCCATAGGCAGCAGGATATGAAGCCTATACCAGAGTTTTACCTGTTTTGGAACGATGGAGGGAAATGCGAGGTGCGAATACGAGGCTGACTGGAGAAGCTTATTGGTTTGTTGGCATCCACTTCCAATTGCCATAGTTCTTGGTGATAGATTTGAGCAATATGCTACTGAAATAGAGAAAAGATATAAAGATTCCATGCTTTGGGACTGAAATATTCTTTCAAACAACATCTCATTATCTACTCACTTCCAATCGAGCAATCATATTGCATACTACACATCTTGCCTGAAAAATAAGTGTTTTCCTTTTCAAAACATGGGCCAATCTATATACTTCTATGATCCGTCTCTGGCGGCGTCCATTATATTCACCATCCTTTACCTCCTCGCTTTTATTTACCACCTACACATGTCTGTGATTGCACCTTGCACAGGGAAATTCAGTCGAACAGGATACTTTGTTCCCGTCATGATCGGTGCAGCAATTGAAGTCGGAGCATACGCCATCCGAGCTGGCAGCGTCAAGAAACCAGATAACATCGCGTTATACGCGACTTCAGCCACACTAATTGTCATTGCCCCGGTGCTGGTCTGTGCCAGCCTGTATATCTTGATTGGGCGGTTGATCCGGTCTACGGGCAAGTTGCCCTTATTGTTGTTTGGGAAGGTCTCTCCCGCCTGGATTCCTCGGATCTTCGTTGCGTCGGATATTCTGAGCTTTCTCACGCAGGCCTCTGGGAGTGGAATTGCGTCTTCGAATAACTGGGAAGGGACCCAGAAGAATACCGGTGTTGGCGTTCTTATTGGCGGGTTGGCTTTGCAGCTGGTGACTTTCGCGCTCTTTCTTCTTATCGTCATTTGGTTTGACATAAAGTCGAAACCGTCTCCACAAGGTGACAGTATGGAACGCGGGGTGAGATTGGTCTTGAATGGGATTTATGTCGCGGGCTTTTTTATGATGGTCAGTGGTTTCTACAGGTGAATTTACAATGACTTAGAACTTGACTTACTCGTCCTTAGGTCCGTCTAATTTATCGAGTCATTGAATTCTCCATGGGCATGAACACTTATACTTGGACTCACGAATGGCCGCTTTACGTCCTAGAAGCAGTTCCAATGTTTATTGCCCTGGTGACCTTGGGGTGGTATCATCCTGCTCGATGGCTTCCTCTCGGCCTTCGTGCAATACGAGAGACAATGCCTTCTGGAAGTGATAGCATGCCCATTCCGCTATGTTAGACGGGTCTGAGCCATAAAGCCCCTGAGCCGTGGAGGTCTTGGAGGCTTTTGAGGCCAACTCTCCATTTTCTCTCTCTTTGTCTCTATCTTTGATTTTGTCTATTGTGGCGGACGTCACGCAACTGTCTATTTCACCATTGTTCTCCCTGTTCATATCTGATCCAGCTTTGCCCTGGTTAGATAACATAGACACTCCATTGACATTTTCCGTTCTCTGTCCAGTATACCCTATAACTGCTCATGAACTTTATCCAAGTTCCCAAGTGAACTACGTATGGCTCCACCCGAGGCAATATAAGTTGCCTGCCACTCCACCAGCTCGCGCATATTCAAAGGCAGACTTTGGTATATAGCAACACCCCATTGACAAGGAGTAAGGTCGGCCATTGGGTTCTTTAGCATCGATGGCCGCAGTATACAGAAAACTGGCCACATCATAACTGTTATCGCAACGAAATGAAGGAGCAGCAGTCGTGAGACGTGGTTTCCGGGATCTAGGAGCTCCATGAACTGCTGATTATCCATTCGTCCCCAGCTATTGTATACTTCGCTCAGCGCAACAAATCCTGTTCGAACAGAGAGTTGCAATCCCCTATATACGTTCAGGATAGCCTGGTAGGTTATCATGTGACTGCTAGTTTGGAGCAGTGGTTGGATACCTTCGAGGGTCAGAATGCAAATATCCAGCATCTCCCCATCGCAGCATGTAGTCAGTGGGAGACGAGGCAGGACACGAGCATAGATAGCTTCCGTCGTAAGCGAGTCAAACATTTCGCTCCCTTTGTAGATATTCAGGATACGCAAAGTTATGATTGTGCAGCCTCGAACCATGACGACGAAATCGACAAGCCCGTCTTCCATGTAGTTAGACTGGAATGTAAGGGCGTAAGTAGTGGCTAACAATAAATCTAGCTCGGTTCTGGTGCACTGGTCGCTTGTTGCGAGTGCTTCGCCTAGTGCTTTAAGCGCCTTGCCTCTATGTGCTATGGCCATAGGCGTATATATAGCCCCATTCTGTGTGATTCGGGACAGGTGAGAAGCTCCCAGGCAGAGAATTGCATGCATCAGATGTCGACACTGTACTCAGTTGGTTGGCATACACACGTTACTATTTCAAGAAACAGAGTCAAGTAAACAAATGGGAAGTTTACCTCGTGCGCATATGCCGGCAGAGACGTCTTCCATATGTCTTCGCTCCCAAAAGGGAGATGCGGGTATGCGGTGATCAAGAAGTGATGTAAGAACCGCAGGTCGGCTGCCGAAAATGTATCTGAGAAATTGTATGACAGGTTTTTCCAACCTGTTAGTGGTGATGCAGTGAATACGCCAGTGATGGGTTCATGGGCCCATTCCTGTCGTTCAGGTGGTCCTTCAGTTGGAACGGGTCGACGACGGCGAAAGAGCTGGTCTTTCGATGGATAGACACACGCCATGTTTCGTCCTACGCAGTTTGAACACGGGTGAGGCTGTGTTTCTTGACACTGGGGATATGTCAGCAAACAATTTCTGCACACAGTTGCCGATAGGTGGACGGGTCCAACCTTGACTCTTCTGGCCTTGCAGTTGAGACAACCTTGGCGTGACTTTGTATGCGGTCGCTTTTTCGTTCTAGCTGGTCTAGTCTCCATTGGTATTTTGGGTCCTATTTCTGAGTCTGATGATCCATTTTGTGGTATGCCCTCATCAAGTCGTTGAGGCAACGGACTCATGGTGACACCAAAAGGCTGTCCCAGGTCCTGAAATACACCAGGAATCCAACTCTCGAGTTCCATCCTCGCTCCCTATAGTGGATAAATTTATTCCTCCTGGTGATCGATGATGGGCCACAATCCAAATGTGAAAAAAACTGGAGTTTGGATAGTAGGTTGAAGATGATGATGGATGGTAGGCAACCAAATAATCACGGCGAAGGCGGCGAGAGCGCACAACTCTAACATGCTGAGCTTTCTATTTTTAGCGCCGCACCTACCAAATTGTCAAAAGTATGGAAAATTGAGAGGATAAGGGTTTGATATACTTCCTAATAGCGGAGACTCCCAATAAAATTGATTGATTGATTGAAATGCGTTCAAATCGTTGTGTAAACCTGGTCGCTTGCCGCTACGCCGGGCACATCATAGTACGCGGTCCTTGCTAAATGGAAGGTTTGAGGGAGAGTGTCGACGACTAGGCTCAGTATTTCTTCAGAGAGCCCAAAATTGCACTAACATGGACATATTACGCCAAGGGACTGGTCGGTCGCCTACATTTGCGCTCATAGCGATTGCCGACGTGAAGGACTCTTTCTGCATTCGATTTCATGGGATTATGCTGGGCAATAAGAAGTAATACGCCAAGTCCAGCAAGTTAGTACAACGTCGCAGGCATGCCTAGTACATCCTCAAACCACTGCTCATTTCCCAGGTCCATCGATTGCATCCAGGTCATCTGATCAAGATCAGGCACATGGTAATCGTGAGAGTTGGTGTCAGGATTGACACTCTGAGACATCCTGGTCTCCGTATCTTGTACCTGAGAAGTAATGTGCCATTGGGCTTGAGCCCACATGCGACTTCTGCTCAAAAGCTTCGACAAATACTTCAGCAGATGGTCGTTGCACTGAAGTTCCGGCTCCTTGCCACTCAATTCAATTCTCTGCAGCATGGACTCGATGGCTGTTATGAGATTGACTGTGTTGCGCACCACTTGGCAGTCCCATTCTGGGTCTTTCAGGGTTGAGAGGTATTTCAAGAGTGTGATACTCAGAATCATTTGCGACCAGAAATGAAAAGGTTGGCCGACAAGTTTCGAGCAGGGGATTCTGTAGAAATTCTTCAGCCATGAGTTGATATTCTCAACTGACAGCCATAAACACTCGAGACGTTCGAGTCCCAAGTTGACCACTCCTTCATTCTCTCGTTCAGGTGGGTGCAGAGAAAGTGAGTCTGTATTGATCGAATACGCTAGGTGATTAATGTATATTTCAACGTATTGTGCGTGTGTATTAAGAATGTCTGCATGAGAAACCGGAGGAGAACCCCGGTAAAATTGAAAAGAAATTAGTTATCTGGCAAACGAGATACTTCAGCAGTTCCTCGCCTGTGAATGTACTTACCAATATGGGGAGTCTCTGACCGGAATGAAGCGCGAAGCTCTTCTAATTTTCTTCGCAGAGTTTTGATATAGAATAAACGAGGCGCTGATGCCAAGGGAGTTGCACCCGTGGAAAGGTAATCTGCTTCGTCTTGACGCCGGATATCCTCCGCTCTTTGCTTTAACAACTGTAAGCGGACTTGAGAGATGAATAAATCATCTGAGGCGCATGATTCATTCGTGGCAATTAGTTGAAGCGCCTTCTCCATTTGCGGCGTCCATCGTAAAGCATCTTGGCGCCCGAGATGGGACGAGACACTGAGATAGTCAAATTTTAGTAACGCTGAGCCCCGGGCACAGGACCCCAGTCAAGTTTGACAGAAACGTACTTTGAGCTTAGCATAAAACATGCCAGTACTGCTCGCTGTCTTTCCAATAGCTCATAGGGCGTTTCATTAACGGAGCTCCCGCTATTGTCATCAGCCCTCCCCTGGGTGATCATCATCATAAATTCGACGTCTGTTGATGAGGGCTTGAACAATCTCAAGTCATACACAAGTGAGACGGCGAGCATCATGAGTCGCGAGAGGAGGTCTGCTCTGCCGAGAAAAGCATCCGTGCTCCATGCTAGATACGTCAATAGTCCCAGCAACAGGTCAATATTTGACTTGACTTCGAGCAGAGCAGATGTGAACAAGACGCGCTTCAACTCTTCGATTTGAGCCAGCCTTGCTTGTGTTGAGAAGGTGGTCACGGTATGGATGGCTTGCAATAGGAAAGGTCTATTATGCCGCAGATACCAGCTTGTCATATCCGGGGTCAAGTCGATGAAAGGAAAAAATGGCAGCATGCGGGATCGGAAAAAATTTAGTCGTTCGTCTGCCTGTATCAGTGATGGAGTATTGGGAGATAGTGGGTACTGATGAGGCAGTAGCAATGCATTTGGGGGCGACGAGACTATCGCAATGGAGCCCGCTGCGGATGTTAACCCATCGCTCAATGCAAGGTTCGTGTCTGTCGGGTTGACTAGAGTACTATTTGAATGGGACGTGATCGAAGGAGCGCTGCCATGTTCATTCATCGGTTTAATGACGTTGACAGCAGGTCCAGTCTCACCCCTAGCACCGATGAATGATTGCATGGCGGATAACAAGCTCTCCATCTTATCTTCCAGCCGAGAGATCCGCATATCGGACGCCTCAGCTGCGGCTGTCTGCGCATTGCGCCTGCGAACCGATTCCGATGGCTCACAGGCTTTTCTGAGACGGATACATCTGTAGGCCAATCAGTCGAGCCTTGTGAGTCGAGAAATCAGATAAGTCACTTATCGACCTTTCACAATCATTGCCATTGGCCGTACGCACACAGCGGCATTTTGCCTTGTAGCACTGCGTGCAAGCTTGGCCATAGGTGCTATCTTGGGCTGCTTTCGATCTCTCCATCGTATTGACTGTTTGTGGACTTCCAGAACTAGGCTAGACAGACCGAATACTTTCGATTCATGACTGGTGGTCAGATGGAGGCAGGTGGGAGATCTCCGTCTTCCAGCGCGGTGTTGATCCCCCGGAGAGAGCCCCGACACTCCGATCTAACATATTTCCGAGCGGAGGTGACTGAACGGATTTCCCTCTCCGAAGTCCGGTTCCATTCTAACTGCTGAGAATCATCGGCATGGCCGAATACGTGGGCGTCCTTTTGCATTGCCTTTTCCAAGTAAGTCCTGTTATCTGTCACTATGACAGCCATTATAGGCCATTTGCCGTTGATGTTTTGTCCTTACCGTGAAATTCTGTCCACCAAATCCGTGTACTGCGCCCGCCGACAGTTAACATTCAAGCCCCTGCGCCTCTCGAAGCTTTAATCACAATGCTGGCTATACATAAAGCTGTTCTTCGTTCTACAGGGGAGCAAAGTGTTCCTTTGATCTCAAATGATACACAACTAGGTACTTCCCCTTGTTAGATCCAGCACCAGACTCCCACTCTTTCACAGCAATGCCTCCTCAAAACCAGGCGGCATGGATTCCTGCCAAGAAGGTCATTCCCTTCAAAGTTGGCGATGCGCCCTATACGCCTCCCGGTCCTGGCCAGGTCGTGGTCAAGAATGGCGCCGTGGCTATTAACCCTTTCGACTGGGTGTTGCAATTCATCGGTCCAGCGCTCGCTGGATATATCGAGTACCCTTTCATCTTTGGTACTGACGTTGCCGGCGAAGTGGTTGAGGTTGGCCCCAATGTGGAGCGCTTCCACGTTGGCGACCGAGTCTTCGGCAGTTCTACGGCGCTGGCTAAAGAGGTCAACAACCCGGCCGAGGGAGGTTTCCAGCTCTACACCGTGATGAGACAACATATGCTTTCGCCCACCCCTTCTCACATTACCGATGAACAAGCCTGTGTCTTAGGGCTCAGTCTTGGGACTGCAGCATACGGCCTATTCCACCCAGACTATCTTGGCCTCGACATGCCTCAGATCCCCGCACCTACAAATGCTATGGGCAAGACGGGCAAACCACGTACTGTTATAATCACTGGCGGTGCGTCGAGTGTTGGGAGCAATGCTGTGCAGCTTGCCGTGTCTGCCGGTTACCAAGTCTTGTCCACCTCGTCGGCCAAAAATTTCGAATACGTCAAGGGCCTCGGTGCTACCCATGTCTTCGACTACAGAAGCAAAACGCTGGTCAGAGATATCCTCGGTGTTCTTGAGGGTCACGAGCTTGTGGGTGCCTACACAATTGGCCATGGCTCAGTCGAAGCATGCACTGCTGTCATGAAGAAATATGATCCTAAGCTCACCAGAAAGCGCATCGCCGTGGCTGGTGCTATCATCCCTGCCGAGAAGCTTACTTCCTTCGTCGGGAAGGGCACGTTCTTGATGGGCATGGTAGGCGGCATGATCAAGTCGACTGGGACGCGCCTCATCACTGGAGTTGAGGCCAAATTCATCCTTGTCAACGGTCTGGTCGACCCGAAGAGTGTCGTTGCTCGTATCTATATGGATTTCCTGCCGTATGCGCTGGAGCAAGGCCAATTTGTCCCAGCTCCTCCGCCGCAGGTTGTCGGCAAGGGTCTGGACAAGATCCAAGAGGCTTTGGATCTCCAGAGGAAAGGCGTCTCGGGAAAGAAGCTTGTAGTGACGATATAGTTGAGTGTCAAACAACAGTTGGAAGAAGCCCTCGCTTTAGTAAGAACAGGATGTCAGTTTGAGGATTCTCGCAGCATATTCGCAACATATTCGATATCTAATTTTGAACACATGCCATGTGCATAACGACAACTTGCCCTGCTATTTCACATTGATTCCTTTATCAATTTGCCATTGTTGGGAGGAAGCAAGTTGCACACCTCATAGAGCAAGGAATTCGAACGGGGATTCAGCTACAGTATGCGAGTCGCTTTCTGCTCGTCATATATTCATTATGAGCATTTCGCAACTCGAGAAAAGATTGATATCAAAGATTCTATGGCTATTCAACTAGAGCCCATCTCGTATTCAAGGCCAATTCCAACAGGTTTAACGGGAAATGACTCTTGCCGGTACAACACAAATCAATGAAATACTACCCCGTCGGTAGAGAGGCAGAAGTAAGAGCAAGCAACACTACGAACACACTCAGAACAACTCCCAGCTACTAGTGCGGTTCACTCGTTTACGCTTCACTCACCCCTCCCTCCTGTCTCGCCGATTCTTTCCCAGGTTTGTCCGGAGACTCCTTAGTAATGGCCTGAAGGTCCTTCACTTTCCGAATGTCCTTCCATCCAAGGCCGGGAGCGAAGACCAGGACAGCTACACTGACAGCGATACCGAGATACATGACATGATCGACGCTCTTGGCGTAGGCAGCAAGGACTGTAGTCAGCTGAGAGCCGGAAACCAGGTTGCGAATGGATCGTACACCAGCATCAACAATAATATCTGGGGAGAGACGTATTTCAGTAACGTGCTGCTGGAGCTCATGACGAAGAGTATTGCTGAATATGGCGTTTGCTGCAATCAAAGAAGTTGACGCTCCAATATTTTGCCAGAAAATGACAATAGACATAGCGAGAGAAATCTGCTCTGCGGGCACGAGGTTTTGTATGGCGATGTAGGGCTACAGAGAAGGCGTGATTAGCGGATGAAACCATACCTTGCGACGTATCAGACTTACAGCAGCCGCCATGCAACCGCCCGCAACACCGTACAGAATCTGATACCCAATCCATTTTGCCGCCGAGGTCGAGGAACTGAGTGTTGATAGGAATCCGTAGGCCACAGCTGAAATTGCGCCTCCTGCAAGCAAGAACGGAAGATAGTATCCCAGAACGGAGACTTTGTCGTGGAGCCAACAAATTATTAGCCTGAAGATTTAGGGGGAGAAAAATGAATGAAAGTAGAGACACATACTTAGAATACCCGAAACCATGGTAAACAGGACCAAGCCGAGTGTGATTGGAAGCATATGCACACCACTCATTAAAGGAGAGTCATCGTGGATAGCCTGGAAATAGATCGCAATGTAGAAGTCGGCGACGAGAACACTGGTAAGGCTGAAGAACATCGTCATTGCCGCTGACCAGATGATTTTGTGTTTAAGCATTGCAAATGGCATCATGGCATTGTCTCCCTGGCGATACTCCCAGACCAGGAAAAGAGCGAAAGTGACGGCAGCGCCAACCAGCAAGCCAATCACAACCGAGCTGTTCCAAGGGTATCGGTTACCACCAAATTGGAGTCCCAAAAGAAACATGACGACCGCGGGGCAGATGAGCATGAAACCTGGGAGATCTAGAGACATGATGGCGGTCCCGAGAATCTGCCTGGGTGGACTCTTGGGCTTTGGTTCGGGAATATTGTTGAAGAAAAGGAATCCGCCGACTATAGCGCCCAACGGGAGGTTGATATAGAAGCCTAAGTCACGCAGTTTAGTCCAATGAGCGCTAAAATTGGAGGGTAGTGGAATAACATACACCATCGCCAAGAGACTTTGGTGGTAAAGGCTCCACCGATAATTGGTCCTGTTGCAAGTCCCAGCTGACCCATACCCATGTTGAGCCCCATGAAAAGCGCCTGTTTTTGTGTTGGAAGCACTGCAGAAATGGCTGTCACAGCTCCATTAGCCACACCAGCAGAACCTATTCCTGCGATGGTACGGCCAATAATAAACATGGGCGATGATTGAGCTGCTCCGCAAATGGCAGATCCAACTTCGAAGATGGAAAAGAAAACCAGAAAGGTCCACTATATTGTCACTTTGTTGGAATTGAATTCACAACCCGACAGGTTGTTTAAGCCGTAGACTGAAACTTACCTTGATCGGAAACTGGCTATAAATCTTGCCGCTGAGAGGCTGGAACGCTGCACTTCCGAGCTGATAGGCACCACCATACCTAAGCAGAATAAACAGTGTTTTGCAAAACCGGTCTGCGATGATATGGGAGTGGAACTGTACTTACCAGCCAACGTCTACCAATGAGTTGAATTGGGAAGTAATAGCTGGCGTGGCCGTTGAAATGACGGCAAGATCAAGGAAGAAGAGAAAATAGGCCAGAGTAACTGAAGTCAAGATGAGGGCGACCGAGAGCCCCGTAGGGTACTCGTACTTGGGACCGGCATCTTCCCTGGAGGGGCTTTTTGGGCACCCCCTCGCTTCTGTACAGAGTGATTTTGCCAAGTTTCAGACGCGTCTGGGGGAGGCCCATCCAGAGTGTAAGATGCAGTCTCTGCCATTGCCACAGATCTGTATCCTGGAACGCTCTAGCTGAAAGGCGTGCGGTGCTGCTATACCTAGTGTTAACACTTTTTATAACTCTCAGATTATGCTAAATGGTGTATATATGAGTAATATTTCTCCTGATGAGTAATTGTTATCCTGCATCCATCCATCAATTATTCAAAATGCCTGGGGCACCTGAGGTTTGAGGGAATCGGAGTCTGCTTCCGAAATCCGGACTCATCATGGAAGTCTCGCTTGCAGCAGGGCAACTTCTCAAATCTAGAGTAGGCTGCACATATCTACCGGGCTATATTTCGGGATTGGACCGGAGTGTGCCTGATCGGAGTCCGTCTCCGAACCTCCAAAGAAATCACCAGCTATTCAGGGATACTCTCAGAAGTAAGATTGAAAGTCTCTAAACCCCCTGGCGGCAGTTACGAGACAGGGGAAAGTTAGAACAATTGTAACGATTATTTATTCGTAGATCGTACAGAATGATTCTTTGTTTTCTGGTTTGAGAACAGCCTTCAAGTGCCTTTCACAAAGTCACCATTTCTAGCAAACATATGTGAATTCGTCCTTACCCCTAAAATCTTGAGTTCGATGCCAAAACCATGATTGCCTATCATGGGCATCTACCTACTCGTCAAGTTTCAAAGATTACCCATCGGCCAAATTCACCCTCATGTTCTAGCTCCTCGCCTAGTTCACTTATTTCAAATAAGAACGTTCATATTTGCCTCAAGCCACAGGGTTTCGATATTTAAGATCGTCTAAATATTCCACAATGCCAAAAGCCAGTTCTCAAAGTAGACCATGCAAACGTCAATCATCCGTCATGATTCCGACTCTAGCCCAACAACAATTCTTTTTCCCGAAACAGACCCAGTTCGAAGCAAATCCAATGCTGCATTAATTCCTTCCAGTCCACCCTCAGCGCGAACAATCTCGGGAAGGGTGAGAGTATTCGACTGAAGTAGGTCTTCTAGCCAGCGAACCATGCTCTCACCAACTGTGGGGGCAGTATGAAATAACTTGATAGGCACCGTGTGGTAACGAATGCCTGGGTTACGCACTTTGGGTAATCCTGTGAGCCCAAGCAAATGAGAATGTTCCGAAGGATCCAAAGTTTTCTCAAGCAGAGTTGCAGTTTCTTTCCCCACAATATCAATTGCATATCGTAGTTTACCACTTGTGACTCCGCGTATGATTTCCACTGCGCGATTTGTATCGTGTCGGTCCACCAGAAGATCGGCTCCAAACTCCAGGAGCTTGGCTCCATGTCGTGCAGCATCGGCCACGCAAATCACTCGAAGTCCAGCCAGCTTTGCTAATTGCAAAGTCACTAGCCCCGTTGTTGTCGAAGCTGTTCGGGCTCTGTTAGCGATAACGTCTGGAGCGCCAGGGAACATTATATTACTTACCACCCCATATTGCAACCCAGTCACCGCGTTGTAAGCGTTCTCTGGATGGATAGCACTCGTCTATTATATCGGCAGGGATATCATCTCTGTCCAATTCATTGATAATTTGAGGCAGATTGGGGCCAGGTAAGTTGGGAAGAATGGAGAAATCTAATCCAAATGAAACGCCGAGAGCCAAGACGGAGGCCACAAATGCTACTCCGAGGGAGGCAGATGCGTGAATAGATGCGGAGGATGGAATTCGCGCTGCATTGAAGTCGGTCGCAATTGCATATTCTTGAAATGCGGCTTTCCGAATGTCTCGATAATCCGTCGAGGGTACTAGGACAATATCACCCACGCGGACGCGGGAGTTCTCGCGGGGTACTTGCAGCACCAGTCCAGCTAGATCACGTCCATTAATCCAAGGCAAGCTAGGAATGCCAAAATTGAATGCCCTGAGCCGACGCCGTGTTAGTTGTATGCTCGCAATGGTGCAGAGGTTCGACGTACGGTGCTTTCCAGTCAATCGGATTGAGCCCGATTGCAAGGACCTGCAAATGAGTAATGAGAAGGCTGCATTGATGTACATGTAAGAGAACAGAATATATCTATCGTACCTTCACAAGAATTTCCCCGGGATGTAGAATCGTAGGAATAGAATGATCTTTAACCAGAGTGTATTGTTCACGGACCCCCTTGAGCAGTAACACGCTTTGTCGTGCTTCTGCGGTTTGTGAAACTAGGTTGGTTTTCTCTTCTTTGACTGCAGTAAAAGGGAAAGAAGCCCCGGAGAATATATAGCGATGGAAGTTTGCCGGTTTTTTTGGCAGCTCGTCAAGCTGGAGGCAGGTAGTGGTTGCCATGATGATGGTCGGGTCCAAGAGTGCAATATTAGAAGTAAGCGGCCACAAAAATGTAAAACTGCAGATCTGACTCTACCTATATGCATCTGAGACTACCATAGTTAATTACATATTTCTCGCCCGAGAAATAAATAGGGCAAAGCACGTTCATCACGTTTGAGAGTGGGGGCATTGATTGATATCAACCTTTGCCGAAAGCACGTAGGTCTAGGGAAGCCCCCACCGAGTCCTTGGCTTTGTAATGCCAGATGAGAGGGGATTCTTTTCAATGAAAGTAGTACCAAGACTTGAATTTGCGTTATCCAGCCTATCCGGTGGCATCTCATGGAGTGATCGAGACACTGCCTATTGCTCATGGCGGGGCTTAAATGACGTGATGGGGACATCTCATCGGCAGGCCAGGGAGGGGGAAGTAGATCACATCTAATCAGTAATGATTGCTAGTTCTTTATTGACTCGAGCCTACAAACTTCAGATCAAATTGTTTGGCGGGCCTCGACTGAGGGCCGAAACGTGCATTGATCAGTCGATTCAGAAGGCACGTGAGGTGTAAATCGAGAGATCAAATGCATTGAACAAAAAATCCAGCTGGTGATCGAAAATGGGACGTGCAGTTGTAATGTGGTGGTTGAAGATGAAGGTGTCTTAGGGTTCCAAACTGATGTGATCCGGGGTTCTGATGACGAAACCCTGCAACTTGTCTGGCCGAGTTTTCAAGGCCGGTTAAGCTGAAGCTGAATAATGCAGCCCTTAACCGATCATAGAATTTAAAGCACTTACTGATGGTATTTTCTACACCTGTCAGCTACCTCCTCCATTTTTTTATCTCAATCTATGTACTCCGTACAGTATGGCTCTTACATCGTGAGTATCATTATGTTGGGATGGACAAGATACCATTTTCGGGGCTTCCGAATTTGATCATGAAGAACAGCGAGAGAAAGAGACCGCAGGCGCAAAAGAAGGTCACCCCATTTATACTGAGACTGTCCTTTCTATCATTAGGAGAAATATCATGATTTTTTTTCATCTGCCTTTGAACTGCTGGTCAGCTTCTCGCCAATGCCGCTCAGTCGTTTGCTTGTGGCCTTCACAGAACATCGCGATTTTGCTAATGGCTTTGGGCCAGCTGGAATAGCATTGTGATATAAAGGAAATTCGTAATCTTTTAACAGGACAGCCTGTTCCTTTGTCGAATATCTCATGCGGGGGCTCGGTAAGCCTGAAGAAGAGTCGGGCGGTACGAGGGGCAAAACTAGCCATGAAATGGAGACCCAGAAGCATGGCTTTGTCTCTCGCCCGAGAGAAATCACAGAAATAGTTGGACTAAACATATAGCCTTTAGCTCAGAAAGATTGATGTTATTTCTGTTCTGACCTAAACGTCTTGTGGCCGTTATTCGATATGCTACTTGTGTCGCATCGTTGTTATCCATGCAAGCACGTAATCCCGGCTGAGAACAACAACAATATCCACCGCGGCTCAGGAGCCTAACTTGTCCAAGATAGGAATTTGGACCAACAAGATGATCGAAAAATAATGATTAAGGTCCGATGTTTCCATAGCACGTAATCTCAGTTTGTCTCGGCCCTATAGTAAAGCTCCGGCAATTGGGTATAGATCTACCATCGAGACGGGATGCATAAAGTCGATGACCGTCCGTCTCTTAATTTTGATGTTCTCTAGAATAAATCCTTACAACCCCACATTTTACAGATAACTGCTCATCCAATGTCAGGTTCTGAGAAAAGTGCCTCGCCCAAAGATGAGGAGGTCAATAGTGACTCCCTGACTGCGCCGATCCATCAAGGTGAGATGAAAACGTGCGAGCTTTGATCGATCATGCTAACCTTTCAGTCAAATGGTATCGGTCGACATTCTACAATGCTCTCATTCTTGGGATTTGCAACTTCCTCGCTCCGGGCATCTGGGGCGCAATGAATTCGCTCGGTGGAGGCGGCGAGGAGAAGCCCTATCTCGTTAATGCGTAGGATCAGCTGAAGGCGCTCAATCCTCGTTTCATATTACTAATAATGAAATAGAGCAAATGCGTTAACATTTGCCCTAATGGTGGTATCCTGCTTCTTCGGAAGTGTGATTGTCCGGTTCATTGGGATCAAGTGGACCTTCATCGTCGGAACGATGGGCTATGCGCCATATGCCGCAGGCCTGTACACAAACAATCGATTCGGAGACGAATGGCTGGTACTCCTTGGCGCCGCTCTCTGTGGTAGTTCAGCAGGCATTTTCTGGATGGCGGAAGCCGCGATCGCACTGGCTTATCCTGAGCCGTACAACCAAGGACGCTTCCTAGGATTCTGGCTCAGCTTCCGTGTCGGAGGGCAAATTCTAGGCGGCGCTATCAGTCTGGGTATCAATGCTCATCGCGCAACGGAAGGCAGTGTCTCTTACACTGTCTATCTCATCTTCATCACACTCCAGGCACTTGGCCCCTTTGCTGGTTTGCTCCTGAACAAGCCGTCTCAAGTTCAGCGAAAAGACGGAGTGCCAGTTCAGCTTCAAGTAACCAACAGCATTGGCTATGAACTTCGAACAATGGTAAAACTTTTCGTCAGCAAGAAGTTCCTCTGCATCGTCCCATTCATCTGCCAAGCGGTTTACACCGAGGCGGTGATGTTTTCATATGAAGGTCTCTGGTTCTCTGTACGATCAAGAGCTCTCGGCTCGTTCTTGTCCGGCATCATTGCATTGATCATGGGCAATCTTCTTGGCGCATTCCTCGACAACAAGTCCATCTCGCTGAAGAAGCGAAGCCGATATGCCTTTTTCTTTGTTGTGGGTTGGCAAGGCTTGTGTTGGATTTGGGCCACGGTGGTGACCACCGAGTTCCACAAAACAAATCCAGTGTATGACTGGACTGATCCGGGCTTTGGAAGAGCCTTCGCACTCTTTTTGTTCTGGGTCGCCGGATTCCAGCTCAATTACATGTACCTGTGAGTAATCCGAGTGAGCGTGAAGGTCCCGTTGAGCAACAATGTTAATCTCCAGTCAGATACTTTGTGGTAGGCAACCTTGCTGATGACCAGGAGGAAGTCATTCGAATTGCTGGGTTGTTGCGTGGGACTGAGTCAGCCGCTCAGTGTGTCAGTGTAAGTTTCTCCCTCCACCCTGGCGCGCTCCCTTTCTTTTTATCGATATTAACCTTTGACCTCTAGTACGGTCTGAGCAGTATCTCCATCATGGCTGCAGTTGGAAGCGTCTACCTCAACTTCGCGATGTGGGCCGTTGCCATCCCCTCTGCCTGGTTCATTGTTAGTCAGATTGGGCTCTTTGGTGATAAGAAGTTGGAACGAGAAACCCGGGCATTGCGCGATTCCTCCGGTAATGAATGAGCCACCGCCCTGTAGGATGACGCCGATGAACCGGGAGAGACCCCGGATGTGTTTATTCCTCTCGGACAGTGAGGATAGATAGGTTGTCTTGTCCTCCATCAAAATTAAAGGACTACTTTGCCGCATCCTCTATCTCTTCTCTTCTCTTCTCTTCTCTTCTCTTCTCTTCTCTCTCGCTCCTCCAACAATCTATAGAGCTTTGGGGCGCTTCCTTCAGAACAACAAGACTCATCACGTAGATACATTGGGATTCAGTTTGTATCGAACAACTAACTATACGACAGACTGAAATGTCCGATTATCTTGGTTGAACACCAGCAAGGCGAGACGGTGTCGCACGAAGAGACCAAGTAATCCACACACACTCTGGACCGCAACCATGTGCCATGCAAGTCGGTCTTCCCTCATAGGACCCATCCACACGAGCCAAAGGTTGAGAATGGTCAAATTTGTGGATTCCACAATTTGACCATTTTCATCCTTCTTAACCCGCACCAATCGTAGTTTGTGTAGTAACTCGAGGGCCACAGTGACCAATGACGAAGGAGGAATGGTCCATTCTGTGACAGAAGCGTCGAGTAGCCCAGTTGACGCATTAAACTTGGGAAGTCGATGGCGGGGGCAGGGAATGATATGGAAGAGCTGAGGGGTTGAATAGAGGAAGTTGAAGATCTGGGGAACGAACAGCAACAGCAATGTCTTGCTGAAATGTCCCAAAATACCCACAACGGCAAACACCATCCCCGCAAAGTAACAATAAGTATCACCAACAAATACCTTGGAGGGGTACCAATTGTGGCACAAAAGCGCCGCTGAAACACCAATGAAGGGTAGCAAGAAGTATATCGAGAACAAGTGAGAGTCGGTAGCCGGATGGGGGTACGGGGTGATGGGAGCGAGATACATGGCATCATTCAAGAGTAAAAGGAATGCAATGACCAGCGACTGAGCAACTTCAATGCCGTTAATACCTGCCAGCATGTTGATAGCATTTGGGCAGAAGATCGCGACAGCTGCCATGTACATGTAGTACAGCCACCCGAGGTCAATGAAATCACCAAGGTACCGCTGCAGGGGAACGGGTACGACAACGTGTGTCACGCCAAAATCGACAAGGTAAACAACCAGCATTGGAATGGCGGCAAATGCAGGAATCAGGACCTTATGCCTCCAGCGAATGTCAAGCAAGTCATCACCAATTCCAAGAATGATGATACATTGCAAGGACAAAAGACCCGAGAGATACGATGCAAGCTGATCAATTAAGTGTTAGTCTTGTCGTAGGTAGTAGTTTCCTATCAATCAAGACCTACCTTCCCATGGGGAAATCTGTGGAGGAACCGTCCAGTTTCGATGTGTTGATCTTCGATAACAACATCTCGATTGCCTCCACCCGAAGTGGCTGCAACAATATCCTTGTAGAAGGCAAAGGGAATGAAAATGATGAGGGCAAGTAGATAAACCACAGCACAAACGGCACCCATTGTTTCCGGTCTGAATCCAAACATGAGCCTTCATTTCATGAGCGGATAATAAGTATCGGACAGTTGACTTACATTTCAGGTTTTCTGGGTTTGGCCATATCTTTTCCCTTTAGACCTGCTTTAATAAATACAGGTCCGAGCCATCGAACCATGCTGAAAGCGACTGCGAACGCAATGAAAGAAAGAGCAATTGAGGCTATCACCGGCGCACCATCGCCCTGGAACGTGTTGACCAGGATGCCGAGACCGGCTCCCACGAGGAGCAACAGACGCCATGTCTCCGATCGAGAGAGTGTATTTGGAACTGGCATAGCAAAGCAATAACCCCAGCAGCAGGGTCCTAAGAACCTACTCTAGTAAAAAGAGCGACAAGAAAGGAACAATTCTTCTCATGGAGAAACCGCTGACGCAAGCTGGCTTCATCCGAAATTCCCCCCGATAAGGTTATCGGAACTGCCAAGTTCAATCTCACCGCCTAAAGGCGGTAAGGCTGGATCCCGTGATGATCGCCGCCAAGAAGGGAAACCCATGCACACGACGCTGAGACACCTCTGTTTCATGTCCCAGCATGCATACGTGTGAGTGAAGCGCATCATTGGCTCACAGTCAGATCTTCCTGGCCCTTCCTTTTCAAGTCAAACACCTGGTCGCGATGGGGGCAGTGGAGCGACCAGAGATGACCGGCGGTTTTGCCGACTTCGATGCCGGTCACCGAGATCTGGTCGCTGTGAGTAAGTTCAACTATTACGGGAATCGGCTCCTCACAGCATCTTTGGATCATCGAATGAAAGTCTGGGACCTCAAGGATGGTCAGTGGCAGCTTGTCGACACCTGGCGTGCTCATGATGCGGAAATTCGCGATGTAAGGGATCCAGTTACGCGTATTTCGGTCGCGAGCGCGAATATCTGCTAACACATAGCTCTAGGCAACCTGGAACGGCCCCTTCTCAGGCCAGCACATTGCCAGCATTGGAGAAGATATGCGACTGAAAATCTGGCAGGAAGATGTAACGCAATCTCCTGAATCAGGACGGCGATTCAGATCAATCTTTCGCTTGACAGCGCCTCATCGACACCCCTTTGTGTCTTTGGACTTCCGCAACATTGATCTCGAGTCATGGCTTGCCGTGATCACGCGCGATGGCTACTTGATGGTCCTGGAACCTGTCAGCCCAGATAGCCTGGCAGACTGGCAGACTATCGACCAGTTCCGAGTATGCGCAGCACCTGAGCGTGGAGAAGAGGCAAGCTTCAAAGTTCAGTTCCATCACGACCCCACCGATATCACACACACAATACTCCCAGATTCAGATCGAAAGAGTCTGTCGCTTGTGGTGGCAGCCATGGATACGGTCAAAGTATACCGTACCGATGCAAATCGACGCTTCTACCATGCAATTGAGTTGAACGGACATAGCGGCCTCGTCAGGGACATCTCCTGGGCACGTGGCTCAGTACGCGGTTACGATCTCATCGCGAGCGGTGGCAAAGATGGACTGATCCGCATCTTCGAAGTTTACACAATCGCCGCCAATCAAGGATCTCAGACCCCAGGTTCCAGAAAAGCTGAACGGCGCCAGCAGCACTCGTCCTCGACCAGAACGACGTCCCAGTCTGGCATAGGGTCCGCTCTGGCAAATCGCACACCTACTTCAAACCCTAGCCGCCAGGCTACTGGAGACTCTCAGTTCCGCCATTCGTTCAAACAGGTGGCGTGCCTTGAGAGCAAGCATCTTGACGTCTGGCAGGTAGACTTCTCATTTGCTGGTAAGTTAAAATTATGTCCTCTGATTATCAGATCATGTTCTTATGGGTTTGCTTACAGGCGATTCTTTGATCTCCTCCGGTGATGATGGCGCAGCTCGGTTCTGGAAGAAGTCGCTGTCGGGAGAGTGGCTTGAGTTTGCCGAAACCGACTTCGCGGCCCAGTGACCACTCATAAAAGGGATGGAAACCTTGGTCTAGACTAATGTAAGCTTGCATGCTGGACCTCTGGCACGCACTACACGACCAAGCAACGATACATGAGAAGTGGCGCTGGTGATCAATCCGTGTGTGTCCTAATTTTTTCTGCATTTTCTCGGGCCTCGATATGAGGCAAATGATACCCTGATTCGATTTCTGAAGCTTTTGGTCTTAAGGTTGTCCATGGTGTCCTCTTGGTAATTCTAATAATAATAATAAGCATGGCATCACGGCCTGCCACTCATCAAAGGCAGGAGCGACTCAATGCAACATCCGCAGACCCAACCACTGTGACAGGATCGAGAATACCGTGAGCTCAGAGCATCCTGTCCTATATCGAGGTCTCCATTCGTTTTGACCGTCTCATCATTGTATTTATTACCAATTCTCGATGGCATTGGGCCCGACTCTTGGAACCGGGCTGTTCATCGGCGCCGGGCAAGCGCTGGCCATTGGTGGCCCGGCCTCGCTACTCATTTCCTATGCAATTTTATCGCTCTTGACCTACTTTATGGCCACAACTGTGGCTGAAGTTGCCACTCACTCCCCGACTCGACATGGTACTCTGGTCACTAATGGCTTCCGATACATGACGGACAGTATGGGGTTCGCGGCTGGAATCCTGCGCTGGTATACTTTGGCGATGTTTGTCCCCTACGAGATTACAACTGCAATGGTGAATCTCGGCCTGTGGAACCCCGGAACGACCATCGCTTTGCGACTGCTCATCATCATGACAATTGTGGTGGGATCCAACTACATGCCCGAGAGACACTTTCGAACCTCCGAATGGCTCGTCACCAGAATCAAAGTCGGCACGTTAGCTTGTCTCCTTGCTTTGTCGCTTTCGATTGGCGTTGGAGGCGCGACTGGACACGCTAAATGGGGGTTCCATTACTGGAAAAAGCCAGGGGCCATGCACGAATACTTATTCCGCGGCCCTATGGGCAGGTTCTGGGGCTTGCTGCAGTGTGTCTTGCACAGTTCCATCGCTTTCACGTTCACGCCCGAAATCATTGTCCACCGCGCGGAGACGCTTGAAATGCTTCCTACCGAGATTGGCGACGTGTTGGACCCGACTATCCAAGCCAGACTTCCCGGAAAAGTTGCCTTTGATGTGGTCACGACTACGCTGCCGTATATCCTCAGCTCCCTGGCGATGGGTGTCATGGCTGCATACAACGATCCATTACTGACCAACAATGGAGCTGGAGCGGGTCTTTCGCCCTTTATCATTGGGATGAACACCGCGCGTATCCGCATTGTCCCCGTCACCGCGAGCATTGCCATCCTGACTTCATCCGTTGCTTCGGCTCGATCATTTCTATTCCTCGCTTCGCGAACACTGTGTGCCATGTCTGAGCTCGGCCATGCTCATCGAGTCCTCAAAATACGCAACCAATGGGGCGTTCCCTATGTCTCCGTCGGTGCTACGGGGCTTTTCTCCTTGTTAGCCTTCATTTCCGTGGGAATGTCGAGCTCAATCGCGACCACCTACTTCTTGCTTTTCGTAAACAGCTCCGGATACCTGTCCTGGTTGGTATCGTGCGTGATATTCCGATACTTCCGACAGAGCTCGGGTCTCCGCCATAATACCAACTCTTATGGCTTCGCCATCCAACCGTTTGGGACATACTTCGGAGCCTTGATGAGCTTGATCTTGCTCTTGTCCAATGGCCTGGTTGGAGGCATATCAGGTCCCCGTCCCGGTCCAAGAATCGCAAGACTTCTCGCCGCGTATTGCAGCATTCCTGTCTTCGCGATTCTGTATTTTGCACATCGATTTCGAACGATGGTTCCTTACCGGACATCCCATAGCAACGCGGACATGCATTACAGCCAGGAAGTACACCGGGGTAAAGCTGTCTCTCAAATCTCCGAGTCACAACATGGAGGGTCTGCACTGCCCGGTTCATCCGATGTCGTTTAGGCGGATCCTGTATGGTCAATGGCAATGGACGCGTTTTTGCAGCCTTGATGGGGGAGAATGGTGTGTGCGTGTGTGCATAGAAAACATCACGTATATTTGGAGTGCGCTGGGTTTATGTACCTGTCAAGGCCATGAAGCTGTATTATTAGACATTAGGAATTTATTAGTACCGTCCCCTACCTAAATAGCACGAGTCATCAAGTTTGTTGGAAGTCACCTGTTTGTCGTTGTCCTCCAGTTACCTCGTGCCTGGCAACGTGATTCAACTTCCTTCCCTCCTCGTCAACCTTCATCTCCCTCTCCAATCGACTTTCCTTTTCCACATCCTTCAATCGTGCATTCCTTGTTATTTATCGTGGTCTCATTGACTCGATTTCCATTATTGGGCCATGCTTTTATTTTTGAAACCTGATATCCAGCAGTGACCATGTCTTGCTGGTAGTCCGATCCAGTTGGCTCGTTGCTGCTGCTGCTGGTGCGTGTACACCGGGGCTACAGCCCTGAACCCCACGCCCATATGCACGCCAGGCACGCCCACTACACCCACACCGGTTTGCCCAGAGACTCCGGGCATCCAATCCACCAGTCTAATCTATTCGTCTATTCGGCATTTACATTGGCATGGTACCCAAGCATCTGCCAGTAAAGCAATGACCAGAAATCCACAGCCCTGCCCTCACAATCCCGTCGCAATGGTCGAGCACCACCCCCATTCTGGACATTGCGCGGATTCCGGAGTTGATTGAACAATACCGGGCTGTTACAATACGTTTTCGCCTTAATTTAACGGTACTCGGGTGATCGACTAACGGTATGATTTGCTCCTATTTCCTTGCGCGCTTCGGGCCCTCTATAGTGGCAAAAGAACATGGCCGCCAAATCACCGGATTGGAAAGTAATATCGGAATCCTGCTGAGCAGCCGACCCCCTTTTACCACAGTGAGTGTGTCTTCTCTTTTCACCCTTTGGGCACCCTTCTACTCCATACTTCCTACCATTTTCACCTCGGGCAGCTTTAGCTGGTCTTTCATCCTGTTGCACGGTCGATATCGTGACCCTCTTTTCTTTTTTTTAGTCTCTCGTCTTGCGTGCTTCCTCTGAGAGATCAGCCATCAGAAGGGATCAAAACGACCTTTTGGGCCCTGATGACCAGCAGACACGCCTTAGGTCTTCTACTACTCCCTGACTTTACTAACCTTTTCCTCCCCCCTCCCCCCCTTCCCCCTCTCTTTCTCCCGACTTCTCCGCCACGCTCCCCTGCCCCATCTAACCCTTCCGTCTCCCGGCCGATCTCCCTCCTCCCATGGACACAACTCCCCATTTACCCACGGTTTCGCGCTGGTTGTACTCCCTCCATTCCAAGCTAACTTCTGGACATCCTCTATAAGACTACCTTCTGGTTTTATATCTCTTTGAAAAGGATATTTCTTCCCTTTCTTGTGCCACGCTTGCTGTGTTTGGCATTGCGGGATTTCCTTCCTCTTCTTTCCTCCCCCTCCCTGCCTTGCTTGACTCACGAGTCCTTTCATAGGCCTTGTTGCATATAAACTTTTTATCTTTCTTTGTTCTATGTCCCTCTTTTCATTCTTCTTCTTTCGGGGAAAACTAATGTCTCCACGAGAACCAAGCCGACCAGCGTCTTTCAAAGCCCTTCCGTCGAGATGCTCAATGACTGCACTCGATCGGGTTGCAGCCTTATCAAATGGGCGTCTCCCGTCATTACCGCGCTGCAATGCAGCCCAGATGTGCTTACGGCTGAACCTGCCAGTCGGGTCATCATGATAGGGCCATCTGAATCTCTCTATCTACTATTACTAACTCACTCAGAGGGCTTTCGTCTTTGCACTAACTAACAATATCCTACCATTTTCTAGATGCTAACCACTAACCCCCTACAGTGCCTCCTGGCACCAGCACCAGCACCAGCTTGTCCTTGTCGGCCAGCATTCCCGTGACTCGTGACTCTCTCCACCGGATTAGGTCGTCCCGACGCTAGTCCAAGTTTCGCTTAGCGTCACCCCCCAGAATGGCAGTCGCTGTTTTCGCCTTGTTTGGCGCTTTTTTTTGATTACCGATTCCACCAATTCCTGGTATCCGCCATAACCATACAACGATACACGGCCCTGACTAACCTCTCCTCTCGTCGTCTTGCAATAATGCCCAAACGCCAGAATGCCAATACCGCCAGGTTTGGTCAGGTTTGGCCCGCGAATCGTTTTCGGGTCGAGTCCCCCTCTCCCATGTTCCCCCAGCCAGCCGTCCACTTCCTTCGCAGTCCGGTTTTCTTCTTCGCTGAGAGGGCGCGACTCCTCCCAATTCGCGCTATTCCCCTTTCGCCCCCTGCACTCGGGCTTTCTCTGCCTTAGGCCCTCCGTAGCCTCCTCCTCCTCCTCCTTCGACCACTTCTCGAATCACCCTCTTTTCCCTCTCCTTTTCTTGCTGCGCGTCCTTTCTCTTCCCTCCGATCCTCCTTCCACCCCTTCCCCATTTCGTTTGTTCCAGACTCAACTTTCCTCGATCCTAACCGTCTCGACTCCTCGCCTTCTTTTCTCCTCCTCGTCCTCCTCGCGATCCCGTCGCCCTCCCTTCTTGTCCATCTCGACGGGACCCTACTCATTGACGAACCACCCGAAACCACTCCCACCGCGCACATCGTGTCTCTCTGGCCATCGTATCTCGAATCGCCTTGGGCCTTTTCTCCGGCTGCCACCTTTCTCGCGACGATTTCCACATTCCTCGTCGCTCCACCCTTCAGCACACCGGACACGCGCATTCGGCCAAGGTTTTCTTTCTCCCCAAGAGAGCCATCCCTACCCGTCTGAACGCCATCAGAATCGATTCGGTGGCCTTGTCAAGAAGGTCGACTAGGCTGTGGCTGCATTGGCTTCGGTGTTTTCTCGGGAGTCTACTCTCTGACGCTGTCGCCTAACTCCCTCTCGGTCGCCTCCACGAGCCCAACGCGTTTTGGATTGTCAAGAAGGGGTTCTGTAAGATCTGGAGCTACTCTCTCTTGAAGCGATCGTGGACATGCTCGTTGTACAGTGACGGGTCGGCCACGCCATCGTTTCTCAGCATATCCTAGTTTGTCGTGATCTGAGGGGGGGTAATCTGTCGGACTATGACAGATACCTCCTCCCTCGCCATCACGCACGCCACCACGGATTCGTATCCGGTCCCCGTCCCTGCTTCTCTCGGATCCCCCATCGCCAACGGGGCGATCTCCGACTCGGTCGCGCCCGACGAAGAAGAGCCGTACACCATCAAATGCATCTGTTCATTTAATGAGGATGATGGTAGCACGGTTTTCTGCGAAGGGTGTGAGACGTGGCAGCACATCATCTGCTATTACCCGGACAAGCGGGTGCCAGATGTGCACAACTGCGTCGACTGTGAGCCTCGCCCGTTGGATGCCCGGCGCGCAGCTGAGCGTCAACGCCAACGGCGGATCCGAGAGCAGAGTGAGGACGGTGACCGGAAGAAGCGCTCGGGTACCAAATCCCAAAAGAAAAAGGTCCGAGATGGCGACGTGAATGGATTTGGACATCAGCGGAGCGAGTCGGGGGCTCGCGATCAACCCCCAGCTAAGAAGCCCAAAACTGGTCACCGATCCTCTGCGTCCATCAGTGCCCTTGCGGGTATGCCGGCCCTTCCCGCCGAGAGCCGAAAACGCCGTTCTTCCACCTCTGTCGCCCCTAGTCCTACCAAACCTCCCGCTCCTTCCATTCCCCTGTACTCCAAGGAATTCCTCCGTCTCTATGACCATGATGATGAACGTGTCGACAGGGACAGCAACCTGTTCGTCAACGTCAGCCTCCTGAGAGAGACTGCGGTCTGGGTTAAGGACCCGGAAGCCCTGTCTCGGGTGACCAATGGCGGGGCTGAGAATACCTTCAACCGGTCCGATGCCGCTCTTGATAAATCTCGCTGGCCCGCGTTGACAACGGATACCATCACTGATTCCACAGTTGACATTGGCGGGAAACATCCTACCTGGAAAGTTGTTAAGACCCTGGATGCCGTGCAAAAAGATCATGTGGTTGGCGAAATCACAGGCAAAGTCGGCATTTTCGATGACTATTGTCTGGATCCAAACAACCACTGGCCCGAGCTCCGTCACCCCGAACCTTTCGTTTTCTTCAGCTCTCACCTTCCACTCTACATTGACAGCCGCCATGAAGGCAGTGTCCTTCGCTACACCCGCCGGTCATGCCGTCCCAACGTGACCATGAAGATCTTCATCACCAATGATGTAGAGTACCACTTTTGCTTTGTTGCAAAGGAGGACATTCCTGCGAACTCGGAAATTACCATTATGTGGTATCTGGATTCTCAATTCTTCGAGTCGACGAACGGCCTGGTCAAGCAAGAGGACAGTGCGACGGAGGCTGCTGCTATATGTATCAGCAATACGCTCGCAAACTTTGGTGGTTGCGCGTGCGACCAGCCAAACTGTCTCCTTGCCAGCTTGGACCGCCGACGAAACCCGAAATTGCTCGAGTCATCCAAACAAGCAAACGGCAAACGCAAAAAGGTGAAAACAAAGTCCGTTGCCTCGCCCCACGACACGGGCCGCGCATCCACTAGTCGGGCGGGAAGTGAGACTACCAAACATCCAGAAGAGGACGATGGTGCTGTCGAGAGCCGCTCTACTTCTGGCTCCGCGCGGGGTCAACCCCGTAGTCGCGACCTCAGCCCCGCTACAACCGGGCCAGCGGAACTTTCCACCCGCGAGAAGCGAAAGATTGCAGACGCCGAGAAGCAATTCCAGCAGTTGGAACAACAGGACCATCGGCCAACTACTCAGCGCAAAAAGAAGCGAGTGAGTGGTCCACCGTCCGCAGCGGTCTCAACTGCCACTCAGGCGGGGTCCTTCGGGGCTCACCGAGGCTCAACCAAATCGCTGCAGCTTGACACTGCTGGCCGCTCTCGCTCACCCACCATCGCCATGTCGCCTGCAGTTTCTGCTGCCGGTCGTCAGGGATCACCTCGCAAGACCTCGGGGTCCAACACGCCTTTCGCTCACTCCCCTCTCAGCCGTCCCATCTACGTCGATACGGCTATTCAGTGTGATATGGATGAAGTAGAGTACCAAGCTGCGCGCGACGCGTCTCCTCGTCTGCGTACTGCTTTCGTCCCAAGGACTGTCCGAATTCTGGAGCGGTTCAAAGCAGATCGTCTTCGAGCGCAGGAGCTTGCACGTCAACAGCTATCCTCGGCTGGCTCGGATTCGGTCGTCACTGCTGGGTCCTCATCGCCAGCTCTCATTCAGTCCCCAATTACAAAACAGGAGAAATCTGATATTGTCATGCCTGATGCCGTCACTTCTAACCTGCTTCATCATGGAGATATTGAGATGCAGGACATGTCACATGCCCTTTCATCCGACGCTGTTCAGACAGATCCAAGCAAGCCAGTGATTCCACCTCCGTGGCCATCTACCGCTGCGCACAATACCCAACTTCCCAGAATCACTACTCCGGAGCGTACCCACCTACGCGTCTCGATGCCTCCACCAAGCATCCCTAATGTCTCATCTGCCGTCAGTCCCGGCTCCATGTCTGCTACAAGTCTCGCCTCTCCCATCACTCTCGACACATCTCCACACGCTACTCTTTCCCCACATGGCGCAATTGCACCCACTCCAACCCCTGCTAAGAAAAAACTTAGTCTTGGTGATTATCTGATCCGACGCGGTACGATGGCAACGCCAACATCCGAAAAGACCCAGTCTTCCGATCAGTCCAATGCTGTCCCTTCGATGCAGAAATCACCATCGACTTCGGGCACAGGGCCCACAGCCAGTGCAGATGGGGTCCAGACTCCAACTAAACAATCCCTGGATGGCAAGTCAGAGTCTCTGGATCCCCCTGATGTAGCGATGAAAGACGCACCAGAGTCAACCCAGCCACCAGCTTCTTCCATTTCTTCGTGATCTGTCTTCAATACCCCTTTTTCTTCCTTTTGCTATGTGGTAGTAATACTTTTTGTGGCCTGGGTTGACTGATGGTTGACGGTTGATGAAACCTACCCTTTGCAAGGGACTCACGTTTCTAACGACTAAAAAATGTTCTTTCGTGTGATTTGGTTTACCCACAATGGGTTATGAACCAATGGCGTTTTGTTCGATTTTGGCTCCTTCCGACATCTCTTTGTTCTTTTTATCTGCTTGAAAGGCGTACATGGCGCGACCAGTAACGGTCGGTTTACGGAAATACCAGGGTTTGGTTTGGTCAGGTTCGGTTTGGGATGGTTTTGAGTCTTTCGACAAATTATGCTTCTTTCCTGTTTTTCCCTTCTCTTTCGTCCGAGGCATTTGCAGCTCTGGCTAGGTGCAGGAGAGCACAGTGGAGCCTGAGAGCTCTATCGACCATCTCGATGTCTATGGAATGATCTACAGGACTTTGTTTTACTCTCTTTCAAGGATCGATATTTCGATGCCAGACACAGGACTGGCTTGCTTTGTATGAACAATGTTATTCTCTCTTCTATATCAGGTCTATTGCTTGTAAGGTAGTAGGGGAGTAAGGTAATCCAGGTGTGGCTCTTGTTGAGGCAAGATCCATGGAACTTGGACTGATATCATATTCTGGTCATCGGGGCTTAGCCAGCACATGAACGTTGTATATATATCTGGCTACTTAAATCAGTGACCTTGGTTCTATCTCAGCCTCTTATCTTGCTCAGGATCGGTTCACGGTGTAAACCTTTCATATCTGTCACTACGACTCCTTTCCTAACTCGTGTGAAGCACCAGCGCACGCGATCAAAAGAAGGCTATTATGTTATTCATCATCAGTAAAGTAGCACATTGAAGAGGTGGAAAAGGTGTAACATATATGCTCTATCTTCATTCATTGATCATGTTGTCTTCTGTTCAGTGAAGCGCCTTTACCACTCGTCAACATCTCTGACTATGTATGTACATCATTTAATAGTCTTGGCTGATGACAGTCCCGTCAACCGCTTGTCATCATCACAAGTACGAACTGAAAGAGCACTATGTGATTACATTTACCTGATCAGTTTTCTGTCTCAAGGGAACCTGGACTGGACTCTCATTGCTTTGAGAGAACAGTAATTGTACAGTAATCTCGTCGCAGCACCATGTCGTCACTGGGTGGATGAAAAACATGGACTTCTTCCGGACGCATCTACGGCCCCGACGAGGCCCCGATGACTCAAAGATCAACCCGAGAGGGGTAGTTAACTACCTACACATCATCTGACATTCCGCTTCAAACAATACCTCGTTCACTATCTGCTGTCTTATACGCGGACACTTGAATATCTGACAATCATGAGCTCTCCCACCCACGAGACCGAGACCATCTCTCTGAGCGAGATACCGGCCCGTCGCTCTTCCAATGACGTGACTCCATCGGAGATCGAGCAGCCTTCACTGCCCCCCGCAGACGGGGGCAAGGCTGCATGGCTATTGCTCGCATCATGCTGTCTCATTCAGCTACCAGTCTGGGGTGTGCACTAAGTGCGAATGGCAAGGGTATATTAATGTCTAATTTGAGCGACTAGGATTCTCGACCGTATTCGGTATTTTCCAAGAGTACTACAGCACGCATAATGTGTTGCAGGGCGATAAAGGTGACCTTGCTACCGTGGGAACTACATCAACTGTATGGGATAAGCATCTACACACTGATCTTTTGGGGGAAATTATTTAACGAAAGTATCTAGGGTCTTTTATACCTCTTATCTCCTGTGACGTTCACCCTCTTGACGCGGTATCCACGCCTCCAAGCTTGGTGCATTCCAACCGGTCTAGCTATCACTGTGATCGGTTCTCTTCTGTCGTCATTCTCCCAACAAGTCTGGCACCTTATTGCAACACAGGGTGTTATGTGCGCCATCGGTAATGCACTCATGTTCAGCCCATCTTCTCTGTATATGGACCAGTGGTTCATACAGAAGAAAGGACTTGCCCTCGGGATCATGTGGGCAGCTAAGAGTATTACTGGCGTTGTATTGCCTTTCGTTGCGAATGCTTGTTTGAACAGATTTGGTTCTAGTACGACATTCAGAGCTTGGACTGTCACTACGGTATGATGCCCCAGTACGTTGCTGTCGTTTTGTTTCCGACTATTCAACTTTTGTGAGACTTTGGAGGGAATCGACTCCATGGCATTTGAGGCTGTTAGCTTGCATCCAGTGCTAATTTCGAATCACAGTTGCTCACTACCCTACTCTCATTGCCATTTATGAAGCCTCGAATCCCAGTCTCATCTTCTGCTTCAGCCCGTCGACTGGACCTCAGCTTCCTCAAATTGGCCACGTTCTGGATGCTTCAGGCAGGCAACGTCATCCAAAGCTTTGGATACTTCTTACCATCCACATATCTGCCATCATACTCCACCACAACTGTCGGTCTGTCTGGGACAACGGGCACAATGCTTGTATCGCTCTTCAACGCGACTTCGGTCGTCGGCGGTATCTGCGTCGGAATGCTCTGCGATCGTTTTGCAGTGTCAAATATTCTGCTTCTCTCCTCAATGGGCTCAGCGCTATCTGTATTCCTTCTATGGGGCATGGCAGCATCTCCAGAGTCTGAATCATCTCAGAGAGCTATTGCGCTGCTCACTTTGTTCTCCATCTTTTATGGCTTCTTCGCGGGTGGATTCAGTTCTACCTGGTCAGGTGTCATTAAGCAGATCAAACGTGACTCGTCTACGTCCTTGGAGACAGGGTTGGTCTTTGGTTTGCTTGCAGGAGGGCGAGGAATCGGCAATGTCATCAGCGGTCCGTTGAGCACGGCACTAATAAATCAAGGGTCGGTGAGTGGATCGCAAGGCAACGCTGGAACGGGATTTAGCACTCAGTATGGGACTTTGATTCTTTTTACTGGTATCACGGCGGTTTTCGGAGCGTGGAGCTGGATGTGGCGTTATATCAGCTCGGGGATGCACTGTGTTAGTCGTTGAGAGAAAGTTGTATTTTCGGTACGGGTGGTACGTTGATTTTCACTTCGTTCTCGATAGAGATGGTCTCGAGAATGAGATACAAAGTTTGAAATAAAGAATATCATGAAAAACAAGTATAGTTACTCCTCCAACCTAAAGACTAATAACTAATGCAAGGACAAGGTTCGTTCCACTATCGCAGGTCACGTGCATTTTGAGCTTCAACGCCAGCCATTCCACCGGAACACTTTCCAGGCGCAACCTCCGGTCCACCCTCCACCGCCGTTGCAGCTTCATTCCGAGTCGCTGTGATCCTCGACCGCAACCATGTCGGCGACCGATTCGGGTGTTCAAGATCCCCTCCTCTCGCTCCGACGCGCGATTGCTGCAGGTAGCCTCCCAACGCCGACGACGTCCTCCGAGCTGTCAGACCAGCATGCGACAGACAACCTCGCTCAGGCGACGCACCTGTTCTTCTCCCAGCCATCTCCCCACACATTCCCCTTGACTGAGCCGACGCGCTTTGTCTCCAACACGACAGAAACCGCCGTCGATCTGCGCAGTATCTTTTTCGCGTGGCAGAAGAAGGATGTTGCGATTCCAGAATACATTGCCTCTGCGCAAGAGCTCAATGAGGCGCTCAAGCAGAAGGAGCCTAAGTATGGTGGAAAGGAAGAAGTGATTCAGAATCTTGTTTTCGTCGAGCGCCTAGATCTCATCACATGGTTGGAAGGCGCTTCCGATGAGAGCGAGCACATCAAGCCTCTCGAGGGCGCTGCTGCTGCTGCCGAGGCTGCTGCTGTAGCTGCAGGTCAAGCTCAAGCAGAGGCTGCCGCCGGTGTGGCCTCTGGCGCTGCTGGAGGCATCTCGACAGTTCCTAGTGGAGCTGCGGCACCTGGCCAGCCCGGTCGCCCGCACAAACAGATTGACCCTCGACTACAGGAGATCTACAATGGAGAGCGTAAGACGGGTGATCGGAATACATTGCTTCGGGGAATCAAACCAACGGTGAGTTGACTTGGCAGAACACATGGATTTTTGCTATGTGAAACGGCCGATAAAAACTAACCCTGCTTTGCTCCCCAGGACTTCTCCCACGTCCGTAAAAGTGCTGCCATCTTCTTCGACCGTAGCCGTGACCGTCCCGGCCAGCCTGGTGCGAAACCTGGTGTCAAGCCCTCATCAATGGTCCCCGCACCCTCGGCTGGACTGTCCATGCCATCTCGAAAATCCAGCTCTCGTCCCGACCCCATCATTCTTCTCTCTCCCTCCGCCTCCTCTCTCATCCGCATGTCGAACATCAAGTCCTTCCTACAAGATGGTGTCTTTGTACCACCAGATCACCCAACCTTGAGCATGTCTACCGAGGCCAACTTCATGGAACTGAAGCGACCACTGCGTCTGAAGAACGACCCCTCCAATCCCTCTGCCAATGCCATCGGCTCGGCTGCCCGGGGCCCCAAACCAACCAAATTCATTCTCGTTGACGGCACAACCAATTTCAAGCCAGAGTACTGGTCACGTCTCGTGGCCGTCTTTACTACCGGTCAGACCTGGCAGTTCAAATCGTACAAGTGGTCTTCACCACCTGAACTGTTCAAACATGCTACTGGTATCTACGTTGGCTGGCGTGGCGAGGACATCCCGGCTACAGTTAAGGGCTGGGGTCGTGGAGTTGATACCTTTGCTGTCGAACGGTGGGATGAGAAGAGCGGCATTCAGGGTGGTGGCCGCTGGCGGGATCGAGAAGTTGTCGAGGGTATTTGGACTGCTATTGAGGAAGGCATGAGACTTCGAGGATGGGGATCGAAATAGAATACATTTTGATCACCTCCCATACCTACGTTTCTTGTAATTTCCAGTGTCTTGATACCTTGGTTATGCGGAATGCGCTCTTTCTGCATCGCGCCTTCCTTTTTTGTCTGCAACTTCCACCGTCCACTTTGCCCCGGATTTAAGCTTGATTAATGCATGCGGTGTGCACGTGGGTTCCGGCGTTTTCAGTGAGGAGTTTAAATCTACGTCATACTGGTACATTCAATTGATTTCCTACGGATCCATGCTCATGGCATACAAATACAAATGAAGATAAATTTTTCCGACATTGTTCTGGTGAGATTGGGGTGCTTTGTAAACCAGTGATCAACTTCGAGTCGATTAATTGGGCAAAATATGATTCGCTATGGGAGCTGAACTTCGAGCCAGTATGCTTGCATATCCTGGTCAGGACATTAATCAAAATAGGCTTCCGGTTATCGCCCATTCATTTCTCTAAAGCGGCCTTCTAAGTTGTTGTATTAAGCGTAATTTCCACGGGCGTCTGGGCGAGGGTACATGGGTATTTGCTGACGATTGTATGCTCGGCCAACACACTGCAGCGATCAATATTCAGATGACTCTTAACTAGATATTTATAATTGAGCAGGGCATACCTGATTGAATCTATGGATACTGCTGCTACTGAATAATACTTTTATTCCGGAAAATAACACCGATATAAGTGGGAAGTGCGCATCACAGGCGCAGACCACCACACCACAGCAATCAACATGCCCATGAAACGCAACTAAATATTTTTAAATTAGCATATCTTATTCAACCAATGAATGCAGTCGCTGCTGAATAATACCTTCCGCCTGGGAAACAACACCGATATAAGTGGAAATTGCGCAACGCAGACGCAGAGACAAACTCCCATGTACAACACAACACAAGCATTTTTAGTCACTTATTTACCGTTTTTCTATGTAAGTTAAGTCATATTTTCTGATTACATTGTTAGAATATTCGAAAAATGATATCCGATTGGTACTTTCATGTATAGAAACCAATATACTTGGGCCCCAATGTCAAACTGATATCAAACCTTCCCATTCTCATTCTGCATCATATTTCAATTATTTCAACCTTATTTTAACAAGCACCGGTAGCTCAGGGGTAGAGTATGGGATTGCAGATCCTAGGGTCAGGCGTTCGAATCGCCTTCGGTGCTCATAACCTTCAACATGGACCTGTCCATGTGGCTATCATTTTTGCCCAATTTTTGTGTATAGAACTCTATTTTGGTATGACAGTGATTCTCCTAAGGTTCCAACGGCTAATTCCCTTCAATATAACATCAAATAATCCAGACATAAAAGTATATTACACTAATAGGCGTGATCGAAGTGGTTCTAACTGGGTCAAGTTCATGTTGCTCATAGCGCGGGTAGGGTTTAGCCCCATTACAACTCAACCGCAATTTAGGACTGCCACGTGACCTGTCATCATGTTGGATCCGTTTGGTATGGCAAAAAGAACGATAGTGGTCTAGAGTTGGGTACTCAGATCACTTTTGTAGTGCTTTCTAGGCTGTCATGTCAAAATTATTTACGCCATTACTATCTCAATATAATATTTGAGGTGTGATTTACTGTCATTCTCACGCGAAATCTCTTATATCGCCTCTCAGATTTTGTCATATTGACTAAATGGTAGGGTACTTTCCTTAAGGTTCATGGCGAGTGTGCTCAGGGATCCTTCTACTTTTACACAAAGAGCTTTGCTATACTGTAGACCTCCCCAGTCAAAAGAAGAGACTAGACACAGTAGAATCATCGACCGAGTAGAGTAGAAGTAAATAATCATTAATGAACGACCAGTTGAAGGACCTACTTTACGACTATTCATACAAATGCCCCAAGTTCTACTATATAAGATCGATGAATAAAGCGTGTAAGCCTAATTGCATAGAGATTGTATGAAGTAGGATACTTAATGCCGAAATTTCTGACCCCTCTAGGCCTACAGAAGCTGAGTAGGGTCAAAAACTAAAGAGATTTGGATTTCTGAAGGCAAGGAGGGGTCGGAAATTTCGGCATTAATTATTCTGCTTTATACAATCTTGATACAATTAACATTACACTCCTGATTTATCGAACTTATATACCAGTATTCGGAGTGTTTCTACTAATAGTCATCTAACATGTCTTTTAGCGAGCCTTCCAACTGGTCTTCCAACTCATTAACTTCTACTCGTTCGTATGATTATTCTATATCTAATATCCTCTTTATTATTCCTTTCTTCGTTCAGAAAAACTATAGTATAGTAGAGTAGTTCCATGCATAGAAATAGCAAAACCCCTGCGCCTCGCGATAGTATGAAGAAAACCGTGTACAACTATCAATCTTGGTAGATTGGCAAGAAGTGAAATAAAAGTATTTCTTATTTTACGATCTCGATGACATAATACAGGATTTCTTAACCCTCTACGCCCATGGGAGTTAAAAGGAGGTAGAAAAACGGCGCTACTTCCAGACACCTCCCAGGTTTAGTGTTGCCTCCTCGAGCTGTCCTCTGATATCACAACTCAACATCAAAGTACGCAAACAGGGTGACCAAGTATCCGTGCCTTTCTGCCCACCCAAAGCGCTTCCCGCTTTGGGTGCGCCCACAATCCTGACCTCCACAATCCTGACCATTTAGTATAGAAATCGTCAAATTTACCACCCAACTAGCTAATTATCAACAAAAAAAATATCTCCGGCCTGCCTAGCCGCTTCCTCATTAGCAATTGCCCGTTGAATAGATTCCTCCGACCGCTGTGTAGGTTCGTAGCCATACAACTTCTTGAACTGTTTGGCTAGCTTCCTCTCCTCCTTCGCCCTATCTTCTTCTCTCCTGACTACAATTGACCGATTTGCATCGCGTGTCGTCAATATACCAGTTGAATTAAGCAATTTGACCTGCCGCTTGGTGTATTTGCGTTTTATTGGCGCTTGCGCGGCCCTGATTCGCCGAATTGTATCCTGGGTCATCGAAAGCTCCTCCGCCATCTCCCGCTGGTGCGCCATTAACCTCGATAGATTTCGCTGCATCTTATCTGATAGATCCTCGAGGTGTTTAGTAACCTTCGCCTGGTTCTTATATAGTGCTTCAATAGATTTCGGAGGGCTATTTTCAACACTAGAAGACGAGAGATTGGGTGGTAGTGGTGACGGTGTATGCGAGCCCTATAAGCGAAGATCTGGTGCGTATAGATCAGGAATCACCAAATCCTTAGCAAGATTATTAACAACCTTACTACTATCAACTGGATAGATTCCACGATCTCTGAAGGATTCGCGGATAATTCGCTGTGTAAACGCCTTCTTGCGAATTAGCCCGATAATCGCGAGGAAATCTGATTTCCCATACGGCTGGCCACCCCAGAAAGCCAGCTCATTATTTATCAACCGAAATTGCTGCTTATAATTCAGGAAGGGCTTTCTATCAAGTGGCTGGCAAATATGCGTTGAATACGGTATAAATACAAAGGGGATAATCGTATTATCCTCGCAGCGTTGAAGAAATTCGAGTGTAAGATGCGCGCTATGGCCGTCGAATATAAGAACGCGCTTTTCACCCCGATGCACACGATGAGCAGTCAATTGAATAAAATAGCCTAGCCAGGCTAGGGCTAATTTATCAGAAATCCAGCTATTAGGAGATATAGCCGTCATCGTGTCTGGTAAGAGGTTTTCGCTACCGTAGAACCAGGCCTCCATAAGATTTCGGCTAGTTCCTTTGAATATAAAGAGGGGATCCATCTGCCACCTATCCGCAGCAATACACTCTAATGCAGTGATATTTTCGCCTCTCTCGGTCTCAGCAAGGTTAGGGCAAGATGATTTAGCCCTAATAACGTTTCTTGCTCGCCCTTGACTAGGTTGAAACCCGTATTTATCGAAGTTGTATACTAACCGAGCAGGAACGTTATGTAGAACAGTTTCTAGCTGGTCGTACCAGTGCTGAAGAAGGCCTGCATCCTCTGCTTAGATTCGCCTTAGTTCCTTAGTCTTTTGCTTCACAGGGCCTAGCCCAAGGTTTTTTGGTAGACGCTTTATAAAGCCGTACGCCCAATTTTTGCTAACCTGCCTATCCGGCTGGCCTGATCGCGCCAGTGTGCGATTTGCCTATGCGCCTACCACCGCTGCGGTAGGTGGTAGGTTCCAGCCGTGCATTTGCACTATCCAGTTAACCAACGCTTTCTCCTGATGGGGCTCCAGGATATTTTTAAGCGATTTGGTAGGTGTAATAGGCGATTTAGCCATTTCGACGCGTCTAGTCAACGTCTTGCGATCAATGCCAAATTCACGCGCAATCTTGGAGATATTCGGCCTTTTTTGGGATAAAACCAATTTACAGGCCTCGGCTATGCGAGATTCATCAAAAGTAGTAGATTTAGGCATCGTTGGTGGTTGAATTGGCTAGTAGAAGACTACTGGTAGAAAAATGGTCAGGATTGTGGAAAGGTCAGGATTGTGGGCGCACCCAAAGCGGGAAGCGCTTTGGGTGGGCAGAAAGGCACGGATATGTCAACCCATTCACCTGCTGTGGATACTCCATGCTTCAGGCTTCAACTACTTTAGTAATTACAATGAAGAACAAGAGGAAATTTAAATGATTTAGTCATGTCCATTGGCCTTTCCAGAGGAGAAGTTCGAATAATATGACATACAAAGTTAAAGAAAAACAAAAAACCAGAACTCACACGCTGTGCCCACAGAAAGGAAATAATGCAGTACCACAAATGGGAGATCAACATAGACATGTAAAGAATAAACTAGATATAAGAAAGGGAAAACAAAAAGAACCGATGCTCAATGAAGACGGGGAGGTCATGCATGAGGAACAATGAGATAAGAAAGTTGTGAGATAAGCATGCATGATGGGGGAGTTGAAACGCCGTATCTGATGCTCAAACAACAAAAGGTAAGATAAAAACATAGTAGATCGAGTAGAGCCACCGGTCTTTTGTATGCGATCGTATTTTTTTCATGATTTTCCGTTGTTC